AAGACGATTACTTTCTTTCCAAAAAATAACAACAATATTTAGTCACTCAGGACTACAACAGCCACGTTGATCCATGGGCCTTCAGGTTAGTAAAACTGAATAACTCTAAAATTCTGTTGATGCTACAGAGATTGTCTGGCAGCAATTTGTATCACAAATGACTTTACCATACCTCCACGTCAGAATGATGAGATCTGACTGGTCCACGTGATCTTGATAAAAAACTGTGTATCCCCCCTTGGAGGGGAATAAATTTCTCTGCAGGGGAATAAATCTCTTATACCCCGGCACAAGCATGTCAGGCTGCACTTGGATTTCGGAGACAGAAAAAATCCATTATACCAACTTCAAAGCAAAAAGCCTCACGCTTTTTCCGAAGTCAATGGAAGCCACATAACTTACCGCAAGCTAACCTCAGCTCAATCGAACAGCTGTTTTCTATCAATTTTTAATTTTTCATTCTTTTACAATGTCATTTTAAAACATGTCGGTACGATAAATTTGTTGTAGCAGGATCACTCGGGGTACATGGGGTTTTATATGTCCTTCGTTAGGTTTTATACAAGCCACACAAACCTAATTTAGGTCGCATAAAAAACACATGTACCCCTCGTGATCCTGCTACAACTTATAATACTCTATCCTACAAATGATGTTCATGCTTTTCTTCACAAAAACAAATTTAAGTATTTCATAACATACCCAACTGGAATAGGATGACCCACATGAAACATATCCACAATAATGCAAACTTTGAAACACATTTTCAGTTGATCAGCATTCCCACGACAAAGAGATCCAGTCTGACCGTGAGTCTATGACAATGACCATGAAACAATTATACTTGTCACATCTTGGTCAAGACCCCAGTTTCACACACACACGAGATGTGTCATAACAAACACGATCTTGTTCATAATTGTACAAGAGGTAACCAGTCTTCCATAAACTTAATAAGAGGAATAAGACACAACGCTTGCTGTAAAGCTGCGTGATATTTACATAGACTCCCATCGACGTCAACAACCAGCCATCTGTACCAAGGTACAACACAATATAACAATAGGAGGACAGCTGCCATCCTTTCTAGCAAGCTTGTTTCTAGAAGTACTTGGTTCACAGATCATCCTTAAACTGACCATAAATATTATTTAAAGTATTTTTTGTCCAGTCTAACATACTAAGACATTTCATTGATATTGAGTGTGAGATCAAATTTAATGTCACAATAAACAATATTTCAGGTATAGAGCAACATGTTTCAGGAAGATGGAGATCAATCAAGCTCCTCGCAGTGATAGCCCATTTGCGGAGGTCTCTATACTATCGCTGCCACCAGTCAAAGCTCCCTACTAGGGCTGGGACAATGGCTGCAGAACAGGAAGATGTGGTGTATGGTGCACAGGCAAGCTCCTCGCAGTGATAGCCCATTTGCGGAGCTCTCTATACTATCGCTGCCACCAGTCAAAGCTCCCTACTAGGGCTGGGACAATGGCTGCAGAACAGGAAGATGTGGTGTATGGTGCACAGGCAAGCTCCTCGCAGTGATAGCCCCTTTGCGGAGCTCTCTATACTATCGCTGCCACCAGTCAAAGCTCCCTACTAGGGCTGGGACAACAGCTGCAGAACAGGAAGATGTGGTGTATGGTGCACAGGCAAGCTCCTCGCAGTGAAAGCCCATTTGCGGAGCTCTCTATACTCTCTATGGAGTTGATCTCGCAACCGACTGACCATGATGTATCCAAACAAGTGATGACTGCCTTGAAGCTGAAATCTCTTACCCCTGCTAAATTATTTCCTTTGTTTGTCAATTTGAATTTCTGTTTCATTACAACTATCATGTAATTGGAATAGTAAGAATGTAAAGGAGAATTTGGTTGATTTTCTGATCATCTGCAATCTCGAACCAACCTGATCAAACAAACAAAAAGGTAAATTCATCTGGGAAATATGGTCAGTCGTAAACCTTTTCAAAACTCACTATGATGGCATTCCCAAAGACATAAACAAAAGTATAAACATTACATTTGGGGTTAGAGGGCAAATTTCAAGATTCTTGTAATGCCCGCACCCACACTGGTGGCAGCGATGTTACCAAGAGTGCAACGAAGGTGTCACACGCTGGGAAGGAGCTTGGAGATCAATATGGAAAGGGAGGTCACTCTCTTTTTTGTCAAGAAACATTTTTATCAGTATGTATCTTTCTTTTCACATTTGTTTTCTGTTTTCTTGAGCTAAGAATTTGAAAACAGACCTGTGAACCCAGTAATCTAAGAAAAGGCCCTAGTTACTTTCATAAACCAACTCATCAACATAATCCAAATGTACCACAGACAATGTCAGACATATTGAATATCAGGTCTTGCAGTGAAAAGAAATAGGCTCAGTTCTCATCACATCAAACTGTCAGACATATTTGGCTCAATGTCCTATACCTTTTCCAATCTCATAAAATTCAGATCTTAGTTCTTGCTACCGCTTAACAAAGATCTGAGGACATCCCATAACAGGTCACGTCAGACCGACCTTGCGCGAACTTTGACCGACCAATGGAATGACCAATCAGAAGGCAGCTTTCTCGTGCTTTACGGCACTAATTTCAAATTGGAGACTGCGCCTCAAAACATATTTTGACAAATTCTCTATTACAAATTTGAAACCTGAACAAAAAAACATTCTGGAATGGTCTAAATTGTAAGGATTCAGTCTTTAAACCCGTAACTATCGTTCGGAATACCCCATGTTCATGTTTTCGAGATTGCATGATTAGAAATCACATTCCGACTCTAACTTTCATAATCTGGTAAGCGACGCACTGATTGGTCAGATGAAAGGTCGTTCTGACGTGACCCCTAATGGGATGTCTTCAGATCTTAGTTTAGCGGTAGAACTAAGGTCTGATTTTAATGAGATTGATACTTTTTCTTATTTAGCAAACATACGCCACCAGGGACTATCAATTCTTCATTTCAATAAAACAAAAATGTCTGAGAACAAAGTGGTATTTTTTCAAACAAATATCAACTGTAGAATTATTATGGAGCAAGTTCTTCATACAGTCAGACTTAAAGCTTCTATATCATCTATATACAAGTACATGTGACACTGATGTAGAAAAGTTGAAAATTACATTCATCAAAACAAATATATATGAAGACATATAAATATAGGAACATATTAAACACATTTCATATATAAACAGACAAGGAAACGTATAAAAACTTCACCTCACTCTTTCCTGTTGCCCACAGCAAATACCCATACTTTTTCTTTTGATTATCTGGATTATCACATCAAACAGATTAAAAGTTTACAAGCACCATTTTTCTACAAGAAATTTCAGAGGCAGTTCTACATTAGTTCTACACTCAATAAATTTCACTAAAACTTTTCTTGAAAGTGGTGACAGAAGATACTGCATAATAAAGGGGAGACAACTCCATACGGTAGTTGTGATGGAGAAATCTATTAAAGGGGGGAAAAAACTCTATGGACTAGATCCATGCTGAGGGGTACAAAGACATGCTACAAACCAATTCACCAAGGCTGACCACCCAATACATTTGGTCGCTCTTAGGACAGGCACAGGTTTCTGGGGACCTATTCCAAATCGGAGTCCCCACTGGGTACCCCTTGTAAGGATAGAAGAGTTCATATCGTTAGCTGAGACATGAAAAGTCTGAATTCTCGTTTGTATACAATTTCTGGAGGCTGACCCCAGGATGTAAGTCTGCTCTACACCATGAAAACAAGCAAAAAAATAACTTTATTTAAAATGTATGCGTCGATTGACATTATGTTTGTATTGGCACATCAAGATGGAAGTTGGGATACATTACTTTCATTAACAGTTTGACTAGAACATTTCCTTTAATTTTATGTCCGCTTCATTAAAGCACACACTGAAACGCCCTGCATGGTATTTTCCAGTGAAATATTAACATAATCACATAGGTAGTACTTGAACCCGACAAATGCTAGAAAACTGCCAATTTCACAAGTTCCTAACATTTCCAGTTTATTTACCTATTCATCATTTCTTCATGTTGATTATCAATATTATTCCACATATCGCGTAAGGGATCACTGATGTCTCATCGTCCTACCTGTCTTGGGACTGAATGATGAACAAAACAATGTAACATTTGGCTACCCTATAAGCAAGAGAGTTGACATGATCACAAGGAAATACAGCATTATGTTAGACATTAGTTTGCTCTGCTATATATAAAAAGGAAGGATGAACAAAAATATTTGATCATTTTATAAATTGCCATTACTAATGCCATTTCTCAACAGATTCTTAACTATATTGGATGGTGTCCTAAACAAAAGAGGGCAATTGCCAGGAAGATTCATGTTCCCGGGGCAAGGGAGGTAACTGACTATAAAAGTCCAGTTTCCACCTTTGCCGAACTAGGCTGGAATTTCTATGCTATAACATAGCGCCACCAGTGGCTATTACGAGTTATGTCGCTTCTATGTCCCTCCTTATCGGAGTCCTATTGACCCATCAGATTCCACCTCTTCACCACTTTCAATTGCTTCAAACAAAATGGCGGCACCCAGTAAGGACGATCTGATCGATAAACAAGATCTATATTGTAATAAAACTAGCCTTACCTTGCGAAGTGCATAAAATCACTTGAGCACCTTGATCAAAAACATGAAAAGATTTGCAAAATATCTGTAGACACCCAGTTGGTGGTACACATGCTTTGCCAATCCTTTAGTCAACAGAAATCTGCACATTGAAATCCATGTTACTTACAAACAAGATATCTAGTTTGTTACACAATTTTGAATGAAAAATGCACAGACTCGTCTGTCCAGCCATATTGTAACTCCAGAATTCCAGCCTAGTTCAGCAAGGGTAGAAACTGGACTTTTATAGTCAGTTACCGCCCTTGCCTCAGGAAGATGAGGAAGATTATCCTCAATACCCATCTTCGTCCCTCCCCCCCCCCCCCAGTCCCTCCCTTTACCCACCCACCCAGTGATTAAGTCCAAGCTTTTGTGTATGACACAGACACAGTGCAGTTACATCAGCGGTGTGGGGACGTGATTGTCACACTGAGGACAGACCGACATATCTCTCCATACATGCACGGTCATGTCACAGTCAATATGCTGGGACACTTCACTGCACAAATATCTTCACTATCTCGATAGGGACCGATCTGTCATAATGAAATATGTGCGTTGTTGGCGGCTCCATTATAGAATATGCCAGACCTTCATTTCCTGTAAATTTAACAAAACATTCAATTAGTCACAAATGTCAATGAGCAACATACGTAATCATTCAATTTGTTACTATTATTGCAAAACCTTTGGTCTTTTTTCATTCCCAAAATTGCTTTTACCAAAGTTTGTCATTCTTTTAATCAATGTTTGTTTGTTTGTTTGTTGTTTAAAACTGCATTTAGCAATATTCCAGCTATATGAAGGCAGTCTGAAAATAATCGAGCATTCCGGAATGACTAATTTAAGGTTGAGATTGTATGGCAGTGCTTCCCACATACTGTGCAAAGCTTCCTCTGATCAAAAGTTTATTCCACGGAAGTGGGAGATAGAAGATAATTTTGACGGAATCAATCTTACGGGCCATAACTGTCCTTTGGAATACCCCATGTTAACGTTTTCGAGGTTGCATGATAAGAAAACACATTCTGACTGTCACTTTCATCATCTGGTAAGCGATGCTTTGCTGGTCCGTAGAAAGGTCGTTCTGACGTGACCCGTAATGGGATGTCCTCAGATCTTTGTTTGGCGATTTTAATGAGAATGAGGACTGAATGACAAGTTTTCACAACATCTTGGCACGTATCATGAATACACCACACTGGGAGCGCGGTTCGAATAGGTCCCCAGCTATCTAACTTTGTTGTAAGTGACGACTTATTGGATCGGTGGACAGATTCAGTGACTTGGTTAATTGCAAGTACTGTACTTAACTACCAGTACTGGTTTGTTTGTATATTTACAGGCTACCATCATAAAGCAGGAACACTGCCTTAAATAACAAAGAAAAAATCAGTACATCTGACCTAGGGCAATTAGGAAGCAGTCGCGGGTGTCCTCATTCCTGACGGTGGAGGTGATGTAGGCAACAGGGTCCTGCCCTGTGTCGGGGGTGCAGGTGAGGAGCTGACGCAGCAGGGACACGAGGGCCGGGATGATGCTTGTGTCAAACACCACATCTGCAACAGGGTAACAGTAGGCATATGGCTCAACAAAGAAACAAAAAGTTCTGGGATGTTTTGCAATGGCTTGTAATTCACCTTCCTAAAACAGGGTTTTACTTTGACCTTATACGGTCCCAAAGGTCCCATCCAGGTTCCGAAAACATGGCCACTGCCATATAGCTTGTCGAATTTGTGCTAAAGTTCTTTCAATAATTAAGCAAAGACAAGTATTTTCTAAGTCTTTCCAAGTTTTAAATCAATTTGCCCACTGCTTGTAACATGTGTAAGGAGTATGATGATGAGAACAGTCATAAAACACAACTGGTACACATTCGTATCATCTGATCGATCAGGTCATAGTCTATGGTAGTCGTCATCTTTGTGAAGCTATACGAGTTGAGACCAGACATCTGATTGTATATCGCGTTTTCATGACAAGGGGCACAACTCGTGATCTACGCGAGGTGGCACCACGATCAAGCCAAGGAAAGTGGGCTTGATGTGGCAAGGATAGAAACTAGGCTTTGATACAAGCTAGTGGACATGCTTGCCTGGGGATGACTGACACTAGTGTCACCAGTGTGATTCTCAAGTATAAAACATTATTGTATGTCTCTTTGGGGTGAGCACTGTTCCCTATAGCCTTTAATTTGATATGCAGAATTTTTACTCTACATAATGTTCTACTGTAGTATGTATTCTTTATGACATCATGGCAGTCTAATGATTTTGTTTTGTTTTGTTTCTTGTTTAATGCCGCACTCAGCAATATTCCAGCTATATGCCGGCAGTCTGCAAATAATCAAGTCTGGACCAGACAATCCAGTGATTGACATCATGAGCAACAATCCAACTAGGATACGATCACATGCATCAACCAAGTCATCGAGTCTGACCAGCTTATCCTGTAATCGCCTCTTACGACAAGCATAGTCGCATTGTACAGGAAGCATGGGTTGCAGAAGAGCTATTCCCAAATCTTCATGGGTCGGCAGTCTAAGTGAGAAACAATGTGACTACTGCAGCAGGTGGCTTAAGTCAAGAATCAGTTTTTCAACATTACAAAGAACATGAAATCTGACAAATAAAATGTAGGAAAAAACCCATCTAAACATGGTCAAATAGATCACAGAGGAAGTTAATTATCATTATTGCTTCCATTTCTGAAACTGTTTGTTTCTGTACAGTGAATGCTCACCTGCTGCCAGAATAACATCTGGCTTGAGTTTCTCCACCAGCTTATCACTGACACATTCCCAGTCAAGCTTGGCAATCCGAATTCTGTCATCCTTCTTCAAAGTGCCCCGCAAGCCTGTCTCATCCAGCTTCCAGTGGCGGTGACTCAGCTCCAAGTCCTCCAGATCAGTGTGAATCTCATCAGGGTCCTCGTTATGATTTGTCTCCTCTTCTGACCTTGTGGGGGAGGTCACAGCCTCATTCTCAAGTCTCTCAGTATCACATAAGCCTGTTTCTGCATTCAGGCTGAGTTGCCTTCGTATTTTTCGGAGAATTTTCTTGTCCCTGTCTGAGCCGGGATCGGATTTCTGAATGTTGTGGTTGAGATTGAGTTCAATGTTTCTAGCTAACATGTACAACACTTGAGGGTGACAGTCACTGAAGGTGTAGCTGATGAGCTTGCCCCCACAATGGCGACAGACAGCCACGCCCGTCAACCCCAAGCCACTTCCCAGCTCCAACACATTCCTGAAAGAGATACAGATAGGTACAAGCATTGATACCTGAAGAATTACTCTCCTAGAAGGGGGATTAAATAGCTCTGAAACCACCAAGGGAAGGTAGCAGATGCTATTGTCCTTGTATGGAACTAACATGGCCTAATTCCTGTCCATTGTTTTGTTATAGTCAGGTTTCAACAAATTTGAGAAGATCAGTGCTAAAGTCATACCAATTCACACTACCTCGATCCTTAAATTACTAGCCCTGGTGAAAGTTGACTGCCATTTGTTTGATGAACACTCATATTTGACCATTTGAGAAGAACAGTGTTAAAGTCATACAAAGTCACATTACCTCGATCCTTAAATTACTAGCGCTGGTGAAAGTGGACTGGCATTTGTCTGGTGAACACTCATATTTGACCATTTGAGAAGAACAGTGTTAAAGTCATACCAACATGACCAAGTCACACTACCTCGATCCTTAAAATACTAACCTTGGTGAAAGTGGACTGGCATTTGTTCGGTGAACACTCATATTTGAAAAACCTTGTATCTTCATGAAATGGTTTTATCATTTTCACACATTTTTGTTTGTTTGCCTTGGAAGAAATTAAGAATGTTTTCGTTATTTCACAGTTACATGTATATGTTATCCTCTTTTCATTAATAGTCAGTTGGCCAGGTGGTCACTATAATGAGTCACTCAAGCAACCTACCTGTTCTGCAAAATATTTTGATTTTCAAAAACCCATTCTGCCAAATGCTGTGCTGCCTGAAAGAATAATTTACACAATCAGCAACATCATGTGATGTGATAGATAGCGAGACGTCAACGTATACACACTGTCACATGAAGTTCATATTGACATTATTGCTATTAGATAGATGGTAACATGGACACAGCTGCCAACGTTCCAAAATTCTTCTAGTCAAAGCCTGACGATATTTTATCTTAGTGTCTCTTTTGACTACTGCCACTTCCGATAATACGGGTGGAGTGTCTTGATTGGACAGATGCACACTATAGATAGAAGTCATACCAGTCGAAAAACAAGAGGCAATCGCATTCACAGCAGACAGCATAAGGAAGGCTAAATAATTACCCTCTCTAAACCAGTGTCTATGAAAATTCAGTCCTTGTGATTATTTTCGTAGATTGGCATATTATTCATATTTTCATTCAAACACATATTATGCTAAGCAACCATATCTTCCACCTTACTAGCCTCAACATAAGGAGGTGCACCCATCACATGTGTCTGTACACATGACTTGGGTAGTGTGCAAGCCCAATGTTTCAAACCCCTGGATAAACTGCCCTCATGACGTTAATATCCCATCGTTCAAGTTTTATGTTCAAAGATAAAGACCTCATTTTAACCATTGTCGTATCAACAGACTAAAAGAGCTGATTACCAAGTTTTCATGAGATTTTATTATGATTACAGACACGTAACATACTAACATACATGTACCATTGTTTCTGGAACCCACACCCTTGGGAATCACAACATACAATCCCGTAAACTCTTCAGTTAAATGGAGCAAAATACATTCCAGTAATTTAAATTCAAGTCTGGTCCGTGGACAGGTTTTACATTGATGTATATCGTTTTGAGCTGACTACTGTCAGAACAGTAGTCAACGCTGTACTAGAGTTGTCCCCCTTACCTGCCAGGTGCTGAGGCCAGTCGTGCCCTGAGACACGAGGTGCACGGACTCTTGTAGAGATATCTGATCACCCAGTGGCTGAAACAGTACAGAATGTACAACTACTAGGTGATGAGGTGAGGTGAGGTGAAATTGGGTTTAACGTCGCGTCCAAGATTATTGCACTTATATAGCGATGTGCATGCACGTGTATGTGTGTGTGTGGCTGCTTGTACTAGTCCGGACTGATGCCGATTTATAGTGCTAGCTCATTGAGATACCATGCTGCAATTTAACATGAATACCCCACTCAGACACAGTATATTGACTCCGAGCCGACCAGTCCTTGTTTTAGTCCCTTAATGCCAAGAGCAAGACAGGGTAACAACAAGTACAATCTTTTAACGTCTTTTTGTATGGTGCGGTAGGGGATCAAACCCGGACCTTCCGCTCTCCGGGCGGACGCTCTACCACAAGACCACGGAGGTGGTCACAACTACTAGGAAATGCATTCATCATCCATAACTGGCTTCCACAGAAGAATTGGTTTCGGTGAGATATCGCAACAATGAAATTGCATCACAATGCTTCGCAGGTCATTGTGATGTCATAAGTTACAACGCCATCAGAATCAAATGACATCACTAACTTCTCTGCAATGAACTGGTTAGCTGTACTTTTTACATCGGTTACTATTGTTTACAAATGAAGTCTTGGATGAATGATATTGTACATCTTTGTGCATTTTTTATCACATGTATCAACAATCATTAATAATTTAAACCTCAGTGCCAAACTTTGAAGTTTCAAATCATGTTGATATATTTGATGTCAATTCATATTTAGGTAAGATTCTCTCTATGCCAGTTCAACAAGTAGGTTTCACCTGGAAACTTGTTTATTACAGCTGTGCACTTAATCACTATGTATTATGGCAGGGAGTGATTTTGGTAAACAGTCTATAATATTGCATGTGACGCAGGTCGTACACATTGAGTGAGTGAGTGAGTGAGTATGGTTTTGCTCCGCTTTTAGCAATATTCCAGCAATATCACGGCTGGGGACACCAGAAATGGGTTTCACACATTGTACCAATGTCGGGAATCGAACCCTGGTATTCGGTGTGACGAGCGAACGCGTTAACCACTAGGCTACCCGACCGCCCCTCGTACACATTGAACAGTCTGGTTAAACCAACAAGCAGGGTGTGGTGCTGACAAACCAAGGACCTTAAATCAGCGACAAACTGTCGTCATATCCCAGGATAATAGAATCCTCCTTATCCAAAGGAAAACAATTCTGTATATAATGAATTGCAATTACAATGACAAAATCATTAATTCAGAAAACAGGACAATTGTGTTTGAAATAATAACCTATTTATTTGACAGCACCTATTTAACATGTTTAATTAGTAAATAATAAGGGAGAATAATGTGGACGGAAAACAATAGACGTGGTGTATCATATTCTGTTATTTCAAACAGTCTAAAATGCCATAGTTACAAAATATTCTATTGATTAGCTGCATAGGTACAACTGTGCAAATGTAAAAAAACACACAATTTATCAGTAATCAGTAAATGGTAGCTCTGATATACCAGCGGACCTGTGAAGATCCGGGTTAGAATAGGTCTTCAGCAACCTGTTCTTGTCATCGTATCCCAATTGCGTGGATCGATGCTCATGATATTAATCACTGGATTGTCTTTTCCAGACTCAATTATTTACAGACCGCCATCATATAACTGGAATATTGCCGAGTGCTGGGTTAAACAACAAACAAATAAATAAACATACCAGCGTGTATGTCTTGTAGCAGAGAGTGTCATCCTCCTCTTCCTGCTGCCCCAGCAGGTCCGTGTAGGCTTCGTACACTTCATCACACACCTCTGTGGGGTAGTCCTCCAGCTGCACAAACATACATCCTGGTATCAGCAGCACTAGCTTGACAACTTACACTGAAACCCTGTACATGGAGACCCAACTCTAAACAGTGTCAACAACACCCTCACAAGCTTACAATTGTAATAATAATGATTCTAGATTTCTGTGAAAACGAGAAGCACCGGTCCTTACAAGCCTATACATTAGCAAAGTGTCATGGGGAAAAAAGCCAAAAGGTTTGGAACCAAAACCAAATCCCATGCTCATTTGAAGTTGTTGCCTTGGAATAGCATAAAAAGCCACCAGTTCAGCAATTGCTTGAAGTATATGCAAGGTTTCATAACATATATAAAACCGTTTCTGAGTTATGCTCTTGAAGCAAACCCAACCCTCATTTGAAAAAAATATAACTTAAAACAATAAATAAACAAGGCCATAATTATGTAAAATATTTATTCTTGATCACAGTTATCAAACTTGCATCTTCCCAAGGCAAGGGAGTTAACTGACATTGAAAGTCCAGTTTCCACCCTTCCCGAACTAGGCTGGAATTATGGAGTTATATTTTGGCTGGACTAACGAGTCTATGCATAGTCATTTCAAAATCCTGTAACAAAATCGGCATCCAGTTTGTAAACTGCCGTGCAGATTTTGGTTGATGCAGGATTTGCAAAGCATTGGTACCGCCAACACGGCATCAACAGATCTTTCCCAAAACTTTTCATTTTTTAATGAAGGTGCTCACCTGATTTGGTACACTTCGCAAATAAGGAGACATTATATCACAATATAGATTTTGATTATCTATCAGATTGTCTCGACTGGGCGCCGCCATTTCGTTTGAAACTAATGCAAAGGATACGAGAGGTGGAATCTGATTGATCAATATGAGGGACATAGAAGGAACATAACTCATAATAGCCACTGGTGGCGTACGATCGACACAGAAATCCCAGCCTTGTTCGCCAAGGGTGGAAACTGGACTTTTATAGTCAGTTAACTCCCTTACCCCGGGAAGATGTCAAACTTGTTAACATATTAATCACATGACAATGGTGATGTTGGTGGTTGGTTGATGAAAGGAAATATTTTTTTATCATGAGACCTAAAAAATCCGAGATGATGAGCTTAATGCCAGAGCCACACTGACATAGCTGGAACATTGCCACACACAGAAAGTCAAAATTCCATATTGCTAGTGGCACAAGTGATATACAAGACATCTAGTCATGTTTAGGATATATGAAAGATGACATCATTGAGAGGTGAGATCAAAGGACTTCTGTATGTTCCGAGCTGAGGTGAGGTGAGGTGAAATGGGGACTAACGTTGCGTCCAAGATTATTGCACTTATATAGCGACGTGCATGCACGTGTATATATGTGTGTGTGGCTGCTTGTACTAGTCCGGACTGATGCCGATTTATAGTGCTAGAACACTGAGATACCATGCTGCAGCTGAACATGAATACCCCACTCAGACACGGTATACTGACTCCGAGCCGACCAGTCTTGTTTTAGACCCTTAATGCTGAGCGCCAGACAGGGTAACAACAAGTACCATATTTTAACGTCTTTTGGTATGAAGCGACTGGGGATCGAACCCCGGACCTTCCGCTCTCCGGGCGGACGCTCTACCATTAGACCACGGAGGCGGTCGACTGTTCCGAGCTGAATGTACATGTGGTGAGGAACTGACCCTGTGGATGAGCTGCTTCATGAAGTATCTCCTGTAGCTGAGAGAGGGGGGGTACACCCGACACACTGGATGCAGGATGGTGCTCTGCAGGATGCGTCTCTGTCCTTCAGCATAAGTCACCAAACTGTCTGCATACTCATCCTGAATAAATCACACATTTACCATTAGGATTCCTGAGGTGAAAATACAAAAGACCACAGTAATTCCTCCTATCTGATTTTCCCTGTACTTTTAGTGTAGTATTCTCATTTCTTAAAAAGAGAAATGGCAACAACTCTACTAATCTCTGTTCACATTATTAATTACGGTAAACTATGGTTATGACGAACTCAAATGGACCACTTATTTTAGTTCGTGATAACCATAGTTTGTTATAAGCATATATATACAACATTAATACAGAAATGGTGGGGACCAAATATTAAGTTTGTAATATCTGTCAGTTCATTATAAGCGTGTTCGTTATAAACATATTTTAAGGAATTAACACTTCAATATTTTCAAATGTCCATATAATAATTGCTATTACTATCACCTCTCAAAAAGAGAAACAGCCAAGATTTTACTAATCTTGTGTGTGAATGTAAACACTATTGGTATTCTATGATGAATAATCTAGGATCCACATGACATTGTTTATTGCTGTATGTGTACATGTATTTCGGGAAACAAAAATAAATAAAACAAATTTTTTAAAAAGGGAATCCAAAGAAGACCACTGTTGGCTTCTTAGGCCAGCCATTTTATACATACATGTATTATGGTGTGTGCAGACTTGCGTTGTAATATATTGTAGGCTTTTGAGATAGAAAGTGTTTTTTCTCAATATTGCCTTGTTACATAATTTCACACGTTATAGTACTTATTAAAAACGTTTGTTGATGTCGATACGTAGATACAATAATACTAGCAATCATGATAAATCCATTTGTGTAATTATAGCAAGAACGTCGGCTCCAGTGATGCACTACATAGAGAAGGTGAGTCAACCAACCTTACACTCCCTAACAATTACAGTAAATATTACTGCCATATAAGGTAAGCTTAAAATACATCTCAACCACAGCATTTTTCTATTTATAGAAGAAAATATTATATTCTTGTTTATGTATAATGAGGAAATGAAAAATCTAGAGTGAGTGAGTTTGGTTTCACACGCTTTTAACAGTATTCAAGTTACGTCGCAGCGTGTCAGCTTAATGTGGGAGGAAGTGATACAGGTCTTAGACGTTTACCACTTCGGTGAAATCCACAAGCACGGGTATGGTGCTGACAAACCTAAAAACATAATCGGGCGAACCGTGAAAAATCTAGAAATTGGTAATAAAAATTATTCCTAATTTACAACGAAAAAGTAGTCTTCTCAACATTTGCAAACTATCGTTCAAGATATTAAATTTTGAGTGGTTGTGCACTGAATGAAGTAAAGAGTCTATGTTTCCAAGTGTAACTTGTCATGGCTCCCATGGCTGAAAGCTACAAATACACAACGCCTTTTAGAAAGTGGTCAAAAACGTTATCAGAGGGATACACAATATATGTGATGTAGGCTACCAGTTGTCAGACTTTAACTTTCATTTTGTGGAAGCCTAAGTGGCCGAGTGGGTTAGATTGCTGACTTTGATTGCTGCCGACCCTCACCCTGAGAGTGTTGGTTTGAATCCTGGAATGGACTTAACCCAAAGATGTACAAGAGTTTGTACTTGAATGAGAAAGTTTAATCCCAAATATAACATTTGTTCGTTATTTCATTTCCTTAAATTTAGGGGTAGGTGGATTAACAGTTTTGCGAGCTTACAATTCGATAAACTTTCAGGAGTTTCACAGTTCAGGTCAATAAATGTAAGTTCTAATCTTCATATCTTTACACGAAAAAGGATCGGCATCAGGTGAGGTGAAATAGTATCTAACATCGCTCATCCTTCAAGATGATTGCAATCTTATAAAAATTAGATCGTATTGCAGGCTATCACTAAACAAAGATCTGACGTGTCACAACAGACATCTGAGCAATCAAAACATGTTTTCTGATCATGTCGCCTCAAAAAAGTTACGGGCAGTACAACAGACTCAGTCAAAGTCACTCTTGGTCACTCACCATGCTCACTTCAGTGGGATAAACATTTGAAACAGGAAGTGACTTTCCATACCCCATGGGAGTGCTGCTATGTAATCATCTATTATGTTGGATTTTAAGGACAAATCTTGTTCAGTTTTTAAATTTTGAATCGAGAACTTTGTCGATATGTTTTTCAAAACGTAGTCGGGAAAGGAAGTCACCAGTTGAAACTGATGCCATAAAGTTCAAGAACGCTGCTTCAGACTGGCTAATGTCAACTTCTTGTTTGTCATTTTATTGGTAGATCTAAGTTCACAAAAGGTCATTCAGAAGTGACCTGTAATGGGATGTCCTCAGATTTTTACATAGCGGTAGCAAGCACTAAAAACAGATTTTAATTATATTGAGATCATTGCACACATATCGAGACATGCATGCACTAATTTGTTGTCATGCCTACCATCCGGCAGGGTAACAACAAGTACCATGTTTCAACGTCTTATGGTATGACATGGTCAGGGGTTCAAAACACCAACATTCTGTAATATGGGCAGATACTTTATCCACTACACCATGTAGATGGTTTGAACAGCATCATTACCATCATGGTCGTTGGTGATGCAAGATCAATTTGAAATACAAGAAAGATTGTGCTAGTTCAAGGGACTTTTATTTCGAAAAGAATCTCTTGGACATGTTGGAGGGTGTTAATTCAATAATTAAGTGTTGGGGGTAGGGTGGGAATATTTCTTATAACCTAAGGTTTATTATCCAACCTTAAATCTTGAAGTGCCCTGCTTCTGTATTACTTGCAGTTAATGCAGTTAAGATACCAAAGCCACCTGTCTGAAATGAGTTATGAACTAGTTTCATGCATGGTGTGTCATTACCGTATGTGTCGCAGTTAAAGAGTTGATGATGTGTGTGTGAACTGTAGTCAAGACAACCCATCAACAAGAAACAAAATGTTTGCACTCTACTGAGTATAGGTGCCACAATTAATATGGCAAAGTATCTCTACACTGTTAACTCAAAGTTCATATATTTTTATGTTCCAATGAATCATCTAAGATTTAATATATGGAGACTTATCAACTTGTAGTGTCAGTATACATGGTATTGTATATTTTACAAAAAGTTGCATGCACCTGATATTCCTTGACATTCATGGGCTGAAATGTGTGCAATTGTCATAGTGTTGTTTTCACATCCATCTCAATATTAGGTCTTGGAAAGGCATTTAGAAGTGATACACATAAGGAAGAGAATATATGGCTGCCAACTTCTTTATTATGAGGAAAACAACGTTTGGGAGTATATCCTTACTCCTTCATCACCTGATGAAGGTGTTAGCATATACTCCCAAACGTTGTTTCACCTGATGAAGGAGTCATATACTGCGAAACGTTGTGTTCTTCATAATTAAGAAGTTGACATCCATGTATTCACTTAATAAAGAAGTTGACATCCATATATTCTCTTCCTCATCTCAATATTATCAGCAGTTTGGGAAAATATGTTGTATGTCAAATGATCGTGATTCATTACAATGCCGATTGGGTCGATTTCCAACAAAATAAAACGTTTGACTTAATCATTCCTTCATGATCTGATTATAACTGAATTAGAACTGATCACTTCTTTCTGAGTGTAAGAAACCATCACAAACAGTCAAACTCAATGACACTCAAAGGTGCTCCGAAAAGACAAACACGATTCACGAATATGTCGGCCATGTAATTGACCATATCTCAGCTGTTACTAGTTTTCATCCCTTACTAAAATAACCAGACATGTAACTCGCCCTAAGTTTCATTCTGCGAACTGGCACCATTTCTAGGAATTGTGAGCTAAGTTCTCTGAGCATTTCTTCTCGGCACGGTGCATTCTGATTCTCTTCACAGGACGCGGCCATCTTGGTTAATTAGCTTTGTATCGAGGGCTGTCATTGGTTGGTGACGTGTAGTCGTCGGTTCAATCCAATCAAATTTCCGATACCATAATTCTTCGGTGTGTCGGCGTCTGGTGTTCGTCAAAAACGTGTGCTCTATGTTTTGATCATGTGAGTTTAGATTGAAATTATAGGTACACTGTCACCGAAGAAAACCCACATTCGCTGGTGGTTGTGGTTTATTGTCAGTAACTTCACCCGGCAAACAGTGGTTGTGCGCCGGTGTAAATCTTGAAGATGTAAGTTCAACTAATTTGACCTGTTAACAGCATGTCGTTTTACTTTTTGCTTGTTGAAGCCAGAGCATTCACAACGGAAACACTCAAGTCTCTGTACAGCATAATGCGTGTAAAAAAACTTTTGTATCAGTATGAGTGAGTTTAGATGTTTGATTTAGTATGTTGCATCTATCTTTGACTACGTGTGTCTCTAATCATACAAGGTTTGATGAGAAACTTGTTAGGGTAATTATCTGATCCTTTCTTCAACCTCCGTGGAACAATCTCATCATGCTCATTGAACAAAATATAGCCCCCCAAATCCTTCTCCTAAGTTTTTGAGTGTAAAAAGTATGGCTAACCAGCTTCTTCAGAGGCATAAAACAACAAACCATTCCAAAGATATGTGGATGTATACCATACGTTTTTGGCATGATGATACTTTACAGGGTGCAGGAGCCTAATGTCTTGCTTATCATGACCGGGTGCAGGAGAAAATGGCCCCGTGCTAAAAAGGGCCAAGACAAATTGGAGAAAATGGTCCCACATTTAAGGGAATTGGCCCCAAATTTTTAGAAAATGTCCCCAAATAATGAAGAAACAATACTAACACAATCTGTAGTGACATAATTTCTTATTTTAGACATTTAGTTTACTTATTGATTGGATATTCTGGAATGTCTCAAATGTCACATGGTTTCGAAGTCCATCTTCAACTCTTCCCAACGTAGTGGTCCATCATGTCCATGGATCGCACTGGACTCCCGTCAGCATGGTCAGTATTCGGGAAACTGTCATCTGCCCAGCCACATACTGTTGCCACTACTGGAACCGCTGTCCATATCTGTCACAGAGTTGCGAATGAACTTTCCTTTGCTTGCACCTCTGTTGGAAGTTGCTATGCCCCCCAGTATGTGTCTATGGTATTTTATTTGTTTGTTTGTTTGTTTGTTTGTTTGTTTGTTTGTTTGTTTGTTGTTTAACGCCACACTCAGCAATATTCCAGCTATATGATGGTGGTCTGTAAATGATCGAGTCTGGACCAGACAATCCAGTGATTGATATCATGAGCATCGATCCACACAATTGGGATACAGTGATATGCATCAACCAAGTCAACAAGCCTGACCACCCGATCCTGTTTGTCGCCTCTTACAACAAGCATAGTCGCCTTTTTACGGCAAGCATGGGTTGCTAAAGACCTGTTCTACCACGGATCTTCACAGGCCCTATGGCTTTTTTGGTGACAATGCTTACTACTAATTGAAAAACAAACAATTAATAATGTCAGAGGGAGACAAGGGTCTCATGTAACAATGTATCAACTAAGTTTTATTTGGGGCCATTTTCTCCAACATTTGGTGCCCTTTTTCACTAACATGACTAAACCTTGGGGACATTTTCTCCAAATTGTCTGGGGACATTTTTCCACGGTGACATTTTCTCTATGATCCATCATGACCTCCCTTTCACTGATACTACTTGCTTTCAGTGTTTTAACACTGGGGTCCCTTTAACAATCTTAGGGTAAGTTTGCAGTGCTAGTTGTGCACTTCAACCAATAATGAACACTACAGTATTAATTATCTGGTTCAGCCACACATGTATGCATATCGCTATATAAGTGTGGGTAACTCGGGTACGGGTCTACCTGGATCCTTGGTAAGTCATGTGATATACAATTTGTGCTCCATAATTGACATTTTGTACGGATGAAAACTTGTCAAATACGGACGAATTGCAAATGACAACTGTATCAAATACACAAGCTAACACTACTATACACTTTAATGTAAACAATGTTGTCTTAAACAGAGTTATCTTGGCCTCAAGGCTAATTCTAGCGTGCCTTCTTCTGTTTGAACTACTCTCTTCAAGGGATGGCAACATTACACTCTAACCAAGAATATTTGATTTTACATGAACATTATTTTTGAAAGGGCAAGAAGCCAGAGTCGAAGCAGAGAGCGCAAGAAAGGTGCCACTGAAAAGAAGGAACGTGGAAGAGATAGACAGAAGAGAGCAGCATCTAGCAGTAGTGGAAGTAGCTCGTAAGTTATCCTTTGACTTCAAGTTCAATAATATCATGTATAGGGTTTTCATGAAAGAAAGTAACTTTGGTTTAAATCATAACTTCATATTGAGAACATTATTATTAATTTATGCTGTATCTACATGGTACAATGTACATAGTTTTAAGCTTGAACTCGGTCCTAGTCTTTTCCTTCATACATATTTTCAAATTTGAAACCTGATATTCAGAAAGTTCCAAGCCTTTTATATAGTGTTTATGCCCTATGAAATATGAAAATTCACTCAAGATTGCTGCAAATGAAGTACTGCAATACATATCGTATCGTGAACAAAGTATCACGATTCCTTTCATATTGTGAACAAAGTATTGCAATATGTATAGTATCAGGGATAGTCGAGATGTGTCATCCTTATCAGTTACTATTGATGTTTTCCATCTTTAGCTCATCAGGCTCGAGAAGCAGATCAGGTTCATCATCGTCGTCATCTGGAAGCAGCAGCTCAGGGAGCAGCAGCTCCGGAAGCAGTTCCCGATCAGGGAGTTCCAGCTCAAGTAGGTCATCGTCAAGTAGCAGCTCTGGTAGCAGTCGCAGTCGGAGCAGAGGACGCAAGTCATCGTGAGTCTTGCCTTACTGTTTCACTGAGCCATGTCTTGAGAAGTGATAAGAAGTAATCATGGTAAAGGGTTTCTTGTTGGATGTATTCAACTCAGAACACCCACAATTGGAAGGCTGTTTGTTGCAATACCCACCAGCTATGACAGATTGAATTTTGTGTAGTATATGTGTGAGATAGAAATGAAAAGTTTTAAGTTTTCATTTCTGCTGATTTTACAATTTGATATTATAATTTGATATTACAAGTTGTGAAAGGAAACTATTAATAATTGAATTTCTGTGATTTAGGAATGTCATTCATTGGAAACTCTAATCTGTAATTACAATGGATATAACTCAAAAGGTCTCCTGGTGATTACCAATATGCTTCCTCCAGCACTCATATTACCAAACTTGCTACCAGTGTTGTGACTTTCTTTGGTAGTCAGAAGTTTGCAGAAGAGGAAGGCATGATACTTTATGATATGTTTGCACTTTTTCCTTCTGATTTTAAATATTATTAGAAATGATGCACATGAATTTTTTATGCCTCTAGGTTCAAATATTTTCTAGGCATTAGGGTAGCCTAGTGGTTGAAGCGTTCGCTCATCATGCCGAAGACCCGGGTTCGATTCCCCATCATGGGTACAATGTGTGCAGCCCATTTCTGTGTCCCTTGCCGTGATATTGCTGAAATATTGCTAAAACCGGCATATAACCATACTTACTCACTCTGATATTTTCTTTTGAACTTTTCTCTTCATGTATAATTATAGATCTCCACGCAAACGCAAGCGTAGCCCCACACCCAAGCCTTGCAAAGTTCACATTGGCCGACTGACTCGAAATGTTAACAAGGAACACATTCAGGAGATCTTCTCTGTGTATGGCACCATCAAGAATATTGAGATGCCCACCGAGAGAGTTCACCCATACCACAGGGGCTTCGCCTATGTGGAATATGAAGGCCCTGAGGAGGCAGAGAAGGCTATCAAATACATGGATGGAGGTAAGAGATGTGAAGCTGTATGCAGCTATTACTTCTTGTCAGATGGATACAAATGACCAAATGGTAAAAAAAAATTGTTGTTCAGATGCGCATCTGTTAGCTCTGCCTGGATCAGCTGGTCATGGGTTCAAATCCCAGATTAGCCTCGATTTTGTTCCTTAGTCTCTCAGCACCAGACTCTTGATTACTTGATAACATTATAAGTCTATGTTAAAGTATGACAGTTATGATTGTCGTAGTGCTACGTTCGCTTTGTGAAACAGGTTCCAGATCATATTATTCACAGGCCATGGTTAAGTAGCCAGTGTGTATTGCTAAGTGTGACGTTAAACAACAAATATACATACTTGAAAATGTGTTACACGAACTGATTTCTTTGTAGTAAGTGAATCATTCAAACAAATGTTGATTTCCCTATTGCAGGTCAGATTGATGGACAAGAGGTGACAGCAGCTGCTGTGTTGGCGCCAAGACCGGCGCCACGCCCCCCAGCACGCCGCAGTCCTCCACGTCGACCACCCCCAAGATGGAGGCAGTCACCCCCAAGATACAGAGACAGGAGGAGGTGGGTAGTGTTTAGCTTCAAGGGATGGAACAGTTTGTGCTGTTACAGTTTCTTTATACTATCACTTGACTGCCTCCGTGGTCTAGTGGTAGAGCGTCCGCCCCGGCCGCGTCATACCAAAAGACGTTAAAAGATGGTACTTGTTGTTACCCTGTCTGGCACTCTGCATTAAGGGGCTATACAAGGACTGTTCGGCTCGGAGTCAGTATACTGTGTCCGAGTGGGTTAGTTATGTTAAAGAGATGGTACTTGTTGTTACCCTGTCTGGCGCTTGGCATTATGGGGCTTATGAGTGTGGTATCCATGTTAAACTGCGGCATGGTATCTCAGTGGGCTAGCACTATAAATCAGCATCAGTCTGGACTTGTACAAGCAGCCACACACATACACACACGTGCATGCTCATCGCTATACAAGTGCAATAGTCATGCGATGTTAAACCCCATTTTACCTCACCTCACCTATACTATCTCTTTTGTGGCTGGTCATTGTTTCAGATTGATTTCTACTGTTTGTTCATACTGATCAAACTACCATACACATGGCTCCTTTACATGATTCAAATTGTTAACAATAACCCTTATATCTAGTGGTTATTAGACAAAAAATGATACTGATATTTTGGAAACGGTTATTTATGAAGGTAACTGTTAAATAAATTTCACTATCTGAAAATTACTCACTTAACTATATTGTGATGTTGCGGCTATAGGACATATTTTCCCTCGAGAAGAAAAAGGTTACTTTTAATTTGACTACGTTGGATTTGAAATGGGGCATTTAAATGGAGCATGGGTTCCAAGTGGTCTAAGAGACTACAATTGGCTGTGCAGATTTACCAGGATCCTCTTGTTGTGGGTTCAGATCGGATTATGGTTCTTGGTCTTTTCAGCACCATACCTATTCTCATGGGTTTCACCAAGGTGCTATAAAGTGTCTCCGACCTGTATCAGAGATGGCTTTTATCCCATGTTAAAATGACATGCTGTGATATTACTCAAATAATGTTCAAATGGGCAAGTCCAACTCACTCCGTTTCTATGATATCTCGAGAAAGCTTTTTGCATCATGTAATCAAATGTTGGCTAAGAAGTAAAACAATGAGTTTATTCATCAACAGATCTCCTCCCCCAAGACGACGTTCACCACCAAGACGGCGATCCCGGTCAAGGTCAAGGTCACCTGCAAGACGTAGGCGGTACAGTCGATCCAGTTCCAGCTCATCACGATAGTATAGCCATTTGACATCACTGACTCATTCCTTAAGCATACATTTTTATGTACTGTTTGGTAGTAAACAACGATTTTATCTCTTCTGTCTTTTGGTTTGCATGTATACACATTGTAATGATATTGTGTTTAGGTTCCAACATTTGGCAGTGAAGTCATCTGTTACACTAAGCATGTTACAATCAAATGTTCCTGTGTATACAGTCAAGGTTTTGCGTGATGTAAATTATGTTCCAACAACCAATGTCACCAACATCTAAGTGTTTATCTTGCAATTGATAAAAGAAATTTGTCAGATATTTATTTATACTGAATAAGGAACGATTAGGGTCATGAACTTTTTATTTTGTAGTGAAGACTGAGCACATGATTTCATAAAAATATCCCTAAAAATATTCATAATCCCTAACCTTTTTTTGGTTCCGTATATAATAGTTCCTGTGTCCAAAATTTCTGCTTTGTTGAGACATTTTTAATTTCGATTCATTTTATTCTGGCATTACTTGAATGTCAATGCCTGACCATATTCCTCACAGGTACAATGTTATGTCAGATAGCAGACTAATTGTGTGTGAAACCCATTCATTTGGGGGGAAATTGTCCTTCATTTGTAATCATGTTCATTTTATTCATTAAAGATTTTACAGCAGATATATTTGTGTCCAATTATCTTTTGAACTGAATACAGTTGAATAGGTAGATGGCGTTGCCAAGAATTTATCCATAACTTGTTTGTCACTGGCAAATGGGGATGTACACAGGTCTGGTCTTTGTGCAAGGGAGGTAACTCTGTAATTATTTTTTCCTGTGAGAATTCTGGGTTTGAAAGGTTCACAGCAACCTATGCTGGCCATCAGGAGTGTGTTTCATGCAATCTGGGTGAAGATCTGAGAACACACCCACAAAAGGGTGACATCACATGAACCATACCTTTGTACTTTCTCTCTCTACATCTGAGAAAATTAGCTTTGGTCAAATTTATACAAGTCTTCCTAAAACCTTTCAAGTCCTCCTTTTGGAAACATCTAGGCATCACCAATGCAGTCTAAACTGTGCAAGTGGATAGATAAATATAGAGGTCTAATTCTCATTATATAAACACTTCTGACATCTTTCACGAGTGTTTATAAATGTTTTGCTCATTTCTTAAACAACCCGTGCGATTCCGGGTTAGATTTTGTCCTTGGCAAACTATTCTGGTATCGCTTTTGCAACTTGGTTGATGGCACAGATTGTTGCTCCTGTTAATCACAGAATTCTCTGGATCTGACTTGATTCTATTTTTGTTTCATGTTACCAAGGGACTCAACTCTTTATATACACCTAGAAATTAAGGGCTCCTGAAAGATCTGCTCCGGAAACGAAGACTACCGCCATTTTCAGTCTAAATCAAAGTCGTTGCCATGGAAACTCAAAAAATATAAAAAATTTAAATCAAAAGGCACCAGTTCACCACTAGACCAATCTATGTGCTAAGTTTGATGAAGAAATATAGTATGGTTTTCAAGATCTGCTCCGGAAACAAGGACTACCGCAATTTTCAGTCTAAATCAAATTCGTTGCCATGGAAACACGAAAAAAAATTATTTTTTTAAATCCCAAACTATCAAAAGGCACCAGTTCACAACTAGAACTATCTATGTGCCAAGTTTGGTGAAGAAATATGGTACGGTTTTCAAGATCTGCTCCGGAAACAAAATGTGACGGACGGATGGAAGGACGGCCGGCCGGACGGATGGACAGCACCTATTCCTATATCCCCCTTCCACTTCGTGGCGGGGGATAATAAAGAACAGTGAAATAACCATTTATGAAAATTAAAGTTTCATGATACACATTCATGAAATAGCTGTCACTCTCTAGTACTCATGACATAACTGACTGTCGCCCAATCACACAGACATATGAACATGAAGCATGATACCCTCAAGTATATTCATATTGATGCAAGTAAAGGTATATAAAGTGGCAATTAGCTGATTGTTTAGTCAGCACATGTAACCATGGCACGCGGGAGTCTAACAAAGGCACTAAGGCTAATTATTGTAATGCATGACACAGGTATATCACACAGAGCCATTGGACGTCAACTTGGCTATGACTTTACTGTCATCAGCAGACTCTTTAGAAAATACCGACAGACACATGAAGTAATGGACCATCCACGACCAGGGCCACCCTGAAAGACAACTGTATGGGAAGACAGGGCTCTAGCACGTCTTTTGAGGCAACAACCTATTTGCTATGAGTAGAGCTCTAAAAGAACAATGGCTTCCCAACTAGTCCATGAGCCAGAGAAAATTTGACTACCAAACAGAGGGACAAATTACCAATATGATTTTCAGATAGCTTGATGTCTCAACTGTATAATTTCATGTGATGGACATTTCAGATGCCCAGCTCAATACGGTTTTGGTGGCCATTTTCCAAGATGGCGGCCATTTTTTCACTTTTTCTACAGATTTCAGAAATAAGCTTATAACACAGAATTTATTAACTTCAGACAACTTTTATTTACTGATATTGTTTCAGCACTACATTGCACACATTCTGTTATGCTTTTTGTATGTCATTGAGTTAAACTTTTTGAATTAATGTTGAAATTATATAAAGAAATTACCCTTTTTTAACATTTTACTGACATTGTTTCTTTCCAATGCAACGTTGTTGAGTAATAATTCACACTTTATGATAGATAAAAATTGTCTAATGTATTTTCATATATAAAATACCATTCGGAAGTTAAAACACGATAGTGCATAAACATAAGCAGCCATTTTTCAATATAGTGCACTTTTTCACAGATAATTAAAAAATTAAGAAAGTCGTACATATTGCAACCAAAACTTGTTTTTATATTTCCTAGCTAAATTTCCAAGAATCTAAAGTGTTTAAAGTTAAAATGTACACATTGTGATATTATATTTATATGTGTTTAATAATAACATCAAAATTATACATATAAACAAAATTCCACTTTCATTCCCACCTGACCCTTCTGCAATTAAATGGATCTCTAAGAAACATAGATCAATGTCTGGTACCAACTTAACGTTATATTTTCTTATAAAAAATAACATTTGCAGACAAATATAACGTGTTCATAATTCAAAAGCTACCACAGTCCTTCTACTTCACAAATCTCCTGCTTCTTAAAAATCAGCATCTAGTAATATCAACTCACCATATTAAACAGGAGACTGTTTTCTAGAGTTTCATGCCGTTGACATTAACATTGTAACACAATTTAGCATGAATATGGCCAGTACTTGTAACAGTTTCAAGAAAATGTCTATAAATAATTTCAACAATGAGGATGTCTTATTCCGTCCAAAAACCTGCTATGTGATACACATCCAACTGTCAAATTCAGTCATCTTCATCGCTTGAGTCTTTTGCATCTTGATGTATCTCTTCACCATTGTCATCCATGTTGGAGCAGGGTGACAACTTGCAGGCAGAGGGACATTTAAGATCATTTAATATACATGTGCACTCACGTGGTCGACAAGTACGAGAACATCTGCATGACGCAAGCCAAGGACCACTTCTGGAGCTGGCAAGCCCGTCATCCATTTGATTGCCAGATTTCCTGTCTCATTTATTTCCCAACCATGGCCTGCAGAGGGATCTGGTAAGTCTGGAGATTTTTCAAGGCTCCTCCTCCAAACCGCTGACTGGCACGGAGGGTATGCTGGAAAGGCGCATCTTTACGTGGTGGAAGCTGTCCAGATTCAACATCCCCGCCTCTACCTCGAAATATCTGGTAACGCATTTCATTGACCTTGTTTACCGTTGTGTTGCTGCAATATAGCTGACAGGTAAAGGATTGGATGATCTTAAACACTTCAGGAGAAAGATGCCACTCCAAAAGCCTTTCTGAAAGTTTCATCTTAGAAGCAGTTTTAGAGCCCTCAGCTTGCCGTGACCAGCCAATGCACTCAGTGTAGATAGGAAGTAGTTGATCAGAAGGCTCAATTGTTCGCTGCTTCTCTTTCTTGTCCACATAGCAGACAGCTCATGTTAGACAGGTTTTATTAAAGAACAGTATAATTAATACTGTAAGACACTTTTGTATTGACAGTACCATAGTTGTCTGAGTGTTGTTGTTTTAACTTTATCTTGCCTTATCAATTTTATATAAACACAGATGCATTGTATTTATCCATTAACTGACAACAGACAGTAGTTTCAGATTTTATTTTGGGAATTATATTTTTTGTTGCACAAATTTAGGTCTCATTATAAGTGAGTAATTAAACTTCATATGAAAGAAAATATTGGGTTTTTTTTCTTGCAGGGTTTTAAGTAGATAATGTTTATTTTAACTATGGTAATATCTGCAAAATGTAATTGTTTTTGTATTAAACTGAAATGCAGAGATTTCTCAAACATGGGGTTAGCACTCTGAAATTTGTGTGTAAATTTTGAGAACATTTTGAGCAAGGAAAACAGGCTTTGCAGTGCAAGAAAACAATGTAATTTCTGTGATCACTTATTATTACAAATACAACCAACAGCTGTTATCAATCACAAAATGTTAATGCTATGTAAAGTCATAACACTGAAGTAAACAATTCTTAATGTCCTTGCATAATGAAAAAAAATAAAATAGATTTTACAATATAATTTGATAACAGAGAAATATTTATCACTCAAAAGCATACAAATCGTATATCAAAATGTGTGGAATTTAGTGCCTGACACATTTCATTACACAAAAGTTGTCTAGGAATTGTAAATTCTGTTTTTCATGCTCATTTCTGAAATTTTGTGCAAATTGGAAGAAAATGGCGGCCATCTTGAAAATGGTGGCCAAAATGACATTTAGCTGGACATGTGGGATGTCCATCATGTCATTTCATGTAGTTTAGGCATCAGGCTCTCTGAAAACCACAATGGAAATTTGTCCCTCCATTTGGTAGTCAAACATAAAAATCAGGGGTCTGGCTCATGGACTAAACAGGCATCTGTACACCAGGGAACTGTCCAACAACAGCTAGAATTATTTTGGTTGAAGTCACGAAGGGTCATCAGCCATCCCTTGTTAATTTGCCCATCATTGGCGACCTTGATTGGCTTGGTGTATGACTGGATTCTGAGGACGTGGCGATGGATCTATTGGTCTGAAGAAAGCATATTCTTGCTGCACGTCACATGGCTGGGGGGGGGGGGGGGAGACAGAAATACTTCCAAGGAACATGGTGTACCAACAGTCACGTATGGTGGAGGCTCCATCATGGTGTGGGGTGCAATATCTCATGACTGTAAATTGGACACAGTCAATCCTGTTGCACCATATTTTGACAATCATGCACTTGTTACTCGACCGGTTTATGGACAACAACGCTATAGACCCCATTGTTTGGCATAGGAGGCACACAATTACAAATTGCACTGATTGTTAAATAACAGTTAATGCTCCAGATGTTTCTCCATGTTTGATGACCCCAGACACTGAGATAACAGAAGACACCGTTAAGTGTATGTACAAATTTATTATCTTGATGATCTATGAAAAATGACAATGACATTTACACACATGCATGCACTCAGGGCCATAAGACTCGGTCATAAATTAAAAGAGATATATTCACAGATGAGTGTACATATGTACAAGTCTTGTAGACCAACATACATTAATCTGCAAATGTAAAATTGCAAACCTGCACAGGATCACTTCACTGAGTAATAAATAATACAAATGTAACAGGAGGACAAAATGTCAAGAACATAATAGACAGAATAAAGTTCATTCAGAGACATCTGAAATTACAGTTCTTTTTCTTGAGGTAATTAACAACTGCATGCATCTCCAACCCCATCACTTGTAAAGAACAATGCTCGCTGAGAATGACATACTGGCTGGAAAGCTGGTGTTGTGATACAAACTTTTTCCTGACAGATTATGAAAATGACATTGGATTCATAAAAATTGTTTTATTGATGAAACTAAATTTGCATGAAGTGATTGTAATGAATGTATGGAAATATTTAACAGCACTATTAAACCACGCGTGCACCCCAATGACCTTGGATCATGTGTTTATTTCAACTATGATGCATTTTGGAATTCTTAACTTTAGTTTGATAATGAATGAGTAAATCCCTGATCATAATCTTTACTGAGACAAGCTGTATCATGATCTTAATGATTGAGGTATATAAAATTGAGAGCACTGTTCTAAGCAGGTGAAATGGTAAGTACATGCGGTCTCTTGAATGAAGAAAAAACAGACTTCTCAGTAGACACAACTGTATTTGAGCACACAATGAATAAATGGCAACATATAACGTTTTTATCAGTATGTCACATGTACAACCCATGCACATATACAGTGTATGCTCAAATACAGCCAAATTAGGTTTTCATTTGCAAGACACGCAAAGTCAAGATTAGAGACATCCCCACATGACTTCCTGGTCAGCAGGCAAACTAAAATATGACCCTTCAGACAGATCGAGCCAGGGCACAACGTCGTCCGTCTTGAGGCCCCAGACATTCACACAGGGCAAACTGCCCCACCCGAGACATGCACCCACACGGTCGCTGTACGGCCCCATCACATGAAAAGGAGGGCTGGCATTGATGCAGTACTGAGATAGCGGACTCGGTCCACAATATGTCTGTTAAGCACATCACAAGCGCTTCAACACTTTTTTCTTTTCCTTTTTCTTCTTGTCTAAGAGCTTCTTGTCACCAGCATGTTTCTTTGCCATTGGACCATCAGTAAGTTTGTCTTCCTTTGGATTATATGCATCGGCTGTCATGAGTCTGAATGAAATAAGCACATTTTTTACATTTGAAAAATGAAATTATTAGGCTTAAAAAAATACAAGAATTGGTTCTCAGGCAATGGCTTTTGAAAATATAGGGCGGGCAGTGTGTTGTTTTTTTGGTGGGGGGTTTGTTGTTATTTGTTGTTGGTTGTTGTTTTTGTTTGGGTTTTTTTTTTTGGGGGGGGGGGGGGGGGGGAATGGACTCCCTACATAAATGTATTCCTTGATGAGTAAAATACTTGAATACAGTTTTTGACTACCATTGGACATGTTGGACTTGTAATATTTAAGGATTTTTGGGGTTGTTTTTAAAAATGGAAATGAAAACTAAACGTGCGGCGAACTTTAGGATGATGCAGGCGGTGCCTGAGAACCAAGACTATTATATTGTTTTTAGCCTTAGCAACATTTTTAGTCTGTAACTTAATGCACTTCAGTAATACTTTACCTAATTAACAGCAGCCTGTATATAATCGAGTCTGTTTCAGACTATCCAATGGTTGATAGTATGAGCAACACCCCACATGGGTGGGTATTACATATAATCAAGTCAGCCTGACCATTTTGTCACCTCTTACTACAAGTGCAGGTTATTGGTGTCCTTTTCTAACCCGGAATCCCCACGACAGTTGGAAATAGTACATAGTCACTGGCTTTCAATAACAATCGAAAGTTATTAATAAGTTTGTTTGTTTAACACCGCAATCAGCAATATTCCAGCTATATGACGGTGGTCTGTAAATTATCGAGTCTGGACCAGACAATCCACTGTTTGACATCATGAGAATCAATCCACGCAATTGGGATTCGATGACCTGCATCAACCAAGTCAGTGAGCCTGACCACCCAATCTTGTTAGTTGCCTCTTATGACAAGCATAGTGGCCTTTTAGGGCAAGAAATGGTTGCTGAAGACCTATTCTACCCTGGATCTTGTGTGAGTGCTTTTTCATCATTTTATTGGAGCAGTGTGCCTCATTGGACAACAGTATTCAATCTGTAGTTAAAGGTGTGGTCCTCTGCATATGTTGAGTAGTACATAGAGATTATTATATGAGCATGTATGTCATATTAATTTGCAAAAAAGTGTCAGAAATTTTTGTATTTCCAGAGGGAGAGTAAAACTTCATTTCTTACACAAGTTTTGTTAAATCAGTTTGTACATTGCATAATAATTTCTTTATTAGTAATATTACCCATTATTTCTTAATTCTTTTGAGCTCCCCTTTAGAAAAATGCACTGATCACGACTGCTGTCTTAGAAAACCACAATTGTCGAATGTCGTCAACAATCTTCAGCTATGACATCGTTTCTAGTGTGGCATCATCATCCAATTTTTGGTCACAATAAGATTCGATGGACATAACAATGCCATGCAGTCATGCACATACAATTTTTATGTACTCGGTTATTTCTAACCTTATGGGTAATAAATGACGATGTTACTCACTTCGGAGGTTTTGCATGTATTTCTGTGAACATTTTCGCTCGATGAGAGTAGTCTTCATATTGTTCCAGCAGCAGCTTGCCTGCCTCCTCGTTGAGGGCAGACTCCGGATTTGGCACTATCAGCAAACACTTTATTGTCTGAGGATAGGAATGGCAGATTTTACATGACCGTCAACATGGAATAACGAGTGAGTGAGTGAGTGAGTTGGGTTTAACGCCACTTTTAACAGTATTCCAGTTATATCGCGGCATGTCAGCTTAATGTGGGAGGAAAGCCCGAGGTGATGCAGGTCTGAGACGTTTACCACTTCGGTGAAACCCACAAGCACGGGTATGGTGCTGACAAACCTAGAAACATAATCGGGGCGAACAGGGATTCGAACCCACAATTATAGGTTTCTGGCGTGCCCAAGGAACGCAACTCTGCACAGGGAATCGCGGCGCCTTAGACGACTGGGCCACCCATGCCCCCTGGAATAACGAAGCCTAACTGGGACAATAGCAGTGCCTTGATCTGCAAACTAGGGCAGGAAGTCTTATCAACTGAGAAAGATGTGGAAGGACAGGTTCAGGGTTGTAGGTAGAGCTGGGACGAGTCCAAATTTACTACCCGGGTACCCACCTCCTATTTCCGGACCCGACCCTACCCAGATACCTGATGTAGGTCTCAAGAGGTAGGTACAAACTGTCCGATTGAGAAATGTTTGACCGTAGCCCTGGCAAAATGTGTTTAAATACATGTATAAAACGATCTGGTGTATACACTGAAGTTGACTGAAGTTTTAGTTTTATTCAAACATATAAAAGTCAGAAGGAATGGGCGAAGTAGTCAGGAAGAACTGCAAACATTAGTGACTTGTAGTTTAAACATACAGTCCTACATATTTTTGTCTTGAAACAACATATCACGTGACTGACCACAGGTCCGGGTAGTCCTGTGGGTACGCGGGTCCTACTCATTACCCACCCGACCCAAATACCCCAGTTACCCGCCCCAGCCCTAGTTGTAGGTTCAAATGTTTCTGGAACACCAAGGTAACTTTTTTTATGCCCAACCGCTCACTACTCAATCCTTATCACTCGACTGACAACAAGCATGGGGGTTATATCATTATACATGTCTGTCAAATATGGCACATGTAGCACACAGCCATGATGACCACCAGCCAGTTGTATTCAGCACATTCTCACCAGTAACACATGCTTGAGTCCCAGCTCTGCTTTCCAGTCTTTCTTTAGTGTGTTCACACAAATCTCTCCATTTGTTGCAACATTTGGATGGAAAATCTTGGTGAGAAAATAGGCTTTAGGTGGCTCTGATGGGAAATTTTTGCCCAACACAAGCTTCATGCGGAACACACCACCAGCGTACGGAGTTCCAGCTGCAAGTAGATAGGAGTGAGCACAGGGTTAGAAATAAACACTATCCAGCTAGCCTGGGGCTAGTACAAATTCCTGCGGGCTTGTACAAATTTACAAATTTCCCTATTGTTTTAACATTACAAGGGCATTTTATCTTTACCCGGGCTAGTAAAGCTTTTCAGTTAGTTATAACCCTGGAGGCTTGTGAACAACAGAATATATCTGCTATGTTTGTTTGGTGTTTAGCGCTGCACTCAGCAATATTTCAGCTATATGGCGGTGGTCTGTAAATAATCAAGTCTGGACCAGACAATCCAGTGATTGACATCATGAGCATCGATCTATGCAATTAGAATACTATGACATGCATCAACCAAGTCAGCAAGACAGACCACCCGATCTCTTTAGTCGCCTCTTACAACAAGCATTGGTTGTTGAAGACCTATTCAAACCTGGATCGTCATGTCGCCTGCTGTCAGTCACACATTAACCTGGTCAGTAATGAGAGAATAACCAACAAACTCAGTGGAATTATCTGTCTTGAGTGAATGAATAGTGTACATGATGTTTAGCAATATTCCAGCAATATCACGGCGGGGGACACCAGAAATAGGCTTCACACATTGTACCCATGTCGGGAAAAGAACCCGGGTCTTTCTGCGTGACAAGCAAACGCTTTAACCACTAGGCTACCTGACCGCCCCTGTACATGGTGTAAGTCCCGACCTTTTTGGCGAGGAACTTACAACATGTATTCACGAGGGACAAATTACTGTAATTCTGAGTTTTGATAGGTTATTCTGTATAGTACTTATTGACATTTTATGAGAGAAAATGAAGAAAAAGTATGACATGTCAGAAGGCAGCCTATTGTTCAGATGACGTAATGTAATCAATTTGTAATGTCATGGACAATGGAGGACGTCATATCGTATTTTGCCCAAAAGTGAGAATCTCTAAATATGCACTCTCAAATATAGGAAAGTTATTCCACATGATCATTCCACCGTTTCATATGAGTTATATTCACATGTGGACCAGACAAACTCTGGTCAATGACACACAATTAGCCAAATGAAGTCACACACTGGGACGACACAATGCTTGAACATGCTCGCAATACAAGCACCTGATGTAGGGTCCTATTCTGCCAATAGGTGAACTTGCAATAGAAGATTCCACCAGCAGAGCAAAGTACATGACACAGAGGTAACATATTTCACTGAAACTTAAGCTGACATGTGATCCTATGTAAAATGCAAAGTTTTCTCTCTGTGTGTACATGATACAGTGTATGAGAAGATAGGTGGGCATGTTATCGTTATAGTTGTTAAGAGTTTCTTATAAACATTTTAAATTTCTCTCTGGTACCATGACTTTCAAGCATTCACCTGGTCCTTCAATGATGGCTTTGATGTCTGTGATATCCTCTTCATTTAAAAACACTTTTATTCCTTCTGGGGGTTTGGTAGCTAGATCACTTAATTCTTTGGACACCTGTCGAATTACTTGTGGGGACAGATTCTCTACGTTTGATCTCTGAAATGAACATGGAAATCAAGTCTGAAATCACAGATGAATACATGGCACATCAAAGTGAGATGAGTGTTGTCAAATCAATATCCACATAACCCTATGTCACTGAGCAGCTAAGTAAAATCTACATATTTTTTAAATTTGTATACTTATCCTGCATTACTCCTTAATGCATCTACTGCTTACCTTTGACAAAAAGACAGCACCTAGCGATGGTGCTCATTGAAGAGGTGAGGTGAAATTGGGTTTAACATCGCGTCCAAGATTATTGCACTTATATAGCCACGTGCATGCACGTGTATGTGTGTGTGTGGCTGCTTGTACTAGTCTGGACTGATGCCGATTTATAGTGCTAGCTCATTGAGATACCATGCCGCAGTTTAACATGAATACCCCACTCAGACACAGTATACTGACTCCGAGCCGACTAGTCCTTGTTTTAGCCCCTTAATGCCGAGCGCCAGACAGGGTAACAACAAGTACCATCTTTTAACGTCTTTTGGTATGACTCGGCCAGGATTTCGAACACCAGACCTTCCGCTCTCCGGGCGGACGCTCTACCACTAGACCACGGAGGCGGCCACCTTCAGATGTAATCCTCAATATGGATAAACCCTTCATATGACCCACGTGTCAAGGACTGATCGGTATTAATCGCTCAATGGAGAGAAACGAGAATTGAGGATAAGTCAAGGTAAAATACAGTAAGAAGAAAATAGTGTGAGCTAGAATCTAAAAACTGAATTACCGGGCCAAGGCTGACAGCCTGATGATCTCCCTATCGGTCGTGTCAACAAGACTGTGCTATTTGGGTAAGACTGGCTCCGGACAGGAGGAGTTCATAATTTGTGTTAGGGGTTGGTTACCTTCTGGGCTATAACCACAGGGCCAAAGCTACAAACACCTTTGACGTCTTAAAGTGCCACATCTCTAAGACAGTGGCTAGCGAAGACAGTGTCAGACCTCCAAAAACATCTTTCCGTGATTGCTCTCATAGAAAAGTTCCTATGATAATGTAGAGCCATGGTTGAGGCCACCGCTTTGATCTCGTGAAGATTGTTTGCTCTCAGAGGATCAAGATTAGCAATCTTGTATGCCTGAAGCATTCCAGCAAATTGAGACTTCCGCCTGTATCCCCTCACCTCAAAGATGTATATAAAAGGACTGAGCGGCAATGCTTACATATACATGTTTCTATAACTTTTGGAGGGTGGATACGGGCAGAAGTCTTTCCAAGACCCCTTCAATGTGCTCAACTCAATCAAGTTTAGAAAATCTGAGTCAAAAGAAATAACAGTGGCTTCAGAACTTCTGAAGACGGTCAAAAATAGTATTTTACAATTCACTGTCATATTTTCTTACATAGCCTCCTAATACTGTGTACTTGTATCATTTTGTATTGATACATATCTACATGATACCTTAGTCACATTGTAGCAAAAAGTATCACAATAACTGAGCCTTAGATAGTTACACCCCTACAGAGAGAGCTTCAATCAAAGTACACATAACATTAATTTAAGCATAATGAAATTCTATCTTTTACTTTTTTGAAGATGATGCTATACAGTACTTATTGGTTTAAATTAGTGTTGGTTACTATATCCCCTCATTTGCTTATTTTGCGAAAATAGAGTAACAAATCCATATCGACAAAAGTAGTGAGTGAGTGAGCAGGTGAGTGAGTTGGGTTTAACACCGCTTTTAACAGTATTCCAGTTATATCACGGCGTGTCAGCTTAATGTGGGAGGAAAGCCCAAAGTGATGCAGGTCTCAGACGTTTACCACTTCGGTGAAACCCACGAGCATTGGTATGGTGCTGACAAACCTAGAAACATAATCAGGGCGAACCGGGATTTGAACCCACAATCATAGGTTTCTGGCGTGGCCAGGTGACGCAACTCTGCAAAGCAAATCACGGCGCCTTAGATGACTGGGACATCCGTGCCCCCTTGACAAAAGTAAATAACTGTGTCTGTTACAGATAAAAATACAGATCAAATTTGTCAAATTGACAAATGCAATACTGACAAGGTATTATAAATATATTTATTGCAAGAGTAACCAAAATACTGAGATGGGTGAAAATCATTTTTGTTGCACAATGATATGTTTGTTTTTTATCTCTTCGAAGTAAATGATGTGGTCATTAAACTAAATCTTCGGAACAAAGGTTAAACAATGTGATGGCTATTTCCTGGATACTATATGAGAAAATCACACGCGATAGTATTGACTGGGTTGCTAAAAGACCTACAATAGGAAATACAATTCAAGTTGTAAATCTTGTGAACTTTTATCCCAAAATGTTTAGTTATATCTGTCATCAGTGTTTGAACTGTGTCTGTTCCCTGCTGCTTGATCTGACATCACTCATTGAGCGTGGTTTTTTATCAGCCCTCCTTTTTGTTAATTTTCTTAGCACAGTTATAGAAATTGCTTTTCAAATATGCTTGCTATTGCTCCTTGCTGTACAAGAGCTTCAAACAAAGTGGTGGGGCAGATAGTGTCGAGTATAATTCTGCATGGTAATTAGCATGGGGGACAAGGATTATTTCCTGATCTCTTGTCATATTTCCTACAAAATATTACAAGATTGTAAGGGGGAAATTATTCAGTCAGTTGAAACATTATACTCAAAGGCCCAACAGACCATGACTAGCCGATGACAATGCATATGATTATATAGCAGACTATATTCACATTTGCGTAGTGCAGTGATGTATTGCAGGCCATACAGAAAATACGAAGTGAAAGATATAAAAATTATAATTTGAATTTCACTTTTTGTCAATAAATAACAAGTCCAAACACATAGATACCCTGTGTCTTCAAAGCGAGCATCAAATTGCGCAATTGTCTGCTTTTCGTGACTACCACGTAGATAAAGTTGTTAGGTTAGTACATTTGTCTAAAATTATAAATATATATGACTAAAAATAACGATAATTAAGTAAATTACTTTATCACAAATTTGGTCGCTCAGCTGTGCGAAATGAACATCCTCAGTTGAACAAAACGCAGAATATATCATGTTGGTTATCAACAATATTTCCATTCCAAAATCATTACTGATGACGAGAACAGATAGAAAAGTAACTTAGATACTTACACTCGACATATTTACACACTAACTGAAGTAGAAAGTAGTAATCTAGAAAATAATTTGGCAATCCTAGGCGATCACCTTCTCTGTTATTGCACTGTAAACGTTGAAGTAGGCCATATATGAATTTTAACCAATCACACCGATGTTTACAGACGTGACCTAGTTTATCAGCCAATCCATACCGTGATAAGAAATTGTTAACAGAAATGCTTAGTCTTCGAATTAATAAGGTCGCATTATTTTATCAAAGGATTAAAAAATATCATTATTATTTATTTAAAATGTGTTTTAGTAACAAAGAAATAAAAATAGTTTGATAAGAAAAGTCTCGGAAATTAAAGATCCTGCGAGATCATAACAAAGAAGTAAAATGGCGGATAGCACTGAATCTCGGCCTCAGGACGATGTGGGTATATCTTTTTTTAAATGTAATGTGTTCACAATTACTGTGCAGAATATTGCATGGATGTGAATGAACCTTGAAAGGACCCGATCGTGCCAAGTAAATGTGATGAAGGACTCCTGTTAATTGTAGGAACGTGAAAGAAGTAGAATAAATAAAGCTGTCAAATCAAATCACAGGATATGTCGTCTCCGCCTAATCGGGCGGCGCATTCCAAAATAGAGTAGGGCTCAGCTATTTCTCACCGCAATCACAGCTAGATGAGCAATCACGTAAAGCCAACTGAACAGAATGAGGCTTGTGATTCTAGAAACTGAAAGTGCTTTGTGTTTGTCAGTATATTTCGTGCAGAAACTGCTGAAAGCGCATTAATCCCAATAGGCTTAATAATTTTCTTAATATATCACCATGTTCTGGCGGTATGTGTTTTCACTGTAATCAGTAAATGTACAAATGTTTTCTTTTATCCTTATAGTCAACCAGGGTTGTAGTACTCTATGTATTAAGTTACGTTTTCTAAATTAGTAAGTACAACCCCGACACAAGTAGCCATTGTAGTTTCTATTTATAGATAAGGGGAAAAACACATGTCTTGAACTTCGCACTTTGTCAGGGAAAAAAAGAAGACAATCGTTTGATGATGTAAAACATATTTGTCATCAAACGATCTTCCTTTTCATATATATATTTGGAAATTCTGGTGCATTGCAGTCACCTACAATAACAACTTTATATTGCAAAATCAAAAGTGTGAAAGACGTTTGTTTTCAATAATTATGCAAAAATGACCATGAAATATGATAGCAATATGGATGATAGTGACAATAAGCTCTGCCTTTAGTGGACATGAAATTCTAATCTCTTTTCCTGTCACCTTTTTTCATATCTATATAATCATTATCATTATAATTTTTCTAACTTGTCTAAAGACACATAAATTTACATTGATTGACAAACACTTTATTGATCTGCTGAGTCTTGTTTTTATGCTTTTCTTATCTAGCAGTAACGGATTGCCTTATAATAAACATAGTCTGCTATTACAATCAAGGCCCTTATTACAACAGCTAGCAAATGGGCACATGAGCATAAAGAGAAGCCTATCCATCAACGACCTTGATGAACACTGGCCCAGTCACATAAGGTGCCCCAACTTGCCGTGTAGAGTTGCATCCCCAATCACATGCTTATGAGTGCCACAACCAGTGGATTGTAGGTGCCAATCCCGTTTTTTGCCCTGATGGATTACTGATGCTTGTGGATTTCACAAAAGTTGTAAACGTCTAAGACCTGCATCACTTCAGACTTCCATACTTCAAATACTTACATGCTGTAATATAAATATAAATTTTTACTTATCCTGCATTACTCGTTAATGCATTTACTGCTTACCTTATGACAAACAAGACAGCGCCTCGCAATGGTCCTGGGTTTAAAAAAGAAATGCTGTTTCCAACACAAGTCCACTTTTTACACATAACTGCAGCGATGGTCTTGTATAATGTGGACTTGAGTCAAAAACAGCATTTCTTTTCTTAACCCAGGACCCTTGCAAGGCGCTGTCTTCTTTGTCGTAAGGTAAACAGTAAATGCTTAAAGGAGTAATGCAGGATAAGTAGACAATTGTACAAAATATTTAGATTTTACTAATACTGTTTAAAGAGGATTAATCTAAACACACTCACTGTTGTAGACTAACATCTAATCTCTGAAATGAACATATCGTACATAAAAAAACAGTTGTTCAGTTATCTTAATAAAAATATAATAAAAAGGAGCCGAGTGACTCTCTCCAGTGATCTAGACTTGCCAAACATTATAGACTTGCATGGGCTGTATTTGATATATATTTGTATCAGGGTCTGTAAGACAGACTATCACTGTTGTAAAGGTTTGCATTAAACATGTGGACACTAAGTCACAGCCAGAGATCAGGAAATAATAGTGAGCACATTTTGCGACTGGGACAGCCCATCATGCAAGAAGTGTGCTCTCAACATGCTGTAGGTAACATGTATGTGTATATAGGACAAATGACATTTTTCTTGGTTTAACTATTAATCACAAAGGACCAAGACAAAAAACAAGTTTTTGCTAACGTTGATATAGGTACACATGGTTACAGGAAGTTCATGTTCGTAATGACAGACAACTAACTTCTGATTGATCAAAAATAGAACTTGTGAATAGTGACTAGAAGCACTTTCTGACTGAATATCATACAAAGTGAAACTCAACTTGCTTGTTGCCTCATTGATGCGAAGTCATCACTGGGTCGGAGTGTGCCAACGTTCCTAAACAAACAGCCTTGTTTTAGCATCACCAATCTTACACATATGTCACATCAGAGCTCCAGTTAACTTTTTGAGCAATTGAGTTTTTACTCCAGGGTTTGTATTTTAATTGAGTTGTTACATTTTCCATTGGGTAACCATTGTAACCAATATTTTTCACTTATCTATTCATCACTCTATTGGGTTTTTCCCAAAATTAGTGAAAATTTTAAGATTTAATCAAATGAAATAATGTTTCAGATGTATATAACTGTTGTAAATATATAGGATTGACTCGGAAAGAAATTTAGCTCGTAAATGTGTTTTGGTTATAAGCTCCTTTGTACGCATGCTGAAAAAGCTTCATTGGGTATTCACACAAGCTGTTTTTATAATTTGAGTTTTTCATTTAATGCATGCCTTAATGCATGCCTTTCTCTGTATGCAAGTTTATTGAAAGTAATTAGGTTTTGAATATTTTAGGGGGCTATTTTACGCAAATACTCTGCTTATCTGTAGCTCTGTACATTCTAAGAGGCTTTACTAAAAGATCAAAGGCCCCGACTGTACTTTAGCCTGTGATAAAGTACACTTTTTGAGTTACGTCATAATGGACTGACATCATGGCGCTGTTCGAGTCACCTCCCCCGTGATCTAATATATCCTTGGTAAAATCGTTCTTTCATTTATCATTACTGTCAAGCAAGATTGTGGTTCCACATCAATTTTCGGTGAAATAGTTTCTTTAAACTTGTCGAAGATTTGAATATTATTATGTAGGAAGAAATACGGCAAGATTATTTCAACCATCTCCCATGTCAAGGCTCATCACAAACATATTCAAACCACTGTGTCCATGCCATAGCAGTCACAAAATTGTGTGAGGCAGGTGTTGGTGCCTTCGAGTTATGTCTATCTTTGGAAGAAGGAATGATCAATCCTTAAAAAAGTTTCTTAACCACATGTACACCTGTTGCTCAGCGTCCAGCATTTAGCAATAAACTGCTGTCAGACAAAACAGCCGCTACATGCTCTTCCTCCCCCATGAGATCGAAGATCCGGGGTAGAATAGGTGGTCAGCAACCGTAATAGGCGACTATGCTTGTCGTAAGAGGGACTAACAGGGTCGGGTGGTCAGGCTCTCTGAATTGGTTGATGCATGTCATCGTATCCCAATTGCGTGGATCGATGATCATGATGTCAATAACTGGATTGTCTGGTCCAGACTCGATTATTTACAGACCGCCATCATATAGCTGGAATATTGCTGAGTGCGGCGTTAAACAACAAACAAACAATCAATCTTCCCCCATGCTTGTCCCACAGTGACGCCATTTCATGCCCCCAGCCATGGATTCATGTGGATTATGGTATCATGTAGCACAACAAACTCGGTAATGCCTTGCAGTTGCTGCGGTCTGCTAATATTAGTGGTGGAAACAAGGTTACAACTTGTACGACAGAAAACATCTCAACACACAAAAACCAGCCACACCAAACTTTGGCTATGTTTACATTTCTTAGCTCGGCCCCATAGTGCATTTGTGGAATGTTTAAAGTAATGTGATTACATTGAAGCAAAATAATGTAAAAGCTTAACTTTAAAAATCCTACTTCTGGCAGCATGGGATTATGGATAAGCACACACCATGGTTTTCCCTGGCCTCTTAAAACTGGGGGTCATAATGACTCCTTAGCTGTAATACAGGGAGTCATATGTCTTTCGAAGGGGGTCATTTTAACAAAATACTAATTGATGTTAGATTTCGTAATGATTTTAATTTATAATTTAAAGCTTAATATCTTAATATCAAGCTGTTTAAGTCATGTTTTAAGTATTTATCTACTCCCTACACAGTTGCTAATCTAATTACATGTAATTTGTAATGTCCAATATTTGTTATTATATTTGCAGATAACCGATTGATATGGACTGATAAGGGAACTTCTATATAATATTATAACTCTTTACATGATGTGGCGTAACCTATTCTTGACAGTGACTGACATGAAAAACAACTGTCCCGCTAGGCAACTATTGAAACTTAATTCTGATTGGCTGCAACTAAGAGCTTGCCATTTGGGCTGTTCCATTTTTAGAAATTAGGTTTTCCAACATCAGACAAAGCTGATATCGGTCATATTTTATTGTCAAGATATATGTCCGTTTCAAATTTTAATGTTCCGACAGTATAGTGCAATTAATGGATTTTGACAGTCTGAAACATATATCTGTGATTTCTTCTAATTGTCTATGGTGTTGTATTTGCAGAGCCCTCGTCCCAGCCCCCACAATGAGTTGGAGGAGCTTAAGAAGGACCTGGAGGGCTGGAGAGAGGTGCTTCTACCCATGACCAGGCTCCTCAACTGGGACAAGCCATACCACCCTGCTATTATACTGGGCCTATCCACAATTATTTTCGCGTAAGAATATTCCTGCAAAAATGCACCTTCATCCAATTCTTGAAAATGCGTAATTTAGCTTTGTTTTCTATATGTATAATAAGTGAGTGAGCAAGTATGGTTTTACGCCGCTTTTAGCAATATTCCAGCAATATCATGGCAGGGGACACCAGAAATGGGCTTCACACATTGTACCCATGTCGGGAATCGAACCCGGGTCTTCGGCTTGACGAGCGAATGCTTTAACCACTAGGCTACCCAACTGCCCCATATGTATGATGAAGTGATTAGAGTTTGAATCAGAGTGTGTATCAGAGTGGGTGTTTCTTTTTAATTTTAACATGTTCAGGACATCCTGACAATTATTGCTGCTTGAAGCAAAAAGAGTGTAAAACAAACCCTAATCAGATATAAACTTGGCTGATATAAGCATCCTTGCTTGACCATGTTGTTGCCCAGGACATAGAGAAATGAGACTTGGGTGATTCCTTGGCTTTATTTTCTTTCAGACTAATCTGGTACTTTGAGCCATCGGTACTGACTACCTTTTCACTGTTTGGCCTGATCATCAGTTTGATTGACTTCCTCGTTCCAATCGTTGGTCCAACCCTGTTTGCTTCTGGCTCCTGGTGAGATATAAACAATCACTGTGTTACCATGGTTACATAACAAGGGAGGCAGACATGATCATATCATTGATCATTGCACTATTTTTGGAATAAGAAAATTTTGGAAAATATGAGAAAGTATTAAATATTTGTATAGAATCTGCCAATTCTTTCACTGCTGCGTACATTTCAGTGAGAGTAAAACCCCTGCTGATTGGTCAGATTTTTTATTGTTGGAAGTCCTGGCACTGTATCACGTTGCAATTTTTAAACTTATCCTATCTCACACTATGGATTCCTCTTTCTTTTTCGACCCCGACATAGAAACATTCTTGAACCAAGTTTCCAACTTCATGCATAGTATGACCCCTTTTCAACCAGTCATTTTTACAATACATCATAATGATTTTTAAATACTACCCCAGAGCGTCTGATATTAATATTCTAAGATCATATTTTAGGTGTCCTGTAAAATAAAAAGATAGTTTAAGACAGAATGATATTATTGTCTTGCAGAATCCTTTTCGGTACTATGGTCTAATATTAGCACTCTTCAACTATGGATAAACAAATATGTTTGTCTCCCAGTACTTGAAGTAAAATTGACAAGTTTCCACTGTATCTGTCCTGACACGTGTTTCTCCCTCTTCAGGACAGTGGTGCAGCAGCAGCAGTATGAGCAGATCTGTTTGCGTTTGATGCATGCCCGCGACCACTTCGTCAACTTCAAGAACACCATGGGCACACTGAAGGTCGAGAAACCAAAAGTGGTGAGTTGATATCAACCATGCAACAATCAGTACTAGTGGAACGAGGATGATAAAGGCCTCAACTATGAAACAAGGTTATTTGTGTGGGATTTATTGATATTTTCTGTTAACTTCATGAGTATGAATTACCTTAGCCTGTCTCATACCAATAGAACTTCCAAAGTGTTCGGGTAATTTGTTTTTTAGAACAGAGATCTAGATAAGCAATGTATTTGCGTAACAAAAAACCCCACCCCACCCCCAAATATTCAAAACCTAATTACTTTCAATTAACTTAGCAATATTCCAGCTATATGATGGCGCTCTGTAAATAATCGAGTCTGGACAAGTCGATCCAGTGATTGACATCATGAACATTGATCCATGCAATTGGGATACAATGACATGCATCAACCAAGTCAGCGAGTCTGACCATCTGATCCTGTTAGTCGCCTCTTACAACAAGCATAGTGGCCTTTTAAATCAAGCATGGGTTGCTGAAGACCTATTTTACCCCTGGATCTTCACAGGTCTTATTACCAAATGTCCTCTTAAGTTATCAACATTAGTTGAACGCAGACATATTGTGTATGAAATAAATCATACTTTTGTTCATACTACTGTTGCGTACAGTTGTTTTGATTCCTTCAGTTTTGCTGGGGCAGTGGGGTAGCCAAGTAGTTAAAGTCTTCACTCATCACGTTGAAGCCCCGGGTTTGATTCCCACATAGATACAATATGTGAAGCCTGTCTATCATGTCCCGCACGGTGCTGGAATATTGCTAAAAGTGGCATAAAGCCTACTCACACTCATTCACTCTAAGGTTTTGTTAGTGGCTTGCTGGTGGTTGGAAGTATATGATCCGTGAGTTGTATAGGACCATGACTGTAGCATCTGTCTTCTTCCAGTACTTCATCCTGGTCATGGGGATCCTGGTTGTGTTTGCCTGGGTTGGAAGTCTTTTCGATAACCTCTTCCTCACATACTTCCTCGGTAAGTTGACACTTTCCATTCTTTGTCATGAAGCTAATTATTTTGTTTCAAGAAATAGAAAACACGACGTGTTGTTTTATCAACTTTTGATTATTTACTGAATAGAGTAATCTTTTATGTTCTTCCCATCTTCCCAAGGCAAGGGAGTTAACTATCTAGAAAAGTTCAGTTTCCACCCTTGCCGAACTAGGCTGGGATTTCCAGGCTCAATCGTAGCACCACCGGTGGCTATTACAAGTTATGTCCCTTCTATGTCCCTCCTATTGACCAATCAGATTCCACCTATCATATCACTTGCATTTGCATTTGCATATTGGCGGCACCCAGTCAAGACGATATGATTGATGATCAATATCTGTTTTGTAATAGAATCGGTCTTACCCCACAAAGTGCATCAAATCACATGAGCACCTTGATTAAAACATGAAAAGATTTGCAAAATATCTGTCACACCCAGTTGACGGTACACATGCTTTGCAAATCCTGAATTCAACTGAAATTTGCTTGTTGAAATCAATATTGTTTTCTAACATGTCTAACCGGATGTCGATTTTGTTACACGATTTTGACTGGTCTATGCACAGACTTGTTAGTCCAGCCAAACTGTAACTGCATAATACCAGCCTAGTTCGGCAAGGATGGAAACTGGAATCTCATAGTCAGTTATCTCCCTTGCCTCGGGAAGATGTGTTCTTCCAGCCCAACACATGCTGTATTCTTATCTTGGATGATACACATTTCTGTTCATTATAGTACTATTCCCTCACTCACCATGCTCTCTCTAAATGTTATCATAGCACAGACAGACAGACAATTTATTCAATATTGAGGCCACAGACACATACACACATACAGCACAGACAAACATATCATTTGAAGTTTTCTTGAAAAATAGCATATTAAGTGCTCTTAAACTTATTACCTATTTTTGGCACTTTAAATGTATGTTAACAGATATCTTGTATTGTTTGTGAATCCTCAGTGTTTATTATAACCATGGATGTGTGTACTGCACTGTCATTTCCGATATATTTACTAACATACTTGGGGGCACGGGTGGCCCAGTCGTCTAAGGCGCCGCGATTGGCTGTGCAGAGTTGCGTCCCTTGGGCACGCCAGAAACCTATGATTGTGGGTTCGAATCCCGGTTCGCCCCGATTATGTTTCTAGGTTTGTCAGCACCATACCCGTGCTCGTGGGTTTCACCGAAGTGGTAAACGTCTGAGACCTGCATCACTTTGGGCTTTCCTCCCACATTAAGCTGACACGCCGTGATATAACTGGAATACTGTTAAAAGCGGCGTTAAACCCAACTCACTCACTCACTCACTCACTAACATACTTTTTCAAACATTATCATGGCAAAAGTTCAGCATACACAATGTCAAGTCTTTGAATGGCTTTTAGAAGTGATACACATAAGGAAGAGAATTTATGGATGTCAACTTCTTTATTATGACGAAACACAACGTTTCAGAGTATATATGCTTACTCCTGCATCACATGAATGACATTGTGTTTCGTCATAATAAAGAAGTTGACATCCATAAATTCTCCTCCTGATACACAATTTCACATGTTATACACTGTTTCAACCATGATAGAAATAAACATTTATTCTCCTTCTGTTCCCAACCCCAGTCAACATCGTGCTGCTTGTACCCGGTCTTCGTCGCCATGGCATCATTCAGAAGTACTTCCGTGGAGTGTGGCTGGTCTTCAAGAGGCTCATTATGGGAAAAGACAAGAAGAACTGAATATTTTGAAGAAGGATTGATGGACAGTCATGTCTGTTGGGCATAATATTGCTGCAGTCAGTTATTGGTGTGTTACATGTTCTTGTTGAGTGTTTTACATATGACCAATCTTGCTGGTGTAATATGTGCAAAATTTATCTTTCCTGTATTTATTGCTCTTTTGAGGTAAGGAAACGTTAGATCATATATTCTAGGTTTTACCCGAATCGCAGATGAGTTGCTTAAATTAGATAGATGTATTAGAAGATAGATGTCTGACCATAATTATTTGCAATATTTGGCTCTGCATTTAATTATTCTGATTACGTATAGTGACTAAATTCTTCAGTGAAATAAGGCCATGGTATTTCATTTAGACAAATATTGACAGTAGTTAAATTCTTTGAAGACTGAACTGGGTTCTGTTATATATATATATGTCCTTGGCTGCTTTGGACACAGCTAGTGTTTGTTGCTATGGCTTAAATTTGGGTTGATCTCAGATGGGTGTGTTCTTTCCGTTATTGCTGAAGGGAATGTGTTACTCACAGACTGAAACATCTCTCTGTAAGGATGTAGTTTCACAAACTGTCAAAACATCAACTGAAGTAAATCCCCAAGACCTAGGGAATAGTTTAAATTGTTAGGGGCAGACTGTTTTGGGAAACTTTCCTGTTTGTATTCTTAATATTATTCATGTAATCAAATCACTGGGCTAGCTCGGTTGATACTGTAATCATAGATTAACAAGGGTTTAACTAAAGAGTGTTCTCACAGTGTGGTTGTAGTAATGACTCGTAGGGTATGACCTGGGCATATGTATGGGTTCATTATGGGTTGATGCAACGTGTTCAAGACGGTCAAAGGGGGCGCGGGTGGCCCAGTCGTCTAAGGCCCCGCAATTCGCTGTGCAGAGTTGCGTCCCATGGGCACGCCAGAAACCTATGATTGTGGGTTCGAATCACGGTTCGCCCCGATTATGTTTCTAGGTTTGTCAGCACCATACCCGTGCTCGTGGGTTTCACCGAAGTGGTAAGTAAACGTCTAAGACCTGCATCGATTTCGGGCTTTCCTCCCACATTAAGCTGACACGCCACGATATAACTTGAATACTGTTTAAAGCAGCGTTAACCCTAACTCACTCACTTACTCTCTATGAGACGTGAACGTGCAAGACTATAGTTGAATTCAAGCACAAACAATATGATTTGGTAATGATCAACTACAGGTCATTACTACAACTCTCTCTTTGAGAACCTCCTTAAAGGTGTCACAGATCTCTATGTATTAATCTTTCTTACACATATTTTCTAACTGATATGTGTATATGAATATATATGCATGTATATCCATCATGGAATAATGGTACCAAATATTACATGGTAGTGTAAGGGACATATCATCTTGATGAAGTTATACAAAATTTGGATCAAACTTGGTTGATAAGTTGTCAGTGTGAAAAATTAGACAAATAACCATGAAAATAGCAAGAAAGCATACAATCAAAAATCCCTTTATTTGAACTGACTAAATAATGATATGTCCTTTCATTGTTTTCTTATTAATGTTAAATATTGAAGACATTTATATACTACTGTAATAGTATAGTCCTTTTCTTGTTACTTAGTAAGTGGTTCTTCTGGAATGTCATCTTTACAATAGAATAGAAATGTGTAAGACACACAAAAGTTTACCATCAAAGTGCCTCAAGGTAGATTTTTTTAAAGTCAAAATGTATTTGAGTATATGTTGGACAACTTCAATTATGGACAATTCTGTTCATATTATACATGCACAAATATATTTTTTGTTTGGTAATGTAAGTTTATAAACAAAAGGTCTGGGCTTATTCAATAATTGTCTGTCAATACATAATTTAGGTCTTATTTGAAATAAAACAATGGAAAATGGCCTCTTTTCACTTTTACACATTTTCTATTTAAGAAGTGGGTTTGTTGATTGTGTGCTGTTGTGGGTTATCTGTATTACAAAGATCGCCTTTTGAAACTGGGTGTTTTTAGCATTTTTTAGTTCTCACAAAACACTAATTGCTCTTGTTAAGAGTTTCATTTTCATAAATGTCTTATAGGAAAAGCTTTGCTCATTTGTTTGATCATAACATTTTGAACCTATTTTAGAATACAGGCTTTCATTTGAAGTCGCCAGTTTTTGACATGTATTCTACCCTGTCAATTATCCAGAGCTTCCTATTTTTAAATGAAAGTCAAATGGCTTAAAGTGCTGGTGCTTGGTTTATGAAATGTTCCTATATGTAGGAAAAAGTAGCAACGATTACAGTTCAGGTACTGAAGAATTATTTTGCTTCACATTTCTTTCACATACAATTTCTCTTCTCCATGTTAACCATGTAATTAGTATCATATGTGTCATGAGATTATGTGTGTCCTCTGTCGTACAATGCGCCATGCATAAAGCATGCAGAAGCATTTTATAAACCGTTGTATAAATCAGTAACACCTTGTGCCAAGCTTTAACTCATTATCATTGTGATTGTCCAATCACAGCTTCTGTATGTCACCTATCAGTCTAGTGGCTGACATTCATTTTGTACACAGTAGATTGTCGATGCTCTGTTAACTTTCCTGTGTGGCTTTCCAGGCTCTCAATATTCCAAGGTATTTATTATCACCTGTTCTATTTACATCTTTGATGCTGTGTAAACATTTAATCAAGTATTTATAGATTGTACATTTTTAGATTTATTTCAGTCTTTCATTTTGATTACGTTATGAATACCTGGCTGTATAGTGCTATAGATCTTTAGGAATCAGATATTCAAAGACTAACGTGAATGTCACTTTTTGATTAGATACTTCTACATGTATAGATATTTTAATGGGTTACATACAAGAATTCTCACAGTGATTAGTTGCAAGATAGCTTGTGCAGCATGATGCAATAATAACACAGGCGAAAATTAAATAGCAGGGCGTATCAGATTTTAGCAGCTTAATGCTCCTGTACATTCCTGCCATTGACTCGTGTCACAAATCAAACGTTGGTGTGACAGTTAGATTTTCTTGGGGTCCTAACAGACCCTCCTGATGGTGTCTCTAAGTCATATATACATGGCAAGGAAGTAATGCCACGACAAGCATTATGACCTCAAAATGGCCAATGAGATGGCTTGATGTTATTGATCATAATTATCACAGATGTCATACCGGAGATGTTATGAAAAGCCCCGAGACTGAAACGAATTCAGTTTTGTCAAATTTAAGTATTCAAGAAAATCTTCCATCAGGTCTGTTATTTCATTAATACGACTTGTGTATAAGAAGGGTTTTTTATGTTTATTCAGTGGCTATTTTATAAGTCAGATGATTTTAAAGATTCATTTTATTAGATGTTTTAACTAAATATCTATGACAAGTGAAAGAGATGCTTGTCTCAGTCAGTGCATTTTAACTTCCCTGAGGGTGATAGGTGTACCCTGGTCTTTAAATACTACATTGTATTATTAAACATTTCGTAACACTATTAAATTAATCTTTTCATCCTCTGATAAACTTTTTTTCAGTAGATTAAATTTAATATCCTGCATACCACTGCTCGGTGATGTTTATGAATTATTGAAATTAAAAGCCTAATATCCCAATTATTTTGTTTTGTGTTGACATTTCAAATTTTAAGGGCTATCATGTCGGGGAAATGAGGTTGTTTTTTGTTGGAGGGTAAGACCAGAGTACATCTATCGGAGGAGACGGTTGTGACTTCTGGTTTTGTTGTTTATGATATTTTTATCTCAATATTCCATCACTTTCTTTCTCCCCCAATGTGCTGTAAAGAAATGTGTTATAAATCTGTTCTTGTTTGATAAACATTGTGATAATTCTGTTGGTAAATCAGATGTTTTGTGAAAGATGTTATCTAATGTTTAAGATTGGTTGTAAATGATATGGCCAAAAAATCAAACTTGATGTTGTATTGCATGCCACATTTGACACTGAATTCATTACTTTGTTATTTCTGATACCAGTAACTGATAAGGGATTATGGATCTTGTTATTAATTCTCTCACAAATATCAGAAAAATATCTTTAAAAAATCATTTTGGCTGTCAGAGTTAATGGATGTCTGTCATTTAGGGTATTTTTGGGGTTCTGATGACACGTCCAGTTTTCCAATGATTTTTTTCATGAACTTCATCATGAAGATCCATAAATGTTTAAAACTGAATTATTTTTTCTGTGGTACTTCATTGAAAGCGATGCCAGCGTTTTACATCCAGTGTTGTTTCATTGTCAGTGTTGTGTAATTAATGTAACTCGTAAGGTGCTTCATCACTTTAGGACCTCGCTATTACTGTCATCGGATTCTTAAACATTGATTCTTTGAATGCTCACAACCACCAATTGACGACTAGTCTTGATACATTCTCCTTAGTCTTTCTTGGATCTGAAAATCTACCTTATCTTAGCCAGTTCGAAACTCATTTAGCTTAATTAATTTATATGAACTATCATATGAATGAAATAGGCTCTCTTTCTGCTCAATCATAACGTCTGTCCCAGCTATCAGAAATGTCTGGCAGCTGAAATAAATAGACTTTTAGACATTCTGTTCATGGATACCTTCACTACAGAGATCTTCTTGCCGATCAGGTAGTTTTGTAGACAGTGTCGATTTTTTGGATGCTTTTTAATCCATTAGTAATAGAGTAATATGTACGCAATTTGTGATTAAAGTTTTATTGGAATATTATTAGTTTTGTCATTGATGTCCCGGTTCAGGATAGGGTATCCTATCTGTGCTAGACTGGGCTGGTTGTGTGGCTTGTCATCCTACACTGACTGTGTGGAGGGGGCGGTCTGGTAGCCTAGTGGTTAAGGCGTTCGCTCGTCACGCCGAAGACCCCGGTTCAAATCCTAACATGGGTACAATGTGTGACGCCCATTTCTGGTGCCCCCCGCTGTGATATTGCTGGAATATTGCTAAAAGCAGTGTAAAACCATACTCACTCACTCACTCACTCAGTGACTGTGGGGCATATCATCACCTATTCCTTGCCGGACTCATTTATTTACAGCTTGCCCCGACATACGTGGAATATTGCATCATACGGCATAACACTGCATCCAGAGATAATTGGCCTGATTGTTGAGAATTCAAAATGTCAAAGCTAGAGAATAACCAGTTTTGAATAACTGCCTACGACCATGTCATTATTGATAGCCAGACAGTACTTGTATACTTGAAACTAACATACAATTGGTATATTTGTCATTTGCAAATGTTACATCCTAAATCCAGCTCTTGTTTTGCCTGTCTGTTGGCTGTGTGGGTAATACAACCATATCCCAGTTGATTATGTCCAAAACCAACATGTTAAAATTACTTTCGCTTCGACAACAGTTGTAAAACTCCTCGCAGCTTTGGAGGATTTCGAGACAACAGGTCCAAGGGAGAGACAACAGGTCTTAGGAAAAGACAACAGGTCCATGGGAGGGACAAGAAGTCCAAGGGAGAGAGGTCCTAGGGAGACAACAGGTCCTTGGGAGACAATGGGTCCTTGGGAGAGACAACAGGTCCTTGGGAGAGACAACAGGTCAAAGGGAGACAACCTGTCCAAAGGAGGGACAACAGGCCCAAGGGAGAGACAACAGAGCAAAGGGAGAGACAACAGGTCCAAGGGAAAGACAACAGGCTCAGTGGAGAGACAACAGGTCCTAGGGAGAGACAACAGATCCTAGGGAGAGACAACAGGCCCAAGGGAGAGACAACAGGTCCTGAGGATACAACATGTCCAAGGGAGAGATAACAGGTCCTAGGGCGAGACAACAGGTCCAAGGGAGAGACAATGGGTCCTAGGGAGAGACAACAGGTCCTAGGGAGGGACAACAGGTCCAAGGGAGAGACAATGGGTCCTAGGGAGATCCAACATGTCCAAGGGAGAGAAACAGGCCTTGGGAGATACAACAGGTCCAACAGAGAGTCAACAAAATGGGTGATCTTGATGTTCTGACCTGCTTACACCCGGACATCTTCACTGATGTAAAGGTTTCACACAGTGATTTGTCCTGTCCACACTTGATTATTTGATCCATCTAATATAGTTGTAATATTAGTACAAGATCAGAGTCACACTACTTTAATGTACTTGTTGATACATATATATTATGTTCAGCTCCTCTGGCCAGACAATGTATCTTGCATCCCGCTGGGACCGAATTAGAATAATACCCTGGCACTATATTGCTCATAAGAGGCGACTAAATGGGATTTGATGGTAAGGCTCGGTGACTTGTTTGATCGGGTGTCATCGTACTCCAACGTGGGTCGATGTTCATAACATCATCCACTGGTCTGTCTGGCCCCAACTCGATTATTTACAGACCGCTTGATATAGCTGGAATATTGCTGAATGCGGTGCATATATATATCTAGTTGTGCTTGTTTAACGCTGAAAAATTCATCAAGTAAAATGCAAATAATTGTTTATTTGTTTCGTTTCTGTTTAACGCCGCACTCAGCAATATTCCAGCTATATGATGGCGTTCTGTAAATAATCAAGTCTGGTCCAGACAATCCAGTGATTGACATGAGTATCGATCTACGCAATTGCGATACGATGACATGCATCACCAAGTCAGGGAGCCTGACCACCCGATCCCGTTAGTCGCCTCTTACGACAAGCATAGTCGCTTCTTACGGCAAGCATGGGTTGCTGAAGACCTATTCTAACCTGGATCTTCACACACGGTATACTATTTATGAAAACTTGATATCTGAGGACGACCTAAATGATAAGTTAATTGGATAGACACATTTCCATAAGAATTTTATGTCACTAAAAAAATATTCACGACGCCACGTTAAATATTTACTCACTCTATAAGAATTTAAAAACTGGCAACTGAAAGTATTTTGTATTCTTCTGTGGTTGCTGTCGAGTCGCATTACTTTCACTGTCCCAGAGCTATCTACGTTTAGATCATGATCAATGCCTAGGTTATAGTTTGATTTCTGAACAGGGGAATGAGTTAAACGTTTATGCTGAACACCCATGTAACTTGTAATGTTGATTATCTTGTAATGTTGATTATGCTGATATGTCCATTTCCCATTGACGACTAGGGATAAATCAACATCAATATCATTTTTGTCACCCTGTTTTCGATAGTTTTGATAATAGTGAGTTGGGTTTAACGCCGCTTTTAACAGTATTCCAGTTACATCACGGCATGTCAGCTTAATGTGGGAGGAAAGCCCCAAGTGATGCAGGTCTGAAACCCACTGGGCACAGGTATGGTGCTGACAAACCTAGAATCAATAATCGGGGCGAACTGGGATTCAAACCCACAATCATAGGTTTCTGGCGTATCCAAGGGACGCAACTCTGCACAGCGAATCGCGGCGCCTTAGACGACTGGGCTACCCATGCCCCCGTTTTGGTAAGAGTGTAATTATGTAATACTGATTTGTTGCAAGCATTTGTTCTCTTTTTTTTTGCTTTGGTACTGAGAATGTTATTGCTTTCTTAAACCGCGCGTGCGTGTCTATTGATTGTGGCGATATGTTAACGATAAGTACATGAGAATCTTATCCTATTTTGAAATTAAGAATAATCCAGTTTTTCGGACAATGCCGCCCCAAGATCAAGTTAAAAAAACAACATTTGAGGGACCGTCTCCCTGCTTGTTACCTTTTGTAACTAAGAATTAGTGCTGACCTGTCATATTGCCTGGTCGTTACAACATATTCTACTGTATAAATAATCTATTAAAATAACAATATATATGCCAGTGCCTAAGAACACTAATTGGTCAAATCATTATTTACGGCCGGGCGTTAATTCTATTCACGGAGCCGAAAACAATGGACAGTGTTTGGGCGACATAATCCCGTTGCGAGTACCAGTTTATTTCACTCAGCTTATGCCGGAGCCGGATGCCGGTGAGTAGGACTAACAAGCCGTGACGAGGTTATGGGGTATATAAAATGTCCACAAACCAACATCTGTATCAGCGCATCCAGACCAGTGAAACGGAAAACTCTTCAACGCATAACTCCGTCTATCAAGTTGTGTTCCCCAATCTGAAGAGTCTCAACAAGGCTTTACCACATATACTTCAGTATCAGCCGATCAACTTGGCCATGACATCGCCTTTCTTCACCGTTCTCCCCGCCGCGCACCCCTTCAGAACCGAGCCCCAGGATCCAATCTCCGCTTCCTTTCGTCTGTATGGCCTGATCGACGTCCACGACAAGACGCTGGAACAGGTTCAAGCTCTGGACGCCTACATCTTGGACATTACTGAGAAGATAGTCAAGGACACCCTGAGCAACCGCGGCCATGTTGGACATGGTCTTCTGCTTCTCAACCGGAAGTGTGTTGCCGAAGGGATGCGGGATGTGTTCGTCAAGCTCGCAAACCGAAAGTGGCATCAGGTGCGCGAGTGCTACAGCTACATACTAAGCCGATTTGACACTCGTGATGATCGCTTTGCTAACCTTGACGATGATGTCGTAGACGACCACGAAGTTGTCAACATCGCACGTGGTCTCTCTATGGAATGTTGTGCCTTCCAGAGAGGGTGTTAAAGTGCTGAGAGTCATGTATTTGACACAGCTTGGATAATCGTCGGTTGGACTTAGCTTCCCCTCTTCAAGGGAACTGAAATGGTGCTGTAGATTTTAGCGATTATAGTGCTTCAATGTCATCATTCGTATTGATAATAAAAATTTCAAATACAGGTTGTTTTTGTCCTTCAATAAACTACTATTCAGCAGAGTGAGGGAGTATGGTTTTACGCCTTTTAATTAGCAATATCACGACGGAGGAAACCAGAAACCAGAGGCCTCACACATTGTACCCATGTCGGGAATCGAAGCCGGGTCTTCGGCGTGACGAGCAAACGCTTTAACCACTAGGCCACCCGACCGCCCCACAATTCAGCAGACGGTAGGTAGACATTTTCTACTCACTCCCTCACAATTTCGATCAAAAGAAACCGTTGTACGGTTCCGAATATATCATGCACGTGGGAAGTGATACGCTCGATACGCTCGACCCGTGAAGATCCGGGGTACAATAGGTCTACAGCAACCCATGCTTGCCGTAAGAGGCGACTAACGGGATCCGGTGGTCAGGCTCGCTGACTTGGTTGATGCACGTCATCGTATCCCAATTGCGTGGATCGATTCTCATGTTGTCAATCACTGGATTGTATGGTCCAGACTCGATTACTTACAGACCGCCGTCATATAGCTTGAATATTGCTGAGTGCGGCGTAAAACAACAAACAAACATCGTATGACAAACGGGAACAGTGCTACAACGACAGATGAGTTAGCGAATTCGCCCTAGCGCAGTGGGAACACCAATAATTCACCAATATCTATGTCCTGTCCATCCACGACTGCAAGACATCAGGTCACGAACCAATGTGCACCATAAGGTGAACTATAATCATCGTGGAGAGTGAACAGTTTTAGACACCGGCAGTGACTGTTTTAGTTACTCATAGAAAACTTATAATTATTAATCAACATCGCACTGCCTACGCTACGTGAAGATCCGGAGTATAGAATAGGTCTTCACAACAACCCATGCTTGCTGTAACAGAGGTCAATCACCGGATTGTCTGGTCCAGACTATTTACAGACCGCTGTCATATAGCTGGACTATTTCTGAATGCAGCGTTACATACATACGTGCAGGAACAAAACAAAAACAAGTTGGAATCCAGTGAAAAAAGAGGAATGGACATGTCTTCAGGTTTGAGAATCAAGACAAAAGTTGATGCGTGATTTTGGCGGATATCTTCCCCATTTAACAAACCCCTGAAATCATACCCTAGGCTTTTGGGGTCCATGTTTATGGGTCTTCTCAATATGTAATGAGTGTTTTAAAGAAGCAATAGTTTTGAAAAGTACTCTTGATCAAAGAATTGTTAGTAAAAGAACCATAGTACCTCATGTACAGTTAGGTGAGGTGAGGTGAAATGGGGTTTAACGTCGCGTCCAAGATTATTGCACTTATATAGCGACGTGCATGCACGTGGGTGTGTACTAGTTCTTACTGGTGTCGATTTTATAGTGCTAGCTCACTGAGATACCATGCCGCAGTTTAACATGAATACCTCACGCACACACATACTGACTCCGAGCAGACCAGTCTTTGTTTTAGCCCGTTACTTCCAAGCGCCAAACAGGGTAACAACACGTACCATCTTTTAACGTCTTTTGGTATGACGCGGTCGGACCCCGGACCTTCTGCTCTCCGGGCGGACGCTCTACCACAAGACCAAGGAGGCGGCCACCTCATGTTGGTTGGTTTGTTGTTTTACGCCACACACAGCAATATTCCAGCTATATGACGGCGGTTTGTAAATAATAGAGTCTGGACCAGACAATCCAGTGATTGACATCATGAGCATCGATCCACGCAATGACATGCTCCAACCAAGTCAGCGAGCCAGGCACCCCGATCCTGTTTGTATAGGAGCTTACCTTACATACATACATTCAAGGAAACGTGTTTAAATGTTTTGTCTTGAACAAGGATGATTCGATATTGAAAAAGAAGAACATGACAGAAGTGCCAAAAAAATAAGTATTTTAAGTTACAGATTTTCACTTGACGAATCATACGTGTTGCAACACAGTGATATTCTACAGCGCATGGTTCATCTGGAAGTGTTTCATCAAACTCTCGGCCTTGTCAATGCTGCGTCTGACCACATCGGGAGCATCCTGAAAGTCATGACTTGGAATCATAAACTGGACAATAGTTGGAGCAAACTATTAACAATGTGGTTGCTGTAAAAGGTATGTATCTAGTTGAAGAAGATCATAAGTGAGTTTAACACCGCTTTGACAATCTTGTACTGAAATATTGCTTAGTGCGCCGTTAAGCAACAAACAAACAAAACATCTGGACGAGTGAGTGAGTGAGTATTAATGCCGCCTTGAACAGTATTTCAGATATTTCACGCCATGTCTTCTTGATGTGGGAAGAAAGCCCGAAGTGATCTTGGTAAAACCCATAAGCGAGGATAATTATACGGTGCTGACAAACTTAGAACCATTATCTGAGATAACCAGAATTAGAAACGAAACGAGATCCCTTACTTATACTACGCGAGGTATGGCCGCCATAGGGCCACCCGTGCCTTGTGATCCACGGCCTCCGCCCAACGTTTGAACGCTTTTTATAGTTACACAGAGACAGTAATGAATTATGCACGCTCAGTTAAGCTACTTAAAACTTCCGTCTGGATACTGGTTCAAAAGACTTACATTAGACGGCAAAGGCACGCAGTCGTTGGGGACCTGGAATGCATTAGGCTTTGATATTCCAGGCCGGAAGTTGGTAAGGATGTAGATAATATCCGCCGAACCTGCAAACATTTTTTAAGGTATTTACAATTAATTGTTTGAAAACGTGAAAGAAAAATATGATTATTGATTGTGCTGGTGCTGTAAGGACCATGTATTTATATTCATGGCTGCATAATCTATATGTAAAAAGCGGTTGATGAATTACATATTTTTACCAAAGGTAGGGGTTTGTTCATAGCCAAATGAACAAGAATATGTACCATTTTATACTTTACCGTAATAATGCACATAAAAACAGTACAGATTTTTCCTATTTTAGTCCAACCTGCAAGCCATATTTCATTCCTCTGTGATTTCCAAAAGTTAAAGTGCCACTGAAGTGCTTCTGTTTACGAAAATGTAAAAATAATATTTTGGTATTTCTTAAATCGAAATAAGAGTGATTCAACCTCGGATGCAAGAAGTCAATGTCACGTGTTGCCTACCTCCACCAATGTCGCCGAAGAGAGATTCGAAGATGGGCACACATCCTTGGTCAGTAACGGAGAGTCGCATTACAATGCCCGACTTAGGAATGAGGAACTGCCAGGTAGTAAAAGGAATCGCAGTGACGCCATATCCGATGTAACTTTCTCGTACCTTGACAGCATCGTCTGTAAAGTCAAGTGTTACAACACAAGAATGTGACACTGGTTCTAGAGAGAGAGTTGGGATTGGGCTGGTGCGTGTGTTTAACGCGTCATTCCAGACATATCACCGCGTTTCAGCTTGATGCATGAGGAAAGCATGAAGCGATGCAGGTCTTAGATGTTTACCACTTTGGAAAAACCTACGGGTGTGCTGCAGAAGAATATAATTGGGGCGAACTAGGATTGGAACTCCCTTGGGGAACGGTCATTTGATTTTCAGCGTGGGGGGAGGGGAGGTTGATTTTGGTTTGAGATGAGCATTTTTTCTTTATGTTTAGGAACTTAACTTTTTTCCAACATAAACAAGGGCATTATTATTTGTTTAAATAATTAAAACAAATCGATATGTGTTTTTTAGACACTCATGTATATTTTGTATCGACGAGAGACCCGTCGATTTAATTGCTTGACTTACATCTGACCCGTGAAGATCCGGGGTAGAATAGGTCTTCAGCAACCCATACTTGACGTAAAAGGCGACTATGCTTGTCATAAGAGGCAACTAACGGGATCGGGTGGTCAGGCTCGCTGACTTGGTTGATGCATGTCATCGTATACCAATTGCGTGGATCGATGTTCATGAAGTCAATCACTAGAAGGACGATTATGTACCCTTTGGTGGGAGGTCTGATCGCTCTACAGGAGGCCCTTTAGTGTTTACATTGGATACATTGCTTGTGGCTGAGCCAGTGAAGTCCGTGCTGAGAGACTTAGGCGTGGGCAAGAACCTCAATGAGTGTGACTCGGTCACTCCAGCTAATTCCGAGCAAGCGCCTCATGCATGTGGAAGGAGTTGAGTTTCTTTTCTTGTTAACAAGAGATGGACCAAGACAGGTTCATAGGCATGCTTCGGCATGACTGTGAAGAAGATTCCAAACAGGGTAGGAGCAAATAGACAGCCCTGCTTTACTCCACTGCAGATGTCGAAAGCCTCAGAGGACGAGCCGTCCAACTGCAAGATATCAGTATGGAGTGACTGGATCATGCTGTAGATGAATGCGACATAGCTTGGCTGCTTCTGTTCTGTGATGTTATCGTGCAGCTGTCAGACTAAGAAGATCATGTTAGTTCCATCTTTGCTTGGCATCTCCCTGTGGATGTTCTTTAACCAGATAATCATCTACGTCATTAGTAAAGGAGTAAAGGACCGTTGACTTACTGACATCGATACGAGTCTTTCCCTCGAGAAGCCATCCATCTTCATTTATCTTGTCAATTCCGTATTCCAGGGTTAATATTTGGTACCCACTCTTGCATTGAAGTCGCCAAGCAGTTGCAGCTGTTCTTGCCGTATCCCCTCTTTTGTACTATATTCTACGCCCATCAACCTAGGCTCATCACCAGTAGACTCGGGTTGTGTCGCTCTAGCGCATAGACCTTGGCAGCTAAATGTGGAGTGCCAGCTGTTGTCCTTCTCCATGTCTCACTGACAGATACAAGGGAAAGGCAAAAGCCAATACTGCTTAGTATCAGAGGCGTCACAAGAACTGACTGAAGGATTTTGAAGACAACAGCACACTGCCTTAGAAATAAAAGCGACAAAACCCTTTCCAAGTTATTAAGAAGTCTCCATGTCTCACTGACAGATACAAGGGAAAGGCAAAAGCCAATACTGCTTAGTATCAGAGGCGTCACAAGAACTGACTGAAGGATGTTGAAGACAACAGCACACTGCCTTAGAAATAAAAGCGACAAAACCCTTTCCAAGTTATTAAGAAGTCTCCATGTCTCACTGACAGATACAAGGAAAAGGCAAAAGCCAATACTGCTTAGTATCAGAGGCGTCACAAGAACTGACTGAAGGATTTTGAAGACAACAGCACACTGCCTTAGAAATAAAAGCGACAAAACCCTTTCCAAGTTATTAAGAAGTCTCCATGTCTCACTGACAGATACAAGGGAAAGGCAAAAGCCAATACTGCTTAGTATCAGAGGCGTCACAAGAACTGACTGAAGGATTTTGAAGACAACAGCACACTGCCTTAGAAATAAAAGCGACAAAACCTTTCCAAGTTATTAAGAAGTCTCTGCCAAAAAGTCGATTGTACGATTCTGACTTTGTCATGAGCATGTGTTTACTCAGACTTCCCTCAGACTTTTCCACGGATGGGTACAGCTGCAAAGCAGCAGGGGTTTGGAATGAGAGTCTTCCTTCTCCTGGAAGAGCAACTAGTCAAGGCTAACGAGACCCCTCTGCCTGAGGCATCTACCCATAGCCGCTTGTCCCCAAATGCCACCCCGGTATTGGTCAGATCACAGTTGAATAAAAAAGTTGTGATATTTGCAATGTTAAGATACATACTGTCTACAAGAAAGGGGTACATTAATTGTTCCTACAATGCGAGGCAAATGTGAATATTTTCAGTAAATTAGGGGTTTTATTATTTTTTAAGAAATAACCCCGAACCCCGACCCGACCGCCCCTCTTTGAAAATCAATGGCTGCTCCCTTGTGGAAGAAGGGAAGAGCTTGAATGCCGTTATCGGTAGTTCAACAACTAATGATTGGTTCCTCATTAATAGTAACACCATGTCCAAGAATCTCTGTCTATTTGGGATATAATAACGAATAAATCTACGTGTCAAATCTCACCTGGAACACAGCCTTCCAGCATTGGGACATAACTTTTGGTTGTGAAGCATCCATCCTTTGTCATTACATGCATTTGATTCTATTTAAATAGAATGAAAAAAACATAAATTAAATTCAAGACAATGCTTCATATCGCAAACCATATTAGAGTTTATGACTGATTACAAGATTGTGGCAATATATATTACAATGGCAATGTATATTTCAGGATGTGAATTTGTTGGTGACTTAAAAGAGCGTTTTATAAGGATGAGAAGAATCTGATGAAGACTAAGATGGGCCCTCACTGTAATGGCATCGATGACAACGTTGCTGGTCACACTGCTGCCGTTGGCGTAATTCATCGTCGCTTCAACCATCGTCTTCCTTGCATAGAAATCGTAGTGGATGACGTTATCGCCCTGAAATGCATACGGGGAATATTATTTTGGCGTTTTCATTCTTAAAAAACTAGTCACCTCTGTGGCACTGAAGAGCAATCACTCGCTATCCAATGCTAGATTTCCTTGATTTCACAATACACAGGGCTGCTAATATGTTTACGTTGTTAAAGTATGTGTTTAACGGATTATATAGTCTCTACAAGGCAAATATCATGATCAATACTGTTGGTTTCAAGCCTTTTCTGGCAGAAATAGTGAAACAGCCCACAAGTCAAACACACATGTAATTCTATCGGAAATAAGGTAATCATTCATTTGAGATACACACGCCTTATCCAATAATATAAGATAGCTATGCCACACATCGCAAAGAACAATGGAGAACGAAGCGTGTTTTTTCACGATAAAACAGTGTTCCATCGTGACGTCATTTCTGGAGATTCGAACATGCGCTCGCAACTTGACGTCGTACATATGACGACGTTATTTATTAGAGGTTAGTGTCTCGTGAGTTTTTCCCCCTGGATTTAGCCGGGCAAAGCATATAAAGGCGATGGCGGAAAAATCGCATCCCAAGTGGGGGAGAGATATGACAATCGGTATTGGGAGAAATGGTACAGGTTATCGACGTGAGGATTGTATGCGGGAAATACCCACCTGTGCATAAAATGGACTTGTCCGACATTGCCGAGGTCGGAGGGAGTCATCATTATTTAATACGGGTTAATAGTTTTAAAGCTCGTACAATTTATCACCATCCATTAACAGGCTGTACATAATGTTGATATCTCATATAATAAATAAACCACTTGTGGTCGTTGTTTACCATGCAATAAAACACTGCAGGGAGAATAAACCACTCGGTGCTGGGCCCTCATCGTTTATTCTCCCTGCAGCGTTTTATTGTACGATAAACAAACTCCCACACATTGTTTATATCTTAATTGATAGGGGAGTGGAAGTAGATTACTGCTCTACTTAAAACTTTAATGTGCCAGCCAGAGGGACTTTACGTTTCGGACATTGCTAGCCACGTGTCTACTCACATTTATCAAAGCTGGATTTGGCTTTCCCTTTTGGGTGAATATGCCACCCCCTACTTCACCCATCCTGGCCTCAAACTGGCGGTCCATACAGCATGGCTTGCCTGCCAGCGTTGACGCCACGAGGATGCCAGAAAACAACAAGGACAACATATTAACAGAACTCGTCTGAGGGACGTATTTGCTTGAACTGATATCACAAATTGGGCCATATGTTCAAAATCCCATTGCCAGGGCATTAAAGGACAAGCCCATTTCTTCTGATATCTTCGGACAATTATAAATACCTGGCAGCAGGTCAACGCGTTCAGCTCAGAAATAATGTTTTATAAGGACTTGCTCAATTCTGATTCTGACTGAGGGCTGTGTATACAATAGGTTAAATGTAAATGTCCTACACAAATGTTGACGATAGAAGAAATGATATATCTGAAATCTTAAAGACATAAATTTAGGTGAGGTGTGGTGAATTGTGGTTTAACGTCGCGTCCAAGACTATTGCACTCATATGGTGACGTGCATGTACGTGTGTGTGTCACTTGTCTGGACTGGAGCCGATTTATAGTGCTAGCACACTGAGATACCATGCCGCAATCTAACATGAATACCCAACTCACACACAGTATACTGACTCCGAGCCGACCAGTCCTTGTTTTAGCCCCTTAATGCCGAACGCCAGACAGGGTAACAACAAGTACCATCTTTTAACGTCTTTTGGTATGACGCGGCCGGCGATCGAACCCCGGACCTCTCGCTTTACATCCGCCGGGCGGACGCTCTACCACTACACCACGGAGGCGGTCACATAAATTTAGAACTGTAAAGAACTTAAAGAAACCTAAACATACAAGATATGAATAAACGTGGTATATCATGAGCACATTACCTTTAGATAATGCTTATGAAAAAGTTTCTGCTTCCTTTCAAGCATTTACACTCTTTAAAAAAAAACCGCACAGGTAGATTTTTAGTAAATTTATTGTACCTAATAAAGTCGATATATTTAATTTAACATCACTGATACAAATATGAAATTTTGGAGCTCGATAGTCACATGTTGTCGTTGTACAAAGGCATTGAAAACTGTTCATTGTCATGTCACATAAGGCCACAAGATTGCGCTGAACTCAGCATCTCGTATGACCGCCCCGGGCAGCAATCACGGCTCTGCATCTCCTCGGCACAGACTGGATAAGTGTACGAATTCTGTCCTGCGGAATTTTGCGCCATTCTGCTTGTAACGCGTTGGCCAGTTGTGGGAGTGTCTGTGGCGTGTTCTGACGTTGACGTACACGTCGATCGAGTTCATCCCAGAGGTGTTTGACTGGGTTGAGATCTGGAGATCCTGACGGCCAGGGCAAATCGTTGATGTTGGCATTATGGTGGGTAGTCCACCGTGACACGAGCTGTGTGCGGTGGGGCATTGTCCTGTTGAAACAGCTCCCTCTGGCGGTCAATGATTGGAAGAAAGTGAGGTTGAAGAATTTGATTTATGTAGCGATTTGCTAACAAATATTCCTGAACCACAACCAAGTCAGATCTCATGGTCTAGGATATGGCCCCCCAAACAATGACACTAGGGCCACCGAATTCGTCGAATTCACGTCAAAACGCTGGGTCAAAACGTTCATTTCGACGACGATAAACACGTTGTCGTCATCTCGCCGGTGAAGAAAAAAATCGTGATTCATGGCTAAACCACACTCGTCTCTAGTTTCTCAAATTCCAAGGCTGTAAGGTATGACACCAACACAAGCGTCGCTGTCGATGGATCTGTTGCAAAACAGGGACGATAACTGGTCTTCTGGGATTCCAGCAGCCTCGCGAAGATGGTTCCTGACAGTCTGGTCCGATATCCCCCTCAAACCAGGGATGCGTCCTGCACTTTCCGTAGCTGTGGCATTGCGATGACGTAGGTGGAACAGTCAAATGTAGCGATCCTGTGCAGGGGTGGTAAGTCTTGGTCGGCCGGTTCTCGGACGGTCTGCAGTAAAATTGAACTGTGCGTATCGGTCACAAAGGCGGCAAATGGTGCTGTGGTGGATGTTGAAGTGGCGTGCAACAGAAGACTGCGATTCCCCTCTTTGGATACGTCCTATGGGGACGTTCCGATCGGCAGCGCTGAGTTTCGGCATTTTCGAACTTGAAAAATGTTGACAATTTAATAAAAAAATTATTGGCTTATTGCTTGCCTTTTCATAGCCACTACCACGAGTTACGAATGCCATAACTTGCACGTGCATTTTGTTTCACTGTTTTCCTCCATGGCATTTTTTAACAAGTGTGAAAACAATGCCGTTTAAGACATTGCAAATCGATAATGGCTGCGTTTTGACGCACCGTTTGTCGAATATCAGGCCACCAACATTTTCCTATAACATATATCCAATTTATATACCGGATTTTCTTGTGTAGTCAGGTTCAATGAACTACATACTTCCTTTTCGTTCCTTTGAAGAGTGTAAATTAAATTGAAATAATTGTCTTATGTGAACTTCAGTTGATAGTTTTTGCAGGGTTATGGGGACTCCGAGGGCTTCCTTTAACTTTCACTAACTTCATATATAAACCAGGAATTAGTGGACGAAATAACATAGACCTTGACGCCGTTCCACAAAGCGATCTTAGCGCTACGATCATCGTAAATCCATGTTAAAGTATGGGAGTTACGATCGTCTTAGCGCTTAAATCGCTTCCTTGAACGGGACCCTGGTCACAATCAGGGAAAATATTCTTTAGACAAGCTTGTTACAAGGACTTGGATGATTACTTACAGGGTGAACAGGAGGTCAGATGTACTTTTTCATTTTGCAGTTGTACTGTCTTGATATGGTTTGTCATTAGATTTTTTGCCAAGGCAATGGCCCCAAAACGTGAATTTCTTTCGTTATAGTTTGAAGCCTAAATTTTCACTAACTTTGATGAAACTTGAATGTTAGGATTTAAGAATGCATTGTATGTTACTACATTAGCGTAAGAGAGTAGCAATCTCTATTCAGTTGAAGGTTTGTCTCAATGTTCCATCTGAAAATTTGGCAAGTTGACACTTACTCACAAAAAAGGTATGCTTGCTATAATTATTTTCAAGAATTTTACATACAAATTTGTACTTCTCATATGTCAACAAATTGTGTTTATGTGTAGCTGTTTTGTTGCTTTTTCCAACATTCGGAATACCAACTTTGTTAAAAAATCTAGTGTCCGTAGCCCTATGGCTATTGTAGTACCTAACAACAGCTGACTGTTGGTGCTTTAATATATATTTTACACGTTATCCCAAGTAAGTGATCTTTCGTGGAGTTGTTTGAATTACCTTGCAACTGTGTCACTGGAACACGGATGTCCGTAGCCCTGTTTAATACCTGATATTTTGAAGGAACAGTTCAGTTAGCAACTTAACCAAAGGAGATATTTCATTTCATTTCATATGTAGACCTACATTAATCGGATTCTTTCCTTTCCTTTTAAATATTTTGGACATTTTACACAATGCAGTGTCCTTAGCCCCAGATTTTTAGATGTTTATATTTTGCTTTTTATTGAGTAGTTTCCACACAAAAAAGTTATCTATTTGAATTTAACATTAGTTTTTATCTTATTACAGTTTGTCTGTTCACTAATTAGACACTTTGCAAAATGTAGTGTCCGTAGCCCTAAGTACAGGGCACACGAGTCAGTTGCCTTGATATTGATCTTTGCACTTGTTGGATTACAAGTTTGCCCTATACTACTATCTAAAAGTTTTAAAAGGATTTGATAAAACTTACTAGATATTGATTACCAGGTGTTTTCAGAAGAGAAACGGCTACTTTCAGTTTGTTTACTTCATTTTCATGTTTCATCTGCTTTCTCAGACAGGGAAAAAGGCCCTATTGGGCCCAGTCAAATAGAACACATACCTGCCCGGTGTCTAGCCGGGAGCGCCACATTTCAGAAATGGCTATTGCCGGTAGGGCCACATTTCCAGCTGAGTGCATTTCACCTATTCTAGCGGGTAATTAATTAATCCGATTACCGATACCTTTAAATGAGTGTCCCACATTTAAATTACTAAGCGTGGTGTTCTTTAGAGATACCTTTAAATGAGTATCTCACATTTAAATTACGAAGCGTGGTGTTCTTTAGAGATACCTTTAAATGAGTATCTCACATTTAAATACTGCTGAAAAAATTGCTGAATACACTGTCAATTTCAAGAGACATTTTATATAGCTTCAATGTTATATAACATTTTGTAGTGTCCGTAGCCCATGGGATGTTTATCATGTGTTTGAGGCAAAACCGAATTAAAATAAGAAAAGAAATTTCAGGCCAAGTATAGATTTCAGTGCAAGTATAGAGGTTTTATTTACTTACACCACTAAGCGCTTTAATTGCACTTGTTGTTTCAACAAAAAGTGCAACAAACATGTTCCCCCTGATTGTGACCAGACCGATAGCATACATTTTGATAACTTACCCATACTCTCCTGTGCTTTAAAATGAGATCATTTTTTACACGATATACGACTTTTCCATTGGACGTGGGGTCGGCCTCATGAACTCAAAACTGACGTTCATGAGGACACATTTTGACGTTCATACGGTTTTCACGGGACTGTGTTATCATAATTACGCAAGGGGCACAGGTTGCCCACTCGCCTAAGGCACCGGAACTCGCTGAGCAGAGCTGCGTCCCTTTGGCACACCAGAAACCTGCGTGTGGCTGGTCGTTCAGAAATACGACAAGAACCATGTTCACTCAACTGTCAATTTATTCTACAGCTGCATCCGGAAGTGTTTCATCAAACTCTCCGCCTTGTCAATGCTGCGCCTGACCACATCGGGAGCATCCTGAAAGTCGAGAATCGTTAAGTGGAGAAACCATCCAAATGTCAGTATTAGGTTTGCTGTTTGCTTGTTGTTTAACGATGTACTCAGCAATATTACAGCTATATGACGCCGGTCTGTAAATAATCGAGTGACTAATCCAGTGATTGACATCATGAGCATTGATCTTCACAATTGGAATCTGATGACATGCATCAACCAAGTCAGCGAGCCTGACCACCCGATCCCGTTAGTCGCCTCTTACCACAAGCATTGGTTGCTGAAGACCTAGTCTAACCAAGATAGTCACATGGGTATTTTGGGATGTTGATTAACTGGGCTTACATTAGGAGGAATAGAGATGCAGTTGCTGGGGACATTGAAGACGCTCATGTTTCTGATCCCAGGCTGGAAGTTGGTTATGACGTAGAGAATATCCGCGAAACCTGCAAAAAGTCAGAATTTTTTTAATCTTTCACAATGAATTGTCGTTTGAAAAAGAGCAAACGACCGTATAGCGACTGAGTGAGTGAGTGAGTTGGGTTTAACGCCGCTTTTAACATTATTCCAATAATATCGCGGCGTGTCAGCTTAATGTGGGAGGAAAGCCCGAAGTGATGCAGGTCTCAGACGTTTACCACTTCGGTGAAACCCACGAGCACGGGTATGGTGCTGACAAACCTAGAAACATAATCGGGGTGAACCGGCATTCGAACCCACAATCATAGGTTTTTGGTGTGTCCAGGGGACGCAACTCTGCACAACGAATCGCGGCGCCTTAGACGACTGGGCCACCAGTGCCCCCACCGTATAACGAGTGTTATATGACCACACATCGTCAGTACTTTGCGGGTATATGCACACTACATTCCTCTGTCACCCATGATCTCACACATGGTGAGTCGCTATTTTTTACCACCAAATCAGGACATGCCCTGGTTCAAACAGCGAGAGAAAAACCTGTGATATGATAAGCCATGCTGTGTCTATATTAAACGGACACATTTAGTTATAAATTGGTGACAATTAAACTAAATATATTTTAAACAATTCCTCCTGTAGTTCATATATTGAAATCCTCTTTATGCATAATTTTGTATTATGTCACTTAGTTTAGGGTTAAAGGGTTTGGTTTGGTCCAGAGATAAGATAAGGTCTAGGGATAAGGTTATGGGAAGCGATAAGGTTAGGGATAGGGATAAGATTAGGTCTAGGATAAGGTTATGGATAAGGTTAGGTCTAGAGATCAGGTTAGGTCTAGGAATAAGGTTAGGTCTAGGGATCAGGTTAGGTCTAGGGATCAGGTAAGGTCTAGGGATAAGGTTAGGTCTAGGGATCAGGTTAGGTCTAGGGATCAGGTTAGGTCGAGGGATCAGGTTAGGTCGAGGGATCAGGTAAGGTCTAGGATAAATTTAGAGATAGGGATAAGGTTAGGGATAGGGTTATGTCTAGGGATCAGGTTAGGTCTTGGGGTAAGGTTAGGTCTAGGGATAAGGGTAGGTCTAGGATCAGGTTAGGGATAGGGATCAGGTAAGGTCTAGGATAAGGTTGGGTCTAGGATAAATTTAGAGATAGGGATAAGGTTAGGTCTAGGGATCAGGATAGGTCTAGGGATAAGGTTAGGTCTAGGGATCAGGTGAGGTCGAGGGATCAGGTTAGGTCGAGGGATCAGGTAAGGTCTAGGATAAGCTTAGGGATAAGGCTAGGTCTAAGGATCAGGTTAGGTCTAGGGATCAGGTTAGGTCTTGGGGTAAGGTTAGGTCTAGGGATAAGGGTAGGTCTAGGATGAGGTTAGGGATAGGGATCAGGTTATGTCTAGGGATAAGGTTAGGTCAAGGATAAGGTTAGGTCTAGGTTTAAAGTTGCTTTGTTGTTTTTTGTTTACCGCTGTTGTTTGTTGTTTTAGTCACCAATATTTCAGCTATATCACGGGAATCTTGGCTAGTCAAACCACTTATTAATATTATAAGCAAAGTTCAACTCCGCCTGGGGTACAATAACAAGCATTCAACCATGTCATCGAGCAAGATCACACAACACATCAAGCCGTCTTTAGGACAAGCACAGGTTACTGGAGACCTATTTTGACACGGGCTAGGGCGAGGGTTAGGTTTAGTGTTAGGGCTATCTTAGTCTGTATGTAAATTTCAGCCCCTCAACCGGAAATAAAGGACTGGGCAGGTCCTCACCTGAAGTACAATTAATTACAGGATTTCGACTGGTACACTGATTATAATGCCACATCTAGCATACCTCCTTGGAGGGTGCCAAAGAATGATTCGAAAATAGGAATGCATCCGTGATCCGTCACAGAGAGTCGCACAACATTGTCAGTTCCAGGTGCCAAGAACTGCCAGGTTGTGAAGGGAATCGCCTTGACGCCAAATCCGATATAGCTTTCTCGTATCTTGACAGCATCGTCTGAAAAATCCAGTTTTGACAATATAATAAGATGGACACTGGTTCCACATCAACAGTAAAAAAGCATATCATTTGAATTAATGACAGACATTTGTGGAATGTACAATGTCTGTCTGCCTGTCTGTCCGTCTGTGTGTCTGTCATTTGGATCTTGAGATCTTTACAACTGTTGTTGATTTAAACAGACACCATACAGGCTATTTGAATGGGGGCATAAACAAAAGCATTTATGTGAGCAACCAGAAATTATAATAAAAGCCATTCCATAGCCAAGGGAATCGATTGTATGATCCCTAATGTATCGTGAGCATGTGTTTATGAATCACTATCAAATAGTAGTGGTACCAGGGCCCATTTGCACAGAACAATCTTAGTGCTAAGACTATCGTAAGCCATGTTAAAGTATGGGAGTTATGATCATCATTGCGCTAAGATCGTTTTGTGCAAGTGGGCCCCGGTGTTCGCGAAAAGGTGAGCGTATCCTGCCCCATCCGTGGCACCCGTCACAAACACATGCAAACACTTGTAGAAGTTACTCCGATATTTTGTTTTAATATTGAGTAGAGTGCAGATTTCTGAAGAAAAGAAACACTGCGAGGTGTGAAATGTTTTCATTGTATCGAGACGCTAGGTGCTTTTGGGGAGGCGTCTAAGTGTGACAAACAAAATGAACTTCTTCGATTGCCAAATGTTTCGTTAAGTGAAATGTATTACTTGTCACACCTTTCTGTGGTGAAAGATGTATGTTGAAGAACAACAAGTGGTAAGGTGAAATGGGGTTTGACGTCGCGTCCAAGAATATTGTACTTATAGAGCGTCGTGCATGTATGTGTGTGTGTGTCTGCTTGTACTTGTCGGACTGATAACGATTTATAGTGCTAGCACACTGAGATACCATGCCGCAGTTTAACAGGAATACTCTACTCAGACACAGGATACTGACTCCGAGCCGACCAGTACTTGTTTTAGCCCCCTAATGCCGAACGCCAGGCAGGGTAACACAAAGTACGTATGACGCGGCCGGGGATCGAACCCCGGACCTTCCGATCTCCGGGCGGACGCTCTACCACTAGACCACAGAGGGGGTCTGGAAGACATACAACCAAGCAGTTCGTCGTTCAGCAGAGATATTCGAAAGACAAAAAAGATATATTTCGTTATTGATATGATAAGAAAGAAATGAAAATAATGATAACCTCACCTGGTATGCAGGTCTCTATGAAGGGAGCAGTATCTTCCATCAAGTAACATGCATACTTCGTCAGTATGGTCATTTTCTTCTATTAAATTATAGAGCAAAAGAGTATAGTTACAGAAAATAAAGAGGTTCCAAATGCACTAGCAAAATAATTTATGCCGAATTTAAGTGCACTAATATAGTGATGTGCATGCATATATCTGTGCTTGTGTGTGTGTGTGTGCGTGCGTGCGTGCGTGTGTGTGTGTGTGTGTGTCTGTCTGTCTGTGTCTGTGTGCGTGTCTGTACCGTATTGTCATCGAGGATGACGTTGGTGGTTTGGTTGGTGCCGTTGGTGAAGAACATCGTTACTTCAATTGCCATCTTCCTTGAATAGGCGTCATAGCTGATGATGTTGACGCCCTGTATAAAAGGCAAACAGGGGACACTGATGCTTGGGTGAAATGTTTTACATTGTGGACTAACTAAGGTTCCCCCATTTCCCAATGTACATCATAACCTATTTTTCAGAATATATGTTAATCATACACTTCATATGGGGCGGTCGGATAGCCTCGTGGTTAAAGCGTTCGCTCGTCACGCCGAAACCCGGGTTCGATTCCCGACATGGGTACAATGTGTGAAGCCCATTCCTGGTGTCTCCCGCCGGGATATTGCTGGAATATTGCCAAAAGCGGCGTAAAATCAAACTCACTCACTCACTTCTTATGACGAACGTTTAGCTGGAGAAAGTTTGTCCCCACAAGTAATAGTCTCTACAAACTTCTTTGAGTGGCATTTAGAAGTTGGAATGGTAACTAAGACAAAATTGTTATGGGTGAGCAACTTCTTTATTACAATTGGGCGACGTTTCGGTGTAGATTCTAACACCGTTATCAAGCAAAATGATCAGTTCTTTGCCACTAACTAATTTGCTTGAGCATCAGTCTGGTTGATTGTTCTCGCAGGTTTAACGCTGCTTTGAGCAAGCAGTATGTCAGTAATATCATGACATTGCACAAGGACCGCGTAACCTACTAGCACTAGAGCCACTATTGTGTGAGCAAAACTTAGAATCAATATCATGGCGATTATAGGAATCATATCCACTGTTGGGTTTGGGCAGATCGTCTGGACTGGGCGCCGCCATTTTGTTTGAAACAAATGCAAGTGATACGAGAAGTTGAATCTGACTGATCCATGGGAGAGGCAAGCTCCTCACAGCGATAGCCCGTTCGCGGAGCTCTCTATACTATCGCGATGTTACGGTACCGAGAGTGTAACGAAGGTGTCACGCGCTGGGAAGGAGCTTGTAGGAGAGGCAAAGAAAGGACATAACTCGGAATAACCACTGGTGGCGCTTCGATCGAGCCCAGGAATTCCAGCATAGTTCGTCTCGGGAAGATGTCTCTAAGAAGCACTGCGATACCACCTGGGTAACTTCCCCTGGCATCGCTAAGTGAATTTCTTACACTAGTCAGACTTTTGAGAAATGATGCTGTAATTATTGAAGTAGCTGGAAATATCAAGTCCTGTATCCATGTTTCCGTTAATCCTATAGTGTCAAATGTATAGTCCATAAAACAGTATCATCGATTTTATTGTTACTTTCTTTCTTTGTTGTTTAACGCCGCACTATTCCAGCTATATGATGGCGGTCTGTAAATAATCCAGTCTGGACAATCCAGTGATTGACATCATGAGCATTGGGGTACGATGACATGCATCAATCAAATCGACCCTGACCCCCCGATCCCGTTAGTCGCCTCTTACGACATGCATAGTCGCCTTTTACGGCAAGCATGGGTTGTTGGAGACCTATTCTACCCTGGATCTTCACGGGTTTCGATTTTATTGAGGAGTCCTTCGATATTCCAAAATGCATATTATTTTATTACTTCAGGAGACCAGGCCGAGTCCCTATGTAGATAATGCGACTGCGCCGCTAGACTGTCTACTATTTATTTCATTGGCTTATGTTAATCAAGCAAACTATAGCTATAGAGGAGATTTCCATGCATGCAAGTTTACGCAAGAAATATTGTAGAAATCATTCAGAAAACGTTATGAGATAATCTTGTTTTCTCACGCATCCTCTGTTACTGAGGTGAGGGAATAATTTTATAAATGGTAAAATAACGCACATGACTTGTCAAATATCTTCACACAAATAAGGCCGCCTTTGTGGTCATGTTGTTGAGCGTCCGCCCGGAGAGCGAAAGGTCCCGGCCGCGTCATACCAAAAGACATTAAAAGATGGTACTTGTTGTTGCTCTGCTTGGCGCTCGGCATTAATGTTAAACTGCGGCATGGTATCTCAGTGGGATACAACTATGAATCGGCATCAGTCCGGACTGGTACAAGCAGACGCACACACACATGCACGTTCCTACATAAGTGCAATAATCTTGGGCGCGACGTTAAACCCCATTTCACCTCTCCTCACTACATGAACGTAATAATAATAATAATAATAATTATGTAGTAATATTAACCCAAATGTACGTGTCTGATTGCGTTACAGGTTTGGCACAACAACAAACCCTGCAAGGAGATATGTTGTTGTTAGATCTTTCATGTATACGTACATTTAGCAATGCAGGTGCGGCCTGTCCATTACTTGGGAATATTCCGCCCCCAACTTCGCCAAACCTGGCCTCAAACTGGCGGTCTGTGCAACATGGAGTTGCTGCCAACGTTGATGTAACGATGATGGCAGACAACAAGAAGGACAGCATTGTAACACTGTGATGAATGCCAATGTTCCCACGTCACAGGAAAGCTGGAGGCCACGGGTTAAAAGTCGCATTGGTAAATGTAAGATAACATGACATAAATAGAAAAGACAAAACCATTTCACTATTACAGGAAATCTCTGGTAAAAGCAGTTATAAAAGTAAAAGTATGTTGTACCATTCCAACTACGTTTATAACGAACACGCTTATTACGAACTGACGGGTATAACGAACTCACTTTCTTGTCCCGACTATATGCTGTAGTTATGCCGTATATATGCTTATAACGAACTACGGCTATGACGAACTAAAATTAGTGGTCCCTTTGAGTTCGTAATAACCGTAGTTTACTGTATATCATGAGCATTTGTTTATGAAACACTATCAAATAATGATGATACCAGATGTTTGCGAAAAAACGAGCGTATCCTGCCCGACCGGTGGCATCCGCCACAATGTTAAAACAATGTCAAAATAGTCAATCAAAAACAAAGATCAAACCATTTTATATATACAGTCAAGTCTCGTTAATCCGACATCGTTGGTTGCACATGATTGTGTCAGATGAACGAGTATGTCGGATTAACGAAATTAAGTGATTTGTGATCGAAAATCGGACGTCTTCACGATAGATAATAACCGTGTGTGTACCTTGTAATAAAATCATTAAAAACGAAATATTAATATTGTTATGTTGTTTATTCATTCATTCCTTAATTTATAATTAATGACTGTGCAAAAATAATAATAATTTTCCCATTTATACATAACAATAGAGACATTACTCACTGAATTTATCACATGATCAACGACACACGTTTCCTCGTGTAAATGCAAGTGCTACTGTCTTAACAACTTGCTTCATCTACTTAAAATAGTCTGTCAGTGTTTTCTGTTTCTAACATTTTGAAGGCACATTTCGCAAAGTCCCCTGCTCGCTTGACGTCTAGGGCTTGTGGTTCTTCAGCATCAACATTGTCGAGGTGTAATTTCATTTGCTGTTTCTTATAATAAAGCTTGAAATTCTTTATGATCCCGGCATCCCGGCTGAATGTGCGATGTGGTGTTTGTTGGCAAAAAGTGACATTTCACATTAGTTATGTCGACAGTAGCATGGGATGGGGCGTTGTCCAACAGCAATACCACTTGGCGTTCCCGAAGCAACCCTATCAGATGAAAACAAACTAAACGTTATTCTTTGTTTTGATGGTTACCTTTTTAACCGATCACCTCTGTGGTCTAGTGGTAGAGCGTCCGCCCGGAGAGCGGGAGGTCCGGGGTTCGATACCCGGCCGCGTCATACCAAAGATGGTACTTGTTGTTACTTGTTGTTACCCTGCCTTGCGCTCGGTATTAAGGGGCTAAAACAAGGACTGGTCGGCTCGGAGTCAGTATACTGTGTCTGAGTGGGGTATTCATGTTAAACTGCAGCATGGTATCTCAGTGTGCTAGCACTATAAATCGACATCACTCCGGACTAGTACAAGCAGCTCTCGCCCCACACACACGTACATGCACGTCGCTATATAAGTGCAATATTCTTAGACGCGACGTCAAACGCCATTTCACCTTACCACTTGTTGTCCCTCAACATACATCTTTCACCACAGAAAGGTGTGACAAGTAATACATTTCACTTAATGAAACATTTGGCAATCGAAGAAATTCATTTTGTTTGTCACACTTAGACGCCTCCCCAAAAGCCCACAGGGTGTCGATACAATGAAAACATTTCACACCTCGCAGCGTTTCTTTTCTTCAGAAATATGCACTCTACTCGATATTAAAACAAAATATCGGAGTAACTTCTACAAGTGTTTGCATGTGTTTGTGACGGGTGCCACGGGTGGGGCAGGATACGCTCACCTTTTCGCGAACACCTGGTACCATTACTATTTTATAGTGATTCATAAACACATGCTCACGATACATTAGGGATCATACAATCGATTCCCTTGGCTATGGAAAGGGTTTTTGTGCTTTTATTATAATTTCTGGTTGCTCATGTAAATGCTTTAGTTCATGCCCCCATTTAAATGGCCTGTATGTTGTCTGTTCAAATGAACAGTTGTAAAGATCTCCTCATCCAAATGACAGACAGTCAGACGGACAGACAGGCAGACAGACATTTGTACATCCACATAGCACACCGCACGTCGCTGTATAAGTGCAATAATCTTGGATGCGACGTTTAACCACATTTCACCTCGCCCTTTTAACCTAGCTATTAACCTATTTAACCGACTTTCGATTCAGAATGACATGTGTTTATCATGTAGGGGGGCATGAAGTGCATTACCGTTACTGTCAGGTCTAGGGTTGAGCTGGACATATAATTTACATTTTAGCAATGTTTCCATAACAGAGTTCCTTATCATCAACATGTTTCTTGTCTTAACCACTCCCTTGTCAATGGTCTAAAAAGGATTTGAGATATGGTTATGAAAATGAGCACACATGTGTTGCTTAAAAGGGGACTGCTCTAACGTAATTCCCCGGCACTGGTTGTTGCCTTTGTTATTGTTTTTCTCCGTGAGTACCCGGATGATACATGCAGAAATCTAGACAAGTTCGCGACCTGTGCTGCGTCATTCGTAGGCGCATCTATCACTTTCATTGATAGTATAAGGGCGTATGGTCACATTGATCAACAAAATGAAATACAGTTTTGGAAATAAATAAGGAAATGTAGGTATCTTTGTGGGTAGCATCGCTAATGGTGACGAAGTTTTGATAAGTCACTTGCTTGGTAATTGTGCGATTTTCGTTTACACTATTTTGACTTGTAACACAAAGTATTTCCCCTGAGCAGTGCTTATTTTATCGTGTTTAGATTTGTACAGTAAAAATGTGCAAAATTTTCACTCAGAAAATTTATTAAACGTTATTTTACAAATTGGATGAAAATATGTCCATCTGTATTATTATGATAACGAATTCCAAACATTTTTTATGTTTAATATCATCACCAAGTGATTTCTTTATTGTCTGGCTTCTAATCCTTGAATAATTAATCTATTGTGATGTTTCTAACCGTCTTAATCATTTTTAGTCAATCTGTTAAATAAATGGACATATTTTTCAGTCAATTTGTAAAACGATTGAAATATTAAGACATTTTATAAATTGCCTGAGTAAATCACATTTTACAAATTGACTGTAATATACACAGGACTACAAAGGAAAAGACTTGTGAAAACAACGTCTGTCGCGCATCGAAGAACATCCCAACCAAGACGTAGAGGAACAAGAATGAATCTGTCAAATGCTACAGCAAATGAAGGAAACCAAATGCATATTTACAACCTACCAAGTTTATATGTATAATTTTAGGCAGCTTCCTTGTTCGAGGAATGTATCCGTGAATATACACATAAAGGAACAATATCCCACACGTCTGCAGCTGTACAAAGATAAATATTCGATGCCACGTGTCTCTAAATTAATCAAATATTTCAAAATATATATACGGTTCAGGTATATGATAACCCGTGTTCGTTTCTCAACTGATTACTTAGTTTATTTCAGGAGTTTCACCTAGGTGTCAAGTTTCAAAGGTCAGCTGAGAAAGCCCACGTGACAATTATTTTCATAATGTCCACTGAGTTAGATAACAATGGGCAATCAATCAACATATAATCGGTTAACCCTTTGAACAAAGTAAGTTGTTTTTATATCGGCACTACACGCTATGATATGAGTGTATTCCCTTTGCTTCAGAAAAGCTACATATGTAAACACTTACTTTTGACATATCTACTGTGCAAGATAACAGTGATTAATCAATCAACGTATTTTCTGTTGATCCTTTGATGGCTAGGAATGATCCGTTGATTTACAAAAATGTAAATCAACTGATCATTTATCTCTGTATATTACATAACACACATTTCATCTCACTTCAAACCTAGATTTAGATTGAATAATTACCCCAGACACAAGAAAATGCCAAATGGGAACCTTTATCGGGTAATCTGAGCGGTGCTACCACTTTTATACCTGTAATAAATTCATTAACTGAGCATCAAGTAAATTACGACAAATACACAAGTGTAGGGTTATACAAGAAAACGTAGATGACAACAAGGGAGTAGTAATCATATTGTCCACGCAATCCGAAATCCGAAATTGCTTTTACTGCAGGGATACTTTTTTTATTTTCAAATTATAACCATCAGGGGTATTTCCAAATGACGACATCCGATGAGCTTCGGTCGTTCTTTTTGTCTGTTTGTTTAGGCTGTAGAAATCAATCAACATGTGCCCTTTGTCAAAATCTTCATAGATCACAGTAACCAATCAGTGTTCAAAAATGCGTTAAACAAATATTGCGTCCAAGATTATTTAGGCTGTCTTTACAGACGGTAGCCCAGTCACTTGTCACACTCAGTTGCGTTAGCGAGCAAATCGACTCACGGCAGCTATTGAGCCCCAGAGGCCAGTGTCAGACAGCCGAGAAGAAGCCAGATATTAGTGCCCCTTTAACAGTTCCTGTATAATATGACATCATCCATGCATATCGGAACATACGCCCTATTCATTTTTATTTTAGTACTTCTTGCAGCACCATTTGGCTTTAACCAACATGAATGCAGATCAGTTCATCATCAAGGATGAATAGTCAGGAAAGTCAAGTAGAGTCATTGTACTTTACTTAAGAAATAAACGACTCGTGGTCGTTGTTTATCGTACAATAAAACGCTGCAGGGAGAATAAAGCATGAGGGCCCAGCCCCAAGTGGTTTATTCTCCCTGCAGTGTGTTTTATTGTACGATAAACAACGATCACGAGTCGTTTATTCCTTATATGAGATAAACTTTATGTAAAGCCTTTTTAAGGATGATGATGAAATGTACACGCTTTAAGATATTTACCCGTATTTTAATAATGATGACTCCCTCAACAGAATCCGACCTCGGATGTCGGACATGTCCATTTTATGCACAGGTACGTTTTTGCCGCATATTCTCACAATCCTCTATCCGATTTCTCCAAATACCGATTGCCATATCTCTCCCGCTTTTGGATGCGATCGTTGGGCGACTGCGTCTGTCTGCGTTGCCAAGCTACATCCATGGGGACCAATTCACTAGACACTCCCCTCTCAAAATTAACGTCGTCCAATCTACGACGTTATCAAGTGGCGAGCGCATGTTCGAATCACCAGAAGTGACGTCATGATAAAACAATGTTTTATCGTGAAATACACCCCACTACTTTCTTCTTTGCGATTTATCGCGTAGCTATCTCATATTAGAAGTTACTTACATTTGTGTTTGTTCGCAGTTGAATTCATGATGCAGGATATACATACTTTGTCATTAATTCCAGCGTTGAAGTGTGGCGCACATATGATATGCTTTACACTGTGTAGATTCCACATTCGATGAAAGCAATGACATGACAATGTATTAGCTAACAAAAACCAGAACAAGCTATAGTAATATTTTAGCTATATCATGAGCATGCGTTTATCAATCACAATCAAATAGTGATGATACCAGGTGTTCGCGAAAAGGTGAGTGTACCCTGCCCTTCAGTTGGCAACCGTCACAAACACATGCAAAAGCAAGTCAATTGTTCACCTGAAACATATTCTGATTCACGGGAACATATGACAAGTCAAAATAGAGAATTGCATCGAACATAACTTTCGTCACTTATGCGTCAATTTGGAAATGTCCTCCACATGTCTACCATAAACCATTCGGAAAACCCACTGAGGCCGTATTGCGTTTTTTGAAGTCTTTGTAGAAAGAGCATGCTCGATTGTACCTCAAAAGTTGCTAAATGTAGACACCAAAGGCTGGAGCTGCTGGAATATTGCTGTTGTGTATGCATAGATATAAATTTGAAACAGGTGAGGCGGTTTCGCTGGTCTCTTTAAGTTATGGCTCAGGGTGCCTTTGTACAAAGCGTTCTCAGCGGTGAGGTGGTCGTAATGGCAGTACTAGCGCTAAGGTGATCGTAACTCCCATACCTTAACATAGACTTATGGCAGTCGTAGCGCTAAGGTGATCGTAACTCCAATACCTTAACATAGACTTATGGCAGTCGTAGCACTAAGGTGATCGTAACTCCCATACCTTAACATAGACTTATGGCAGTCGTAGCGCTAAGGTGATCGTAACTCCCATACCTTAACATAGACTTATGGCAGTCGTAGCGCTAAGGTGATCGTAACTCCCATACCTTAACATAGACTTATGGCAGTCGTAGCGCTAAGGTGATCGTAACTCCCATACCTTAACATAGACTTATGGCAGTCGTAGCGCTAAGGTGATCGTAACTCCTATACCTTAACATAGACTTATGGCAGTCGTAGCGCTAAGGTGATCGTAACTCCCATACCTTAACATAGACTTATGGTAGTCGTAGCACTAAGGTGATCGTAACTCCCATACCTTAACATAGACTATGGCAGTCGTAGCGCTAAGGTGATCGTAACTCCCATACCTTAACATAGACTTATGGCAGTCGTAGCGCTAAGGTGATCGTAACTCCCATACCTTAACATAGACTTATGGCAGTCGTAGCGCTAAGGTGATCGTAACTCCAATACCTTAACATCGACTTATGGCAGTCGTAGCGCTAAGGTGATCGTAACTCCCATACCTTAACATAGACTTCCGACAGTCGTAGCGCTAAGGTGATCGTAACTCCTATACCTTAACATAGACTTATGGTAGTCGTAGCGCTAAGGTGATCGTAACTCCCATACCTTAACATAGACTTATGGTAGTCGTAGCGCTAAGGTGATCGTAACTCACATACCTTAACATAGACTTATGGCAGTCGTAGCGCTAAGGTGATCGTAACTCCCATACCTTAACCTAGACTTATGGCAGTCGTAGCACTAATGTGATCGTAACTCACATACCTTAACATAGACTTATGGCAGTCGTAGCGCTAAGGTGATCGTAACTCCCATACCTTAACATAGACTTATGGCAGTCGTAGCGCTAATGTGATCGTAACTCACATACCTTAACATAGACTTATGGCAGTCGTAGCGCTAAGGTGATCGTAACACCCATACCTTAACATAGACCTATGGCAGTCGTAGCGCTAAGGTGATCGTAACTCACATACCTTAACATAGACTTATGGCAGTCGTAGCGCTAAGGTGATCGTAACACCCATACATTAACATAGACTTATGGCAGTCGTAGCGCTAAGGTGATCGTAACTCCCATACCTTAACATAGACTTATGGCAGTCGTAGCGCTAAGGTGATCGTAACTCCCATACCTTAACAAAGACCAATGGCAGTCGTAGCACTAAGGTGATCGTAACTCCCATACATTAACATAGACTTATGGCAGTCGTAGCGCTAAGGTGATCGTAACTCCCATACCTTAACATAGACCTATGGCAGTCGTAGCGCTAAGGTGATCGTAACTCCCATACATTAACATAGACTTATGGCAGTCGTAGCGCTAAGGTGATCGTAACTCCCATACCTTAACATAGACTTATGGCAGTCGTAGCACTAAGGTGATCGTAACTCCCATACCTTAACATAGACTTATGGCAGTCGTAGCGCTAAGGTGATCGTAACTCCCATACCTTAACATAGACTTATGGCAGTCGTAGCGCTAAGGTGATCGTAACTCCTATACCTTAACATAGACTTACGACAGTCGTAGCGCTAAGGTGATCGTAACTCCCATACCTTAACATAGACTTATGGCAGTCGTAGCGCTAAGGTGATCGTAACTCCCATACCTGAACATAGACTTATGGCAGTCGTAGCGCTAAGCTGATCGTAACTCCCATACCTTAACATAGACTTATGGCAGTCGTAGCGCTAAGGTGATCGTAACTCCCATACCTTAACATAGACTTATGGCAGTCGTAGCGCTAAGGTGATCGTAACTCCCATACCTTAACATAGACTTATGGCAGTCGTAGCGCTAAGGTGATCGTAACTCCCATACCTTAACATAGACTTATGGCAGTCGTAGCACTAAGGTGATCGTAACTCCCATACCTTAACATCGACTTATGGCAGTCGTAGCGCTAAGGTGATCGTAACTCCCATACCTTAACATAGACTTCCGACAGTCGTAGCGCTAAGGTGATCGTAACTCCTATACCTTAACATAGACTTATGGTAGTCGTAGCGCTAAGGTGATCGTAACTCCCATACCTTAACAAAGACCAATGGCAGTCGTAGCACTAAGGTGATCGTAACTCCCATACATTAACATAGACTTATGGCAGTCGTAGCGCTAAGGTGATAGTAACTCCCATACCTTAACATAGACCTATGGCAGTCGTAGCGCTAAGGTGATCGTAACTCCCATACATTAACATAGACTTATGGCAGTCGTAGCGCTAAGGTGATCGTAACTCCCATACCTTAACATAGACTTATGGCAGTCGTAGCACTAAGGTGATCGTAACTCCCAGACCTTAACATAGACTTATGGCAGTCGTAGCGCTAAGGTGATCGTAACTCCCATACCTTAACATAGACTTATGGCAGTCGTAGCGCTAAGGTGATCGTAACTCCTATACCTTAACATAGACTTACGACAGTCGTAGCGCTAAGGTGATCGTAACTCCCATACCTTAACATAGACTTATGGCAGTCGTAGCGCTAAGGTGATCGTAACTCCTATACCTTAACATAGACTTATGGCAGTCGTAGCGCTAAGGTGATCGTAACTCCCATACCTTAACATAGACTTATGGCAGTCGTAGCGCTAAGGTGATCGTAACTCCTATACCTTAACATAGACTTATGGCAGTCGTAGCGCTAAGGTGATCGTAACTCCCATACCTTAACATAGACTTATGGTAGTCGTAGCACTAAGGTGATCGTAACTCCCATACCTTAACATAGACTATGGCAGTCGTAGCGCTAAGGTGATCGTAACTCCCATACCTTAACATAGACTTATGGCAGTCGTAGCGCTAAGGTGATCGTAACTCCCATACCTTAACATAGACTTATGGCAGTCGTAGCGCTAAGGTGATCGTAACTCCCATACCTTAACATAGACTTATGGCAGTCGTAGCGCTAAGGTGATCGTAACTCCCATACCTTAACATAGACTTATGGCAGTCGTAGCACTAAGGTGATCGTAACTCCCATACCTTAACATCGACTTATGGCAGTCGTAGCGCTAAGGTGATCGTAACTCCCATACCTTAACATAGACTTCCGACAGTCGTAGCGCTAAGGTGATCGTAACTCCTATACCTTAACATAGACTTATGGTAGTCGTAGCGCTAAGGTGATCGTAACTCCCATACCTTAACATAGACTTATGGTAGTCGTAGCGCTAAGGTGATCGTAACTCCTATACCTTAACATAGACTTATGGCAGTCGTAGCGCTAAGGTGATCGTAACTCCCATACCTTAACATAGACTTATGGCAGTCGTAGCGCTAATGTGATCGTAACTCCCATACCTTAACATAGACTTATGGCAGTCGTAGCGCTAAGGTGATCGTAACTCCCATACCTTAACATAGACTTATGGCAGTCGTAGCGCTAATGTGATCGTAACTCACATACCTTAACATAGACTTATGGCAGTCGTAGCGCTAAGGTGATCGTAACACCCATACCTTAACATAGACTTATGGCAGTCGTAGCGCTAAGGTGATCGTAACTCACATACCTTAACATAGACTTATGGCAGTCGTAGCGCTAAGGTGATCGTAACACCCATACATTAACATAGACTTATGGCAGTCGTAGCGCTAAGGTGATCGTAACTCCCATACCTTAACATAGACTTATGGCAGTCGTAGCGCTAAGGTGATCGTAACTCCCATACCTTAACAAAGACCAATGGCAGTCGTAGCACTAAGGTGATCGTAACTCCCATACATTAACATAGACTTATGGCAGTCGTAGCGCTAAGGTGATCGTAACTCCCATACCTTAACATAGACCTATGGCAGTCGTAGCGCTAAGGTGATCGTAACTCCCATACATTAACATAGACTTATGGCAGTCGTAGCGCTAAGGTGATCGTAACTCCCATACCTTAACATAGACTTACGACAGTCGTAGCGCTAAGGTGATCGTAACTCCCATACCTTAACATAGACTTACGACAGTCGTAGCGCTAAGGTGATCGTAACTCCCATACATTAACATAGACTTATGGCAGTCGTAGCGCTAAGGTTGTTTTGTTCAACGGCACCCAGGTGTGTAGATCTGTGGAAGGGAATTGGCTATTTGACCATCATTTAACGATGGTGTTGCAGATGGATTCATTACTAGATGGCGTTACAGATGAATATATTACCAGATGGTGTCGCAGAAGAATTCATTACGAGGTAGTATTCAAGATGGATCCATTACCAGATGGTGTCGCAGATGTATTCATTTCTAGATGTTGTTGCAGATAGATTCATAACTAGATGGCGTTGCAGATGAATTATTTACAAGATGGTGTTCCAGATGGATTCATTACTAGATGTTGTTGCAGATAGATTCATAACTAGATGGCGTTACAGATGAATATATTACCAGATGGTGTCGCAGATGTATTCATTTCTAGATGTTGTTGCAGATAGATTAATTACAAGATGGTGTTCCAGATGGATTCATTACTAGATGATGTCGCAGATGGATTCATTACAAGATGATGTTGCAGACTAGATGGTATTGAAGATGGATTCATTACAAGATGGTGTTCCAGATGGATTCACTACTAGATGATGTCGCAGATGGATTCATTACAAGATGGTGTTGCAGACTAGATGGTATTGAAGATGGATTCATTACAAGATGATGTTCCAGATGGATTCATTACTAGACGGTGTTACATGTGGATTACTTTACATTGTCTTTTTGCAGGTTATACTGTCCACGTTGTTCAAAATATGTCTGTATTGGTACAAGGCAACTGAGCAGTATGACTTCAGTGGATCAGTGATTCATTCTCATGTTGACTGATACATGGATAAACACGTACATGACTTTATAGTTGTGTTGACCATTCTTCGGCACTTTCAAATATGTTTTTAAAAGAAAATAAAGCCGTGTTTCAGAGTTCCGTTTATTGAGGGGGAAATGTTACCAGAGGGTGTGTCTTCACTGCGAGAACAATGTTTGGACGTGACGGACGGACCTGCCCACCGGGTTTGGTATCTGAAACAAATGGTGTAAATATATCAATTACAGTAAACTACGGTTATAACGAACTCAACGGGACTACTAATTTTAGTTCGTTATAACCGTAATTCGTTATAAGCATATATACAGCATAACTACAGCATATAGTCGGGACCAAAAAGTTAGTTCGTTATATCCGTTAGTTCGTTATAAGCGTGTTCGTTATAACCGTAGTTTGCTGTATAGCAAATGTACTTCTTCCGTAGACACGAGCATCAAGCAAATCAGGTCAACACTTTTTAATCTATAACAAAAATCGTCTTACAAGAACTTTACAACAATATAGAGAGTATGACAGGCAACTCCAAGTACTAGCCTACACTTACTACAGACTAACCCATTGCGTGCTAGATTTAGACATGTTTAGAGCATACATTTTGTGCATTAGCTATACAACGAATTAATAGATTGTTAATAGATTATTTCATAGAACCTTTGCATCACAATAAGCATCCTCGCCTCGAGTGAGTGAGTGAGTGGGGTTTTAACACCGCTTTGAACATTATTCCAGTTATATCACGGCGTGTCAGCTTATTGTGGGAGAAAAGCCCGAAGTGATGCAGGTCTCAGACGTTTACCACTTCGGTGAAACCCACGAGCACGGGTATGGTGCTGACAAACCTAGAAACATAATCAGGGCGAACCGGAATTCTAACCCACAATCATAGGTTTCTGGCGTGCCCAAGGGACGCGAGTCTGCACAGCGAATCGCGGCGCCTAAGACGACGGCCACTCGTTCCCCCTCCTCGTCTCGAAGTCATCAAGTTCTATATCTCTTATTCTACTGTAAACTGAAAGTCATAGCTGTTTATCACCTTGATAGAGCGGTGCCATAACCTAGTGGGAAAAGTGTTCGCTTGTCAGGCCAAGGACTTCGTTCATTTCTACACACCAATACAACGTGTGAAGCACCCTTGTGGTGTTCCTTACATTGGTCACTCACACAAAGGATGTCATCACGCGATACCACATGAAGACAGATCTTAGGTAACACTTGAACGGAATGCGTCACAAATGAAATCCCTTTCTGCAAACCATTCCAGTGTAATAGCAGCCTGTTAGACAAGATTGTCCGATAACGCAGGCTCGTTGTGGGAAAGGCAGAGCTTGGTAGTTATGTTTAATGGCGGCGTGGTGGGATGGTCCCATAACGTACTTATCGCCACTCGTTAAGGCTGTTTTCAGATCTCAATGTAAGTACAATATGAGAAACATATTTACCCGCCAATGCTCCAAGAATCAGAACGATAAAATAGGAGTTAGGCCTTGACTATAGCGGTGGTGAGGTGAGGTGACATGGGGTTTAACGTCGCGTCCAAGATTATTGCACTTATATAGCCACGTGCATGTACGTATGTGTGTTTGTGTGGCTGCTCGTACTAGTCCGGACGGATGCCGATTTATAGTGCTAGCTCACTGAGATACCATGCCGCAGTTTAACATGAATACCCCACTCGGACACAGTATACTGACTCCGAGCCGACCAGTCCTTGTTTTAGCCCCTTAATGACGAGCGCCAGACAGGGTAACAACAAGTACCATCTTTTAACGTCTTTTGGTCTGACGCGGCCGGGGATCGAGCACCGGACCTTCCGCTCTCCGGGCGGACGCTCTACCACTAGACCACGGAGGCGGTCTGACTATAGCGCCCATAAAGTAATGTCTCTGTGTGGCGTGTACTCACCGAAGATGACATCCGACATGCTTGGGAGACGTTGAACACGTCACTGTTTCGGAGTCCAGTTCGGAACTCACTGAAGACGTACACAAAGTTTGTCTCAATCGCTGCAAATAATAATATACAAAGTGCAAGACTAAAGAAATAAGCTTGAGGTTAGAACAGCAAGAAATGTATTCTGACAACAACATTATCCAGCAGTACTGTCTGGAACCACGAACAGGATTAACGATATGCTGTGGTCAAAATCAGTTATGGGTAATAACATTATTGCATCTTTCTTCCAGTGCAATGAAGCTGGGTTATAGTGAGTGAGTGCGTTGAGTTTATCGCCGCTTTTAACAGTTTTCGAGTTATATCACGGCGTGTCAGCTTAATGTGGGAGGAAAGCCTGAAGTGATGCAGGTCTCAGACGTTTACCACTGCGGTGAAACCCACGAGCACGGGTATGGTGCTGACAAACCTAAAGCATAATAGGGGCGAACCGGGATTCGAACCACAATCATAGTTTTCTGGCGTGTACAAGGGACGCAACTCTGCACAGCGAATCGCGGTGCCTTAGACGACAGGGTCACCCGTGCCCCCAAGCTGGGTTAGTATAGGCCCCAAATTACCCATGATGGTCGTAAGAGGAGACCTAATGGATGCATTCGTCCCCACTCGCCTCTTCCCGCAACCTGCAAGAAGACTCGTCCCCCTATCGAGGAATGTTATGGGCGAAAATACGACAAACCAATCAGAATGCGCTTAGACTTCAAACACTTCGGTCAAAGAATCCCCTAGGGACAAACATTGAATTTATACATGTCTTGCATCTAAAAATAAACCCTCGATACAGTTAAATGTGTTCAATCATACTTTATAAATACCGTAAGTCCCAATGTGTTTAAATAGCATCTGGACTATATATGACATGGGGGAAATATACATGAATCATTACGCAACGAGTTGACAATTCTTGTATCAATGCCCGTTTGCGCTTAGACGGAACCCAGTCGCAAAAATTGCCACGAGAGGGGCACGAGTCGCTATTCCGCTTGTCCCGGAAAAACACGAGTTAGTCACGAATGCTTATGGATGGGGAGGTCAGACTCGGTGACCTCGTTAATTGCGTGTCATCGTACCCCGGCGGCGGTAGATCGTGGCTCATAATATCAATCGCTGGATTCGACTAATTACAGGCCGCTGTCATCTAACTGGAACACTAATCGACAAATAAACATACGTATTAAAACAACATGTAGCTTTACATACTCTCTTTCCCATCATTCGTCTTTACGTGACCCACAAAAGACTCGACAATGGGTGTGCACCCCTCCTGCGTTAGGGCCACCTTGAGGGACTGGTCTGTGTTCTGGGGGTGGTACTCCCAGTTATTTAGAGCCAGCTTCGACGTGCCGTATCCCATGTACGTTGGCCCAATGTACTGAGCAGAGTCTGGCAAAATGATAATCAGCATATGAAACATTCACAAACCATGGTTTGGTCGAAATAAATCATATTCAGTGGTGTTTCTCCTTTATAGTTCCTGATGCTTACTGCTCGTGTACATTGTACATAGTTGAAAGACCTCAGTTCATACGAATTTATTGATAAATGAGAAAATAAATTCAACTATAGTGAGTGAGTATGGTTTTATGCCGCGTTTAGCAATATTCCAGCAAAATCAGGGCAGGGGACACCAGAAATGGGCTTCACACATTGAACCTATGTGGGGAATCGAAGCTGGGTCTTCGGCGTGACGAGCGAACTCTTTAACTACTAGGCTACCTCACCGAAATCCAATATTATGGGCTATAGGGCGTCAAAGATTGATCAGCAACTAGGTGTTCACAACTAGTGTGGTTTGCTTGGGGTTGTTTTAGAGTTGCTAAAATTAATATAACGTTTTACTGTGCGTTGTGGTCAAAGGAAGAAAAGTCTGTCCAAGAATTGATTCCATTTTTTTCTTATTTTTTAAAAAAACGAAAGAGGAACTAATAGTACGTACCAGGAACACACGGTTCTCGCATTGTCGTGGTCAGCGGGGTGTGGTAGCAATTGCCTTGATTTTGGATATACTGCCTTTTCTGCAGAAAAATTAGATGTTCTGGTAATTTTAGTTTAGCGATGTTCTGAATGGTGTCTTGAGTTATATATAGAAATCGTTAGTGTAAAGGTCGTATATAGGTTGTGGACGGTCGGCAACTGGATGACCCTGTGATCTGGTTATCACGCGAACAAGGTGCTGACAGACCATGGCCACAATGGGATATTCTTATATTTATCCTTCACAGCAACATTGCGTTGTCCAAGATGGACAAGAAGGCTTCCATTTGCATGTTGCATGCATAACCGATATATTTATATACACACATGTTAAATATGTAACATTGTCGCCTCCACGTGGAGGAAAGTGATACAGCTCTCAGTCGTCTACCACTTCAGTGAAACCAACGATCACGGGTATGGTGCTGACAAACATAGAAACATAATCAGGGTGAACCGGGATCATAGGTTTCCAGCACCCCTAGTGGACGCAACTCTGAATTGTAACAATAGTTCGTAAAAAATAATTTACACAGAAAAGTGGAAGTCCCGAAGAAACAACATCTTCCTAAGGCAAGTGAGTTGACTGACTATAACAGTCCAGTTTCCATCCTTGACTGGTATTATGGAGTTACATTTTGGCTGGACTAACGAGTCTATGCATGGTCCAATCACTGTTACACGCAACGAAATCGAAATCCGGTTCGTAAACTGTCATGCAGATTTCGGTCGATTGCAGTATTTACAAAGTATGTTCACCGCCAACTCGTTGGCAACAGACATTTGACAAATCTTTCCATGTTTTTAATCAAGGTGCTCACGTGATTTCATGCACTTCGCGATGTAAGACTCAAATTATCACAATATAGATATTGATTATCGATCAGATCGTCTTGACTGGGCGCCGCCATTTTGTTTGAAGCAAATGCAAGTGGTACGAGAGGTGGAATCTGATTGGTCCATAGGAGAGGCATAGAAGGGACATAACTCGTAACAGCCACTGGTGGCGCTACGGTCAAGCCCAGGAATTCCACCCTAGTTCGGCAAGGGAGAAAACTGGACTTTTAAAGTCATTCAACTCCCTTGCCTCGGGAAGACGGAATAACAAATGCTTAATCTATGTCTTTCTTAAGATTAAAAAGAGCCAGAGAGGTAAAAAAAAACCTTATTATTCGTTCTTCGGAATCTCCACGTTTACTATGTGAACTATTTCTATTGGGATTAAGTCGGTATTAAGTGGCTATAACAATGCCGATGCGCACGTTAGAGTTTAGCTTACTCACTAATGAGATAAATATATGTCAGTCAACACATGGTGTATGATTCTCACGTTGGGATAATCCAGCAGGATGTTAGTGACGGTCACGGATCCGTTCATCAGGGTCTGGTGGGCTTCCACAGCGATCATCTTGTTGTAGGCGTCGTAGTGGACCTTGTTGTAGCCCTGGACGATGCCAAGTGTGGTTGCATTCAGTAAGTTTGGTTTAAGGGCACTTTGTACAATATGTCAGTTCCATCTCGAAGAGTCAACTTGGAGTAGGTGGTAAGCCTAAACTAACGCTCACCCAGCATGGAATGGTGATGATAAACTAAGAATCATAACAATAACGAACCTACGGTCATTTGATTCTGTCACGCCCATGTGGCGCAACTCTGCACAGAGCCCTTTCCCCAAGGGACCGACCATTTGAAACATCGAAATATTTGATATACTGTGGCGATTTGAGCTGGGATTTTGAAGAGATCGAGATGTTTGGTTTTTTGTGTGTGCGTGCGTGCGTACGTGTGTGTTTTTGCGTTTGCGTGTGTGTGTGTGTTTGCGTGTGTATGTTTGCTTGTGTATGTTTGCGTGTATACTGAGTCCTAGCCGACCAGTACTTGTTTTATCTCTTTAATGACGAGCCCCAGGCTGGGTAACAACAAGTAACACCTTTCAATGTATTTTGGTGTGAGGTGGCCAGGGTGCGGAATTACCGACCTTCTGCTCTCTGGGCAGGCGGTCTATCCACTACACCACGGAGGCGGTCTCCACAGGTGAAAGAGTGTTCAACGAGTTACAGCCTCGCTAAGTATATAAAGGCATGATTTGGAAGGAAAACTCCAATGGCTTGGGGATCCTGGTACGATTATGGCACACAACTCTGCACAGCAAATTGCGGCATCTTGGAAGAGTGAACCATATGTGCCCCGAGAATGCGTTAAGATACATTGCTTTACTTACATCTGACCCGTGAAGATCGGGGGTAGAATAGGTCTTCAGCAACCCATGCTTGTCGTAAAAGGCAACTATGCTCGTCGTAAGAGGCGACTAACAGGATCGGGTGGTCTGGCTCGCTGACTTGGTTGATTCATGTCATCGATCACAATCGCGTGGATCGATGTTCATGACGTGAATCACTGGTTTGTCTGGTCGAGACTCGATTATTTACAGACCGCCGTCATATAGCTGGAACATTGCTGAATGCGGCGTTAAACAACAAACAAACAAACAAACAAACAAATAAGGAAACTTACATCTAGCCAGTTCTGTGTAAGATGCCCATGATGGTTGTAGACATTCCCCCCAACCTGGCCCATGACCGCCTCGAACTGGTGGTCGGTACAACAAGGCCTAGGGGGGTCACTACCGGCCCCCAAGGAGAGGCCCACCATTGCGGTCAATATCAGAAACCTCATAGTGGAGACAAGCTTTGTGTGTGAAGTCTTCGGCTGTACTGACAGACCATCTGCCACGTTGTATGAATGCCTCAGTTTGGGATACGCCACTCTACCAAAATAGATCTGCTATCTGCAAATGCTTTATCTCTCGTTGTTTCGTTGGACGAACTTGTTTTAAAACAGACAGTGTGAATCAGTGAGTTCTTGGGCAGGCAATGGAATGTTTCGGCAAAATACTGATATCGAAAGGGTTTTAGTTGGATAATTAAAAAGCGACAAAATCGTTTACATAATCGTAAGAAATCTGTGCAAAAAGTAGAGTCAACTGTACGATTCCGACTATATCATGAACATGTGTTTTTGAATCACTATCAAATAGTGATGATACACGGTGTTTGCGGATAGGTGATCGTATCCTGCCGCACCCGTGACACCAGCCACAAACACATGCAAAGGCAAGTCAATTGTTCACCTGAAAATGACCAAGAAATGAATTGCATCGGACATGATTTCTGTCACTGATGCGTCAAATTTGGCAATGGACTCTTCATGTCAACCATGAAACTTTTTGAAAGCTTTACTGAGACCTTGGATGTTGTAACCTTGATCAAACAACTTCTGAGCAAGGGTCGTATGACGCTCTTTGAAATCTATATCATGAGCATGTGTTTATGAAATACTATCAAATAGTGATGATACCAGGTGTTTGCGAAAAGGTGAGCGTATCATTGTTTGTTTGTTTGTCTGTTTGTTTGTTGTTTAACGCCCCACTCAGCATAACAGCGGTCTGAAAAATAATCGAGTCTGAACCAGACAATCCAGTGATTGACATCATGAGCATCGATACACGCAATTTGGAAACGATGACAAGCATCAACCAAGTCAGCGAGCCAGACCACCCGATCCCGTTAGTCGCCTCTTACGACAAGCATAGTCGCTTTTTACGGCAAGCACGGGTTGCTGAAGATCTATCCTAACCCGGATTTTCACGGGTCGAGCGTATCGAGCGTATCATTTCCCACGTGCGTATGGTATATTCGGAACCGTGCAACGGTTTCTTTTGATTTAAAGAAAATCTTTTGTCGCTTAAATTATTCAGCAAAAACGGTTGATGTCAGTATTTTGCTGAAACAGTGTGTTACATACCATTGTACTGTCTGCCCAAGAATTGATATATTCCATTTCTGCCATTTAAAAAAATAACAAAAACTTTATACCGAAAACAAATACGCCTGTTGCAATGGAGTGGTCATGGGATGTGGTAGCAATTGCCTTGATTTCGGAAATACTGTAGAAATGAGTTTTTTTACCTGCGAGTAAATGGGTTTAATGCCTCTCTATGTTATATCACGACATCTTAATGTGAAAGAAGAGGTCGTATGTAGGTACTTGTTGTTACCCTGCCTGGCTCTCGGCATTAAGGAGCTGAAACAAGGACTAGTCGGCTCGGAGTCAGTATACTGTGTCTGAGTAGGGTATTCATGTTAAACTGCGACATTGTATCTCAGTGGGTTAGCACTATAAATCGGCATCAGTCTAGACTAGTACAGGCAGCCACACACACGTGCATGCAAGTCGCTATATAAGTGCAATAATCTTGGTCGCGACGTTAAACCCCATTTCACCTCACCTCACCTCGTATGTATTTCGTTGAACCAACGAATACGTTCCATCGTGAAAGAAACTGCTTTGTCCACTGACCCACCCATGCTCATTTTACTTACTTAAGTAATACATTATGTATACATACACTCTTCAAAAAAGATACGCACGGTAGAGTTTTAGTAAATGTATTGTACCTGATAAAGTCGATATGTTTAATTTAATATCATAGATACAAATATGAAATTTTGGAGCTCGATAGTCACACGCTGTCGTTGTACAAAGGCATTGAAAACTATTCATTGTCATGTCACATAAGGTCACAAGATTGCGCTAAACTCAGTACCTCATGTGACCGCCCCGGGCAGCAATCACGGCTCTGCATCTCCTCGACACTGACTGGATAAGTGTACGAATTCTGTCCTGCGGATCCTGCGACATTCTGCTTGTAACGCGTTGACCAGTTGTGGGAGTGTCTGCGGCGTGTTCTGACATTGACGTACACGTCGATTGAGTTCATCCCAGAGGTGTTCGATTTGGTCGAAATCTGGAGATCCTGAAGGCCAGGGCAAGTCGTTGATGTTGGCACTATGGAGGGTAGTCTACCGTGACACGAGCTGTGTGCAGTGGAGCGTTGTCCCTTTGAAACAACTCCTTCTGGCGGTCAATGATTGGAAGAAGGTGGGGTTGAAGAATTTGATTCATGTAGCGATTTGCTGTCAGATTTCCCTGAACCACAACCTAGTCAGATCTCTTGGTGTAGGATATTGCCCCCCACACCATGACACTACCGCCACCGAAATTGTCGAATTGACGTACACAATGTGGGGCAAAAAGCTTATTTCGACAACGATAAATACTTTGTGTTATAGTGGAACACTGTAATTAACCATTTCCCCATTCCATATGAAATTTCTCATATAGTATGAAAAGATGTCAATCCACTGCATTAAATCATAAACATGTGTGAATAATAGTGATAGTACCAGGTGGCACCCGTCACAAATACATGCAAAGGCAAGTCAAGTGTTCACCTGAACAACACCGGGAGTGTTGTACTACGGGCTGTTCAGTGTTGATCCTGACGAGGAATCAGACAAGGGGAATGTTGTCCTGCCATAAGTGATAATGGATGACGCTAATTAATAAAACAGAGGCATCACATCAAATGAGTTTCCTAAAATCGATGACATACCTACAAAATAATCTACCTTCTTTATCATCTTCACCTTAGGATAAGTTGTATGTAATACTTTATGCATTGAAAACCGTGTGCAAATGCCACTGCATGTGAAGATCGCCGTTTCATTTCGGATGCAATCATATTTTGACTATTTTTGTCATTTCATATTTGTTCAAAATCTTTTCAAAATTTAACCTTAAGTCCCGACAACAATCGATCTACTGTTATCGGTTATAGCAATGAGGTGGCGGAGACTGCATATTATTTTATATTGTCGAATATTCTCTTTATCAATAGCTATATTTGGTTTTCATTTTAACCGGCCCATGGTGTATGCCCTGGACTTGTACGAGGGTAAAACTCAGACACAGTATACTGACTCCGAGCCGACCAGTCCTTGTTTGTGCCCCTTAATGCCGAGCACAAGACAGGGTAACAACAAGTACCATTTTTTATCGTTAAACCAAATGTATTCATGTATAAAATAATTTTTGTAATCGTATCGTTTAGTGTAAAACGTGGAGTCTAGAGTCTATAAAACTATAGAATAGTTGAATTTATATTTTTATGAAACGTTGAATTTTAGATTGCTTTTCAAATTTGAAACAGCGTCAGTTTTAAACATATTCTCAATATCGATAGGCCAGTGTTGAGGGACAATGTCCTATTTCATCATATTAACAATGTTGAAAACAATGTCAGATTTCAATAGATTTTCAAAAATCGAAAGGTCACTGATGAATCAATGTTGAAAACAATTAGACATTTCAACATATCGAAAGGAAATGTTGAAATTATGTTGATACAATGTTTTTCAAGTATCAACCAAATTTCAACATTGAAACAATGTCTTGTGCCTCCTGGGATGCTTGTAGTAAGGGGCGACTAACGGGATGGGTGGTCAGGCTCGGTGACTTGGTTGATGCATGTTATCGTGTACCTATTGCGTAGATCGGTGCTCATGTCAATCACTGGATTGTCTGGTTCCTTACAGGCCGCCGTCATATTGCTGGAATATGGCTGAATACGGCGTTAAACAACAAACAGAACAGAAAAATGCATGCCGAGTATTTAATTGGCGAAGAGAGCATGGATGCCACGTAGAGAGCGACCAACGGGTTGTGGGATCTGGAAGTAAGAAGAAGGAATAACTTCTTTAAATCATATATTTAATAAACAAATATATCATAGAATGAAATATCAGCAAATCATTTGAAATTACATAAAAGCATAGGTAGAAAAAAGCCAAGGTTTTACTGACCATTTCAACAATTATACATCGGAGTAGTCCAACCTATTTAAAACTATCTTCCCGAGGCAAGGGCGTTAACTGACTAGAAAAGTCCAGTTTCCACACTTGCCGAACAAGACTGGAATTTCAGAGTTACGCTTTGACTGGACAAACGAGTCTAGGCATAGTCCAATCAAAATCGGGCAACGAAGTAGACATCCGGTTCGTAAAAAAAATTGGATTTCAACTTGCAGATTTTCAACTTGCGGGATTTACAAAGCATTTGTACCGTCAACTGGGCGTCGACGGTTATTTTGCAAATATTTCATGTTATTAATCCCGTTTTATTACAATATAGGTCATGGTTTTCGATCAGATCGTCTTCACTGGGCGCCGCCATTTCGTTTGAAGCAAATGCAAGTGAAAAAGAGATGGAATCTGATTGGTCAATAGGAGGGACATCGAAGGGACATAACTCGTAATTTGCCACTGGTGGCGCTACGATCGATCCTGGAAATTCCAGCCTAGTTCGACAAGGGTGGAAACTGGACTTTTATACTCAGTCAACTCCCTTGCCTCGGGGAGATGATTTAAACAATGGCTAACATAGGTCAAAGAACCCTAGCACCCCAAGGGTTTAAACAACATTGCATTGATAATCACAACCCCCCAAAGGTATCAAATCACATTACGTTTAATGTAAAGTATAGCCTACTGAATAAATAACAAATATACCCATTCATTGACTAATCGTCTCGATGTATGTTGATATGTCATTGAATATTCCACATGACTTTTTCCTTGTTGCCGTGCAGAAGACTACATTAGCTAGCGGGTTCGAATGCCGCTGACGACACGCGGGTTTTTTAAATGGACCAACATCAAGGTAATTTACAGGTGGAAAAAGAAGTAACGTCATTTTCAAGCGGTGTTTAACTAACAATCAGTTAATTTAGGGTCAAAGACAAAGGAGCCATGTTTAAGATAATTATTTCCCATGAGGCTCAGAAATAAATTTCCGTTTTATTCAGTTAACTGTTAACAACCAGTTACCGTACGGCCAAAGACAAAGGAGACATTACATTTACAGTAAACTACGGTTATAACGAACACGCTTATAACGAACTGACCGATATAACGAACATATTTTTTTGTCCCGGCCATTTGTTGTATATATGCTGTATATATGCTTATAACGAACTACGGTTATAACGAACTAAAACTAGTAATCCCTTTGAGTTCGTTATAACCGTAGTTTCCTGTATTTGAAATTATTATTCCCCCCATGAGGTTCAGAAATATATTTCTGTTCTGTTCAGGTAACACCAAATAATTAACCATCAGTCTTGACTACAGCGTGGCGTGGTCTCGACGTTGTAATATGGTTGATAAAAGTTAATATTATTTAAATAATCACAGAGTTAATTGAGGCTTGGATATCTAACGTAATCAACACCACGCTGATGTCAGTCACAACCCACACATCTTACCGTGCCTGTTGAGCTGGAACATCCGGAGGGTATTTTGAATAAATCGCGATTGCTGATCGATGGCTGGAATTTAGCCATCAGGAACATGGTATTGGCAGCCACTGAAACAATGAACCAATACCTCACAGATGGATCAGATGAATACATTGATTCGTTACTTTACCCCTGTCAGCGATAGAAACTACAAGGTTTAGCCCACTTGTTCTTACAATGATTGCGTATAACAAAACCCTTAAGAAGGGCACATTTCTAAAAGTCCTTAGGAATCCTTAACTATTGGGCAGTTTGGCAAGGACCATAGGACTAGAGCCAGTTTCTAACGCTGCCTGTGGGTATTTCGGGACAGATTAAGACCACAGCACCCCCACGATTTGGTTACTGTAACCGGCATGCTGCATACATACATCAGCCCTACCTAGACGGCCTTGGTCCGATGCCGCCAACCGCTGGTTTGCAGAGGACAGATTAACTTGATTCCAATCACCAATCAGCATTAATTCATCAATAAATGGTCAATCAATCAATCAACCAACCAATCAATTAACTAATCACCAATTAATGATCAATCAATCAACCAATCACCAATTAATTATCAACCGATCATATTAATGATCAATCAATCACATCAATCAATGGCGTCAATCAATGGCGTCAATCAATCACATCAATCTATCACATCAATCAATCACATCAATTAATCACATCACTCAATCACATCACTCAATCACATCAATCAATCACATCAATCAATCAATCAATCAATCAATCAATCAATCAATCAATCAACTTTATGCATGGGATCGTGTTGTCAATCTCTGTGACTTGGCAGATGGTGTATCATCGTGCCCCGAAGGCATTGATCGTTGTTCATGCATTCAGGACCTTATCCAGGTTCAATTCCTTCACGCTGCAGTGATAAACATGGGACACTGATGATTGCGACGTAAAACAACATTCCCTTTCACACTCCCATTTAGCCCTCAAGTGTTCATTTCATACCAGAGTCACTGATGTTGGTCTTGAAGTGTCCGAATATATTCTCGATGACGGGAATGCAGCCTTCCTTGGTGACGGACAGCTTGACGATGTGGTCAGTTCCCGGCTGTCGGTATCTCCAGCTGACCAGGGGGAGCTGCTCAGCGCCATACCCCATGTAGGAGTAACCGTCGAACTCCGACTCGTCTGAAACACGCAACAGTATCAGAAAACGAGTAGAATACAGTATCAGGGAACATTACAGTATCAGGGAACACTACAGTATCAGGGAGCAAGTAGGATGCAGTATCAGAAAACAAGTAGAATACAGTATCAGAAAACGAGTAGGATACAGTATCAGAAAACGAGTAGGATACAGTATCAGGGAACACTACAGTATCAGGGAGCAAGTAGGATGCAGTATCAGAAAACAAGTAGAATACAGTATCAGAAAACGAGTAGGATACAGTATCAGAAAACGAGTAGGATACAGTATCAGGGAACACTACAGTATCAGGGAGCAAGTAGGATACAGTATCAGAAAACAAGTAGAATACAGTATCAGGGAACGCTACAGTATCAGAAAACGAGTAGGATACAGTATCAGGGAACACTACAGTATCAGAAAACAAGTAGAATACAGTATCAGGGAACGCTACAGTATCAGGGAACAAGTAGAATACAGTATCAGGGAACACTACAGTATCAGGGAACAAGTAGAATACAGTATCAGGGAACGCTACAGTATCAGGAAACAAGTAGAATACAGTATCAGGGAACACTACAGTATCAGAAAACGAGTAGGATACAGTATCAGGGAACACTACAGTATCAGGAAACAGGTAGGATACAGTATCAGGGAACACTACAGTATCAAGGAACACTCAGTATCAGGGAACGCTACAGTACCAGGGAGCAAGTAGGATACAGTATCAGGGAACACTACAGTATCAGGGAGCAAGTAGGATACAGTATCAGAAAACAAGTAGAATACAGTATCAGGGAACACTACAGTATCAGGGAGCAAGTAGGATACAGTATCAGAAAACAAGTAGAATACAGTATCAGGGAACACTACAGTATCAGAAAACAAGTAGAATACAGTATCAGGGAACGCTACAGTATCAGGGAACAAGTAGAATACAGTATCAGGGAACACTACAGTATCAGGGAACAAGTAGAATACAGTATCAGGGAACGCTACAGTATCAGGAAACAAGTAGAATACAGTATCAGGGAACACTACAGTATCAGAAAACGAGTAGGATACAGTATCAGGGAACACTACAGTATCAGGAAACAAGTAGGATACAGTATCAGGGAACACTACAGTATCAGGGAGCAAGTAGGATACAGTATCAGGGAACGCTACAGTATCAGGGAACAGGTAGAATACAGTATCAGGGAACACTACAGTATTAGGGAGCAAGTAGGATACAGTATCAGGGAACAAGTAGGATACAGTATCAGGGAACAAGTAGGATACAGTATCAGGGAACGCTACAGTATCAGGGAACAGGTAGGATACAGTATCAGGGAACACTACAATATCAGAGAGCAAGTAGGATACAGTATCAGAAAACAAGTAGGATACAGTATCAGGGAACACTACAGTATCAGGGAGCAAGTAGGATATAGTATCAGAAAACAAGTAGGATACAGTATCAGGGAACACTACAGTATCAGGGAGCAAGTAGGATACAGTATCAGGGAACGCTACAGTATCAGGAAACAAGTAGAATACAGTATCAGGGAACACTACAGTATCAGAAAACGAGTAGGATACAGTATCAGGGAACACTACAGTATCAGGAAACAAGTAGGATACAGTATCAGGGAACACTACAGTATCAGGGAGCAAGTAGGATACAGTATCAGGGACCGCTACAGTATCAGGGAACAGGTAGAATACAGTATCAGGGAACACTACAGTATTAGGGAGCAAGTAGGATACAGTATCAGGGAACAGGTAGAATACAGTATCAGGGAACACCACAGTATCAGGGAGCAAGTAGGATACAGTATCAGGGAACAAGTAGGATACAGTATCAGGGAACAAGTAGGATACAGTATCAGGGAACGCTACAGTATCAGGGAACAGGTAGGATACAGTATCAGGGAACACTACAATATCAGAGAGCAAGCAGGATACAGTATCAGAAAACAAGTAGGATACAGTATCAGGGAACACTACAGTATCAGGGAGCAAGTAGGATATAGTATCAGAAAACAAGTAGGATACAGTATCAGGGAACACTACAGTATCAGGGAGCAAGTAGGATACAGTATCAGGGAACACTACAGTATCAGGGAGCAAGTAGGATACAGTATCAGAAAACAAGTAGGATACAGTATCAGGGAACACTACAGTATCAGGGAGCAAGTAGGATACAGTATCAGAAAACAAGTAGGATACAGTATCAGGGAACACTACAGTATCAGGGAGCAAGTAGGATACAGTATCAGAAAACAAGTAGGATACAGTATCAGGGAACACTACAGTATCAGGGAGCAAGTAGGATACAGTATCAGAAAACAAGTAGGATACAGTATCAGGGAACACTACAGTATCAGGGAGCAAGTAGGATACAGTATCAGAAAACGAGTAGGATACAGTATCAGGGAACACTACAGTATCAGGGAGCAAGTAGGATTCAGTATCAGAAAACGAGTAGGATACAGTATCAGGGAACACTACAGTATCAGGGAGCAAGTAGGATACAGTATCAGAAAACGAGTAGGATACAGTATCAGAAAACAAGTAGGATACAGTATCAGAAAACAAGTAGGATACAGTATCAGGGAACAAGTAGAATAGAGTATCAGGGTACAAGTAGAATACAGTATCAGGGAACAAGTAGAATACAGTATCAGGGAACAGGTAGAATACAGTATCAGGGTACAAGTAGAATACAGTATCAGGGAACAGGTAGGATACAGTATCAGGGTACAAGTAGAATACAGTATCAGGGAGCAAGTAGGATACAGTATCAGGGTACAAGTAGAATACAGTTTCAGGGAACACTACAGTATCAGGGAGCAAGTAGGATACAGTATCAGGGAACAAGTAGAATACAGTATCAGGGTACAAGTAGAATACAGTATCAGGGTACAAGTAGAATACAGTATCAGGGAACAGGTAGAATACAGTATCAGGGTACAAGTAGAATACAGTATCAGGGAACAGGTAGGATACAGTATCAGGGAACACTACAGTATCAGGGAGCAAGTAGGATACAGTATCAGAAAACAAGTAGGATACAGTATCAGGGAACACTACAGTATCAGGGAGCAAGTAGGATACAGTATCAGAAAACAAGTAGGATACAGTATCAGGGAACACTACAGTATCAGGGAGCAAGTAGGATACAGTATCAGAAAACAAGTAGGATACAGTATCAGGGAACACTACAGTATCAGGGAGCAAGTAGGATACAGTATCAGAAAACGAGTAGGATACAGTATCAGGGAACACTACAGTATCAGGGAGCAAGTAGGATTCAGTATCAGAAAACGAGTAGGATACAGTATCAGGGAACACTACAGTATCAGGGAGCAAGTAGGATACAGTATCAGAAAACGAGTAGGATACAGTATCAGAAAACAAGTAGGATACAGTATCAGAAAACAAGTAGGATACAGTATCAGGGAACAAGTAGAATAGAGTATCAGGGTACAAGTAGAATACAGTATCAGGGAACAAGTAGAATACAGTATCAGGGAACAGGTAGAATACAGTATCAGGGTACAAGTAGAATACAGTATCAGGGAACAGGTAGGATACAGTATCAGGGTACAAGTAGAATACAGTATCAGGGAGCAAGTAGGATACAGTATCAGGGTACAAGTAGAATACAGTTTCAGGGAACACTACAGTATCAGGGAGCAAGTAGGATACCGTATCAGGGAACAAGTAGAATACAGTATCAGGGTACAAGTAGAATACAGTATCAGGGTACAAGTAGAATACAGTATCAGGGAACAGGTAGAATACAGTATCAGGGTACAAGTAGATTACAGTATCAGGGAACAGGTAGGATACAGTATCAGGGTACAAGTAGAATACAGTATCAGGGAGCAAGTAGGATACAGTATCAGGGTACAAGTAGAATACAGTATCAGGGAACACCACAGTATCAGGGAGCAAGTAGGATACAGTATCAGGGAACAAGTAGAATACAGTATCAGGGTACAAGTAGAATACAGTATCAGGGTACAAGTAGAATACAGTATCAGGGAACAGGTAGAATACAGTATCAGGGTACAAGTAGAATACAGTATCAGGGAACAGGTAGGATACAGTATCAGGGTACAAGTAGAATACAGTATCAGGGAGCAAGTATGATACAGTATCAGGGTACAAGTAGGATACAGTATCAGGGTACAAGTAGAATACAGTATCAGGGAACACCACAGTATCAGGGAGCAAGTAGGATACAGTATCAGGGAACACTACAGTATCGGGGAGCAAGTAGGATACAGTATCAGGGAACAGGTAGAATACAGTATCAGTGTACAAGTAGAATACAGTATCAGGGAACAGGTAGGATACAGTATCAGGGTACAAGTAGAATACAGTATCAGGGTACAAGTAGAATACAGTATCAGGGAGCAAGTAGGATACAGTATCAGGGTACAAGTAGAATACAGTATCAGGGAACACCACAGTATCAGGGAGCAAGTAGGATACAGTATCAGGGAATAGGTAGGATACAGTATCAGGGAACTCCACAGTATCAGGGAGCAAGTAGGATACAGTATCAGGGAACAGGTAGGATACAGTATCAGGGAACACCACAGTATCAGGGAACAAGTAGGATACAGTATCAGGGAACAGGTACGATACAGTATCAGGGAACAGGTAGGATACAGTATCAGGGAACACTACAGTATCAGGAAACAAGAAGGATACAGTATCAGGGAACAGGTAGGATACAGTATCAGGGAATGCTACAGTATCAGGGAACAAGTAGGATACAGTATCAGGGAACAGGTAGGATACAGTATCAGGGAACACCACAGTATCAGGGAGCAAGTAGGGTACAGTAACAGGGAGCAAGTAGGATACAGTATCAGGAAACAAGTAGGATACAGTATCAGGGAACACTACAGTACCAGGGAACATGTAGGGTACAGTAACAGGGAGCAAGTAGGATACAGTATCAGGAAACAAGTAGGATACAGTATCAGGGAACACTACAGTATCGGGGAACAGGTAGGATACAAAAGAATTTTCGAATAATATGGGCAGTAAAAAAGCTATATCAAAGAACCATCTTCCCGAGGCAAGGGAGTTAACTGACTATAAAGTCAGTTAACTCCCTTGCCTCGGGAAGATGTCAGATCTGTGCACTTGGGAGAAGGTTTGACATATTTACAGCATTTTCCCCACTGCACTAGCGGTCTTCAGCAACCCATGCTTGCCGTAAAATGCGACTATGCTTGTCGGAAGAGGCGACTAACGGGATCAGGTGGTCAGGCTGACTTGGTTGATGCATGTCATCGTATCCCAATGGCGTGGATCGATGTTCATGATATTAATCATTGTCTGGTCCAGACTCGATTATTTACAGACCGCCGTCATATAGCTGGAATATTGCTGAGTGCGGCGTTAAACAACAAACCAACCAGCCAACCGCTGCATTAGCCCTTTTGTTGACATTAAGTTCCCCCTGGCGTCTTATACCTGGTATACACGGTTTCCGGAAAGTCGCCTGCCCCAAGGCATAGCGAGTACAGGAGCCACCCTTGGGAGTAACGTACTGAAATTTCTGAAATGCACACATGTTCAAGGTTAGATGTGAATCACGTTACCATAGGTACTGACTATATCATTGCTGAGTGCGGCGTTATTTACAACAAACCAACCAACCAACGACTATATCTCGCTTTAAGGGGCAGACTTCGGGACAGGGTATAGGGCGTGATCGATAGAATCGTAGGCCCGGGTGCGGGGAGAAGTATTTGAAACATCTTCCCGTGCCAAGGGAGTTAACTGACCATTAAAAGTCCAGTTTTCGTGATGTCATAGTCAGTTAACACCCTTGCCTCGGGAAGATGATTTGAGAATAATGAAATACATTTTACACAAACCATTATTTTCTTCTTATCCTCTGATTTAGGGAAATGTCATTTATTATGGGGTGGTCTTGGAATTGTATCTAATCTTTATTTCACATACTGAAGAGGCCACAGGCCTATAGTACAATTTGAAGAATATACAGTTTTATACAATTTATGTACATATCTGACCAGATCACCTCACGTCATTCCACCTAGCATTTCAACGCAGTCACATAATTTCACACATACAGTACAATACCATACCCTGTAATTTCATAATTTTTATATTACCATATCACAACTTGTTATATCATACAACATATTCTATAACATAATATCATATTGTATCATTATTATAAGATCATACTATATAGTATTATTTCATATAACATTATCATAACATACTACATACCATCGTACAATCGGAATTGTATCATATTTTGCGATGTCTGATACAGCATAATGAATTGGTGTGACAGTATTGCACATGCGGAACGACAAACACGTATGTGAGGTGAGGTGAAATGGTGTTTAACGTCGCGTCCAAGATTATTGCACTAATATAGCGACGTGCATGCACGTGTGTGTGTGTGGCTGATTGTACTAGTCCGGGCTGATGCCGATTTATAGTGCTAGCACACTGAGATACCATGCCGCAGTTTAACATGAATACCCCACTCATACACAGTATACTGACTCCGAGGGGACCAGTCCTTGTTTTAGCCCCTTAATGCTGAGCGCCAGACAGGGCAACAACAAGTACCATCTTTTAACGTCTTTTGGTATGACGCGGCCGGGGATCGAACCCCGGACCTTCCGCTCTCCAGGCGGACGCTCTACCACTAGACCACGGAGGCGGTCCAAACACGTATGTAAAGCGTCACGTATTGTATATTGTTTGTTGGGGCGGTGGGGAAGCCTAGTCGTTAAAGTGTTCGCTCGTCACGCCGAAGACCCGCGTTCGATTCCCCACATGGTGTAATTTGGGAAGCCCATTTGCCGTGATTTGGTGGAATATTGCTAAAGGCCGCGTAAAACAATACTCACTCACTATATTGGTTGTGTGGTTACCTTTGGATAGTCGAAGAGAATGTTGGTGGATGTGACTGTCCCATTCGAGATTATAACAGATTCAACGGCCACCATCTCATTGTAAGAGTCGTAGTAGAGGTTGTTGTAACCCTAATACAAACATATGTCATGGTAGTTAATAACGGAGCCGTGAAGATCCGGGGTAAAATAGGTCTTCAGCAACTATGCTCGTCGTCAGAGGCGACTAAGGGGATTGGGTGGTCAGGCTCGTTGACTTGGTTGATGCATGTCATCGTAACCAAATTGATGCTCATGATGTCCATCCCTGAATTGTCTGGTCCAGAGATGATTATTTACAGACCGCTGTCATATAGCTGGAGTGCAGCTTTACACAACAAACAAACAAATTTTAATAACGATCAATATAATAATACCTCGTGTAACTAAACATGGCATATATATTTCGTAGACACGATATTCTGTTTATTTTGCAATCTAAAGGTTGATTTACATAAATAAAATGACCACACAAAATATTAATGCCATCCCGCGGGGTTTCTGGGCAGAATAACCCTCGTATAACACACACTTGTCCATAGAACCGACAGCATAGGGATTGGTTTGTGACAATGTATGACCCCCATGAATGTGTGACCTGGATAGTTGCTCGTGATCTCAACAACTGATTGTTGATGGCAACAAAACAACATCAGCTCACTCCATGTGTAATTTCACTTTAAAACCAATTAATTTCCTTGTCGTCCGGAATACGCAATGTCCAGATAAATCAATCATGAGTGTATTGTCCTTTATGGGTTTCAACACTAAACAGAAAACAATCCGGGGTAGAATAGGTCTTCAGCAACCCGTGCTTTCTGTAAAAGGCGACTATACTTGTCGTAAGAGGCGACTAACGTATCGGGTGGTTAGGCTCGGTGACTTTGTGTATGAATGTCATCGTATCCCAATTGCGTGGATCGATGCTCATGATGTCAATCACTGGATTGTCTGGTCCAGTCTCGATTGTTTACAAACCGCCGTGGTATAGCTGGAATATTGCTGAGTGCGGTGTTAAACAACAAACAAACAAACAAACAAAACTAAGGGGGTTTCACAGTACTATGAACAGAATGTATCGCTACTCAAAAACAGAATAAAATGGCTGACAGGATCTACTGACCTGAAGGAAGTTCTGAACATAGTGTCCGTTTATTTTATACATGGCCCCTCCCGCCTCCCCTAACGTGACCTGGAACTCCCTGTCCGTGCAGCACTTTGCGGGTGGGGCAAGGGTAGCCGACTGACCAACGCCCACCAGACAGACCAGGAAAAGGATGACACGCATGGTAAAGACTTGACTCGCACTTGGTACTAAAACACTATAACCGTCTCACGCATGTGGGTTTATCTAGTTGGTCAGCTGGTAAATCACACACTGATTAAGTGTGGATCTAGTGGTCAGCCCTGGTTCATACAGTTCATCTCCTGTTATAGTGGATGGTGGGGGTGGGTGGTGGTGTGGGGGGTGGGGGCGGGGGGGGGGGGGGGGGGGGTTGTTTAATTTCTTAACAGACGTTTGGAGGCCATGACATGTCAATTTTGATATTTGTGAGTGTTTAATCAAAAATGAGAAGATCACAGACGATTTCTATTTTTTAATGACTTCAAACAAACGTTTATCTTAGTTGACGGATGCATGTTGTTGGCGTTCTCATATAAGGAAGCACTGACAATAGCCTTCAGACAAAGTACGGCGAATATTGCAGTAAACACAACTCTTAGTATTTTGTAATCTATACTTGTACATATCATTATTCCATCATGTTCACAGACAATCATTGAGAAAGCATAGCTTTTCTATAAATAATATCGCCCGTGGTCTGCGCTCGTCATTATCAGCCCTCTCAATCAATGATTTGAAACGTTACATTACATTCTCAGCTCCCTTTGGAGTATACCTCACAGTACTCGGCGTGCCAGGTACAGAAACATTCTGGGTCATTCTGCTTGATACCCCTGAAGATCCGGGTTAGAATTGATCTTTAGGAACGCATGCTTGTCGTAAGAGTCCACTAACGGGATCCGGTGGTCAGGTGCGGTGATTTGGTTGATGCATGTCATCGTAACCCAATTTCGTAGATCGATGCTCATGATGTCATTGGATTGTCTGGTCGGCGTTAAACAGGTAAGAAACAAACGTTCTGGACAGAAGAATAAATTACATGTACTCATAGATTTTTAAAAGAAACAAAAACACAGGACTATGAATCCCTTTAGATTTGCGACATCCGCTCTTTCACGAAGATAAATGTGAAATACGTTTTGAAATAATTTAATTTTGTTTCTCTCTTTCGTTTTTTTTTCTTGTTAGTGTTTGAAAATCCATCCGACCTGTTGTTCTCGTCTCGGTCTACTTTAAACAGAAAATAAGACAAACGCATCCTCTCCTAACCGTTAACCCATTTTGTACTGGACATGGCTGACTTCATTTGAAGTGTAAATATTACATTTACCTTCCGAAAACTACGGAAGCCTTTTAGAGCAATTTGTGTTTTTCTTGAAATTTCAAGCTACATAAGTTGAAATTTTACGTATACACGAATCTTGAAATTTCAAGAAAAAAGCCCAAAATAAATGGCCCTAAAAGGCTTCCGTAGAAAACAACTCGCCCTACAGTAAAATCATCTCACCTCCACAATGAGAGAGAGGACATCCCGTTCTTCTTTGTCACTGAAGTCGGGGTCATTGTCATGCTAAAAATATTGATCCATCAGCATTTGTACTGTAATATTGATGATGGTTCTTCCTCGGCAATTTCTTCACTCCAAGATCTGAATTATATAATCACTGGATCAATATCATTAAACGCAGATCGTACAAACCACGTCTGAGGGGTCATATTTATATTTATTATCAATTCCTCGTATACTGTCTGTTGCAAGGACGATATTCATAAATCAAGCAATCACCATAAATAATTAATTGCTTTGCGTCCGACAATATGCCAAAATAGTCATCGAAGAGCGTTAAACGAATATCCTGCAAACAATCTGTTTGATTATACGAGCGCTTCTGTAGATATTCGATAATGTCTGGGCATGCGCATCGCATAACAGGAAGCACGAGTTATTTTTCTGTGAGCAAACTTTGAGTGATTAGAAGAAAATGCAGAATCAAAGGCCTTGGCAGGTTCAAACATATGATGTGTTTGTTGGTAACTTGCCGGTTGATACTGACCAGGTAAGTTTGCATCAAGACAAACGAGGTCATTGAGTATATTGTTTTATTCGCCGATATGAGTCTATGTTGACAGTCGACACAACTGAAAAATGAAACTACACCGGTTCTCAGATATTGACACTAAAACCATGAAAGATTTGTTACCATTTGTTGACATTTTCTATTTGATGCTGACCATTTGTCAATAGGGGGAAAATAGATTCTGGTGCATGCATTTGTATTTTAAGTTATTGAGTTATTATTTGACAAGGAATCATTCTACCGAGATAGCTTTCTTCAGCTGTGTCATTTTCCAGAATTTTAATCACATGGAAATTTCCCGCCATTTTGATACCAAAATTGTGATTGATGACTTGATATGACAGCTCATTAATGTCGTTTCTTGACAATGGACAAGAAAAACAATTCATAGTATTTAACTTTTATACATTTTTTCCAAACAATTAAGTGTACAAAATCATGATATAAATACAATATGCATCGTTCACTGCTCAAATTATGCTTTATATATGAACAAATAATTATGCAAATATTACATAATCACCCATGAATGGCACAAAAAAACAGTCATAGTAGTTTAAGACAGTCTGAGTCGATATAGCATTGAAAACAGTCTTGAGCATGTTGAGTTGTTAGTTCAGTTGGGAAGTAGTTCAGCTCTCACCTTTCTCCGTTTAGTAAATACAGTCATGTCTCGTTAATCCGACACTCGTTAATCCTACAATCGGCTTTATCCGACACTAATGATGGGAACCGATTAAATCAGTGCTATTTAGACCCGTTAATCCGACAGTCTCGCACTCCGAGACTCCAATTTGCAACGAATTACCAAAATCACTCATTAATCAGTCTATCTAACCCCTAAAATGTAATCCATTCAGAAAATCTGAGGAGCCATTGCTGATAATAAATATATGATACATGACATACGATTTCTGTCTAACCACAAGTAAAGTTCCAACCAATTAATTTGAAACATAACGAGTTGCATACTCAGTTTCGAGGTCCTCACTTGACAGGCAAGCTTGTAAAACATCTGCAGGCATTTCCTTAGAATTAACTGTTTTATCTTGATTATCAATTGCCTTTTTTTTCTTTGAGATGTCATGGAAAAATGTACAATAAACTATGATTATAACGAACTCAAAGGGACCACTAATTTTAGTTTGTAATAAGCATACATAAGCATGTTATACAGCATATATACAGCAATTGGATGGGACTAAAAAAAGTTTGTTATATGCGTGTTTGTTACATGGTTATGAACATAGTATACTGTATCTCAAAATATGATTGGCTACTACTGGCGATATGGACCAATTACCAAGGTCAATATAAAATGTTTTGTGCAGTTATCTGACAGCGATTCTTGGGCTACGCATTGTATATAATTAATGCTTACATATACAGTGTGCAGAGTACAGGACAGCCATACGGCTCCACACAAAGCCACATAAGGGAGCACTCTAACCATGTTTACTGTAATGTTATGCAGTATTTGTGAGTGCATGATTTGGAGTTTTAGCGAGGTTACAATGAAAGAAAACACATTATTTTGGTATGAGGATACTTTCTTTGTATTATTAGATTGGAATAAATTAAACACAGTTCACCATCATGGCACACTTCTAATTTCATGGAATGTGCGCCATTTAAAATTGAATGCGAAATGGCATGGCTTAGAATTAACTCTGAATATATATAGATTATTAAAGGAGTCGCCATCAGATACTGTTTTTATTACAAGTGTATTTCAGACCGTATCTGATAGATGATCTCTTCTCGTGTGGGTAATAATCTAGCTTACCCTCATTCACCATCCTGCATGGCTGTCAGCTACTCGGAACCATTTGCTTGCATCACAGCAACTTATACCTGGGTTCCAAGATTACGTTTATTTTCACACCTTGACTATCTCAAGCCTGAAGGGGTTGGAGTTGTTTCTTGTATTTGTGGAAATGGTGGACCCAGAGCTCCAGATAAGCTTTTGGTGTTGTGGGTATTTTACCCATGCATTTTAAAATCATTGGGTATCAGTAATTCTATCTGCGTATTCAAATTTCTGTTACCAACTAGTTTTTACACATGTGGGTATTTAAGTTAAATATTTAAAAACACTATTCATCTAGTCCCTGCAAACTGGTGTCGTGTGGGTTCCAGCGCTTTATAGGACTCAAAAATACCACGATACTTCCACACGAAAGTGTGATGGCAAATGATCATGATGTGACTGTCATCGTGGAGTTTGGCAAGGTTGACGGAATGCCGTTTATAATTTCAAAATAAGTGGCTGATTTGCTAATCGAATACGCAGGGTTACTTCACAATATTTTGATGATATGCACAAATTTTATTTTTGTAGCGTATCTGTAATGTTCGTTGCGTATTTGATACGCTTGGATTATATTTGACTGCGTATTTCTGCATTTCTGATGCGTATTTCACGCAGATACGCAGCTTATCTGGAGCTCTGGGACCATATAACTCCTAGCCCTACATGCCTATGTAACCAATTTATGTCGTGTTTCTTGCACCAAACTATACCACAAGCACAATATTATGAATTGCATCAATGATATGCAGACAGGCATCACCTGGCTAAAGTTGGCTAGCATTGTGCTAGAAGAGGGGCTATCAAAGTTTCTCACTCGCAACTCCTAGCTGTGGACAGAGCCCAAATTGTCACTTGGTGCTGTGGGATGTTCAGTTCAACATGTAGTTTTACATTCTTTGTGTATGAGAGGCAAGGGTAGCCCACTCGTGTAAGGCACCGCAATTCTCTGTGTTAAATGTTGTCCCTTGAGCACATCAGAAACGTATGATCATGGGTTTGAATCCTATTTATGATTCTCGGTTTGTCAGCACCTTTCCCATGCTCATGGGTTTCACCAAAGTGTTAAACGAAGAGACCTGAATCACTTCAGGTTTTCCTCTCACATTAAGCTGACACCATGGTGTAACTGGCATACAGTTGAAAGTGGTGTTAAACAATATGCACGCACTCACTCACTCACTCACTCACACACACTTACTCAATCCTTCACCTGCTCTTTGCATATAATAAATTGATGTGAAAGATTTGTGACCCGTGAAGATCCGGGGTAGAATAGATCTTCAGCAACCTATACTTGCTGTAAAAAGCGACTATGCTTGTAGGTACCGGCAGCAGACCTGCAAACTAAGTGGAATCCATAGAAATTCTCAATAATGGTCCGTTTTCACTTGCTCATAACTGTCTTATTTATGGATTAATAAAAAAAAAAAAATACTGCAATAAGGATTGTCCTTTTTCCTTTCATGTGTTGTGTGTTATCTGTTCATTGAGAAACAATTATTCATTGCTTGTCGTAAGAGGTGACTAACGGGATAGAGTGGTCATGCTCGCTGATTTGGTTGATGCATATGTCATCGTTCCCCAACTGCGTAGATCGATGCTCATGATGTCAATCACTGGATTGTCTGGTCCAGTCTCGATTATTTACAGACCGCCATGGTATGGCTGGAATATTGCTGAGTGGGGCGTTAAACAACCCACAAACTGAAAGATTTGTGTAAAGAGCATCTAGGTAGTGCAAAGCATCCTTACTATTGCTGCAATGAACTGGGAGTCGCATAATTATCCCCATGCTGTTTTCCCTTGTTTTCTTACAGAAAAAGGTTTCCAAATACTTCACAAAGTATGGGGAGGTCCAAGCAGTCATTGTCCGTGACAGCAACACAGATGGGAAGAAACTCGCGTAAGATTTAATGTTTTCTTACTACTTATATTCTTTAAAATAATATTTCTGTAAACTATACAGTGCTGGAGGTGTAACTTCACAAGAGGCATGAGTAAGCATGTGTCATTTCCACTATAATATTAATTTTTTTTACCCTGTTTAAGGATTGATTGTATATCTGACTTGTTTGTGAAGAAAGTTTTTGTTGTCATCCATGCAACAACAAGAGACTTTAAGTGATAGATATGCCATGTAAAATATTTGAAAAAAGAAAATAATTTTCCTACCTACCGACACTTTTATTTTTCCACGTAATAGGAACCAAGCATATTTTTTTGATAGGCCTTAACCTAATGAATAAAGTGTGTTGATAAACTGTGTGTTATGACCAAAAATATGACAACAGTGGGGAGATATATTGGGTCAAAATCTTTTTGTTTGCAAAAACTTTAAATCCATGAAAACCTGGGTAAGCTAACATTGTCTGAGATGATGTATTTTTGTTTTAATTTCCCAAGAAAGTGCCCGTCTCCGTTGTCCAGTGATAGAGCGTCTGCCCGGAGAGCAGAAGGTCCGGGGTTCAATCCCCGTCCGCGTCATACCAAAAGACGTTAAAAGATGGTACTTGTTGTTACCCTGTCTGGCGCTCAGCATTAAGAGGCTAAAACAAGGACTGGTCGGCTCGGAGTCAGTATACTGTGTCTGATTGGGGTATTCATGTTGAACTGCGGCATGGTATCTCAGTGGGCAAGCACTATAAATCGGCATCAGTCCGGACTAGTACAAGCAAACGCACGCACGCACACACGCATGCACATCGCTATATAAGTGCAATAATCTTAGACGCGACGTTTAACCCCATTTCACCTCCAATAAAGTATTTGGTGTGTGGTGCAGCCAGTTTATCCGTTGTTAACTGCAGCCTGCACTGCACTGCAATTAGGCTCAGTCAGGTCATCAGCACTTGGGTGGGTGTGTGTGTATGTGTGTGGCCTACATAGATTTTTTTTGTGGAAATACCTGTTTGGTAATGAAATAAATTCTGATTTCTTTTTCAGCTATGTAAAGTTTTTGTGCTTAGAAGATGCTGAAAAGGCAGTTGCAGAGTGTCAGAACATCGATATCAATGGGAACAAAGTTATTGTCAGGAAAGCTGAACCAAGGAAGAAGTAGGTGCTTCTTGGATTTTTACGTTATTGATGATGACTGAAGTGATTCGGATGCAGAATAAGTCCCCAGTACCTTATGCTTGTTTTACTGACATTTGCACCCCTGTCGATCTGGGTTAGAATTGGTTCAGCAACTCGTGTTCAATGTAGTGGCAACTAATGGGGTGGGGGAGTCAGATTCGTTGACTTGGTTGCTGTTGGTTGAAGTTTTCAGCATCCCTTGGGATGGACTTAGTCACTAAGAACGTACGCTTTTCTGCCAGCTTTTCTGCCATACTTCTTCCCAAGGTGATCAGGGCAACCATGAAGGCCTCCTACCTTCTTTCCGTCCTGAGGATCAGAAGGCTTAGTTTCGCATTCCCACTGGGGAATTAAATGTGATACTTCGATGATGGTGTGGTCCTCTGTTTGAGCCTCTCCGTGCAGCATCCTTTTATAACCTTACCAAGAAGACGATCTTCTTGGCACTGGCCAAGGCGGCAAGGGTTTGTGAGCTTCACACGCTCAGTATTACCTGTGTATGCTTTGAGGGTGACTCACACAGTGTTGTTCCCCTCAGGCTTTGCTGGGATTTCTTTGCCAAGAAACAACTACCAAGACAGCCCGACCAGTCCTTGACCATTCCACCTCCATTGTGGGAGCTGAAGATGAGGAGGAACTCCTACTGTGCCCTGTGCTCACACTGCGACTTTTCATCCGTCGCTCAAAGACTCTTCATGGTGCTCAGAAACGTCTGTTAATTTCCATCTGCCAGACATCCATGACTGAAGTCACCGCAACACCATATCCTTTCTAGCATATGAGATCGCCAACCTTGATTCCCTGAGAGCGAACAATCCTCATGAGATCCAGGGCAGTTGCCTCTACGATGACTCTGCATAATAACTGCTCCATTAGAGCAATCATGGATGTTTTTGAATGTCCGACATGGTCTTCCCAGACCACAAGCGGAGGAACGTGGCCTTGGAGATGTCAACGGCATTCATAGTTTTGGCCCTCGTGTCGTAGCCCAGCAGGTCACCAATCCTCCTGGTCATTAAAAGCTCCTGTCCAGAGCCAGCCTTACCCATGGAGTAGGAGAAAAAGAGAGAGTGACGAGTTACCGGACTTCGTCACATGGCTCTGGTGCGACTACGGTGATCTGGGGAGCATTTTGATGAGATGTTTTCTCAGTTCTCCAGGAACACAGCACTAGAGGTTTCCACTACTTTTCAGAAATGAAATGAGATAAGCAATTAATATGAATGAGGATAAATATAGATCATATTTTACCCTAGTCAGGCTTGCTGACTTGCTTGATGCATGTCATATCCCAGTGGCGTGGATCAATGCTTAGGATGTCAATCACTGGATTATCTGTCCCTGACTTGATTAATTACAGACCATCCTCATATAGCTGGAATATTGCTGAGTGCTGCATTAAACAACCATAAACAAACAAACACTCCTTGTGAGCTATCGTCAATCATTAAGGGACTGTTTCCATGGTCTGGTGGGTAGAGGGCTCGAAAAGCTGAAGGTCGGTGGTTTGAACCCTGGCTGCATCATTCAAAAAGGTGTTAAAAGAGGGTACTTGTTGTTACCCTGCCTGGCACTCAACTTCAGGGAATAAAACAGGAACTAGTCCCCTCCAGAGTCGGTATGCTGTGTCTGGTTGGAGTATCCATGTTAAAGTGTGACATGGCATCTCAATGGGCTAGGACTATAGAACCAGCATTAGTCCCCTCTAGTTCATGTACTATGAGCAGCATGCAGGGACGACATCCATGTAAGTGAAATAATCTTGTGTCACCTCACTTCATACATGATGTTCAACGTAGTTACACCCAACAATGGCCAAACTTATTGTAGGTTTTGACAGACTCTACCATAGTTCACAGAATTTGTTTTTCAAATGTCATTGAATCAAAGAGATAAAAGGTAGCCTTGTGATTTGTACTACTTGGAATGTTGCAGACCGGGATCTGATCGATTTAACAAGGATGATGCCGGCACAAAGTCAAAAGGTCCATACGGACAGAAATCAGATCAGGGTGAGAACATATGAACATTTTTCTTTTGTTGTTATAGAACATGTTTAATTTTGTTAAGTGAGTAGATTCTGATAATTCAAAATATCGCCTGTTCGAGACGGGTGGTCAAGCTTGCTGACTTACTTGATGCATGTCATCATATCCCAAAGACGTTGATCGATGCTCATGATATCAATCACTGGATTGTCTGATCCTAACTTGATTATTTACAGACCATCCTCATATAGCTGGAATATTGCTGAGTGCGGCATTAAACAACAAACAAACAAACAAACAAACACTCCTTGTGAGCTATCGTCAATCATTCAGGGACTGTTTCCATGGTCTGGTGGGTAGAGTGCTTGAAAAGCTGAAGGTCGGTGGTTTGAACCCTGATTGTCATACAAAAAGATGTTAAAAGAGGGTACTTGTTGTTACCCTACCTGGCACTCAACTTAAGGGGATAAAACAGAGACTGGTCCCCTCAAGAGTCAGTATGCTGTGTCTGAGTGGAGTATCATGTTAAATGACTGGTAATTATTGTCTGTGTATTGCTTGTGAAAGGTGAGAGGCCTTGTGATAATCCTAATGTAACTAATGATAATAAAAGTTAGATTTTAGGAACATCGGTACCCCTTGATTCCTATTATCCTAGGGCGGTCGGGGTAGCCTAGTGGTTAAAGCATTAGCTCGTCACGCCGAAGACCCGGGTTCGATTCCCGACATCAGTACAATGTGTGAAGCCCATTTCTGGTGCCCCCCGCCGTGATATTGCTGGAATATTGCTAAAAGCGGCGTAAAAACAAACTCACTCACTCACTCACTATTATCCTAACATTGATCTGGATGATTTACCTTTCAGGGAATCCATCAAACAGCCAATCAAAGGAATCACTTGAGGTGGGTTGATTCCTGACGTTACCCATTGGTAGATGAAGACAGACTGGGCCACCAGTACTGTAGGCTTGTAGTAACTATCTGTGAGAGTTAAGGGGAATACAATGTGAGACCCTGTTGCTTGTCCATGGAGTCAGGGGCGGTCGGGTAGCCTAGTGGTTAAAGCGTTCGCTCGTCACGCCGAAGACCCGGGTTTGATTCCCGACATCAGTACAATGTGTGAAGCCCATTTCTGGTGTCCCCCGCCATGATATTGCTGGAATATTGCTAAAAGCGGCGTAAAACCATACACACTCACACTGCATGGAGTCATTGTTCATGCTTTTTCTGCAACTGAGACTACCAGATAACAGTTCCGTTTTTACATCAGCATCAACATAATCAAAGACATTTTTTACAGCTCTCCAATACATCAGTAATCTGTCTGAATATAACAACGTTTTCACATTCACTTTCATGTCTCCAGGCAGATAAGAACATTACACTTGGACATCCACTTTTACTTGAAGTCTTCCGCAACCCATGCTTGCCGTAAAAGGCGACTATGCTTGTTGTAAGAGGCGAATAACAGGATCGGGGGGTCAGTCTTGCTGACTTGGTTGATGCATGTGATGATGATCGATCCCAATTACGTGGATCGATGCTCATGATGTCAATCACTGGATTGTCTGGTCCAGACTCGATTATTTACAGACCGCCGCGTTATAGCTGGAATATTGCTAACTGCATCGTTAAACACCAAACAAACAAAAGTTGATATTATTGAATTGTATAAAAATCGTGCCGCTGGTTAGTGTGATATTGTTGTGTTGGTTCCAAGCCATGTTGGAATCCTTGGTAACCCAGTGGCTGATGGTGCGCTGAAAAGCAACACTGAACAAATCTGTAACACCACTTCTTATCCCATGCAGTGATTATATACACAATCTCACCTGAGTGACTTTTGATATGAAATATATCAACACAAGTCTATGAAAGTTTAAAACGCTAAGGCACATAAGATTTTCGCATGTTGAGTTGAGAACTGGCTATATTGATGCTTGTTTGAGTCATGGAAAAACTCTGTGTATTGTTTGGATATCTATTTTGGGCATTGTCATTCAAACTGGCCTCAAAACGAAAGTATCGTGGCAAATGGGTCCAGGGTATTGATCATAATATGATACACTTGATCATCAAAAATGGATATGGTTGTAATTGGCTATTATTGCTGACTGGGTCATTGACAGATTTCAGTTGATGCTAAACAGAATGTTGACTAGAAGTGTTTTGTCTTCATTACCAAGGAGATTGTGATAGGGACCACATAGAGTCCAGATTCTGTAGCTTTAGGTGACCACGTAGAGTCCAGATACTGTAGGTTTTGGTGACCACGTAGAGTCCAGATACTGTAGGTTTTGGTGACCATGTAGAGTCCAGATACTGTAGCTTTTGGTGACCACGTAGAGTCCAGACACTGTAGGTTTTGGTGACCACTTAGAGTCCAGATACTGTAGGTTTTGGTGACCACGTAGAGTCCAGATTCTGTAGCTCTAGGTGACCATGTAGAGTCCAGATACTGTAGCTCTAGGTGACCACGTAGAGTCCAGATACTGTAGCTTTTGGTGACCACGTAGAGTCCAGATACTGTAGCTTTTGGTGACCACGCAGAGTCCAGATACTGTAGCTTTTGGTGACCACGTAGAGTCCAGAAACTGTAGGTTTAGGTGACCACGCAGAGTCCAGATACTGTAGCTTTTGGTGACCACGTAGAGTCCAGATACTGTAGCTTTTGGTGACCACGTAGAGTCCAGAAACTGTAGGTTTAGGTGACCACGTAGAGTCCAGATACTGTAGCTTTAGGTGACCACGTAGAGTCCAGATACTGTAGGTTTAGGTGACCACGTAGAGTCCAGATACTGTAGCTCTTGGTGACTACGTAGAGTCCAGATACTGTAGCTTTTGGTGACCACGTAGAGTCCAGATACTGTAGCTTTTGGTGACCACATAGAGTCCAGATACTGTAGGTTAAGGTGACCACGTAGAGTCCAGATACTGTAGCTTTTGGTGACCACGTAGAGTCCAGATACTGTAGGTTAAGGTGACCACGTAGAGTCCAGATACTGTAGCTTTTGGTGACCACGTAGTCCAGATACTGTAGGTTTAGGTTACCACGTAGAGTCCAGATTCTATAGGTTTAGGTGACCACGTAGAGTCCAGATTCTGTAGCTTTAGGTGACCACGTAGAGTCCAGATACTGCAGCTTTAGGTGACCACGTAGAGACCAGAAACTGTAGGTTTAGGTGACCACGTAGAGTCCAGATGCTGTAGGTTTTGGTAACCATGTAGAGTCCAGAAACTGTAGGTTTAGGTGACCACGTAGAGTCCAGATGCTGTAGCTTTTGGTAAACATGTAGAGTCCAAAATCTGTAGCTTTGGTCTTTTGCAACCCAGGAGACAGTGATGGTGACCCACGCGGAATCTGCCAACTCCTTGTGGGTTCAGATTGTAACCGAGGACAACATGAACAACCTCCTCAGCATGACGGAACAACTGCAGACTCTGTGTGCTGCCGCTTCCAAGATATCTGGTCTCCCTGAACAGAACAAGGTATGAATGAGTACTTCGAGTTGAAACTCCTCTGTGGTCTTGTGAGTAGTGTGACTGCCTGGAGAGCTGAAGATCAGTGATTTGATCCCCAGCCAGGTCATGCCAAAAGATGTTAAAGGAAGGTATTTGTTGTTACTCTGCTCGGCATTAAGGGGCTAAAAGAAGTCATTATTCTGTGTCTAAGTGAGGTACCCATGTTAAACTGTGGCATGGTAACTCATTGGGCTAGCACTATAAAACCGACATAAGTCAACACTAGAGCAAGGATGCACATACGTTGCTATATAAGCGCAGTAACCTATCATGTGACGTGAAACCCCATTTCAACTCTACCATTTCCAATTGCACAATCACAAGTTTTTCAGATAATTAAAAATATTTTTGTTTGATACAGTAAATATTTCCTTGTCGCTATAAGATCTGTTCTTTCATTGCTTTGTTGTGTGTCATTCCCATGTCTATAAAGGCGGTCAGGTAGCCTAGAGGTTAAAGCGTTCGCTCGTCACGCCGAAGACCTGGGTTCGATTCCCGACATGGGTACAATGTGTGAAGCCCATTTCTGGTGTCCCCCGCCGTGATGTTGCTGGAATATTGCTAAAAGCGGCGTAAAACCCCACTCACTCCCATGTCTATAAGATCCTTTGCATTGATAACCCCGCATCACTTGACAATGTTATCCTGGTATGTTGCAGATTTATGGGGCCCAGTTTTCTGAGGATCAGCAGTGGTACAGATGCAGGGTGAAACAGAGTTTTGGCACAGACAGGGTATGTGTGTTCCCAGCTTGTTCTGTGGTATTATTATCCCCAGCCACGAAGTGGAATATAGGAATGGGTGCTCTCTGTTCGTCCGTCAGTCATGTTTCGTTTCCAAAGCAGAATTCAAACAACAAAAGAGACAGCTTAACCAAACTTGGCACATAGATAGGTCTAGTGGTAAACTGGTGCCTTTTGATAGTTTGGATTTTTTTAAATTCATTTTTCGAGTTTCCATGGCAATGACTTTGACTTAGACTGAAAATGGCGGTAGTGCTGGTTTCCGGAGCAGAACCATACAATGTCTTGCCTTCCACACAACCAGACATGCCATATTGGAGGGGGATATGAGTATTTCATGCTTGTTTAGATATCAGTTACACATGAGATGATAAGGTTGTTTGTTCATGACAAGGTTTCGGGTTTAGAGATTTAGATGAGCAAGATTTACTTACTATAGTATTATAAATCTGCCAAAATATCTTATGTTGCCTTCTCAATTTGAGTCTGCATGTCTTCACAAATCTTTAGTAGCTGATGGAATAAAGGCATTTCCTACTGCAGTGAATAATGCAAATACAGTGCTACACTCGTCTCGCTTATTGTAACTTCAAGACCACCTCCGTGGTAGGGGTAGAGCATCCTCCTGGAGTCTTACAAAAAGATGTTAAAATAGTGTACTTGTTACCCTCAATGCTTGGCATTAAGGGGCTAAGACAAGGCCTGGTTGGCTTAGAGTCTGTATACTGTGTCTGATTGGGGAATTCATGTTAAACTGCGTCATGGTATCTCAATGGGCTAGCAGAGGTGGTAAACATTAAGCTGACATGCCGTGATATAACTGGAATAATGTTAAAAGCGGCGTTAAACCCAACACACTCACTCACTCACTCACTCACTCACTCACTCACTCACTCACTCACTCACTCACTCACTCAATGGGCTAGCTATTAATTAACTATTAATCGGCATCAGTTTGAACCAGTACAAGAGAGAGAGAGAGAGAGAGAGATAGCACACGTCGCCATGTAAGTGCAATAATCTTAGACGCACCGTTAAACTCCATTTGACCTCACCTCACCTGTTATGAGCTTTTCTGATATTGGGCATGACATAGACAGATGCCAATTAGAAACCAATGAAATAGCTTTGAAAGCAGATGTTTAAAAAATGTTTGAAAAGGGGTCCCTCTTGGTTGGAAAATACCCAATAGATTGGACCAAGGGAGTAAAAATATACTGAATACCCACAGAAAACTATGAATGATAACATGTGGGTATATATTGAATGGCTAAGATTATTATTTGGAGCCCTGCTTGCTCCATTAAATGTCTTCAGGTAGTTTGTGGTAGAAAGTAGTTTGGTGGAGTGTAAAACTGATTGAACTTGATATTTGAACATATTCATGGAAATCATACGTCACACTGAAGACCCGGGTTCGATTCCCCACACAGATACAGTGTGTGAAGTCCATTTCTGGTGTCCCCCGCCATGATATTGCTAAAAGCAGCATAAAACCATACTTGCTATGTGAGAGGTAATGTTTTCCTGGTCATAAGGGAAACAAGAGTGATGAGGCTACTGCTGTTTCTGCAAATACTGCACATGTTTCTAGTTTGCTTACGGGGCGGTCGGGTAGCCTAGTGGTTAAAGCGTTGGCTCGTCACGCCGAAGACCCGGGTTTGATTCCCGACATGGGTACAATGTGTGAAGCCCATTTCTGGTGTCCCCCGCCGTGATATTGCTGGAATATTGCTAAAAGCGGCGTAAAACCATACTCACTCACTCACTCACTCTAGTTTGTTTGCATGTGCAGGTGAAGGTGCTGTACGTCGACTACGGCAACACAGAGGAACTAAACCCCACCTCCCTCGTTGAAATGCCTGCAAACATCTCCTCTGTCAAGCCTTTCGCAGTCAGGTTGATATTCAACAACATCAGAGTGAATGATATGTATGATAAGAAGGTAAGATGAATTGTTCCAATTGAGGTATTATTTTCTGTTGATAATGACGACAGAATTTGGAATTGGTAATTTAGCTGCAGTCAGCAAACATCCATCTGGGTCACAGCAGGCAACAGATAAGTGCCTTACTCAAGTCTTAATCAGTGACAGACATCCCACTTTTGTTTATTTGGTCACAAGGGGCGGTCGGGTAGCCTAGTGGTTAAAGCGTTCGCTCGTCACGCCAAAGACCCGGGTTCGATTCCCGACATGGGTACAATATGTGAAGCCCATTTCTGGTGTCCCCCGCCGTGATGTTGTTGGAATATTGCTAAAAGCGGCGAAAAACCATACTCACTCACTCACTTATTTGGTCGCCTTTTACAACAGACAATAATGTGCTGAGGGCCTATTCTAACTGAGTCTCCACGTGGGACGGTGGAATTAACATTTATTGCTCATTCTTGTATCATGTTATTCTTTAATATTTTGTTGGTAGATGTGCCTTCTAGTGTTATTTTGCAAATATCTGTTGACACACTTGTTTGTATGTTTCTTCAAGATTATCTGAAATATGTTACATACACATAACATGTGATAAATCTTTTTCCCCAGGCAATTAACTACCTCAAACAGACAACAGACGGGAAATACATTCGTAGTGTGATGAAACGTAAACTTGCAGACCAGTCGGGCTACTTTGCAGAGATTTTTCTGGAGGGGGAATGTTTGAATGACAAGATGGTGGAGGAAGGCTATGCTAGTCTCCGCCTGGAGATGAAGCGGCGAGAGATGGACGGCAACACGAGAGGCGGGGGAGGGTTCGGAACGCCGACAGAGAGGGACATTGGAGGGGGGTACACTGTTAACGCAGATAAAGCATCAGGAGACTTTACTCAGAGACAGGTGTTCGATGAGACCGGAAAAATTCAAGTCTCACTGCCCAAGTAAGTATGTTCAAATATGTTCTACTCATGATTCCTATGGTTATCATAAGTAAAGTCGTTTCTATTGGGACTTATCTTTCACGACCTTGTAGGAACTTGTTTTGTTTGTTTGTTTGTTTGTTTAACGCCGCACTCAGAAATATTACAGCTATATGACGGCAGTCTGTAGATTATAAAGTCTGGACCAGACAATCCAGTGATTGACATCATGAGCAATATACCGCCTCTTATGGCAAGCATGGGTTGCTGACGTCCTATCCTACCCCGGGTCTGTAGGAGCCTGTGGCTGATTCATACTTCTGACTTGTTAATTAATTTTCTCTTTCTCTTTCTCTTTCTCTTTCTCTTTCCCTTTCTCTCTCTTTCCCTTTCTCTCTCTCTCTCTCTCTCTCTCTCTCTCTCTCTCTCTCTCTCTCTCTCTCTCTCTCTCATATATGTTCATTGATGGCATGTATTGATGCATGTATCCTGCCTTGTGTACAGCAGTGGTAGATCCACACCGAACTCGGAGACCAACCACGTGAATTCAGGTCCAGATCTGCGCCCGGAACTGAATGCCAAGATTCAGGAGTTGCAGAAAGTCAAATATGAGAAAGAAAAGATCAACGGAGAGCTGGCTAATCTCCGATCAAGAATGAAGGTGATAAAATTATCTGAGAAATAACAGTGAAGTTCCAAACGTGTTTAAAACATTTGTAGGCATGCTTAGCTATGTTTGTGAGAGATTTTGAGTAGTTACAAAAACAAATGTTTCGTGTGGGAATTGCATTATGTCTGATAATCAAGATTACATTGTTATTTGTAGTAACATGTTTTGTATGAAACATGACTATTTTCAGGTTCTTCAAAATGAGTTTGCATCAGTATCCAGCAAGATGATGGAGACATCAGTTAACAACCAGTTTCGCTCTGTGCTAGAACTTGCTGGGAAGGTCAAGAAACTCAGGTCAGTTTAAGAATATATATTTTTAAAACAGCTCACCAGAACACACCCCTTGAGTCGCGCTAGCACACCAGAAGCATGTGACCAATGGAATACTGTTTCTTGTCTGAAATTCCTTTTAACAGACGTTAAATATGTTCACTTGCTCATTGAATATATTTTATAAGTTTCCTCTCAGTACAGTGCATTTTGTTTGTTTGATTGACATCATGAGCATTGATCTGTGCAACTGGGATATGATGACATACATCAACCAAGTCAGCGAGCCTGACCACCCAATCCTCTTGGTCGTCTCTTACGGCAGAGCATGGGTTGCTGAAGACCTATTCTAACCCGGTCTTCACTTGTTGTACAGTGTATGTCAATTTTGTTCACCAACTAGTTCAACTGTTGTATCATTATATTTTGTGAGATATTCACCAATTGGCTGTATCATATGTGAGATTCCCCCCCTTAGTCCCCTATTGTCTTACCAATCATGACGCTCGGGTGAATTTGTGCCTAAAACAATAGGTGCTGGACAAGTATGAATACCTCCAATAAACCAGCATGCAGACTGGTCCGATCATTGAAATTGCACATCGCGTCAAACACCGTCCGATCATTGAAATTGCGCATCGCGTCAAAACACTTGGAACCCATTTTACACCAGTAAGGGGTTTTTCCTCAGTCGCAGACATTTTCGTTTGTTTGATGATTTCACCAGTTATTTTTTTATCATTTATTTTCCGCTATTTTCTGTTTTTCAAATTACTTTTGGTCAAGCAGGGCGTTGGGGTAGCCTAGTGGTTGAAGCTTTCACTCATCACGCCGAAGACCCGTGTTCGATATTCCTCGTATCAACAGGGATGAGGTACATGGCGTTGTTCAAACATGGCCACCTCTCGTATAAACAGGGATGAGGTACATCTCGTGTTTGTTCTTGCAGGTGTCAGTTTCCCGGGCTCCAGAAGACCCCCATTGATGATGGCCTTGACCTTGTGAACAGTGAGGAAAGGATACAGAGCACGTCAGTGAAGAGTCTGCCCGACGTGCTGTCTGCCCTCTCCAAGTACAGGGGGGCACAGAAGGAAATCTGCATGCTGAAAGATATGGTGGGTTATTCCTATACTTATCTGTGATAGCTTCACTAGCCTGTATCTGCCATGTAACTGTCCAGGGCTTGTGGAATATACAAGGCCACTAATTTTTTTGGCTAGTTCAGTCTTGTATCAACTCCTTTGTAAGTCCAGGGTGATGGTAATGTCTCAGTTACTAAGTGCCTTCTCATTACCAACCTTCAAAAGCTCATTAAACTTTGATGGTAATTGCTAACTGTATGATGAATAATAATATGTATTTGTAGGCCAAGGAAATTGCTACTAGACTTTGCAAATAATACCATGAAGCCACTTGTTGTTTTCAATGCTATGCTTCATGCTTTATACGTATCCCTCAATCACTTACACTCGCTGGACATGTAAGACTGCCTTAGACAGTCTGCAATGTGATACTGTAAGCAGGGCTGTCTGATTGTTGCTTGTAGACGACCTTGGACAGTCTTGTCGAGACGAGGAACTCAGCCCGGGAGGAGACTGTCACCATTCTGCGAGTGTGTGTGGAGGAGCTGGAGTCGCTTCCCTTGACCGACAGGAGCAAGGCTGTTCAGGTGAGATGCTTATACTGGTCTTTCAGGAGTTTTGTTTGTCGGAAAGATTGTGCGTTGAAATTGATGAGTCCATGCATGTGAAGACACTTTTGTTGTTTCCAATTCCTTTTTTTTTGTCGCTTAGAACATTTCAAAACACTTTGTTTGCAATGTGAATTATTCTAATTTATAGACAGTCAATAGAGACTTCTGAAGGTAAAATGAAAATAAAAGAGGGGGTTCACCAAAAGAGTTCAAAGTAAGTGCCTCCTGTAGGCCCGTGGCAGGTAGAGCTCATGTTGGGTCTGTAGTTTCAAATATGTATGGGTTGTTATGGCCTCAAGTAAATTTGTGTGTCTATCTGTTTGTCACAATAAGCTGCAGTTCTTTTAATGAGGGCCTGACGAGTTAGTTGTAATTTCTTTTATTTCAAACGCTGGTCGCCAAATGTTATCACAACTACTTATGCGGGGAAATTGACAGTGTTTTTCTTTTCAGTGAAATGCATGTGGGTGGATGGGGGGAGGGAAGCGGCAAAGTGTGATACAGTCCTAACGCAATTCTTCTCCTCTTCTCCTAACGAGTCCCTTAATGAGTTAGAATTGTTGAAAGTCTATCCCATGGAATATCAATTTTGTTTCCTAATATCACCATGGATACCCTATTATTTTATTTTGTGTGCCATCTTGTAGGAATCTCTAGCCAAGATAAGACAGTGCTACGACAGTTACTTCAAGTTTGTGGTCCATTCCTGTCCTTCCCTGGAAACATTCCTACCAACTTTCGTAGAGTGGAAGGTAAGAAAAGTGGATGTTGTCTTCACCTTATTCCGTGCATTTTTTCATCTAATAGTTTGCCATAATGTATCGTAATGCTTCACCAACAATGTTGTTGAAATCAGCTTTAATTATGATTCGATACCTCTCTCCATAGAGCTGAGAAACTCTCCATACAGCTGAGAAACTCTCCATGCAGCTGAGAAACTCTCCATACAGCTGAGAAACTCTCCATACAGCTGAGAAACTCTCCATAGAGCTGACAAACTCTCCATACAACTGACAAACTCTCCATACAGCTGACAAACTCTCCATAGAGCTGACAAACTCTCCATAGTCGCTGGTTGTCTCCATCTTCCCGAGGCAAAAGAGTTAACTGACTTTAAAAGTCCAGTTTCGACCCTTGCCAGACTAGGTTGGAATTACTGGGCTCGACCGTAGCGCCACAAGTGGCTTTTACAAGTTATGTCCCTGCTATGCCTCTCCTATGGACCAATCAGATTCCACCTCTTGTACCACTTGCATTTGCTTCAAACAAAATGGCGGCGCCCAGTCAAGACGATCTGATCGATAATCAATATCTGTATTGTGATAAAACGAGTCTTATATCGGGAAGTGCATGAAATCACGTGAACACCTTGATTAAAAACCTGGAAAGATTTGGAAAATGTCTGTTGACAACGAGTTGGCGGTGCACATGCTTTGTAAACACTGCAATCGACCGAAATCTGCATGACCGTTTACGAACCGGATTTCGATTTCGTTGCGTGACTGTGATTGGACTATGCATAGACTCGTTAGTCCAGCCAAAATGTAACTCCATAATACCAGCCTATTTCGACAAGGGTGGAAACTGGACTTTTATAGTCAGTTAACTCACTTGCCTCGGGAAGATGGGTAGTCTCAGATGAACCTTGAGCAGACTATGACCACCCAATCTGTGTAATAGTGTAAATTTTCATTTAATTATCTTTTTTTTAAAGAAATTGAACTAATTTTGATGTACAAAGTTTTAATTATTTTGAGACTCCTGTTTAAGTCCTTGTAGCGTCTAGGTTGTTTGACGACACACCCAGACCTTGTCTTCACACTCTCAAGTCTTCACTGTGGTTCTCGATCACACTTTACAGGAGAGTCTATGCCTACCAAGGGTTGTTGTCTTGAAACCTGACCTATTTTGATGTGTTGTGCACCATGTGCCCTTGTATTGATTCCCCTGTAGGCAGGTTTCAATTGCTATGTACATTGGATGATGTGTGCCACACAGCAAAAGAGAATGGCTGAGTTCACCGAGGCACGACAGATGACAGACTCCTACAAAGATGCTACCATGACAGCTCTCGCCAGCATACAGTCTGTAAGTGCACTGTTTCATCTTATCTCAGTTGAAATGGAGGTGTGCAGGTTCAGATATTTATGTCTCTTCTCTCTACTCTTGCTATTTTGAAATTTGTCCCCAAAAATAAAAATTTTGTTTCCATGGAAACAATTTTGTCTTAGCTTCAACCAAGGGTTCACTTCTGGGCAATAACTTAAAAACCATTCAACATTTTTCTACGAAACTGCACATATGTATTTGTGTTATTTCGAAATTTGTCAAAATTTTATTTTTTCACGTTTCCATGGAAAAAGATTTGACTTAGTTTCAAATAAGGGTAGAGTTTGTTTCCTGGCCATAACTTTTGCTTCCCACCAAAATTCTACAGCTAATGAATATTTCTGCATGAAATCATAGCTATAATTCCAGGCTATAATTTACTCTTATTATTTTTCTGATTTGCAAACACATTAACAGTAACAACTTGAACTAATGTATCAAAAAAAGGAGGGGTGAGACCTATGTTTGGAGTTTTTAAAAACACATTCTAGTTGTCCCATAGCCAGTACTGTATAAGAGTGAGTGAGTGAGTTGGGTCCAACGCCGCTTTTAACAGTATTCCAGTTATATCGCGGCGAGTCAGCTTAATGTGGGAGGAAAGCCCGAAGTGATGCAGGTCTCCGACGTTTACCACTTCGGTGAAACCCACGAGCACGGGTATGGTGCTGACAAACCTAGAAACATAATCAGGGCGAACTGGGATTCGAACCCACAATCATAGGTTTCTGGCGTGCCCAAGGGACGCAACTCTGCACAGCGAATCGCGGCGCCTTAGACGACTGGGCCACCTGTGCCCCCTACTGTATAAGAACCACATAGTAGTTAGATCTACTATTATTACCACAGCAAGGTATGAGCTCTCTCAAAAGCTGATGTCTTCATTTTGAGGCATATGTAGATTAACAAATTTAGGTACTGCCATCTGATGTTTAGTATGTTAAATTTATCAGGATGTCACTTCTTACAGTTTTCATATCCCTCTTCTACTGGTATGCAACAATATAAAGCTGCATTAATGGTGGTGGGGTGGCCTCGTGGTTACTGTCTTGGTTCGTCACGCCAAAGGCTTGGGTTTGATTCTCAACATGGGTACAATATGTGAAGTCCATTGCTAGTGTCCCCCTCACACACTAGATATTGCTTGAATATTGCTAAAATATTGTAAAACCCTCCCTTTAATTTTTTCCAGCAACTTTCGTTTGACAACCTGGAAAATTTTGAGCAGCCCGACTTTGACCTGGAAGCACTCCTCCGCCAATACATACAGGGCCTGCAGCATGAGATCACTGTCACTGATGCTGTAAGTCAACAGAATTCTTTACTGGTTGCTGTGTTACTTTTACAGGGCTCGATTTAACTACTGTAAAACTTGAAATTAGCGCGATCGTGAAATAAATGCGAAAAATGCGTGTGGTCTTTGCTCGCATCTTTAAACATCGCATATATATCAACAATAAGACATTTTGGATAGCAAAAATACCAACTTAGACAAACGCTGATGTATTCCACACCACTGTTTATTGAGCAGCACTTGTTTATAAAGTATATAAACAATGTCATTCAAACACCAATTACGTCCTGTTAATTGTCACTGCTGGGGTCAAGACAAGAGTTCTACTCACTTATGTCATCACTGATCACACCTGCAAGTCCAGACAGAAGCCACCCTTTGTTCTTTGCGACTGCGTCAAAGGCCGACACAAGCCAGCGCGCATGTATTGTTTTTGTGGAAGTACTTTACTCAGCGCTAATAAGCGGTTCTATTTGGTGTGTGATTGGATTAATGTAAGGTTGGATTAATGTAAGGATTCTAAACCTGACTGAGGACATCTTTAGATAGAAATCCACTGATGCTTGAGCGGAGGGGGTGTCGCATTCATATTGAGTCGCATTTTTGGCTAGGCTCCAGTGGTCGCATTCTTTTGGAGACGCATTAATTTCACGATTTACAGTATATAAAACATGCACAAGTGCAACCTATTATTGAAAATATGCAACGTAACATTCATGTCTACATGCACCATGTCAGAACACTCTTATAAAGATTAAATTCATGTCAGACTATCCTTACTTGTCACAGAATATCCTTCTTTGAACACTCTCAATACCTCAAAAGTCTATTTACATTACTAACCCCTGTGTTACGTGTGATTTATCATGCTTTCTTGGGCTGGCCTCATCAAATTGTGGGTACTTCCAAGATTATGTGCTTATGTTCCTATTAAGTTTTACAGCAATACATCAGTAATTTATGTGACACTGGCAGCTGACCGACCAATGTTTAAACTTTGTTGAATTTAGAGGACCATGGTGTAGCTTGGTTTTGTTTGGTGAAACTTGGTTTTCATGTCGACATGTAGCTGGTGCAAGTTAGTTCAAGTTCCTTAAATCGAGCCCTGCGGTAATGCTATGGTACTATGGCACAGAATAAAGCTATTTGTTTCCTTGCTCATTCATTATTTCTGTTTAAACAGCCCCATGTAAATGGGAATGCTTTAAGGTTTTGTCTGAATTTGAAAACTGCCATTGCCACACTTTGTTTTTGAAACCATGCCATGCTTGAAATACCAGGGATATCCTGTCATATATCTCCCTTGACCAGTAAGGTCAAGGGTCAAGGTCATGCTCGGGGTCATAGCCCGAAGTAAAGGTCCCACGAAGATCCGGGGTAGAATAGGTCTTCAGCAACCCATGCTTGTCGTAAGAGGCGACTAACAGATCGGGTGGTCAGGCTCCTGACTTTGTTGATGCATGTCATGATTGTCATCGTGTCCCAATTGCATGGATCGATATTCATAATTCAGTCACTGGATTGTCTGGTCCAGACTCAATTATTTACAGACCGCCATCATATAGCTGGATTATTGCTGAGTACGGCGTTAAACAACAAACAAACAAACAAACAAACAAAACAATGTCATTCTTCAAAGTATGTTTGCCACTTTCACAAAATGCCCATTTTCAATAAGTAGCATATGCAGTTTTAATTTTTAATCCATGTGTTGGACCAATATCTCAGGGATATCATAACATGTATATCTCCTTTATAGCCCAGGGTAGTCGTGTTGGCTAACGTCATGTCAAGGGTCAAGGTCATCCTCAAGTTCGTAGACCTTCATAAAGACTAAGGTCACTGGAATGTTCTGCATCTTTGTGTAATGAACGAACCCTCTCTGTATGACATGTTTCATAATCAAGCATGTGATTGGTTCAAATTGACATAGAATTCAAGGATATTATACTGGAAGCACTTATCATTTTATGGTTGCTGGAAGCATAAGACTGTTTTAATGTTGTAAAGTTGTCTTGCATTGGACGTGTTTTCCCAAACTGGAAGTGAGGACTAATGTGTTGCTCATGTTTTCAGTCACTGGTTTGTCTGATCCAGACTCTTTTCTTCAAGAATACCATGAAATAGCTGGAATATTGCTGACTGTAGTGATAAACCCTCTCTCTCTCTCTCTCTCTCACTCACTCACTCACTCACTCACACACTCTGTTGTCAGGAGCGGAGTTCTGAGGGCGCCTTCCTGGCTGCACTGGTCCAGTCCCTGTACAAAGAGCTGCAATCTGAGGTGTCTAACATAGACAACTACCAACATCTCCTGACTGAGTTCCGCACGATGAAGACGGAGTGTGAACCATGGCTTGAGGATAAACCATGTACAGAGGAACTTCTAGGAATTCGCAAAACACTTCGGGGTTTGCGGTCAAAGCTCCGGCACAGGGTTGCCGACAGACAGGATTTAGAAGAGGCATGTTATTTTCTCATTGATTGTACTTTCATTGGTTTGTTGTATTAATGTTCAAACGAAGTCATTGTCAAGTGAGTAATGTCACTATCAGAATTATCAGGTAATTAATGCTACACACTGATCAGGGTTTATTCTTTCTTTAAGACTTGGCTAATGACTCTCTTCCTCAGGCACATATACCACTGAACCACATGTCAGAGCTGTTCTTCGCCTAGTGGTTAAAGCATTGCTCGTTAGCCTAAGACATGGGTACAATGTATGAAGCCCATATCTAGTGTCCCCCGCCGTGATATTGCTGGAATATTGCTAAAAGTGGCATAAAACCATACTCACTCACTGTTCTTTCTTGGACAAATACTCCACAAATGACTATTATTATTATTGTTAATATTTTGTTGATGTCACATTTATATAGATAAAAATGTAACTAGGGTTAAGGGTGTCACATGATACATTCAGTATTATTATGCAATAATTCCCTGCATGTTGGCCAAGAACATTTATAAAACAAGACATTATGTACACTACACCCACCCAAAATTAGCATGTCGGAAAAGCAAACGATTTTAGTTAATGATCCATTTTTCTTTGCCCACAGAACGAGGGTGACCCAAGGGAGTTGGATGAGATCAAGAAGGACATCAGTGCCATCAGAACGGAGATACACCAGGCACTCAGCATCGAGGACGGTCTGGTGGTGAGGGGGGACACAGGGAGGGCACCTGCAAAATAACATCACCGTGCGCACGTTGTACAGGATTGGAATATAAAGGCCTCTTAAAGCCTTCGTTTCAATATCTTAATAGGGGATAATTATAAATGGTAAACTTGTGTTAAGGTCTGTCCCCTGTGTGTAAGTCTGAACTTATGGCATCATACATAATATCAGTAATAATAGCACACTTGTAAGACATCCAGTTGGAGTCATCGACCCGTGAAAATCCGGGGTAGAATAGGTCTTCAGCAACCCATGCTTGCCGTAAAAGGCGACTATGCTTGTCGTAAGAGGCAACTAACGGGATCGGGTGGTCAGGCTCGCTGACTTGGTTGATGCATGTCATCGATCCCAATTGCGTGGATTGATGCTCATGATATTAATCACTGGCTTGTCTGGTCCAGACTCGATTATTTACAGACCGCATCATATAGCTGGAATATTGCTGAGTGCGGCGATAAACAACAGCAAAAAAAAAGAAGAAAAAAGGTTGGAGTCATCAGTATAGAATTGGTCTTCAGCAACCCATGCTTGCCATAAAAGGAGACTATGCTTCTCGTAAGAGGAGACTAAGGTCAGGCTCGCTGACTTGGTTGATGCATGTCATCGTATCCAAATTGTGTGCTCATGATGTCAATCACTGGATTCTTTGGTTCAGACTCGATTATTGACAGACCGCCATCATATAGCATGATATAGCTGGAATATTGCTGAGTGCGGTGTTAAACCACTCATAAACAAACAAACACACATGTCTTTGCACACTGGTTTCATTTCCAGACTGACTTGTCCAAGATTGCTGATGCCCACTTCCCTGAGCTGATGAAGATCCACCCCGAGTTGGGTATTGACATACACTTGGTGAGTGGGCAGTGTCTTCCATCATCTTAATAATGTCTTCCAACATTGTCGCCTTCATCATCTGAATACACTGTTGAAAACTTCAGCAAGTTGCACATGAACTACCTTTTCAGGAGGGCGGTCGGGTAGCCTAGTGGTTAAAGCGTTCGCTCGTCACGCCGAAGACCCGGGTTTGATTCCCGACATCAGTACAATGTGTGAAGCCCATTTCTAGTGTCCCCCGCCATGATATTGCTGGAATATTGCTAAAAGCGGCGTAAAACCATATTCACTCACTTCACTCACCTTTTCAGGGTTAGAACTAAACTAAAAAGCTTTACTAGCCCGGGTAAAGATAAATGCCCTTGTAATGTTAAAACACAAGGGAAATGTGGACATTTTTACTCACCCGCAGAAGTTTATACTAGCCCCGGGTTAGCGGGCTAGTGTTAAGTTCTAACCCTGCTTTTTTACATTATTTATATATAGTTCACCCCACAGTTAAACTGATAACATAAACATTGTTAGCAATAACATATGAATAAATTGTCCTTACATTGAAACTGAAATATCAAGCTTGGTGTATTCCACGACCCCTTTGAAAGTATTACAAGAAGAGAACTTGCAGCCCTGTTTTAGTTTTGTGATGCTATGTGAACACGTAAACATGTCTGTGATAAGTAGGAAGAAGTTTACAAGTTGTTTTATGTAAAGCATGATTACTGTGTTAAAATGTGTGTACAACGCCATCCAATGTCTTTGCAGGAGTTTAATGGCCTGGTGAAACCCAGCCAGGAGATGGAACATTTCGACCTGACACAAGTAGAGGGAGCCAGTCAGGGGTTCTACATGTCTACCTTCTTGAGGAAGCCTGTATTCATCCGGGTGAGGAGAACACTCTTCCTATCTCTGCACCATATGTTTGTGTTCTTGCTGTTGTACCTGCAGGTTTGATTGTCAGGACTACAGGTTAGTATTTTCAGGCCACCATATATAGCTGTTATTTTCTTATGTTTACTCATACCCATGTTCTCAACTGTTTCAGGAGCACTTGTTGTCCGACGGTGATCGTCTGGACAAGGATGATTGTGTCCGGCAGGCCATGACGTACTCCATGGCTAAGCAGGAGAATGTACAATCTATCATGTCTGTCTTTTTCGATAAGGTAAAGTTGAAACATTAATAGAATCTGTAGGAAAGACTGAAATCTTCAACTTTGGCCATGACTTAGGTGACTTAGCATAACACCATTGCCACAGGCTAATTTGCATATCACGTGACCAGACTTATCTCTGGTTTGTAAACAAACACACTTTCAGAAATCAGAACAGAACGACTAAAGAGTTGACATTGGGTTGAATGACAATATGTATTTACACATCAAAGTGACTGTATCGCTAGCTCTACGCAGGGCTTCGATGACAGCACGTGCAGCCGTACAACAAATGTAAACATAGGAAAACTACGCAAATGGAAATAGTTTTACACGATTTTGGACATTTTCTCAATGAGAGTTAACCATTCCATGACATATGTTTATCTAGATGTGTAGACTTGTAAAAAAGATTAGCAGATGAAAAACATATGCAATATCTTGAATGGACTGTGAAAGATGTGACGAATTGTCACATGGCGCTGGCCTGTGGCAGAGGTACTATGCTGGTCACATGGAACTCTGGGTAGGAGAATGGCCATTTGTCTTTAATGCCTAATCCATTCTGCTCACCTTGCAATAGTTGAAAATTATTGCCGGATGACAGTCATGGCAGTAGTTTCTTGTTTTGGGCACAAACTGAAGCTTTCAATATTGAATGTATTCTGTTCTATGCCGTGAGCTAGAACAGCCCACGTATGAAACATTTTACAGCGTAAGAAATTGGCACTAGTCCTATAGTCCTTGCCAAACTGCCCAATAGGAAAGGTATCCTAAGGACTAGTAGACATTTGCCCCTTTTAAGGGTTTTGCTATATGTTATTATGAGGACTCGTGGGCTAAACCTGTTAATTTCTATCGCTGTTTTATGTCTGCTTCAGAACTCCAACTGCCCTTAGTTTGATCCTCTGGATGTGGATTGAACCTGTCCATGATGTTACAATTGTTACAATACTGGGCTTCATTGTTACAGAATCACTAAATTGTTACAATACTGTGCTTCATTGTGTACAGAATCACTAAACTGTTACAATACTGTGCTTCATTGTTACAGGATCACTAAACTGTTACAATACTGTGCTTCATTGTTACAGAATCACTAAATTATTACAATACTGTGCTTCATTGTTACAGGATCACTAAACTGTTACAATACTGTGCTTCATTGTTACAGAAACACTGAAGATGTTATATGCTTCATTGTTACAGAATCACTAAATTATTACAATACTGTGCTTCATTGTGTACAGGATCACTAAATTGTTACAATACTGTGCTTCATTGTTACAGAAACACTGAAGATGTTATATGCTTCATTGTTACAGAATCACTAAATTATTACAAAACTGTGCTTCATTGTGTACAGAATCACTAAACTGTTACAATACTGTGCTTCATTGTTACAGGATCACTAAACTGTTACAATACTGTGCTTCATTGTTACAGGATCACTAAATTGTTACAATACTGTGCTTCATTGTTACAGAATCACTAAATTGTTACAATACTGTGCTTCATTGTTACAGGATCACTAAATTGTTACAATACTGTGCTTCATTGTCTACAGAATCACTAAACTGTTACAATACTGTGCTTAATTGTTACAGAAACACTGAAGATGTTATATGCTTCATTGTTACAGAATCACAAAACTGTTACAATACTGTGCTTCATTGTTACAGGATCACTAAATTGTTACAATACTGTGCTTCATTGTTACAGAATCACTAAATTGTTACAATACTGTGCTTTATTGTGTACAGAATCACTGAAGTTTTTATGTGCTTCATTGTTACAGAATCACTAAATTGTTACAATACTGTGCTTCATTGTGTACAGAATCACTAAATTGTTACAATACTGTGCTTCTTGGTTACAGAATCACTAAATTGTTTTAATGCTGTGCTTCATTGTGTACAGAATCACTTAAGATGTTATATGCTTCATTGTTACAGAATCACTAAATTATTACAATACTGTGCTTCATTGTGTACAGAATCACTGAAGATGTTATATGCTTCATTGTGTACAGAATCACTGAATTGTTACAATACTGTGCTTCATTGTTACAGGATTACTAAATTGTTACAATACTGTGCTTCATTGTTACAGAAACACTGAAGATGTTATATGCTTCATTGTTACAGAATCACTAAATTGTTACAATACTGTGCTTCATTGTTACAGGATCACCAAATTGTTACAATACTGTGCTTCATTGTTACAGAAACACTGAAGATGTTACAGGCTTCATTGTGTACAGAATCACTAATTTGTTACAATACTGTGCTTCATTGTTACAGGATCACTAAATTGTTACAATACTGTGCTTCATTGTTACAGAATCACTAAATTGTTACAATACTGGGCTTCATTGTTACAGGATCACTAAATTGTTACAATACTGTGCTTCATTGTGTACAGACCAGGGGTCCGGAAAATTTAAAATCCCAATCGGACATTTGCATTTAGGCCACGCCCCCTTCAAATAGCGTATTTTAGGACGACTTTTCACACACATTACAAGTTGTTACGTATTCATAATATGATGAATTGTGAATTGTTTCAATTTAAATTGTTAATTCACCGGACAATTAATAACAAATAATATCATTTTAGATATACATGGAAAACATACGTTTGTTTCTGTTATAATAACGATCTGTTAACTTTGTGAATGGTCTAATTAATATTCATGAGTTATATTCATGAGTCTGCTCAAGTGTACGCGTTGTAACATTTGGATCGAGACTATTATCCCATATTTGGTTATCATGTGACCTCACGGGAAAAGTTTTTTTTTAAACTAAAGATTATTTAAAAACAAGACAGATAATATAATCACAAATACTTAAATTTCGTTGATAGCAATAGTTATTTGAATACTTTTTTCATCTGTACTTAATTATTGACCATAAAAAAATGATATCGATCATCACAGAAAGCAAAATGGCGGTCAAACAAGATTCAATATACGACTAGCTACTGAAAACAATAAAATCTGCAAATCCTCATTGTATGTCAACCAAGTGAAAGTCGTTAGCCACGACTTACAAATGATCGTCCAGACTTTGAGGGTTTGGCAGATCCGCTCGACTGATCTGCATCGGTCGACTGGCTGTCGTCACGCTTTCGCTACTTGTCTGAGGTTACGTACCGTAGCATTGTGAGGATAATGAGGTACATCGATGATGCAAGGTATTTATGTACAGTTGTAAACACCTTTCACTCAAATTAACAAGATGTTCTCAGTAATTAATCCTCGACTAATCAGTGTCAACTAAGTTTATTGCCTATTAGAGTGATTGACCGATTGGACTATCATGTAGGTACGATGTATTTACAGCAATCAAAGAAACAAAGCTTGTCAGTGTAGATAATCTTCATTGTGTTAGACAGAAACTGCTCAGTCCTAACTGTTGATCATGTCCGGTCAAAATTTAAAAATGTCCGGACAATACTTTTTAAAATGTCCGGACAGAAAAATTTAAATGTCCGGTAACCAATATTTTAAACCGGACATTTGAGATTCCCAATCGGACATGTCCGGCGCATATGACGGTTTCCGGACCCCTGGTACAGACTCACTAAATTGTTACAGTACTGTGCTTCATTGTTACAGAATCACTAAATTGTTACAATACTTTGCTTCATTGTTACAGAATCACTAAATTTTTACATTACTCTTCCTTATTGTTTCAGAATGCTCGTCATGCATACGTTTGCACAGCAAAGAATGGGGAAACATTGTCTAGTATGGTCCACAGGGGCAAGAAACCTCACAGAAAGGTAGGCTGTGCATCGGACAAACATACCAGCAGTGACTTCGTCAGTGTGTCGGTGTACCCCACAAAACACCTTCCTCATCTGTTTGCTCAAGTTTGACGTGTATAGACACACTTGAACATTTTCTCTGGTTTTTTAAATGTTTTTATGTATTTCTCTTCAAATAATGGTTCACATTTGCTTTAAAAGAGTTTGATATGTTCACAATTTAACTAGGCATTGTTTGTGGAATGTATGACATCCTGTTTATTATCGGCATGAGTTTGTTCAAACTGACAAGAACAGTTGCCCTGACACAAAAGTTCTGAGTAGGCCAACATTCATGGAATTCGTCTTCAGAGGACATTTTCCTGTTACTTTTGTTTCTTTCAAAAGAACTTCAGATCAAGCATCCTCTGACGGAAGAAAAAGGAACATTTGAAAGTTATGAAGCTAATGGTGACAATCTTTTTTCCCAGACCATACAGATGATCATGAGGTGTTTGGCTAAAGCTCTTCAGAGTCTCCATGCCAACAACATAGTCCATGGGGAGGTAACTCCGCAGAACATTCTCATTAGAGAGGAGGATGGCATGGCTGTACTGATGCATCCTGACTTTTCGCAAACAATGGTGAGATGGCAGCTGTTTAATTTCAGTGCACATGTTGAGGCCTTTTGTTTTTTTGGTTGGTTTACAAAATCTTTGGACTGAACTTCAACTTCAAATAGTGTGAATCTATATTATTGTGGTATTTGAAAATCTCATAGTCCACACCCTGTCAACTGTTTACTTATGCAAATCTATGCATAATATTTCATCACTTGATCGAATACAGGACTCATTGTGGTATGTCATGGCTATTTATCAGGAGGCATATCTACTGTAGTTATAAAAAAATGTCCTCTGTCTGTCTGCACCATATTCATAGTTCATGGCTTTCACCAAAGTGTTAAACATTTTTGACCAGTGACACTTTTGCATTTCTCCCCATATCAAGCAGACAGGTTGCTCACACTTGGAGATAAGGGCCATGCTCTTGCACTAAGGCAGACTTTGTTTAACCATGGTGGCCATTGGTCCACTGTCTGGTAAGACAGTATGTTTGATTTGTAGAAAGAACGCAGCAGAAAGAAGTACTCTACACCGTCAGGGATGGCGTTCATGGCACCGGAGTTGAAAAATGCTATGCTGAAAGATGTCTTCCCAGCGACCGATATGTTCAACCTTGGCTTGCTGTTGCTATGGGTATGTAAACTGAAATATATATTCTCACTCACTCACACACACGCACGCACGCACGCACGCACGCACGAGAGAGAGGGAGAGAAAGAGAGAGCTATTGCCATGCAAAACATTACCTTTGGTATGTATCTCTGTAGCTCACCCTGTCAAAGACCACTTGGTCACTCTCAGTGTAATGTGGCCAAACATTCTGATGCTGGTTGCAATGTTGCCTCCAAGGCTGCAAGGTCTTTGATTATTTGGGCAGTGGGGGGTTATTCAACTTATGGTCTCACTAAAATTGCTTTTTTCTTATTAAGTCCTGATTTTGACAAAAGTGCAATATTTAACATTTCAGCTTTACTATCCTGATGTCCACTTCGGTATCAAGGCTGATGCCCCGGACTTCACTGGCGTACCTCTTGTAAGCTTTTGTTTGTTTGTTTGTTGTTTAACGCCTCACTCAGCAATATTCCAGCTATATGACGGCGGTTTGTAAGCTGAAATATCAGTACAACACAAGGGTAGATGTACAGGTTAACGAAGGGTAGAAGTACAGGTTAACGAGGATAGATGTACAGGTTAACAAGGGTTAAAAAGGACAGGTTAACGAGGATAGAAGTACAGGTTAACAAGGGTTAAAAAGGACAGGTTAACGAGGATAGAAGTACAGGTTAACAAGGAATAGAAGCACAGGTTAACAAGGGATAGAAGCACAGGTTAACGAGAGATAGAGATACAGGTTAACGAGAGATAGAGATACAGGTTAACGAGGGATAGAGGGACAGGTTAACGAGGGAGAGAAGTAAAGGTTTACGAGGACAGGTTAATATAGCTGAGCTCCGCAGATACCACAGTGACCGAACAATTGCTTCCAAAAGTGGGAGAGATATGACAATCGGTATTTGGAGATAAGGTACAGATAATTGACAAGAGGATTGTGAGAGTATGTGGGAAATACCAAACTTAACCCAATAAAACACTGCCCCTCATGGTTTATTCTCCCTGCAGTGTTTTATTGTACGATAAACAACTCCCACTCATTGTTTATTTCTTAAGTATGGTGGGACCTTACTATCAAGACAAGTACTGTTACATCCAGGAAAGACATTAAGAAATGTTTTCTATATTAGGAAAAACCCGTCCAAGTACTGCTTTCCTCACTGCTGAACAACCTTCCCCATCTTCGAGTGACGACAGATCTGCTGATGACGTCGGAATACCTCAACATGACCATCCCAGAAGTAGACCCAGAGCCACAGCCAGAACCCCAGCAGCAGCAGCAGCAGCAGCAGCAGCAACAACAACAACAACAACAACAACAACAACAGCAGCAGCAGCAACAACAACAACAACAACAACAGCAGCAACAACAGCAACAGCAACAACAAGTATCACAAGATCAGCTGCCTGCTCCCATACAGAGTAGTGAATAGTATGTGGTTTATTCCTGGTTTCTACCAGAGCCAATTGTTTCATGTCTTAGTTTCAGTATCCTTTCTATACTGTTTATGCTTACAACAAGAATGATGAATTCTGCACTGTTTCTTTGATGAAAACGAACTTGAATTTAATTTTTCTATTTGATCAAATGATTTGAAATATCTCTAATTATACCATCTGTTTCGTCTCATTTTCTAGCGATGTAATGTCAAATATTGGTTCCTTCGATCCAAGCATGCTGGATATGGGAGAACCAGAACCAGATGCAACTAGTCAGTCCCAGTTTGAGCCAGAGCAGAATGAGTTTGATCCAGCTGAGACCACACAAAACCATTGTGAACCAGATGTTTCAAGTGAGACTTTACTTCCAAATGGAGAGGAAACTAACTCAGCTGTAGAAACCAATAACCAAACCGAACCAGCCAACTCAAATTCCTGTGATCAACCTATATCTGTAGAATGTTCTAGAGACATGGACAGTGCTGTTGTAATAGATTCCTTGGAGGACAAAGGGAGAGAAGCAGTGGAGGATGGTAATACTCAAATCGAGGGAGAGGTCAAGGCTGAAAGTGGAGACGGGCCTGACAACAAGCATACTAGCAGTACGGGCGACGGGTCTCCGGGACTGGTGGAGATTATGACAGGGAGGGCGTCGCCATTGACAAATACAGACAATATTAACCTAGAAGATGGTGAGTGATAGTATTTGCCACTGTTTGAAAGTCTGTAAATGCACTTTTTGTGCATGAAAATTGCGATAAGATCTTTGAATGAAAATGACCCAATCTTGATATCTCTGTGTACTTGATTTCTGTTTTCTCCAATAATACATAATGATGAAAAGTCATAAATATCCTAAAGATAAAATTGGTCAACTAAGAATCAACCTGCAGAGACCCCTGTTACCATTGTTACTAGAACTGTAACAAAAAATAAACAATTTTGATTCTCTCTTTTTCCTACATTACAAAATATGCTTGGTATGTTGTGATTGATGAGATTGTATGTTGCTTGCTTTCTGGATGTCAGAAGATGACTGAGCAGGTATGTAGACACGATGTCTCGGCTTTATTAGCCTTTCCCTCCCTCACTCACTCACTCTCTCTCTCTCTCTCTCTCTCTCCCTCTTGCTTATAGATGCCCTAACTGCAGATTGTGTGTATAGCTTACTTCACTCGCCGTTTCACGCTAGAATATGTACGTCCCCAGATATTGTAGATATTGTTAAAACGAGTATGGGGAGTAACATTGTGTGCCCCAAATGATCATGTGTCCCTAGTGGAATTGTTGATCATGTTATCAACCATTGATTCGTGGCCCTCACCTGATAGATTGACCAGGAGCCTATGACATAACTGGCACATTGCTGACAGTCACTTCAACCCTTTAACCCTCACAGGTCAACTGTGCAGAGTTGTGTCCCTTCGCTACCAGGATCTGCTGATTGTGTGTTTTTTATCTCGCTGATTATGATGCTTATGTCAGCATGATGCCTGTACTCTTGTTACCACAATGTGCAACCTCAGTCACTTTACCATTTCGGAAAATGGGTTTGAATGACTGTTGTGATATTTGTGAAATGTTGTGACAGGCTCCATACATCTCCTGTCCCCTCCTTTCCCCTCCCCCTGTGGATATTCCAGGTCAGCATTCGTCCCCAGCAACCTATACTTTTCATGTTAAGCATTTAATTGGTGAGATGGTCAGTCTTGTCGACTTGGTTCTTGTCTTGTCATCGTACTCAAACAGCATTGGACCTTGCTCAAAATCAACCGTTGGGTTGCCTGGTCAAGACTTTTTTACAGCCTGCTGTCATATAGCTGGAACATTGCTGAGTGTGGCATTAAACAACAATCATAAGATCACCCTTAACCTGAATCTCTCAATCAACTCATGATTTTTCTTGTTAACTGGATTTAAACACCACTCTCAGAGTCACTTAAGGTCTCGGTCACAACATGCATAATGCAGGCTGCAGTGATCTAGCTGACACACACTGGGTCACTCTCTCTCCAGACCCGGGGTAGAATAGGTCTTCAGCAACCCATGCCTGTTGTAAAAGGCGACTATGCTTGTCGTAAGGCAACTAATGGAATCAGGTTGTCAGGCTCACTGACTTGGTTGATGCATGTCATCATATCCCAATTTCGTGGATCAATGCTCATGATGTCAATCACTGGATTGTCTGGTTCAGACTCGATTATTTACAGACCGCCGTCATATAGCTGGAATATTGCTGAGTGTGGCATTAAAAACAAACAAACAAACACTATATCTCTGACTTTATACACCTGTAGAGAACCTCCCACTCCGACTTTGTACACCTGTAGAGGCCCTCCCACTCCAACTTTGTACACCTGTAGAGGACCTCCCTCTCCAACTTTGTAACCTGTAGAGGCCCTCCCGCTCCAACTTTGTGCACCTGTAGAGGCCCTCCCGCTCCAACTTTGTACACCTGTAGAGGACCTCCCACTCCAACTTTGTACACCTGTAGAGGCCCTCCAACTCCGACTTTGTACACCTGTAGAGGCCCTCCCACTCCGACTTTATACACCTGTAGAGGCCCATCCACTCCGACTTTGTGTACCTGTAGAGAACCTCCCACTCCGACTTTGTACACCTGTAGAGGCCCTCCCACTCCAACTTTGTACACCTGTAGAGGACCTCCCTCTCCAACTTTGTAACCTGTAGAGGCCCTCCCGCTCCAACTTTGTGCACCTGTAGAGGCCCTCCCGCTCCAACTTTGTACACCTGTAGAGAACCTCCCACTCCAACTTTGTGCACCTGTAGAGGACCTCCCACTCCAACTTTGTACACCTGTAGAGGACCTCCCACTCCCACTTTGTGCACCTATAGAGGACCTCCCACTCCAACTTTGTGCACCTGTAGAGGACCTCCCACTCCAACTTTGTACACCTGTAGAGAACCTCCCACTCCAACTTTGTGCACCTGTAGAGGACCTCCCACTCCAACTTTGTACACCTGTAGAGGACCTCCCACTCCCACTTTGTGCACCTGTAGAGGACCTCCCACTCCAACTTTGTGCACCTGTAGAGGACCTCCCACTCCAACTTTGTACACCTGTAGAGGATTCTCTTCATCAGCCTGACAGCACTCACTCCTGAAGACGGTTTGCATGTTTACATGAATAATCTAGTTTCTGATTAGCACTTGGTGGGAAGCTCTATGAAATGCAATTAGTTTGTAATCTTTGCAGCTTGTGGTGATGGTGTCTGTGTAGTTGCTTTACTTTATGATTGCAGTCTGTGACAAAATCTTTTCAATCTGCTCGCCCAGACTTGAGATCATTTTCAATAGATTTTGGTTTTAATGTATGGACATTCATTAGCTAAGCTTACTGGTTGGCTGTGGACCAGTGGCTAAAGTCACAGACTGTCTTTGTCTGTTGGTTGTGACACCTATACCGTAACAGCCTGTTCTCGACTGAAGCTAGTTGAGACAATATAATATATAGTGTTCCAGGCAGTGTCCGAAGAGTTTAGTTCTCAACTGCTCTACAAAAATCTCAGGACACTCGGGACATCGTTACGGGGCACGTCAGAACAACCTTTCATCGGACCAATCAGAGCAATTGCTTACGCCACCAGGAAAGAGACATTCAGAATGTGTTAAAACGGGGTATCCTGAACAACTGTCATGGAAGAAACTTTGCTTAACCTAAGTCTAGGCCATGTGTTAGACATTCCTGAATGTTCTTTTGTTTAGTTTTTCAAATTTTGAATCGAGAACTTTGTCAAAATATTTTTCAAAGCGTAGTCTGGAGTGGAAGGTTACAGTTTCAAACTTGTGCCATATACCTCAAGAAAGCTGCTTTCTGATTGGCTTATGTCAACTTTTTGTTTATCATTTCATTGGTCTGTCAAAGTCTGTGAAAGGTCGTTCCGCCGTGACTTGTAATGAGATGTCCTCAGATTTTTTATGAGATTTTAATGAGATTACAGTATGTCTGTTCCCTTAAAGAAGTAAAAGATGTGTATCCTTTGAGTCACCAGAGGGTTAGAATAATACCATGTTATTTTAGTTGTCTTCTTTTGCTTTGATGAAACATTGTTCTACAACACTACTAAGATACAAGAGATAGGGAGTTACTTGGTAACAGTGATAAGGCACTGCAGAGATCAATAAATGCATGTCCTATCGCTTGTCAACGTTTTTGGTAACTTGCACAAATCAATTCATACTTTAAATTCTCAAAAGAAGAACATGATTTCTTAATTTGGTAAATGTAATACCGTTGTTAAGTATCCCTTTCATTCTTTGAATCCAAGAGAACAATGAAATATCCTTCTAACAGTTCAAATATTATGTTTCTTTAATCATATAACAGTACTTATAGGAATTGCTGGGGATGATCAGTTTATAACTTGAAGGCTGTGAAACTGGGGCAATGTTCCACAAGGCTCTCTTCCTGTATTTGAAAGAACTGTTGAGTTAAATCATAACGAGAAAGTTGTTTTATTCACCTACGGGACTCAAACTATATAGGCTGCATAAATATAACGCCTGAAGCAATAGAATATCGTAATCTCAACGTTTCATAAGCCTCCTGGCCTTCATCAGGCATCTCTAGCGACGTAGTGCTCAACTAAAAAAATGTTTCTGAAGAAGGCTGGGAGGCCGAAAGTTTGTGAAAGAATATGAACTTATATAATCATTGTCAAGGTATTATGTGTTCTTTTCCAAGATGTTATTGTAGAAGCTCCTTTAATTTCTGACCATCTTGGTGATAATGAGGTTACCCAACCCAGGTTCAGTTATGTAGTCCTGCTTATTCCCAAGCTGCTTCTACCTATATCAGTATCTATTTATGCTCATCCAGAGTCATTCGTGACCAACTCATGTTATTCTGTGACAAGCCGAATAGCGACTTATGCTCCTCTCATGGCCATTTTTGCGACCGGCTTGCATCTTACCGTAAACAGGCATACCTAAAACAATTGTCAACTCATTGCGTAATGGTTCACATATCTTTCCTCATATATTTCAGATGCAATTTATCACATATCTGGACATGTGAAATTATACAGTATGATTGAACACATTTAACTGTGTCAGGGGTACATTTTTAGATGTAAAAGACATATGTAAAATAAAAAATTATTTCTGAGGGATTCTTTGACAATGAACGTGAAATAATATGCACATTCTGATTGGTTTGTCGTATTTTCAAACATAACATTCATCGATAGGGGGACGAGTCTTCTTGCAGGTTATGGAAAGGGGCGAGTACTCAGTCCGAGTAGTGACGAATGATCCAGAGTCTTCCTCAGCCCGTGTATACTTTCTTTTCTTTCTGGCTTGCGAAAATAAAATCTGGGGAGACCAGATAGCTTAATTTTCTGTCCAGTGAGCTATGATATGTAAGCCTTCCTCTCCCATCGTAATAAAAGGAACTATTCACTTAAAAAATAAGACCAATTTCTCCCTCACTCAGCTGTCAATTTAATATTGTACACTAGTTATACAATTGACAGAAACCTGTTTGATATTGACTCTGAAGTTCTAACCCTATTGAAATTTGTAATAATGTTTTTCACTCTGCAGACTTCTTGTATTTGGTAGGATAACAAAATGGCAACTTAAATCTGAAAACAAGAGTCAAACAATACCTAGCTGGCCCTAACGGCTGGTGCAGTTAAAAAATGATTGTACTCAATGTACACAACCGTTTTGTTCCAGTGGTGAAAGGGTTTAGCAAGCAGAATTCCTTCCTGAAAGAAGAGACGAAACCCACTCCACCACTCTCACAGCTGCTGAAGCAATTCCACAGCCAGCCGGGCACAGAGCCAGGATCTCATGTTTAGATACAGAGCCAGCATCTCACGTTTAGATACAGAGCCGGCATCTCACGTTTAGATACAGAGACACAAACAGGCAGATTTCTTCCCCTGTGTCTTTTTGTTTCTGTTTGTATAATTTCATTTAATTATGAGTCCCAGACATTGTTATCTATTAAAGATGTATTGAGTTTTCAGACAATATGATTTGCTTGTTAACAGTTTCAACATCTGACCCATGCAGAACATTGGTTGTTTGTGTTGCACTGGAACAGTGACATGTTTGTTTAGTTGCCATGGCAACAACCCATATATAATTGCAACACTTCACAAGTTCTCAGAACTGTAGCTGATCTCACGTCCTTCTCTGTATTCAGTAGAGCAATTCTTTTGATGCTGCTGACTGTTAGGAGCACAGTTAACTGACTATTATTTTTGGGAGCAAGATTCCTGAAGAACTAACATCTTTGTTTTCCTCAAAACTTGTGCTGCAATTCACTGTCTAGAGTTTCATCCTTAAGTACTGTTTAGATGTACTAGGGTTAACTTGTCTGGGTTTGAATACCGGGTTAACTTGCCTGGGTTTGAATACCAGGTTAACTTGCCTGGGTTTGAATGCCGGGTTAACTTGCCTGGGTTTGAATACCAGGTTAACTTGCCTAGGTTTGAATACCAGGTTAACTTGCCTGGGTTTGAATACCAGGTTAACTTGTCTGGGTTTGAATACCAGGTTAACTTGCCTGGGTTTGAATACCAGGTTAACTTGTCTGGGTTTAAATCCAAGGTTAACTTGTCTGGGTTTGAATACCTGGTTAACTTGCCTGTGTTTGAATCCTGCGTTTCAATCCCATATTAACTTGTCTTTGGTTTCAATCCCAGATTCACCTCTTTTGTGACCTTGGTCTCTCAGCTCAAAAGTGGTAAATGTCTTAATTTTATCACTGCAGGTTTCGAGAAAATGACATCGCACGATATTACTGAAAGACTGTTCAAAATAGTTTTAAGCCCAAATCCCTTGCTCCTCAAAGCTGGATTTTGTCAACAGACTTTTTTTTATAACTTACATAGTACTTGTTGTGGCATTGGTGCCGCAATTTGCTGTGTATAGTTGCTTTCCTAAGTTGCACAAGAATCAAAGGGTATTGGGTTCTAGCCACAGATTGTAAAACTTGGCACCATACCCATGTTTCACCAAAGTGGGAAATGTTTTTGATCTGCATCACTTTTGACTTTCTTCCCACTTTAAGCTGACACATCAGGTCACAACTGAATTACTGTTCAAAGCGGGTTTTATTTACTTAAAAAACTACAAGATCTCTCCATTCCCAGAGGGAAAGTGCCATAGTCTAGTGGTAATCATGTTGACTAAGAAGTTCCAGTTTCTAGTCAGTCATGGAACATCCATGTTGTTTAATTGGACAAAAGAGGTGGACTTGGATCAAAAACTAGGATCACCAATAACAAGTGTTGAAATAGGGCCTCCCATAGGTTCGATTCCCGACATGGGTACAATGTGTGAAGCCCATTTCGGGTGTCACCCGTCGTGATATTGCTGGAATATTGTTAAAAGCGGCGTAAAACAATACTCACTCATCTCTTATCAGTAACTTCACACATCTCTTGATCACATAAGTTAAATTTGATTGGGCAGCTAGTTTTAGTGTCGTGTACCGGTAATTCGAATCATAATCAAAACAAAGGTATGGTAGTGGCAAACTGGTTGAGAGAATTTATCAAAGTGGTGTGGAGACAGGGTTCAATTTGGCTATGTAAAACATGCACCAGTGAAGCCTAGTATTGAAAAATGTCTACATGGACCAAGTGCATGTAAAAAAAAATTGATTATTTTTTCTTACTTGTTATCACAACATTAATCTTTGAACACCCTCAATACCTTTCAGCTTTATATATAATACTATATTACTAATCCCTGTGTTATGTGTAGTTCATGACACAGGACACAGACATCTTAGATTTGACTTATTTAGACCAGATTATGCATCTCTCTTTCAACTTTTATAAATTTATGGGACCAGGGTGCAACCTGGTTTAGTCAGGTGCAACTAGCTTTTCATGTCAACATGCACCCACTGCAAGTTAAATCAAGTTCCTTAAATCGAGCCCTGGGGAATTGATACACTGAATAAATGACAATATGACCAGTTGATGAGGAGGGAATCACAACCCTGGGCAGATGGTTTCATTGTGTAGGATTCAGAAGAAACGGGTGTCGGGGGTAACCTAATGGTTAAAGCGTTTGCTTGTCACGCCGAAGCCCGGGTTCGATTCACCACATGGCTACAATGTGTGAAACCCATTTCTGGTGTCCCCCGCCGTGATATTGCTGGAATATTGCTAAAAGAGGCGTAAAACCCAAATCACTCACTCTCTGAAAGAACAATTATTAATTTGTAGTGCCTGTATGAATGATACATTACAGAATACATTCAGCAAGTCCCAATCCTTGGCTCATTAATTTGGGGTGTATAATCTGTACCTTCATCTTCATGGTAAATAAAGTCAAATATTGACCAGAACAGACATCCTTGTTAATGCTGAGAGGAAACGAATGGTCCAGTCGCAGTGATGTCCACTGTTATCTAGTCAGCGTATAGATAACAATTATGTAGATGCTAGTACAACAAAGTAGCATATTGTGTTAACTTGTACATACGTAATATAGTATGTGGCATTGTCTTTCATTAGTCGAGCATCTCCTGATTTTAGAGAATGGAGGATGCCCGTTTTGGCCATAGAGGATGCCTGTTAATGATCTACCGGTAGTTATTCTATTAACTGTCCACATGTCTTATATAAACTTACATTACAGGCTCATTAATTTGGGTCCATTTGCTTCAAAATATACCTCAAAACGCACCACTTATATTCAGATTGAGTGCATACAAATCAAAAGTAGCTATCCCATGAATCATACATACCTAAAAGAGGGAAAACCGCAACAAAACAACTCCTGATGCACCACTCACAAAACTCTTCTCTTCTCAGTTTGGCCATCCTCGATTATCTCCATTCTAATGGATACATATACACATGGCTTGCCCAAGATTGGTTTCCCCAAGCCCCATGATGAGAAGCATGTCTAGGAATGCCATGGTTTGTGAATTCCTTTCATTTGGGGGGGGCCCGGATGGCCCAGCCGCGATTCGCTGTGCAGAGTTGCGTCCCTTTGGCACGCCAGAAACCTATGATCGTGGGTTCAAATCCCAGTTCGCCCCAATTATGTTTCTAGGTTTGTCAGCACAATACCCGTGCTCGTGGGTTTCACCGAAGTGGTAAACGTCTGAGATGAGACCTGCATCACTTTGGCCTTCCCTCACAAATTAAGCTGACACGCCGCGATATAACTAGAATACTGTTTTAAAAAAAAGCGTTAAACCCAACTCACTCACTCCTTTCATTTGGTTGTGTTGTGACATCAATGATGTGTAGGAGACTGCGAGTTGGTCATCCATACCCAACCCATAATTATTTCACTGTATATATTTCATTATTTTTATGTCGCAAATTTCCGTTTTAAGAGAATGAGGAGTGCTGGGTTAAACAACCTGTTATCAACTTCGTATTCATGCAGAGATATATTCTGGCTCGGTTCTTGTAAGGATACAAGACAAGTCTAGCTGTGGTACCACCTCCAACATCTTGTGAATGTGTTTACGAGAGATACTTTTTCAAGTGTGTGACTTGATTGGTGCTGAAGGTCCAAGGACAAGGCGACCTACAACAAACATGTTTTGTTGATTTCTATGTAAAATCTTTAGTTGCATTCCATATCCAAATTCAGATGAATATTGGATGTATCCTGTTTAAAAGGAATGTCTCATTCTAGTTTACTGTGCTTGTAGAATTTTGTAGAAAAGTACTCAGTATGCTTGTGAAAAGTTGTATTCCATTTTACACGATCATGTGCAAATTGATTTGATTACAAATGTTGAAAACTGTTTTTCGTCTTGTTTATTTGTGATTAGTTTTGGTTTTGTATATGTTGCTTATGTATTGAGCCTGTGATTTGCACATACCTGTGATAGTATGTCTAGACAGGACAACAGCCACGCACTAACAAGGGAATGAAGACCCAAGACCGTGTGTCCTGATTTAGGATTTACGACTACATGTTGTTCAGATCTCCATCATAGATTCTTTCATACTACTGTATCAAACCAATCAATTTTATTTTGATGTCATTCATTTTGTCGGTCTTCCGTCCGTTAGAAATACCAATTCTTCAAAACTAGGCATATTAGTATCATATCAGCACAGCATGTTCTCCATGACATACCCGTGAATCAAACAATTCTTTACGACACTGGTGACAATTGTTCGAAAGACTTTCAGGCCACAGTAGAAGCTGTTGAATGAAGCACTGTTATCTGTTATGCCATGACTAAGAAGGCAACCAGCCTATTTAGACACTGAAAACAGGTTTATTTTGAATCAGAAATTGTCCACCCAGGTTTTGATCAAAACGTTTATCAAACTGAAATGTAATTCATGGTGTGCTAGTGTTCCATCAGTATTCCAATACCATTGACATCGAATAGAGAGACTTTCTGGAGTTGTTCATGCATTTTACTGAAACATTTATGGAAGAATTTCCATTGTCCAAGTAGCTGAACCACAATAACCAGAGACTGGTCACATGTGTAATCTTGACTCTTTCAACACTTGGAACAGATTTCAACCTGTGTGAGGTTCACTCTGACCTGTCAAGGTGTCCAAAGGTATGTCCTGGAACTGACCAAACATAGGCCTGTGAACAGCTGCGTGATAACTCTGTGTGTGACATTACTCCTTTAAGTGCATTACAAGATAGACCAAAGATGATATTTCAGTTGTTTTTATGCCGACTGTTGGACCAAGATACAGCCCTTGTGATGAAATTCAGAACGTATTTAAAGAATCATTCTGCTGTGTAATTTACTTACTTGCATAGAAATCATCAGCACACAAGTTGGTTGAGTTTGTTTTCCATTTTATGAAAGCTTTAAATTGGTTCAGTATTTCTTGTATCAATTAACAGACTCTTAAGCATGTGATTCCATTCTATCAATTGTTCTATTTCCGTGTTACTCATTGCTATTAATAGGGATCAGTGATGTCCATATTTTTTATTTCACGGGTAGACGATATGTATTTGTTTGGAAATCTTTGCAAATGTGTAATCATGTTATCAAAATCATGCTTCTGTTTTAATTCTGTAATAATATAAAAATACAAACTTCAACGATCTTTGCTTGTATTTGTGTTTGAAAGAAAACATGCCAGTCAGGAATTTTAAAATATTGATCAGGCAGTCAAGATCTGATGAGGCTCCAGAGAATGGCCCATCAGGTGAGCCCTGAGCAAACTTGGACCATCCAATCAGAACAGAAACTGTTGTCCCATGTTCACATCCCAAACCAAAGAAATAAGTGAATGTTGTATGATTATGCCAGTTTGTTTGTTTGTTTGTTTCATGTCACACTCAGCAATATTCCAGCGATATTATGGTGGTCTGTAAACAATCAAGACTGGACCAGATAATTCAGTGACTGACATCAACAAGTCACCAAGCCTGACCTGACCACCTGGTTGCCTCTTAGGACAAGCATGGGCTGCTGAAATTCACTTCTAACCCGGATCTTCATTGAATGGTGGTAGTGTTTAATGGTATCACAGTATCACACTGGAACCACCTGACTGATGCTAACAATGGTTTGAACCCTGTAACCATGGTGATGGGAACCTCCACAGATTAGACCACTTCATCCATGTGTTCACCATTTGTTAACAAACCTCACTTGAATGGATTGCAACAATTTGTTTTGATGGGGGAAGTTGATACAGTTGTTTAGTCAATCCTTGAAAGAACAACAATAATACATTATCAAGGTTTTCTCCTGACTTTTTCAATACATGAAATTCATTTTATTGAGGCACAAATATCTTTTATATAGATGTAGTTTATTGTCATGGCAACAGGTTCTGACGTATGAACAGTATGAGAACCGCCTTGAAACCCATTGATTACACTTCAACCAATTTTCAGAACATAAATATGGAAATGTATTCTGCTCATCAGGGAATGAGATCTTAATGAATTTCTGGCAAAGAGTCCAATGATTATAGAGAAGTTTGTGACAGACACAAACACTTATCGACAAAGCACCATGTGGAGTTCTGATGAAGAATCCGAGTCTACCCACAACTTCAGTACATGGAAAACTGGGAAGAGAGAGTTCCTTTAAGCATAGCATCTCCATGTTGAATGGCACTATGGCCTTCCTTTTGTCACATTGCAGGTTCAAGCCCATCAATACAGATGTCTCCAAAACACACTCCACAGAATGTTGCTTTTAGGCTTGTTGATAAGCAGCACCTGGGTTGGATGGGCCATGAATGGGTGTTATAAATTGAGCTGTACAGATCCAGACATTTGATCTGCATATGGAGCCAGGGCAGACGTCACTTCAGAATCTAGGAATTCTAGTACCTGTGGATGTAAAAAAGGTTGACTGTACACCTTCTTAAGGGGTTGATTACTTTCATAGAAGTCAAATATGTTTCAGACTGGAATTTAGAATGACAGTGTCAAGGCTGTTCTTGACCTCTTTTGTTCTCGAAATGAGGCCAAGGACAACAGGGATAGACACAGCCACTAGTCACTTGGTACAAAACAAGTATGTGTGTGGTAAAACAGTATTCTAGTTTTATCACAGTGTGCAGGTCGCAGACATTTAGAACTTTGGTGAAACAAACGAGTATGAGTGAGTATAGTTTTGCGCCGCTTTTAGCATTATTCCAGCAAAATCCCAGCAGGGAATGCCTGAAATGGGGTTCACACATTGTAACCATGTGGGGGGAATCAAACCCGGGTCATCGGCGTGATTAGTGAACAACTAGGCTACCCCACCCCTAGCATGGTATGAGCAATGGTATACAACACATACAGTTGGGGTATGACACAATCGGCCAGGTCACATTATTCATCATATAGTGGATAGTGATTCAATATACCGTAGGGCGCTCTCAAAATTAGAAATAGGGGGCTCTTATTAGAATATAATTTTTGTGAGATTAAAAACGAGGTTGAAAGATTGTAAATTTTGTGGTTTCTGCTGACAGCCTGAAATGATATAAAAGAAGAATGTGTGTTTTTTATACACAATAGATATTTTTTCGAGAATTTAATTGCCCATAATTAAGGGTGCATATAACAAACAAGTGCGTATTATACACGAATAAATAAGTCTTGTGTACATTGATCAATCGGAAAGGGTGCTAACTGGGATTGTTCACTAGCCAATATATAAGCAAATAACGCTGTGGGCGCTTATTACGTTGAAAACGGTACTTTGTATCATGTTCTGATTCTGTAGTCAGCATTATTCCTGCTATATCACAGTAACCTGTCAGTAATCACGGGTGTTGGTAACACACAAGCAACTGTGCATGTCGTCGCATCGTTTGCATGAAGGTCTGGTGGCCCTCTCATGACACCAGTGATGAAAGTTAATGATTTAAGATTGTCGTCATATTCAAATACTATAGCAGCAACCTCCATTGTAAGCACTGCTTATGGTACAATGAGAAACATGCATGTCTGGAAATACAAAGAGCTGGACAGGTCACATGCTATAACCACCCGATCCTGTAAAGATCTTTTCTTACAACAAGTTTGGTACTGGTTATTGGGCAAGAATAAAGGATTAAATGTGAACAAATTTTGATTACTCAAGTTACTCTTTACATGCAAATCTGTGCTTGTTAGTAAGTTTGTTGTTCAATGCCATATTCAGCAATATTCCAGCTATATGACGGCGGTCTGTAAATAATCTAGTCTGGACCAGACAATCCAGTGATTGACATCATGAGCATCGATCTGCACAATTGGGATACAATGACATGCATCAAACAAGTCGGCAAGCCTGACCACCCGATCCCGTTAGTCGCCTCTTACGACAAGCGTAGTCGCTTCTTACGGCAAGCTGGGTTGCTGAAGACCTATTCTACCCCGGATCTTCACAGGTCGTGTCAGGAAGGCGGTCTATCGATAATAACCTTATGACAATTCAATGTCTTGTGTGACCCCTCCCAATAACCACAACATCACACTGGTAAAGAAACTTAATTTATTTAAGTGAGAAATATGACATGGCTGAGAGAATTCACCTGTTTAGGAGCCCGACCGATGAAAGATGAAGGGTCTAGGAGAGCGTCCAGCTGGGCGTGAATGGGGGAGAAGTACTGTGAGGCACGTATCCTGTCCACCAGGTCGTTGTCCCCACCCTGCTGCTTCACCACGCTCCCCGCCGCCTGGGACAACACCCGCACCTCCTCATGGCACTCCTGGCAACATCATCATCATTCATACATGAACCATGGCAGGCTTGAATGTTCAACAAGTTTGGGGATGGGACAGTTCCAAGAACACTGGTTACAAGCGCAGAATGGGACAATATGGCATTCCGTAGCTGGGGATAATGACATTCATAGGTCGACCATGTCTATCACCAAGGTTAAACAATCATAAAGCTGAGCTTCATGTCTCATAATCCAGCACGTTTTCTAAAAGTAAAAAATGTTGTCTTTGCCAATGGCACCTTGAGAAACATAAATATTTGTATAGTCATTATTATTTACGTATCTTTAATATTTGAATATTTGATACACTTGTCTTGTTTGACATGAACAATCTGCATTTGCATCATTTCTGAGAAGATGTCCAACATAACTGGACAGACAGATTACAATGTGCCATGCCATCAGCTAAACAATCAACCTTATTCAACATAATAAGCGCCCAGGGAATTCTCAAAATAAGAATAAGTGGGCTCTTATTAGTATATTATTTTGGTGAAAAACAACCGAATTGAAAGATCGTGAATTTCGTGGTTTATGCTGACAGCATGAAATGTTTATATACGACAGATATACTTTTCCAAAATTTAATTTCCATAATTAAGGATGCATATAGCACACATATTATACACGAATAAATAAGTCTTGTGTACATTCAATTGGAAAGGGCTGCTAATTGGGATTGTTCACTAGCCAATATATCAGCATATATCGCCGTAGGTGCTTATTAGAGCGGGAAGCTTATTACGTCGAATACGGTAAATTAGCTTGATCCCAACTGACAATGTTTTCTTCTTTCCATTGCCAACACCAACAAAAACATCTCCCCAAGGCAAGGGAGTTAACTGACTGTAAAAGTCCATTTTCCACCCTTGCCGAAGTAGGCTGGAATTCTGGAGTTACATTTTAGCTGGACTAACGAGTCTATGCATAGTCCAATCAAAATCGCGCAATGAACTAGACACCCAGTTCTAAACAACATGGATTTCAACAAGCAGATTTCGGTCCACTGCAGGATTTGCAAAGCATGTGTACCTTTAACTGGGCGTCAACAGATATTTTGCAAATCTTTTCATGTTTTTAATCAAGGTGAACAAGTGATCTGATGCACTTCTTGGGGTAAGACCCATTTTATTACAATAGAGATCTTGATAATCGATCAGATCATCTTGTCTGGGTGCCGCCTTTTTGTTTGAAGCATGAGATTAAATCTGATTGGTCAATAGGAGGGACATAGAAGGGACATAACTCGTAATAGCCACTGGTGCTGCTACGATTGAGCCCAGAAATTCCAGCCTAGTTCACCAAGAGTGGAAGCTGGACTTTTATAGTCAGTTAACTCCCTTGACTTGGGAAGATGAAACATACATGGCATACAACATGTACAACACAACCTTCAGCTTGCAATTACACTATATCCGAGCAGGACTGACCTGTCTGTTGCCGCCTGCCTTCACCATGGCCATGATGATGTTCTCCGTCGCCATGAACGGCAACTCCTGCTTCACCCTCTTCTCAATCACCTGCAACAGCAACAACAGAATGGTAACCTCGTGACACTGGAAACATATTGCATCTGGAGGTGACAGGGTTGAGAGAAAGTCTACTGCTACCATGGCTACTGCACAACTGTTTGTTGTGTAAACGCCAGTCAGCATTATTGCAGATATACTGCAGCCTGTACATACACTTAGTGTGGGCTCTTGGTGAGGTGAGGTGAAATGGGGTTTTAACGTTGCGTCCAAGATTATTGCACTTATATAGCAACGTGCATGTAAGTGTGTGGGTTTGTGTGGCTGCTTGTACTAGTAGGGACTAATGCTGATTTAAAGTGCTAGCCCACTGAGATACCATGCCGCAGTTAACATGAATACCCCACTCAGACACAGTATACTGACTCCGAGCCGACCAGTCCTTGTTCTAGCCCCTTAATGCCGCGGGCCAGACAGGGTAACAACAAGTACCATCTTTTAACGTCTTTTGGTATGACGCGGCGGGGGATCGAACCCTGGACCTTCCGCTCTCCGGGCGGACGCTCTACCACTAGACTACGAAGGCGGTTTGTGGGCTCTTGGAGGATGGTGCACAAATGTGTGATGTTTCCTGTACATGGAGTAAGGGCAATGGTCATGTACACCCCCTTATGACATATGTGTATATGACCTAACATGACCATGAATGGCATTAGAAATGGCTTTCATTTGTCCATTGTTATTACTATCAATGCTAATTACCCCCTGCCTCCCGTTGCCCATTGCTAATCACCAATCTGCACAGTTGGCTTTCCTTGTGAGTTTCCACCCTTGTTATCGTGCATATATGTTCTCTGCTTCCTAGCATTCATGGGGGCACAGGTGGCCCAGTCGTCTAAGGCGCCGCGATTTGCTGTGGAGAGTTTCATCCCTTGGGCACGCCAGAAACCTATGATTGTGGGTTCGAATCCCGGTTCGCCCCGATTATGTTTCTGGGTTTGTCAGCACCATACCCGTGCTCGTAGGTTTCACCGAAGTGGTAAACATCCGAGACCTGCATCACTTCAGGCTTTCCTCCCACATTAAGCTGACACGCCGTGATATAACTGGAATAATGTTAAAAGCGGTGTTAAACCCAACTCACTCACTTACTCACTCCTAGCATTCATTGACCTGATGAAGGAGTGATATAATGAACTGACTGATATAACCAACTGGGTTTTTTGTCCTGACCATTTGCTATGTATATGCTGTAAATATGCTTTTAACGAACAACGGTAATAACAAACTAAATTTAGTGGTCCCTTTGAGTTTGTTATAACCGTAGTTTACTGTACTCCGAAATGTGTCTCATAACAAAGAAGTTGAGATCCATAACTTCTCTGCCCTAACAACATATTATTTGAACAGAAGAATTGCAGTCAAAGAACCTGATTAGATGAATGGACATCACATTGCTGATGTCTGAACCTGTACAATGCTGACCTTTGGATACACGACCAGTCCTTCGAAGACGTTCTGTAGAGTACACAGCACACAGTCAGCAGTCAGGAAGGCTTCGGCCAGGCTTATTCTCCTGCAAGTGGACAAAAAAGCATTTATAACATTTCCGTGACACAGGATAAACTTGCTCGAGTTAGAGTGAGTGAGTGAGTGTAGTTTTTCGCCACCTTTAACAATATTTCAACAATGTCAAGGTACCAACGTCCCACCAAGACTTCACACACTGGACACAGATGGGGAATTGAAGCTGGGTCTCTGTCTGTTTGTTTTTGTTTAACGCCGCATCCAGCAATATTCCAGCTATATGACAGCGGTCTGGACCATACAATCCAGTGATTGACATCATGACCATTGATCCACGCAATTGGGATACGATGACATGCATCAACCAAGTCAGCGAGCCTGACCACCTTTTGGCAGTTCTCTGACAAGCAGTATTCTTACTCTTTAGCAGTGGTCTAACAAGCAGTATTCCTACCTATTAGCGCTATCGTCCAAGGTCCGCTCCATCCACTGCACGGAGGCAGTCATCAGTGGGTCCTGTATCAGACACATCAGATGGCGTGACAGAGCACAGCAACGCTCCGATCTCATCGGGTTACGCTTGTAAGCCATTGCACTGGATCCTAGCAAATAAATACACCAACACCATCACATACAGAGTGAAACATGGTTAGTCTGTCGGTCTCTGTCTTCCTAGCATATCACCTCAGTACGTATACAAAGGGACCTTACTCCATATTCATGACTCACTAATCACGAAATCTGTTGATACAGAAGATTTTACTGGAAATGGTATGTTCCATTTTAACAGGGTGCCACTGTTAGATATTTCAGCTGTTGTTAACAGGATATTATCGTATTACCATCAAACTAACTGTACTTATACAACAGATGTGATTTTCTTGTGCTGATATATTACCTAACCTGTTATTTCCTTCATGTAGCTATCATGGCTTTAATTTCGTAATCAGTCATAAGCTTATTTCCTAGATTGCATCAGCTAAATCACCATTTATAGAAAATGCATTTATTGAAAGAGATAAACAAATAAACTTATTAAAATGTCATTAACTGCTTACAATCTTCCATGTACAGCTATATTTCTTTTCTTAAACTTGGTTATATGTTACCTAAAACACTGGTGATAAAATGCCATAGACCCATCATGCTTTGATCTTCATCTTCCAATGTCTGCATATAAAACCTTATTATGCCTCAAAGTGAGATTGACCAATCAGAGAGCAGAACTACTGACCCCCACATGAACCCGTATACCGTCAACAAAAATCCAAGATGGTTGTTACTGACCTAATATGAGACAGTATACCATCAGTAACAGCCATCTTGGATTTTGCAACACCCGCCTCATATATTTCACATGAAAATTCTGTCACCGAAATTTGTTATTCGACACTGTTTTGTGTTTTATTATCATTAATTGTGATGTGCAAAGATAATAATTTTTAAAGAAACCACCTTCATGACTTTATTAATAAAAATTATAGAGGAAAAAATTCTACAACGGAGGTCACTGAGTTACAAATAACAACATCATAGAACATACTATAGGATGACATCACAAACAAGAAACGTGATGCCAATGACGTCACATAGCAATAGAATAGACAGCAGCCTGGGGAAAGCAGACTGCTAGAAGTTACAGTGGCCCGATAACATGCGGTGATTTTTTATAATGCTATCCATTTAAGCCATAACACTTGTTTAAACGTTCACATTTAGTGCATTATATATTCCATTGTTAATGTTTATGTTTACATTAAAGTGTTGTGTAGGAAACATATGTACTGGTCCTGTCATTTATACATGTTGTAAATGTCAATTTGACATGTCATGTGCAATAAAGATACCAAATAGTGTAAACTTTTCGGCATAATAAATTTGTTACGGTGTCTTTAGTTGCCGTATACGGTGTCATATTAGGTCAGCAGAAAATTATTGGGCTTACACCTTATTGGGCTTACACATTATTCTTTTCTGCTAACCTAATATGACATCGTATACAGCAACTAAAAACACCATAACTAATAATATGGACAACTTGAACATGAAATATGTACTTCATGTACTGAGTGTATGTGAAACATTATATCACCCTATTTTCTTCTACAACTCTTCACCTACAGAGGAAAATGAAGATAATATTTTACCAATTTGGTCTTTCTCAAAAGGTTCCTCCAGCTCCTTGAAGTTTGCCAACAACCTGATGTCAGTACAGATCTGTATGAAGCAAAGGAAACAGGTAACTGATGACAGTCGGTGAATATTGTTTTACTTCAGCCAGCAACAGTTATGGCTTTAAAACGGTGGCTTGTAAATAATTGGGTCTGGGTCAAGCATATAAGATGTTGTCAGCAGAAGCAATGACCAACGCCATTGACACATTTCACTCAGTTTTTGATCTTCCAATCCTCACTTCAGTCTTCTTACAAGAGCTGCTATCATTACTGGTGTTCGTACATCTTCCCGAGGCAACAGTGTTAACTGACAACAAAAGCTGGAATTTCTGGGCTTGATCCTAGCACCACCAGTGACTATTACGAGTTACGTCCCTTCTATGTCCCTCCTGTTGTCCAATCAGATTCCGCCTCTCATGTCACATGCATTTGCACCAAACAAATGGCAGTGCCCATATCAAGACGATCTGATAGATAATCAAGATCTATATTGTAATAAAACAGGCCTTACCTCAAAGTGCATCAAATCATGTGAGCACCTTGATAAGAAACATGAAAAGATTTTCAAAATATCTGTCAACGCCCAGTTGGGTGTCCACATGCTTTGCACATCCTGGCCATTGAAATCCATGTTGTTTACAAACCAGATATCTAGTTCGTTGTGAGATGTTTTGGGGACTAATGTAACAAAAATGTAACTACAGAATTCCAGCCTAACTCGGCAAGGGTGAAAACAGGACTTTTACAGTCAGTTAACTTCCTTGGCTCGAGGAGATGGTGTTCATACAACACGCAGAATGTCTTGGGGCCTTAAATTGTCCATGTATCCCAAAGGGAGGTCTTCCAAAAAATCTTCTCAACAGTTTGAATCGGTTTTGGGAACCAAATTCAATCTCCCTGGGGAGTATACAACCCAAGCTGCCTGTTAGGCACAAGAAGGTTAACAACCACATTGCCATCTCATCCTACCGGGTACCTACTCACTGCTGGGTGAGCAGAGGCACATTTCGAACAAAGTCACTTGCCCAAGGAGACGCCACATGTGTTACATGTGATTCAGTGTGGGGCAGGACCGAAGCCCTAGAAACTCTCAGGAGCCAAGCTGCCGAAACGAAGTCACCCATCCAAGGACTCTCCGCGACCAATGTTGTTTAACTTCACCTGATTTGTGAGCTGTGCGCTGTCCCACAGGACCACGTACTACCACATCTCCTCTGACTGTAAAGGTTGAACTGTCCATACATTGCTGCCATGTCAGGATGGATTCCATCCACACAATGCACCTGAACACATCCTTCATTTGTTTGTTTGTTTGTTTGTTGTTTAACAGCGCACTTAGCAATATTCCAGCTATATGATGGCGGTCTGTAAATAATCCAGTGACTGACATCATGAGCATCGATCCACGCAATTGGGATACGATGACATGCATCAACCAAGTCAGTGAGTCTGACCACACGATCCTGTAACTTACCTCCTACAACAAGCACAGTCGCCTTTTACGGCAAGCATGGGTTGCTGAAGAAGAATTCTACCCCAAACCTTCACAGGTAGAACACATCCTTCAGTTGGATTTGTCACTTCAGTTAATCAGATATTGAAAACTCAGATTCAAAACATGTTTTATTGGATATTGCAACAAGAACAAAGTAAAACACTTATAAACTGTCCAGCAACACTATTTCATAAAAAAACACTTGACAATAAATAGAAACAAAACATAAAAGGAAAAAGAAATCTATGACAAAAGTCTTGTTTCTCATCTAGTTACCGGTAAAACCATATTAATGTCTTCAAACACATCTCCCAAGTAGAAATGTTCTCATTCAACAACCAAAGACGAAAGAGAAACAACACATGGTAAATAGGTCTTATCCTTGACACACAAGCCAGTCTTATCCTTGACACACGAGCCAGTCTTATCCTTGACACACGAGCCAGTCTTATCCTTGACACACAAGCAAGTCTTATCCTTGACACACGAGCCAGTCTTATCCTTGACACACGAGCCAGTCTTATCCTTGACACACAAGCAAGTCTTATCCTTGACACACGAGCCAGTCTTATCCTTGACACACAAGCAAGTCTTATCCTTCACACACAAGCAAGTCTTATCCTTGACACACAAGCCAGTCTTATCCTTGACACACAAGCAAGTCTTATCCTTGACACATGAGCCAGTCTTATCCTTGACACACAAGCAAGTCTTATCCTTGACACACAAGCCAGTCTTATCCTTGACACATAAGCCAGTCTTATCCTTGACACACGAGCCAGTCTTATCCTTGACATATGAGGAGTGAGTGAGTGAGTGAATATGGTTTTACGCCGCTTTTAGCAATATTCCAGCAACATCACGGCGGGGGACACCAGAAATGGGCTTCACACATTGTACCCATGTCGGGAATCGAACCCGGGTCTTCGGCGTGACGAGCGAACGCCTTAACCACTAGGCTACCCGACCGCCCCTGACATATGAGGAAGTCTTATCCTTGACACACAAGCAAGTCTTATCCTTGACACACAAGCAAGTCTTATCCTTGACACATGAGCCAGTCTTATCCTTGACACACAAGCAAGTCTTATCCTTGACACACAAGCCAGTCTTATCCTTGACACACAAGCCAGTCTTATCCTTGACACACAAGCAAGTCTTATCCTTGACACACAAGCAAGTCTTATCCTTGACACACAAGCAAGTCTTATCCTTGACACACAAGCAAGTCTTATCCTTGACACACAAGCAAGTCTTATCCTTGACACACAAGCCAGTCTTATCCTTCACACACGAGCAAGTCTTATCCTTCACACACGAGCCAGTCTTATCCTTCACACATAAACCAGTCTTGTTCTTGACACAGGCCAGTCTTATTCTTGACACACAAGCCTTCCCTTATAGCAACTAACATTTGCCATGTTAAGTACTTGCATTCATCTGTCTAACTGAACAATCTTCAACCAAAGAGACGATAATAGGTTTATTTAAAATAATGGCACTGAAACACCTAGGTGGTTTTACTCCAACAAAATGATTGTGAAGATAACACTTTCCAATTGTTAAACAAGATCTTGCTACAATTATTGTATCATCCATATTTATATCAAGTAAAATAGACCACTGTACCGGTTCAAAGTTCAGACTCTTGTACCAGTTCGAAGTTCAGACCACCGTACCGGTTCACAGTTCAGACCACCGTACCGGTTCACAGTTCAGACCACAGTACCAGTTCGAAGTTCAGACCACCGTACCGGTTCACAGTTCAGACCACCGTACCGGTTCACAGTTCAGACCACAGTACCAGTTCGAAGTTCAGACTCTTGTACCAGTTCACAGTTCAGACCACCGTACCGGTTCACAGTTCAGACTCTTGTACCAGTTCGAAGTTCAGACCACCATACGGGTTCACAGCTCAGACCACCGTACCGGTTCACAGTTCAGACTCTTGTACCAGTTCGAAGTTCAGACCACCGTACCGGTTCACAGTTCAGACCACTGTACCAGTTCACACTTCATTGTCTAATGAAATAGCTTTACTGACAGGCATCAGCTTCCCTCTCATCCTTCTGGCCCAAGTATTCAGATGTGGCTTGTATGAACCAAGGTGTTCAGACTACACTGCACTCCTTCCCAAGTTTCAGATATCCCAAAATGTCACAACGTGGTAGTGTAAACGACTCATCAATAACAAATATGCACTTAAATAAAGTCATAATAATAATAATAATAATAATAATAATAATCCAGGCATATATGTACTGTTTCAGCAGAACTGATACTGTGCAAGTCAGCAGTACAGGCTACAGGGTTCAAACAGATAAATATCAAATCACTATTTATTATTTGGAAATTATTTAAATGCTTTAAAGAGAATTTCATGGCTATTCTATATGGCCCAGGATTACTAAGGCATACCATGTTATCAAATTTTAAGGTGTCCGGGGGTATTCCATGCCTTGAAACATCATTTGAAACAGACAGCGTTAGCCTTATGTTTCATTTCTTAAATTTTTCTGTGTATCAAATAATAACAAATATATTCACTTCACAATGCAAAATGACATATCATCCAATTTTGAAGAAATTGAGAATACAATATGCTTATCAAGGAGAATATTCATACACATTGCAATGAGAAGTCCAAAAGAATTCCAGGCTTCAAATCTCATTTAACAAGATAGTGTTTTCAACCAATCAGATTCCAGTGTTTTCAACCAATCAGATTCCAGTACACAATCACCTTCCTTTTGCAACATCTACGATGGAAAAACCCCAAGCTATCACCCATGTCAATGTGTGCTGGGTGGATGGATGCCTGTTGATATGGACCTTACGGATTTGGGGGCATAATGGAAGATGTGGTTGTATTACCTGTCCCATTCCACTAGGGCTGGGACAAATAACTCGGGTACTCGGGTTGGGTGGGTACTGAGTAGAACCTGGGTGGTTAGTCATGTGATATATTGTTTAATGACAAAAATTATCTAAAACTCTATTGTTATACTCTAAGTCAGTAATGTCCCACTTCTTTCTGACCATATATGCACCCATTCCTTCTGACTTTTATATGTTTGAATAAAGATAAAACTTCATGCAGTAAACTTCAGATCGTTTTACATGTGTATGTAAATACATTTTGCTAGGGCTACGGCCGAACTTTTCACAATCGGACAGTTTCTACCTACCTCTTGCAGAGCTACAGATAAGCAGCGTATTTGCGTACAATACCTGCCAAAAATATTCAAAACCCAATAACTTTTAATTAACTTGCGTAAAGAAACGCATGTATTGAATGAAAAACTCAAATGTATAAAAACAGCACGCGTATATACCCAATGAAGCTTTTTCAGCATGGGTACAAAGAAGCTAATTTCCAAAACACAATCACGAGCTAATTTACTTTCCGAGTCAAGCCTATATCTTTAGAACAGTTACATACATAAAAAATGTTCACTAATCTTGGAAAAAAAACAATATGATAAATAGATAAGTGAAAAAATATTGGTTACCAAGTGAAAAATGTAATAACCCAATTATTATAGAAACCCTAGAGTAAAAACTCAATTGTTCAAAAAGTTATCTGGAGCTCTGCTCCTGATATCGACAGGGGGTACCGGGGTCGGGCAATTTGGGGTGGGTACCCGGGTGGTAAATTTGGACCCGTCCCAACCCTTCAGCTTCAAACTATACATACACACAAGGGAGGTAATCTCAAGATGAGATTGTAGAGCTGTTATGGTCTGTAAAGCAGAGTGTCCTGATTAACAGGGTCTCACAATACAGAATAAACCTCAGAACTACCACAGCAAGTACACACAAGCAGGGTTATCACATGGATATATGTCATGTTCTGTAAAGCCAGGTGTTCTAATTGAAGGTTCCAACTATACAGAAGTGATCACAGACTTATCGGAGCAGGTACACACAAGTAGGGTTATCATATGGAGAGATGTCATGGTCTTTATAGCAGGGTGTTCTAATTGAAAGTTCCAACTATACAGAAGTGATCACAGACTTATCGGAGCAGGTACACACAAGCAGGGCTATCACATGGAGAGATGTCATGGTCTTTATAGCAGGGTGTTCTGACTATCAGGTCCAACTATGCAGAATTGATGACACCTATCACAGCTTGAGTGCACAAGGGAGATAATCACAGGGACAATGTGGATATGTTATGGTAAGAAAGCAATGTGTATTAGAGATTATCAAAGACAGCAATAGATAACATAACCCCAAACAACCTCTTTACAAGCTGATGAATATAGACTGTGTTGCACTTGCTGTCTTCTTGCTATGTAAGTAGATGTATGTACTCAATAAGACTAAAGCCAACACTTGTGATAATGAGGCACAACATTAACTGCATGGACTGCACACATCTTCCCGAGGCAACCGTGTCCACTAGCCTACATGAAAGCCTAGTTTCTACCCTTGCTACATCACGGCCACCCTTGGCCTGACTCTGGCTCGACCCTGGCACCACCTCACATAGATCACGAGTTGTGCCCCTTAATGAATGAAAACGCGATATCCTATCAGATCACTGTTCTTATCTTGTATAGCTTCACAAAGATGGCGACTACCATAGGCAAAGAACTAGTCGATCAGATAACAAAAACATTCGCATTTCATCCCTGACACAAAAACATAGGCAATAGTTGGTGGGTTCAAAGGTTGAAAAAGACGTGTCAACAAAGACAGGCAGCGGTAAATCACTTTCATACGAAGGTGAACCGGTCATGGATGTTAATTTGTGAAACGTTTTCTGATTGGACTATCCATATGTGCACAGGAAAGTGGGCTTGATGTGGCAAGGGTGGAAACAAGACTTTGATAACAAGGCTAGTGGACGCTCTTGCCTCGGGAAGATGGGACTGCACAATGAAATCACCGCTGTAAATGACAAGCACCATCATCGCCCTGAATGTATCGCACAAGAGATGGAGGTAAAGGCAGCTTTACCATATCCTCAGATAAAACAAGTTCTTGAAGCGATGCTCGACACGTTTCTTTCAATGTCTTCAGACGGAATGAGGAAACAAGACTGAGAACTTGCTGAGCACATGAGAGGAACTGTCCACTTGGTGAAAACACTGGCGCAAAATGATGGAGGCCATTTGAAGATATGTATGTGAATTGTCCTTTAAATTGTAAATTCAAGTCATACATGTAGTTGGTAACATTGAAATTTTTGCAGATGGCAGGTAATGGATTATTTGAGGAATCTCCCAGTACTGACAGTATGACTAAACGTTGGTCACGGATGTGTTGCAGAACTGAAAACTTGTCATGGGCAGCTGCACAACCTGGGGCAATGTCTTCAGTAATAGATGTTGTACAATCTTCCAGAATAATCCGGTATAATTTAGGTCCACAAGTGTTCATTCTTGCCACGATGAGTGACTTTGTTGGAACATCAGGATCAAAAGAAACAGACATTCTTTCAAAAGACATCTCTGGGAGGGGGATTTCTGTACAGCATGACAAATCGAATGACATTTTCAACAAGATAAAATCATGCCGTTCATAACCCGCGAAACACACTGGTTGATAAAGAGGGTTTTTCTTGAGCACAATGTACTGTAGATCCATACTCATACAACATTCAAACAAGTGCAACTTTTCTTGACCTTGGTACCTCCTCTCGAAATTACAAAGTATTTTTTCTTTATTGATGTCACAAATGAAGAAGTTTATAGCTCGCTGCAAAAAACACTGAATCACAGCAACACCTTTGCTGAAACCAATCACAGTGCAATGAATGAGACCAGTGCCTTTCATAACTTTCTTTGGTATTAGGCATTTCTTGTCAATAGCTGTTTCAATTATCCACTTCCGTTTATAGGACAAATCTCGAACAATTAGCTCTCCCAACTTTCCAACAGATGCATGGAAATGCCTGTTTTCTGTACAGTGTGGTTGCAATCCATACACCAGGCAGTCACACACAAGGGAGCTGGTCCCACTGTGTTCATACAAGACTTGGTAAGCCGGTCGAGAGTTGGTTGGTTTCACATGGGGCAAGGTCTCCTGCTTTGTAAATGCTTTACCCATGTCTACTGTCAGCGCAAAAACTATCGCGTCATCTGTGGCACCAGTAAAAGTTGAACGCCCGTATGTTTATCCTGTGTGGAATCACAGATTCACAGTGGAGCTATTTGCGACCACGCCCACTTCTATTGGAGCTCGTGTAGACTTCCATGTGTTCCTTGACATGACGTCGAGTAGCCGTCATTTCTGAACAGCATTCATAAAACAGTTTTCAGAGAACAGATGCAATAGCCGAGGCACTGGAGCATGCTGGCCACATCGGTTCTTCGCCCCGTATATGTCAACACGAAACCCGGAAGTGAACAACGTTGCTATGTTACCCAAAACATTAACTTCCGGGTCCACCAATAAAGCGGAACGAAACCTAGCGCGCGGGTTCCCTTCTTTTTCACTAGGAGTCTTGTCTTCCTGCTTTTAACATTGCGAGTGCATAGCGTAGTTAGCAGCTAGTTAGTTCGCATTTATTAGATCGTATACAAAATAAACATTCACTTCTTCGGCTCTTGTAAAACTCGTAGAAAAATTAGTTCTCGAAGGCAAAAGAAATAACACCGACCGTAATTGCTGCCGATATATTCGATTATTTCAATTTCATGAAGCGATATTCTTACGAGTTGTACCAATACGTTTTATTTTAGTGAAACTATAAACAAAAACGCTTATTTCTGTCCGTGGGAATAATTTGTGTATATTGCTGGTATAACACGTCGAGAGGGATTCTAAACAGTGGAAATAGGACTTATCCGTTGACTAACTGTACCGTTATGATCGCCATCGTTTAAGCAGCACGCGCCACATGATCAGGCGCACCGCTTCAGTTATACAAAGAACATTGATTATTAGCTCTAGTATCGCACTCAGTTATTTAATTCATCAAAATTAATAAGAAATGTGTTTTATCAAAAACAAGTATTCCCAAAATTCGAACTACACCTGCTTACCTATAATGCTATGTACTGTGGATTTCGCGACATATACAGGTAATGTAATTTCGGAAAAATAGCTAAATTAGGTTTTAGAATTGTATTTTCGGGGAAAATGACAGACAGACGGTAAGCAATGACTGACCTATAAATGTGTCACTACCCGCGTGTCTTTTCTAAAGTTGTATTTGAGCAAGGTGCCAAAATGTTTTTTAAATGTCCTAACAACAAGTGTCAATTTTGTTTATCATTTTCGGATAAATATTTCTCTCTTCTAATGAAAACGAGCAAAAGTCAAAAGAGATACGATTACATTAAACCGGGCGGCGCGATAATCGGTCCTCGGCAATAACTGTGGTCGCTAGCCAGTATTTTAAAGACTTCTCAAAAATCTTAACCAGCAGGCCGATGTCTTAAGTAGGAGGATAACTGGATATATAAGTAACTTGCAAGTAACTCCGTGGCAATTAATTGGCTAACGTTTGTTTCCAAGGGAAGTCTATATATTTCTAGTCTCCCGGGTTTCCATAAATTTAAATTGGCATGATTGGTTGATAATTAATGGGCGGGGCTTGTTTGGAACTTTTGCGCTGAATGATTCCTATTGTTAATCATTGTTGACAATGGGTTTTTGCGTGTGTTAATTAATAAATAAACAGTTTGTTAAGTTATTATAGCTGATGTAATTATTGACAAGACTTCATGCGGATTTACACAGGATATGCACACCAGTTTTTACGAGTGTACCTTAAATGCAAAATATATTGAAATCAATTCTTACGGTACACGAACGGTGTAATTATGTGTATGTCCTCGGAAAACGATTGGCTGATTTGTAGAATCCAATCCTAAAACAACATGCATCGTTCTACAAAATCTATTTGTATCAATTTATTTCAAATTTCACCCATTAAGTAAACAGTTGAACAGAACAGAAAGGGCGAATTAATAAAAAACACATTCGTGTTCTTTACGTGCCCTGTTTATTGAATCAGCGGTCACACAATATAACAACGATATATATACAGATGGTTCAAGTTGATATTTTCTGGAATATATCCTGTCATTATTCTTTAGCCAATCATACATCTCCAATTAGAATACATCTCCCAATTATCACACATTCCCTAACCCATAGGTTGTACATCCTATTGTCTATTTAATTCACCGACATACAACAGTGATTGAGTGAGTTTGGTTTTACGCCGTTTTTAGCAATATTCCAGTAATGTAACGGAGGGGGACACCATAAATGGACTTCACACATTGTATACATGTCGGGAATCGAACCCGTGCCAACGGCGTGACGAGCAAACGCTTTGAGTGAGTGAGTATGGTTTTACGCCGCTTTTAGAAATATTCCAGCAATATCACGGCGGTGGACACCAGAATTGGGCTTAACACATTGTACCCATGTCAGGAATCGAACCCGGGTGTTCGGCGTGACGAGCGAACCGACCGACCGCCCGCCAGCCCGCAAACGATTTAACCACTAACCCCATACAACAGTGAACAACAAGGAGAACCAAACAACGAAATGTAATAGCCACAGCAACTGTGTCCGGGGTGAAGGGTTTTGAACTCGACCTTGGGATAAAGGCCGTACACTCAGTCTCACTGGTTTCGTTTTCATCAAAACAACAATCAAATGTAGATACACATTTGACTTCACCGTAAAAGCTACAATGAGTATATTTAAGGCATGTTTCACCAAACAAAGCAAGTTTACAGTTCAATATTCTGCTCGTTCGACTCTGGCTAGATGTCCACCAACAGGGCGAACTTCTGACCCCGAAGGTAGGCTGATGGTACTTTCATACATGGTCTAATGGGTTTTGGAATATGTGTTTTCTTGTTACATTATATTATAGTTCTGTATCTATAGTTGTGCTTATCATCTATAAACCCGTGAAGATCCGGGAGTAGAATATTTCTTCAGCAACCCATGCTTGCCGTAAGAGGGGACTAACAGGATCGGGTGGTCAGGCTCGCTGACTTGGTTGAGGCATGTCATCGATCCCCATTGCGTGGGTCGGTGCTCATGATATCAATCACCGGATTGTCTGGTCCAGAATCGATTATTTACAGACCGCCGTCATATAGATGGAATATTGCTGAGTGTGGCGTTAAACAACAAACAAACTTATCTATACGAATGTTTTCCTTAATACATGTCATTATCGTGATGGGTTGGGGTGGTGGTGGGTTGGGCGCATTATACAGATGAAATTAGGGTACTTGTTAGGGCTGGGACAGGTAACTCTGGTCGGGTGGGTACTGAGTAGGACCCGGGTACACACAGGACTACCCAGACCCGTGGTTAGTCACGTGATATATTGTTTAATGAGGGCCGGGCCGACCATTTGATTTTCGGTGGGACGGGTTCTAGACAGCAATTCCCACAGGTGGTAACATCCCGTTACACCTTGTGTTCTTGAAGGCAAACCCTTTGGTTGGGTTGCCATATGATCTGGGAGGAATAGGTATACACAGGGAGGACTGAACTGATTGTCATTCATGGGTATTTCTATGCCCAGATACCAGGATGACATATTTCCCAAACCACCATTGTGACATTGCAGAAATATTTAGCCAGGCCACACATTCCTAGAGTTGGGCAGCAGTATCTGAGGCGAGGTGTAATGGTTTTTTTTCGTCCTGTTCAAGAATATTGCACTAATATAGCGACCCACATGCAGGTCGTTGAAGGTGTTTGGTATGACGGGCCTGGAAGCTGTATCTGACTAGAACTATGTGAATGTGTCACCCTGGCTTGATGTGTCACCATTCAAACATGTCTGGGATTAAAGGGAACAGACTTGCAGGAACTGGGACATATCCTTCTTCACATGTGTAATGCCATTCTCCTAGTATAACATTTAGTGCCCTCAAGATGTCAGGCCTGCATCAAGGCACAAGGTAGACACACTTCTGACTGACTGTGAACTTGCCTCTGAGCTAGGTGGTGTGACATGATAAATTTGCATATGACAGGAGTACTGTTCCTATGGACCAATGATGGAGTGTTACTGGTTACTGAACCTTCAGACATTGTTTTTTCCATGGGATTTAATTCCATCCACAGCAGTGACCGATTTTGACCGATTCCCTTTGTTTTTTTGTATATTACTCAACATTTGGTAAGGCCCACACCTTGGACTAAAGATTACTATGTTGGTCCTTAGTAAATGTTGGTAGTATATGTCACACAACTTTTGCCCTTGAGTATATGTTAATTATGTCATTCTCAGTGCATCAATTTTGCCTTTTGTTGTTTCAGATCCCAACAAAGAGGTATGGAAGTCCGTGTTCTCGTGTGGAGATCAAGAAGATCGCAGTTGCATCCCCTTCTGAAACAGTGGGTTTGCTGCCTGCGTCCAGTGCGGTGAGCGGAACATCTGGAGGGTTGAGGAGAAGGCTGGTATTAGGGAGGACGGTCAGGCCTATGGGACCAAGGTGTTCTTCTGTATGACCAAGGGCTGTCGATGGGAAACCAGCTTCAAGTATGATGATGGATGTAAGTTGATTGGTGACCTGTGACTTTGACCTTTCATTTTGTAAATATAGTCAGAATTGATTACATATGTTTCATAGTTCGTCATTCCATGTTCAATGGGAAATTTGCAAACCTGTTGAAACCACTCTCTTACACATGAGGAATAAAGATTTTATATGACATAAAAGTTTGGAACTGCTCGTATAAAGTGCCATGTCACTAAAGATTGCCATCCATTGTGGATAGTCAGCAGCAACTGAGGCCACACCATCCTGTATCTAATACCTGATGCTACAAGATGCTCCTAGCATCAGTACCGCCATAGCCTTCATATCATCATATCACAACACCTACATGTCCATCAATTAATACACAGGGAGTTATTATACTTAAACATATTTTGTTTGACCTTAGAATTCACCAGTCTAGGTTTTGTACAATATGGCAAAAGATGTAGCTGGACGTGAAAACTTACATTTTCAAAACAAATACTGTCATTGCACTTATTGAAAGTAGATTGCATGTCAAGGATTCCTTTTATTATGGAAGTCCAGATCTGTTGTTCATTTTCCTTGCAACAGGACTCCACTAGTGAAACCCTACCCATGTGACTGGTGTCAACGGTCCCCCGACCTCGTATCTCGTTTCCTTGAACAACCAGGTACCTGTCTCCCATCCCCTCCCTACCCCTCAACATCACAATACAATAGCTTCACTTGTTCCTTAACTCTGTAGGGAGATACATGGAGTCAGTATCACAAAACACACATCCCAAGGTTCATATACTCCTCGAAGTAAGGCTTAGGCCATCTCTTCTCTATTTTCATACCTGCGTGTTAAAAACGTCCATGTTGTTTTTGGAAACACCTACACATATCATTAGATATGTTTTTACTGATATCGTAGATACCCCCAATACAAGGTCAAACGTTGGTAAAAGTACATTGTAGTTTCTCCAGATGGTTGCAAGTATTCTTTTGTTTATTGTTTAACGCCGCACACAGCAATATTCCAGTTATATGGGAGCGGTCTGTAAATAATCGAGTCTGGACCAGACAATCCAGTGATTCATATTGGGAACAATGATCCATGCTGTCGGGTACGATGTCAGCAATCAGCCAAGGCCCCCAGTCTCCAGTTGGGTCACAAGTACATATCACATGATGTAAAGAAGCAGATGAAGTAATGGAAAGGGTTGTCATGAGACACAGCTACAAATCATGTCATTCCACGGCAGACATCCGTGGTCTACTTGTGATAGCTTTCTGAAAAGCCTATTGGAATTGTGGGTAATTGAATAGAAAGTACATGCATTTCTATTTTTTTAAACAATAGTTATAACATTTTTATCTAAACCCTGAAATGCTCATCTTCCCGAGGCAAGGGAGTTAACTGACTGTAAAAGTCATGTTTCCACCCTTGCTGAAGTAGGCTGGAATTTCTGGGCTTAATCTTAGCGCCACCAGTAGCTATTACGAGTTATGTCCCTTCAATGTCCCTCCCATTGACCAATCAGATTCCACCCCTCATATCACTTGCATTTGCTTCAAATGAAATGGCAGCTCCCTGTACAATATACAAAAATGGCAAGTTGCGGAACGCTCTTCAAGCGGACAAGAAAACGTGTGCCAAGATTCAGGTCATTCTCAATGACAGGTTTGGTGCTCTGCTCTAGCATCAAGACATTTTCAAAACTCTGACAAGCAACTCTTTGTAATAGTGGTCTATTCATCAATGTATTACAACAACACTAAAGCAGGGGCAATTTACAGCAGTTTAAGAAAAGGACCAGAGTTGTCAGAAGACGACAAATCCCCCTGGCCCCGACAAATTCAAAAGAACAAGACACCTGACTGTTACTTTAGTCCAAATTGATGAGAGACTTTTTATATTATCTGTCTGTCTGTATAAAAGAGTAATTATTGAGCTATCAAAACAATACCATGGAATTTGGAGTCAGAACTTTTATTTAAATCAATATGATCAGAATCAAAGTCAAACTTGTTGCAATGGAAATGAAAAAAAAGGGTTTCTAATAATCCCTAAATAGCAAAAGACCCTAGTTGAGAACCTGGTCTCTGTGTGGGCACAGTTTCTAGAAAGAGTACCTATTAGTTTTGGAGATATGAGTCAAAGTATAACTTGTTGCCATGGAAATGGGAAAATATTTTAAAAAATGAAATTCCTAAATAGCAAAAGGCACCACTTCAGTCCCTGATTAATACATGTACCAAGTTTGGATGACAAAGTGTTGAATAGTTTTCAGTTCTCCTCCGGAAACAACACCTACCTGCATTTCAGCCAAGTCTAACTTGTGGTTAGTCTCTGGTTAATACATGTACATGTACCAAGTTTGGATGAAAATATTTCACGGTTTTCAAGTAATGCTCCGGAAACTAAATACAGACGGATGGACGGACTGACAGACCAGATGCTGACCATAACCCCCTCATTATATGCCAGAGGATAAAAATTTATGACACTGTAATAAGGTCAAAATAAGATCAATATTAATATATCTTATAAAGTGGACTTTTACAGTCCCTTTCCTCAGGAAGATGCATATTTCAGTGAGTCATTACAGCCCTGTTAATGTTGAACTTCAGCTTAGGGATCTGGACAGCTATGAAAACAATGTACTAAAACATCAGAAATCTGTCTTCGTTTTCTGGGTAAATCAAAGCTGTCTGACAAATGAGTAAAATGTCTCACAGATAATTTGCAAACCAATTTGTTTTCATCAGTTTGCCAACAGAATTTAAACTTATATGTTTTCACTTTAATAAGCAAAGAACATCCAACAACCTGACAATCATTATCATCAAAAATCAGCTTCCAACAGGTGCCACATTGTATCTAGAGTGACCTCCCTTGGATTGTTGTGCCCTGGACAACATGGCAGTCAGTGTATTGGCCACACCATGACAAACGGCAGTTCAACAACAATCAACATACATGGGTCATGGAAAGTGGTGAAGCCAGCCTTTTTAATATATTACTCAAAAGAAGTAAGTGAACACCTGAAATGGGTGTTACTTAACTTCTTTTGAGTAGTATACTACTTGGTTTACAGACGGTTTGTGTGACAATGTTTCAGAATGTCTTCATGTACTTCAGTTTGTGTCACGAGTCTTGCAATTTAAGCTATTGTATGCCGAATTGTTCCAGTTTGCCTTGTTTTTGGTTGTTAGCTTAAAAGTCTCCCCAATTTTAAAGCTTTGTGAACATTACTGCCGGGCAAGTTCCAAAATTAAACAGGGTATGGTACGGACTATTTTGGTATGTGGGACACATTCTCCTGTAATTTGTGATACTACTTTTGAATACCAGATTTAGAGACAATCCCCCGTGCTTTGATCCACTATCAGTTTGGCCCAGTGTGTGGGGACAGTGTGTTTTATCCAAAAATATCAAAGACAAAGATGGTTGAAGATTCCACTCAGAGTGATGAAGAATGTAAGTGGGTCTTTCCTAGGGCTGGGACGAGTCCAAATTTACTACCCGAGTTACCCGTCCCAGCCCTAGTTTTTCCCCATGTAGTTTGAAGTGATCATCTTCCCGAGGCAAGAGAGTTAACTGCTTCCACCCTTGCCGAGCTAGGCCGGTATTATGGAGTTATATTTTGGCTGGACTAACGAGTCTATGCATAGTCCAATCAAAATCGCGCAACGAAATCGAAATACGGTTCGTAAACTGTCATGCAGATTTTGGTCTATTGCAGGATATGCAATGCATGTGCACCGCCAACTGCTTGTCAACAGATATTTTCCAAATCTTTTCATGTTTTCAATCAAGTTGCTCACATGATTTGATGCACTTTGCGATGTAAGACCTGTTTTATCACAATAAAGATGTGGATTATCGATCACATCGTCTTGACTGGGCTATTTTGTTTGAAACGAATGCAAGTGATACGAGAGGTGGAATCTAATTGTCCCATAGGAGGGGCTTAGAAGGGACATGACTCGTAATAACAACTGGTGGCGCTACAATCGAGCCCTGGAATTCCAGCCTAGTTCGGCAAGGTTGGAAACTGAACTTTCAAAGTCAGTTAACGCCCTTGCCTCGGGAAGATGGATGTGACTGGCTTCATAAGGCAATCAACAGTAGTGGTGTCAGTCATCTAGGGAGATAGATAAAAAAATACAATGCTCCTTCCTTGTTATGTCTATATGTCAGGGACATAGCTTTGACCCAAGGAAAGTTAATTCAATAAATCAGGATCAGGCAATTGCATCATTATCTCTTTAAAGCAGGGATTCAGAAATCGGTCTGTGCGCCGGACTTGTCCGATTGTGACTGCAAAATGTCCGATTTGAAATAGTGCAAACCGGACATTGTAAAATTCGGTCAACATCAATCACCACGGGCACACTGACCTACATCACAATAGGTTGAAATTGTATATATTAGACTAAATTAAAGTTTCAAGTTTGTTTTTGAATGCAAAGTTTGTGAATTACGATGACTTGGAACATTTTATTGAAATTGTTTGCAAAGATATTTTACAATCTCATTAAAATCAGATCTTAGTTTTCGCTGCCGCTAAACAAAGATCTGAGGACATCCCATTATGGGTCGCGTCAGAACGACCTTTAGCGAATTTTGACCGACCAATGAAATGACTGACAAGAAATCAAAATCAGCCAATCAGAAGGCAGCTTTCTTGAGCTTTACGACACTAGTTTCAAACTGGCGACTACGCTTCGAAACATATTTTGACATATTCTCAATTAAAAAAATTAAAACTGATTAGAAGAACATTCTGGAATGGTTTATAGATGGCCTAGGTTGCATGATTAGTAAACACATTCCAACTGTCACTTTCATGATCTGGTAAGCGACGCTCTGATTCGTTGGATGAAAGGTCGTTCTGACGTGACCCTTATTGCGATGTCCTCAGATCTTTGTTTAGCATAGCGAGAACTAAGATCTGATTTTAATGAGATTGAGATATTTTACGATACGAGATAACTTTTGCAAAGTAACGTATTTGCACATAATCAAGCTAAGTGTTACTATAGGTCAACTGTGACTACGTACCTTATGGACAGAAGCCCCTAGACTGGACAGCGTACTGACACAGTCAATGTCCACCTTCCTGCTGTATGTCTGACCACAGATCAGGAAGCGGCTGCAAAGTACAAGGTGTGACACTTACTTGTGTGCAGTACTGTACACATACATCGCTGGGTGCTGACATTCATTGCAAATATAATATACTTCCACAAGTTTGTAATCACGCTCCCATCTTTAGCCTGACAATATAGCCCAGATGGCTACTGTACTTCCTGTGTACATTAAGACAAATCAACATTTGTTGTACTGCTTGCGTGATTGAAAGGGCTTGTAAATGTATCATGTCATCCTATTGGATATTACACGTTTACACCATTAACACTGATATTACACTTTTACATATTGTTACACCACCAACACTGACATTACACTTAGGAGATAAACCTACTGTGTTTTCAATGTAGAGCTAGGTTACCTGTAGATTTAACCCTGCTAAATTGAATTTGGAACCGAACGCGCAGCATGAGGTTTCAATTGTTAAGCTTAGCGCGGTTAAATCTACAGGTAACCTAGCTCTACATTGTAGATTTCTGTCGTGCTTTCTGCACAAAATGTATTGCCACACATCCTTTGAATATTTTAGTAACCGCACCTTTGACTTTTGTAACCTGTAATTGTAGATATAATTATTAAAACATGCCTACCGACAATGACTGAAAATAGAACTATTCTATGAATATTAGCTTCCGCGGTGGTGCGGCCGTCAAACCAGCTGTTTCAATCAGAGGGGGCTTATTGTGATTTAAAGCCTCTGAATGACCAAACAGAATCAAGTAAATTTCAAATTCATGGTTGAATATTACATATTGTTACACCACCAACACTGATATTACACTATTACAAATTGTTACACCACCAACACTGAGATAACACTGTTACATATTGTTACACCGCTAACATTGATTTTACACTGTTACATATTGTTACACCACCAACACAGATATTACACTGTTACATATTGTTACACTACAAACACTGATTTTACACTGTAACATATTGTTACACTTATAACACTAATATTACACGGTTACATATTGTTACACCAGCAACACTGACATTACACTGTTACATATTGTTACACCACTAACACTGATACTACACTGTTACATATTGTCACATAACCAGCATGGATATTACACTGTTACATATTGTTACACTACAAACACTGATATTACACTGTAACATATTGTTACACTTATAACACTAATATTACACTGTTACATATTGTTACACCAGTAACACTGATCTCACACTGTTACATATTTTTACACTACTAACACTAATATTACACTGTTACATATTGTTACACCAGTAACACTGATCTCACACTGTTACATATTGTTACACCACTAACACTAATATTACACTGTTACATGTTGGTACAACACTAACACTAATACTACACTGTAACATATTGTTACACCACTAACACTAATATTACACTGTTACATATTGTTACACCACTAACACTAATATTACACTGTAACATATTGTTACACCACTAACACTAATATTACACTGTAACATATTGTTACACCACTAACACTAATATTACACTGTTACATATTGTTACACCACTAACACTAATATTACACTGTAACATATTGTTACACCACTAACACGAATATTACACTGTTACATATTGTTACACCACTAACACGAATATTACACTGTTACATATTTTTACACTACTAACACTAATATTACACTGTTACACATTGGTACAACACTGATATTTTACTGTTACATATTGTTACACAACAAACACAGATATTACACTGTTACATAATGTTACACAACAAACACAGATATTACACTACTACATATTGTTACACCACTAATACTAATATTACACTGTTACATATTATACAGTTGCAAGTGTAAGTATGATGAAACTGTTAACACAACATGAGTGATGAGATTTACTACCTGGTAAAACCTGCTGCCTGTGTTACCAAGTCATCAAGTTGGGTCACCTGTGAAATAAGCAGTATGATCATGTAGAAAACTCTCTCTTCGTGTGTTTCCATTCATTGTGTGTCTGTATTAGATAAAAGTATAAGAATATATGCAAGAATGTAGTAGGATGAAACGATACATCGGTGCACCCGTGCATCGTGAGTTTTCATAGGACAATACGATAGACGATACTACTTCAATCTCCGAATCCCCTAGGGTTCTCTCTGCTGTTCTGACATTATCTGTACAGATTTGTGTTATTTTGTTTGTTGTTTAACGCCGCACTCAGAGATATTCCAGCCATATGACGGCGGTCTGTAAATAATCGAGTCTGGACCAGACAATCCAGTGATTGACATCATGAGCATTGATCCACACGATTGGGAACGATGACATGCATCAACCAAGTCAGCGAGCCTGACCACCCGATCCCGATCCTTACGACAAGCAGTCGCATTTCACAGCAAGCATGGGTTGGTGAAGACCTATTCTTCCTGGATCTTCACGGGTAGTCTGTACAGAGAAAGACATGATACAGAGAAAGGCATGATACAGAGAAAGGCATGATACAGAGACAGGCATGATATGGTCACACCCCTGGTTCCAGACTGTCCCAAAGGGTCCACATGAGAAGATTGGTGACATGGGGTTTAACATTGCATTCAAGAATACTGCACTTAGTAACATGCTTACACAGCACTAGTCTTGACTAATGGTTTTATGCAATCTGAGCCCACTGAGGTACCATGCCACAGTCTTAACATGGATGCCCCACTCAGACACAGTACACTGACCCCGACCAAACCAGTCCTTGTTTTATCCCCTAAATGCTCAAGCGCCAGGCAGGGTAACAAGTATTCCTTTCAGCATGTTTTAGTATGATGTGACCAGTGATCAAACAATGACCTTCCGACTTCCAGGCAGACACTCTATCCACTAAAAACCATTGAGGCGGTGTCAACATGAGAGATTTTGTCTAGGTCTTCATTTCTTTCTGTTAAAGAGTGTGTGTTACACATTGCTTCTTCGTTTGACATGCTCCCATTGTGTATTTCACTCCTGACCCCATCCAATCATGTATTTTCAGTCTAATTTGTTTTTATATTTCTGCAAAGATTTTATCAATTTATTCACGTTTGGTTTCTATGTTTGCTTCACATTGATAACACTGTTGTACAAACCTTACTCTCATCTCCATCGAACAGCGCAAGAAAGCTAGCCTGTGTGCCCGTGGTGCCCTTGACCCCTCTGAATCGAAGGTCACTGAGTGCACGCTGGAGGTTGCGGAGATCCATGAGTAGATCCTGTATCCACAGACACGCCCGTTTCCCCACGGTTGTCAACTGTGCAGGTCTGATGACAGGGTCACAAAGGATTAAACAGCTTCAAGGATATTTACTCTTAACTGGACTTTTAGTGAAACTATCAAGCAGTGAATAGTTTGCTATATGCCCCCATGTAAAGTGTGAATTTAGCATGGATCATGACAAGTCAATTTCCCGAGGCAAGGGAGTTACCTGACTATAAAAGTCCAGTTTCCACCCTTGCCGAACTAAGCTGGAATTTCCCGGCTCTATTGTAGCGCCACCAGTGGCTATTATGAGTTATGTCCCTTCTATGTCCCTCCTATTGACCAATCAGATTCAATCACTCCTATCACTTGTTTTTGCTTCAAACAAAATGGTGGTGCCCAGTCAAGACAATATGATTGATAATCAAAGATCTATATTGTAAAATGGGTCCTACCTCACAAAATGCATCAAATCACTGGAGCACCTTGATTATATAACATGAAAAGATTTGCAAAACATCTGTTGACGCCCAGTTTGAGGTACCGGTACATATGCTTTGCAAATCCTGCAGTCGACCGAAATCTGCATGCTGAAATCCATGTTGTTTACGAACCGGATGTCTAATTCGTTACACAATTTTGATTGTGCAAGGGTGGGAATGGGGTGTTTATAGTCAGTTAACACCCTTGCCTCGGGAAGATATGTGAGTGAGTTGGGTTTAATGCCGCTTTTAACACTATTCCAGTTATATCGCGGCGTGTCAGCTTAATGTAGGAGGAAAGCCCGAAGTGATGCAGGTCTCAGACGTTTACCACTTCTGTGAAACCCACAAGCACGGGTATGGTGCTGACAAACCTAGAAACATAATCGGGGCGAACCGGGATTCGAACCCACAAGGGACGCAACTCTGCACTGCGAATCGCGGCGCCTTAGACGACTGGGCCACCCGTACCCCCTCGGGAAGATATGACAGGTGCACCTGGCACAAGAAAACTCACACCAACACTCATTTCTTTTCATTTGAAAAGTTACATTAAATAATAACTATTTTAGAAACACCTATCTTAGATAAAATAAAGAGATCTTAACACACTGAAGTGGACATCCTAAAATAAAATTTGCTTGAGTGTGTTGGAACATTTAGAATGTTTTCAAAATGAAAACCCTGCTTTGTTATAGCTAGGGACATATTGATGCAAATAGGACTCGAAAAGATTGCACATACATTACACCTCTTAAAATATTACTTGTAAAACAAATGGATAACCTAGTCAGAAAAGACAGCCAATCTAGTTGTGACAGTACTAAGTGATTGCTGTGCCAACGCGTTTACAAATATACTTATATAAGTGATCGCTGTGCCACCGTGTTTACAAATATACTTATATAAGTGGTCGCTGTGCCACCGCGTTTACAAATATACTTACTGAAGATGGGTATAACCCAGGCATGGCAGGGCTTTGTGTTCCCTTGCAAACTTTGACAGTCTCTCAATACATCGAGCAAGCTGACAACAAATAGGTTTATAGTACTGAAACTAATGACACAGCTGTAGTAATAATATTTACTTATTTGTCAAGTCCATCTGCTGAAGTATTATAATCTATCATATGTGTTTTATATCGTTTTTTATCATATTTAAAATTTTGTTAGATAAATTGAACAGAAATATGTGCACATACCTTTGGGAGGAGGATTTTGAAACCATCCCTAATGGCTATCAAATCCTGAAATAGCATACAATACATAACATGTTAAATGATCATATGAAGTTTATCATAGGCATTTTTTTCAAAATCATGTCAAAACACTTACCATCTTCGACATAATAAGCGCCCAGGGGTCTCTCAAAATTAGAAATAGGGGTCTCTTATTAGAATATGATTTTGGTGAAAGAGTTGAAAGATCGTAAATTTCGTGGTTTTACTGGTTTATGCTGATAGCCTGAAATGATACAAAAGAAAAGTCTGTGCGCATTATACACAGATATATTTTTCCAGAATTTAATTGTCCGTGATTTAGGGTGCATATAACACACAAGTGCATATTATACACGAATAAATAAGTCTTGTGTACATTGATCAATCGGAAGGGGTGCTAATTGCAATTGTTCACTAGCCAAAATATCAGCAAATATCCTCGTGAGGTGGGCGCATATTAGAGCGGGGCGCTTATTACGTTGAATATGGTAACCCTTATAATGTACATTTTTATGTGAACTCTCCACTTGAATCAAGCAATCATATACACACAGTAATCATGGTAGTGTTTGTATGATTGTTGTTTAACACCGTACAAAGCAATATTCCAGCTATATAATCTGGATCAGACAATCCAGTGACTGACGTCATGAGCATCAATCTACACATTTGGGATATGACATGCATCTACCAAATCAGTAAGCCTGACCACCCAATCCCGTTATTCGCCACTAACTGGTTGCTGAAGACCAATTATAACCCAAACCGTGGCATTGAAACATGGCTACCGTCCATAGTTACCCAGGACACAGGCAAACAAAGGGTTGGTTGTTGGTTGTTTTGTTGTTTAACGCCGCACTCAGCAATATTCCAGCTATATGACGGCGGTCTGTAAATAATCGAGTCTGGACAAGACAATCCAGTGATTGATATCATGAGCATCGGTCCACGCAATTGGGATTGATGACATGCATCAACCAAGTCAGCAAGCCTGACCACCCGATCCCTTTAGTGGCCTCTTACAACAAGCATAGTCGCCTTTTACAGCAAGCATGGGTTGATGAAGACCTATTCTACCCCGGATTTTCACGGGTCGGCAAACAAAGGGTAAACGTCATTGCTCACAGTATTGTCTCCCACATAGGCCGAGGTGGCCCCGAGGTGTATGATTGGAGCTGATTTAGGGCAGCAAGCAGCAAAAGTGTGGACATGAGCCATGACATCGTGGCGGACTCGTTTCTCCTGCTCCGCAGCCATATCAAAGTCAATATTCTCCAGGTTACTCCCCATCTCGGAGAGCTGCTCATCGGTGATGTTCAAACCAAGTTGCTGGAAAACAACACAATTAAATATAAAATCTCACAATATAACACAAATAATCAAATACTGAGAATATTTAGCATAAAGATGAAGATGAGATAAACACATTGTCATGGAAGGTAATACATTTCACAACATGGATCCCAGATGATATAATTCAACTTTTGAAAGAATGTATACTCCAGATACAGAACCTATCTCCAAACGCCTGTCTCTTCCATGGTATTGAATACTATTGATCCTGTTTCTGGATCTTTCTACATGAATGAACTAAAATCACAATCTGTCACTTCAAAATAAATGTACTGCATTATTTATCCAGGTCACACTTCCTCTGTGACAGGCCTGTTTACAATTTTTTTATTGGAATAACATTGCTATTATCTCCACAGTGGAATGTTTTGTGAATTTAAAAAAAATTTAAATGATAAATATTAACTGAATGTTGATACTTTGTTTCATATATATTTTGTAACAAACTATGAAGAAAAATCAGTCAAGAATGCATATCATAATAATATACATTTAAAAGCCATGGTTCCCACTGGTCACTGTATCATAATAGCCTTGCTTAAAAATATATGACACCATTCGCTCCACCGCGACGCGAACTACCTCCCACTACATTCTTGATGGTGGATTTATCGCTGCATGGAGTTTTACTAGCGCCGTTATGTGCAGCTTCCGTCGTGAGCAAGTCTACATATTAAATGCTACATATTTAAATGGCGTCTCTTCTGTTTGGGTTTCGCCAAATAAATTTAGCAAATCAACATTGATAGCTGCGATTGTAAACATTAACTGACAAGGTATTACACTTAGATAAACTTTCATTGTCAAAGAATAATACTGAAAAATAGTGAAATGAGCGGGATGTGGACGAGGCCAGTAAATATTTCATTCACCTGTTCAGCTTTAGCTAACCACAACCACAGCTGTCTCCAAGTTGAAAATTTCTTTTTGTCACTAAAGTTATACACCATTTCCTGACTGGCATATCTTGAAACAAGCGGGGTGTTGTACTTGAGATGAACATCGGAAACATGCTTGGTGGCCGCCATGTTTGTTCTAGACTGCCTTCAAGTCTTTCGACTAATATTTGTTTGAAGATGGTCAAATTTACCCAGGAGCGAAATGTGGGTCTAAATTAATTTCTAAATTGATCCAAATCGTTGAAACGTCACTTTCTTTGCCTTATGTTTTATTTATCAAACCAAAACAAAATGATAAAAATATATACTACGTGCGTTTGATTATTAAAATTTGAGTGACCTAAGTCAACTGATTTTACGGGTTTACCACATCTCTGGCAACCAGGGTTGATTAGATTGAAACCTGAGCTAACCAGTGTTCATCATCATAGGGCACTACCTGACACAGAACAACCATTTGAAACCCAGGACATGGTATCAAATGGTGTCGGGGGGAGAGGCGCTGAAAGGGATTAAGAAGTGTTTTATTGCCCGACAAAGCTGCCATTGTACCTTTTACTTTAGCCTGTCACACGTACCCTGAAACAAATATATCCAATACAGCCCATGCAAGTCTATACTATTTGGCAAGTCTAGTTTACTGCAGTATCTCTGGGCTCCTATTTATTATATTTAACAACCATAATTTAACAAATAGTTTCTTCTGTAAAATATGTTCAATTCAGAGACTAGATGTTAGTCCACCTTTCCTCATAATATATGTACATCGACAAGAAAATTCGCGAATAACGCTTAGAAGGCCAAATAGAGATGCAAAACCAATTTAACGTCGGAGTTTCATTATTGGTACTAAAGTATTCATACCATAAATCGAAAGCATAATTTTCATGACCATATCAGAATATATTATAATATTATAAATGCCTAGTTAAATATGTTTATTGAAATGTATTTATTCATGATTGAATCAAAGACGCCTATATTAACGTGAGTAGTCGGAACAAGCCAAATGCGAAAAAAAACCATACCGTATTTCCTCTCTTAGACGCCGGCCTGTAATAGAAGCCGGGTCAATTGTTCAGTGCAAAAAATAGAAGCCGGGCCTCTAATTGACGCCGGTCGATCAATTGATACAACGGGACATTCGTGGTCATAGTGAAATGGGGGTATTAATAGAAGCCGGGGACTCTAATTGACGCCGGGTCAAAGGCTTGTCCGAAATAAATAGAAGCCAGGGCGTCTAATAGAGGAAATACGGTATGTCATGTCAGACTGTGAAATGAACTTCCACCAATGACTGGACAAAGCGTCAGTCCCAATTAACGTGTTAGATTTAATAAATATTATTGAAAAACAACTTCTTCTTTCTGCTAACACAATTGTTGTGATGTATATGAATCTAGCAATTAATGATAACAAGGCTTAGATCTAGACACTAAATGGGCTACACGGACGAGCGCATTTGATCCCACAAGTCTCTGATAGGCTTTTAGAAGTCGGAAGGGCATTTGACCTTTAAGGATAAGTTTATTATTGTTTGTAACTTTGTACGTTAATCCTAACTTCTAGTATACCCTGTGTATGAGTATGTAATCACATATTATATAGGCTTGTCCGAAATAAATAGAAGCCAGGGCGTCTAATAGAGGAAATACGGTATGTCATGTCAGACTGTGAAATGAACTTCCACCAATGACTGGACAAAGCGTCAGTCCCAATTAACGTGTTAGATTTAATAAATATTATTGAAAAACAACTTCTTCTTTCTGCTAACACAATTGTTGTGATGTATATGAATCTAGCAATTAATGATAACAAGGCTTAGATCTAGACACTAAATGGGCTACACGGACGAGCGCATTTGATCCCACAAGTCTCTGATAGGCTTTTAGAAGTCGGAAGGGCATTTGACCTTTAAGGATAAGTTTATTATTGTTTGTAACTTTGTACGTTAATCCTAACTTCTAGTATACCCTGTGTATGAGTATGTAATCACATATTATATAGACCCGTGAAGATCCGGGGTAGAATAGGTCTTCAGGAACCCATTTTGAAATAAAAGGCAACTATGCTTGTCGTAAGAGGCGACTAACGGGATCGGGTGGTCAGGCTCGCTGACTTGGTTGATGCATGTCTTCGCATCCCAATTGCGTGGATCGATGCTCATGATTTCAATCACTGGATTATCTGGTCCAGACTCGATTATTTACACATACAGACCGCCGTCATATTGCTAGAATATTGCGGAGTGCGGCGTCGAGCAACAAACAAACAAAACATATGATTATATTATGATTATATATAATTATGTAATCACTCTTGAAAATCACAACAACCGGTTGAGTTAATGATACGACCCGTGAAAATCCGGGATAGAATAGGTCTTCAAAAAGCCATGCTTGCCGTAAAAGATGACTATGCTGGTCGTAAGAGGCAACTAACCGTAACGGGATCGGGTGGTCAGGCTCGCTGACTTGGTTGATGCAATTGCGTGGATCGATACTGATGACATCAATTTCTGGATTATCTGATCCAGACTAGATTATTTACAGAACGCCGTCATATAGCTGGAATATTGCTGAGTGCGGCGTTAAACAACAAACAAAGAAACAAAGCTTATGATGCATCTCATCTTTGGTCTTCTGTACGTTCTCTCTCTCTTTAATGCCCCATTCATGCAAAACGTTACAATTACAAGGGGTTATCATGACCACGGCCCTGGTATATACCGATAACGAGCATGTTGTTTTGAAACCTCAGTGTTTAGATCATGGGGATTATGGGTTACAACAGGTCCCCAGCAACCTGTGCTGGTGTCCATTTACGTTTTACTCATGGAATTAGATGATGTTGGAGATATTAATTGGGTTTCATTTGTGCGAACTATCCTATTCCAGTCTGGATTTAGACAAGTCTGGATTTCCCACGATGTCGAAAATAAAGATCTATCCCCGTGTCTTTTTAAACAGAGATGTAAAGACATTTACCAACATGAGTGGTACATCGATATTAGGGAGTCCAATTCCTTAACGTACTATTCGAATTTCAAGCTTCAAATCATGTCAGAGAGATATCTGGTAGCAATAACACCATTAAACTTACGCCGATCATTACGAAAACTTTGATTTTATTCTTATGATTTGTTTATCAGAGCTGCCAGATTTCTATAAATCCCTGAAAAGAAAGAAAGAAAAAAAACATGCTTATACCGTAACCATGTCACAGGAGACGAACATCACGCCTTAAAGATTTGCCTGGAATAAATTAAAGTAAAATAAGAATTAAATATTTACCCTAGTACTGTAAAATGAGGCCTTATGAAAAGGTTATGAAAGTCTTCTATTTACGCTATCTCTAATATTACATTAATTATTTCGCAAAAGAACAGTTCGTTTATGAACAAATATTATATTATGGTTTTGTTACTAGTACAGCATATATTAAGTTGTGGTAATTGTAACATTTACGCTTTACTTTAAACATGTACTTTTGGTATTTTGGCCACATATACGAATAAACTCACTCGTCACGCTTGTCTCCCTGTGGGGATTCTCCCGGGGTGACTTAATGAATGGGGTGGTCAGGCACGGCGACTTGATTGATAGCGTGTCATCGCGACCCCTCAGCGTGGATCGTTAATTTTTCACAATATCAATCACTGAATTGCCTGCTGCAGACTTGATTATTTACAGGCCGCCGTCATATATTGCTGGAATTTTGCACAAAGTGCTTCGTAAAACAACATACAAACAAACCTAAACAACAATCAGCCAGTCATGTCAAACACTGGGAGTCTGTAATGACATTCGTTTCATCCATGATGGTGTGACGCGGTTGGAGCAGAGGTCTCAGCCGATGCAGAGTTGCGTCCCTTAGCTGTATACGCTAGGAATTGCTGATCGTGGGTTCGAATCCCGGAGTATGCTTTTTGGATTCACAAACGTGATACACATCTACGATCTGCACCATATTGGGTTTGTGAGTGATCTCACGTATGTCAGAGTGCCTTAAACAGACTCCATTAACGCGATCATAGTCGTAGTTACGTTGGTCGTATAATGCTACAATATTATTGCTTGCCCAAGATTCTTTCGGCAGGGAAAACCCTATTATATATAAAACAGATTAGGTTAGAATTATTGTTGGACTTGTGGCATAGGAGGCGACAATACCGAATCGGGTGGTCATCAGGCTCAGTGTGGTTAAATTGGCCCAGATTTTATTATGTACTGTTTACTGTTATATATTGCTGGTTTATTGCTTATTTCGGTGTTAAACAACAAGAAACACTAGTCAACTCCGGGTGCTGATCAGGGAGACTCCTTTACAGAAAAGGTGGTGTAGCCTACTAAGCCCAGTGGTTAAAGCGTTCACTCATCAGGCGGAAGACACCGTTCGATACCCCACATGCAATGTGTAAAGCCCATTTCGGGGTGGGTGACTTGCTTGTTTAATTGTATGACATCATAACTTGACAGTGGTGTGACAATCACTGGATTATCTGGTCCAGACACGATTATTAACAGGATGCTGTTAGCTGGAATATTGCTACCTGCTAACCAACCAACCAACCAAACAGTTGTGAAGGCATACAAACATAATTGTACCATAATATATTCATCTGGGGTACTTAGGACTTACTGTTCATAATTATATATGTTCTGCCCTTCAACATAGCTATATGGTGTTCCTGATCAGGTATTCAGTTTTGTCAGTCATATTAATACGTCCCACGTTTCATTATAGATTTTACAACTTCCAGTGTCTAAACTATAAGACCCCTTACCATATATGATTCTGTTGGTGGAAGGGTAACAGCTATTTATTTATGACATTACCATTTACATACACCTGAGTAATTATATGGTAGCTTGTAACTGTAAGTATACTGTATTAATATACTATATTGTAGATGTGCTCACAACTCAGACGGAAACAGATTACAAGATCAAGAATCTCCCCGTCACCCATAAACCATATTAGTTCTGGGCATTAGAACATAATTACCAGTGAACTAGCAAGATTTACCTAGTATGTTTTCCAGAGTGTATGAATGAGTCATTGTGATCCGTTAACAATTGCTGATATCCCGCTGTATCCAGCCGACCATGAGAATGTGTTGTACCTCGTTGTGCAAGTATCCATTTTGTTACTGCTAAATAAATGAATAGTCTTGATTCTCAGGAACCACCCGCATCATCATAAAGTTTTTCTCACGTTTCGTTTTTGTTTCCATTTAAAACAAACAAACAAAAAATCCTTAAATATTCCAAGTCCAACGGTAGTCAAATACTGTATTCAGGTATGTTACTCATCAAGGAATACATTTATGTAGGGAAGTTTTTTCCTAGGTTGATTGTACACAACTGTTTATTTGGTTTCACGACTGTTTATATGGAAACATACTAGTTTTAACCATAATGATAGAAATCACCTCTCTTTTGTTTTATCTCAATACTGTTCAGCATAGCTCACCAATCTTGTTCATCTGACTGTGACAATCTTTTGATGTACCATAGTTTCAGAGACATAGGACCATCTTCAAGCATCAACCCGGCCCCTATTGTGCCTGGTTGCATAACACATGCCTCCTCAAGCTTTATATCCAACCACAGACTTATAGAGGTCTGTGATCCAACACACCAATTTGCAAAACCATCCTCCTGATCACCCGGTCAACCGGTCATTGATTATACAATATGAAATACATGCACACATTCAGTGTTTAGATGGCACCAGCCTCCAGTCATCTTAAGTTGGCTTCAATTAGATTAAGGCAATATGCAAAAATGCACAGAAATAATTCAGTTCACAGTTTTTATGTTTTAATTGCAAAAATAATCAATGTACAAAATATGTATTGCCACATCCCATATATTCACTGTAATTAATGTCTAGAAGAAATTCTTTATGATAGTTGTCACTGCCTTGGCCCACATTGGCACATGCCTGTCTTTCCGCTTGAAGAGATCTGAGGTCACTAGGTTCGAGGATTGGTACAGTCTGACATGCTCCTGAAAAGTACAAGGGAAACAAGATCATGACATTAGTGGTGGCACATGGTCCTGTCTGACCTGTGTGACCTGTGAAGATCTGGGGTAGAGTAGGTCTTCAGCATCCCATGCTCGTCATAAAAGGTGACTATGCATGTTGTAAGGGGCGACTTACAGGATCGGGTGATCAGGATCACTGACTTGGTTGATACATGTCATGATGCTCATGATGTCAACCCCTGGATTGTCTGGTCCAGGCTCCAATATTTACAGGCTACCATCATATAGATGGAATACTGCTGAATGCGACGTTAAACAACAAACAAACAAACATGGTCCTGTGTACAGCACACTCGTTACAAACGAAGAAAAGTAGGTGGGAGGGTGACCATGTTTGCCAAGCTTAAGTCTTGAGAGTGCCCAGGGCTTTGGCTCTGCCCCACACTGAAGCACATGTCACATGTGGTGTCTCCTTAGGCAAGAGACTTCGATGGAGATGTGCCTCTGTTATGATTTGTTTGTTTGTTTGTTTGTTTGTTGTTTAACGCCGCACTCAGCAATATTCAAGCTATATGACGGCGGTCTGTAAAATAATAGAGTCTGGACCAGACAATCCAGTGATCAACATAATGAGCATCGATGACATGTATCAACCAAGTCAGCGAGCCTGACCACCTGATCCCGTTAGTTGCCTTTTACGACAAGCATAGTCGCCTTTTACGGCAAGCATCGGTTGCTGAAGACCTATTCTACCCCGGATCTTCACGGGTCTTACCGAGTATGAACGGTACCTGGTAGAATAAGATGGTAATGTGATCGTAACCCTTCTACCGCCTCATATTAAGGCAGCGTGTGCACCCCAGGAGGCCTTTTAGCCTGCTTCAATGGAGAAATTTGATGCAGTTTTTATAAATACCCATTAATATTATTGCATGCAATTGAACTATAGTATCTTGACAACAGCATGAACTCTGCCATGAACCAATGAATATTGACTGTCAGATCAGATTTTGCCTTTACACAGCAGCAAGCAAATTATTTAATCAAGATGCTTATTAAGAAATACACACAAAGAACATTCACAAAAGTTGCAGGGCTAGGTAACTTGTGTTATACAAGCATGTTTCATACTATCTGTGGCTAATGTTAAATAGTGCGAATGCAACCATGACAACTTGCCCTGTCCTTACAACTGGAAGTAACGAGATTCCTGTGCAGGTAATTGGACACTGTGTAGTGGGGTAAAGGTATGTACAAAGTTGGTGAGTTGCCAACTGTGCACTCCAATGTCCCGTGACATCATAAGAACCTAATCCACTTAGGTTACTGTAAGGAGTAGCAGCAGGCCTTGTGTTTCAAAATATCAGTCAATTTCAACATGATAGACTGAATTACCTCTACAAAGTAGGATTAACTATAATTAATGATAATTAATAATAATTAATAATAATTAATGATAATTAATAATGATTAATAACAATAATAACAACAATAACAATAATAGAAATGGGCCATTATATTGTGCATATTTCCACACTCAGGGGTATGCTCAAAGCGTTATTATTACCCTGGTCACTGGATCAGTGTGCACTCAACAATCATTTTCAGCTCCTTGGGGAGTATACAACCCAAGCTGACTGTTAGGTGAGCTCATCCTACCGGGTACCCTTTCACTGCTGGGTGAACTGAGGCACATTTCGAACAAAGTCACTTGCCCAAGGAGACACCACATGTGTTACATGTTCTTCAGTGTGGGGCAGGACCGAAGCCCTAGAAACTCTCAGGAGCCGAAATGCCGAAACGAAATCACCCATCCAAGGACTCTCCGCGACCAATGTTGTTTAACTTCACCTGATTTGTGAGCTGTGCGCTGTGCATAGGATCACATGCCATCACTGGTGTATAGAGAAGCTTATCCAGTGCCTTTTGATATCAAATATATCAATATTGGTCGATAAAAGTTTAAACTTCTGAGGATATTAAAAGACACTCGGGTGAGATTCTAGTTATCATCTAAATACCTCCTCCCAACTTTTTCAGTTTGTAAAAAGTAATGGCCAGAGTCTTTATTACAATGTCATCGTAGCAATATCTCCAGTGGAAGCCAGTTTTGAATGATAAATGTAATTTTTTGTAAAAGTATTTTACTATTAATCCAAAAATAAAAAGTTTGGATGAAAGTTCAAACTCTCATAAATAATTCCTTGTGGTCTAACTGTACTGCTAGCATGTTTATTTTTGAAACAACAGATTTGGTAGCAGCTAATGGAAAGCCTTGCCATGTTGCACAGATCATGTTTGATATGAAACCCATCTTATACAAAGGCTGCGACGATACACCAACTGTGCCATCCGATACGTATCACGATACATGTATGTGCCCAAATCTGTGGTGCGTAAGCCATGTTTTTCACAGACAGGAAAGTCAAGTACCTAGCACACTGACGATTTACAGCTGGCAGTGTCAGGTATGACACAATAGATGAAAATATTTACCTTTTCACTACTATTTTTCACTACTAATACGGATTTGGTGCAACAGCCATTAAAGTTAACATTTAAGGTATGAAACAAATATTTGCTACTTAGTGTGCGACTTTGATCGATACTTGTATCAGGAAGTAAAATATCGCAATCCACCACTCACCTCACGTAGCTGTTCCCGCAAGTGTTTGTTCTCCGTGACAACAGCCAGCTGACACTCTAGGTCTCGATACACCGACCTGTACCCTGCAGCACACAGAACACAGTGACAACAGACAATTGGGGGACAGGGTCTTTCAAACTCAATGAACTTGAGGTGTACATGATTCAAGTTCATCTTGATAAATCCCGTACACCATGTGATTGACACGATTTGAACATGAACATTATATGCAAGTTCATAGGTTATGTAATTAATTTGAGTGATACATCATTGTGTGACAATTAGATATACATTGTCAGAATGGTATTCAAATTGATTTGAGTTCATATTTCTGAGATATTGTGACATCCTATCAAAGTTTCAAAAGCTATGGGTTTTTTTTGTAAAAGAAGGCCACAAGCTTATCAAAGTCTTACAACTATGTTTCCTGTTCAAGAAACTGCCAGGTTCCTTGTGTTAAAGTAAAAGGGTTGAAACGATACAGCAAGGTCACGATACGATACGTATCACGATACATAGGTCACGAAACGATACGTATCGCAATACACATATTTACGTCAAATTGCATGGAAAATTCTTGACAATCAATATTTCAGAGCAGGTTCAAAAGGAAAAGCTATCTATAGACACGTCAGGGCTATTTTTAGTAATGAACTTAAAACGTTAATTACAATACATTTTGCTCTATCTGACAAAACACCAGGGGTCATTAAACGAGTTGTAAGTAATATGTTTCAGCAAGTATATGTCTTGTATCAACATAATCAATACAGAGAAAAACGTATTGTGTATTGTATCGTAACATGAAAACTCACGATGCACCGATGTACCGTTTCACCCTGATAAAGTAGCCTACCAAAGTTTGGAGAGCCAATGAAGGTGAGGCTGGGGAGGCTCTCTCCAGGAAGGTAATACCACAAGCCTTTCACATGGAAGGTCCACTTGTCTCGGAAGTACTCGAACATCTGGATTCTCCGTGTCTGACCATACCAAACCAAGCTCTTGAAGAACTGGTTGGCTATGTGCACATATGCTGTCGGAATAGATCCAGCAATCCCTTTGGCACCGAAGAAACCATTCACCTTTGCACAAAGGGTTTGAAATGAAAGCAAATGTCAGTGTAAGCACAGACAGTACATGACAACATAATTTATCATACCTCCATGACAGAATGATGAGATCTGATTGGTCAATGTGATCTTGAAAGAATACTGTGTAATCCGCCTTGGAGCGTAATAATCTTATACCACGCTTCAAAGCAAAAAGCCGCAAGCTTTTTCAATGGAATGGAATGTCAATGGAAGTCACTTGACATACCACAAGTTAACCTCAGCTCAATCAAACTGCTGTTTTCTATCAATTTTGAATTTGTGTTAATTCTTTTTCAATGTCACATTCAAACATGTCGGTAAGTTAATTTCTTGTAGAAGGATCACTAGGGGTACATGTGATGTTATGCATCCCTTGTTAGTTTTTATATATAATAACCCATATATATAAAACCTAACGCAGGACATAAAACCTCATGTACCCCTCGTGACCCATCTACAACTTATAATGTCAGAGTTCATGACAGCACAATATGTCAGTGTCAGCACTGAGTATATATGACAACATAATGACTGCAAATGTCAAGACTAAGATAATCATGGATTCAAGACAACATTATCAATATAAAAGCTTATTTTCAGACTTGTGCAAACATTAAATTGATGATGTACCTCTGGTGATGCCATTAGAATGCCATACTTGGCATACGACTCCTGCAGAATTACATTCATGTAGTGATCGGTCAGGTTGAAGTAGCCGGAGGCAAGGAGAATCTCATCTCCTTGAGATGCAGATCGGAACAATTTCAAAGTGATGTTCTCATCATGTGTGATCCCAAACGGCCCCATCTGTATCAGTGGGTACACCAATGTGTCATAGCCAGATGAACTGTCTTCATCGTCCTCACTGTGTGTGCGATCACTACTACGACTTTCATCTTCCATATTCCATGTTTCTTCCATTGCTGAAGTAAGCAGATTTTGAATATGTTTCCGTGCTCTCCTCTTAAATCTACATCCATCATCTTTATCTGGAACCAGAAAACCGATGCATGATACAATAGTGAATGATTATGATGGATGCTGATGACATACTGTGATCACCACTGGGTGATGGTAGCAGCTTCGTAAGTATTGAGCCCCCACCCCCAAAAATAAAGAAAAAATTATGACATAAATAAAAACATTTTACAAGCATGTTATCCACCCCAGCTAACATAAGGAATTTAGATTTTGATCTGACATCAAACTTTTGGAATTGATTTAAGACTAGATTACAGTTACCATGGTAACCCTTTTAAACAGATGTCCAGCATCTCCCGGTCATGGTCATCATACTGCGTGTTAAACACATGACTAACATTTCACCATCAGACTTAGGCCAGCTGTGATTGTGCAGATATAGAGGACTCACCTGTAAATGGATGTACAGATTCATCATCTGGAAGTGTTAGGGTGTTGTCATGGTTCATCTTGAAGGAAAAGTTGCCCACTGTCTTCACCAGATTGTCAAAGAAGTCTGCTAGAGACTTACTGTCATTGAATAACACATATCTGTCCTGTCTGTTGGTGAAGTAGTTGTCACTCAGATTTGCCCTGAAATTAGATTTGCGTTCTTCTTTATCAAAAGAGCTGAAAGGAACTAATACCATTGTCAATGCAGTTAGTGCTCTGAGTGTTAATCCAAGCAAGATACCAAAGGAGGAGTGTTGGGGCACTAGCCTGGAACACTATACTAAAGTCATGCAGTGAACGTTGTTTCACGTTTCAGTCAGAACCATACCACAGAAACCTGTAAATATTTAGTCATAGGGGCATGGTGACACACAATCATCCAAGTCATAGGGGCATGATGACACACAATCATCCAAGTCATAGGGGCATGATGACACACAATCATCCAAGTCATAGGGGCATGATGACACACAATCATCCAAGTCATAGGGGCATGATGACACAATCATCCAAGTCATAGGGCATGGTGACACACAATCATCCAAGTCATAGGGGCATGATGACACACAATCATCCAAGTCATAGGGGCATGATGACACAATCATCCAAGTCATAGGGGCATGATGACACACAATCATCCAAGTCATAGGGGCATGATGACACAATCATCCAAGTCATAGGGGCATGATGACACACAATCATCCAAGTCATAGGGGCATGATGACACACAATCATCCAAGTCATAGGGGCATGATGACACAATCATCCAAGTCATAGGGGCATGGTGGCACACAATCATCCAAGTCATAGGGGCATGGTGACACACAATCATCCAAGTCATAGGGCTATGATGACACACAATCATCCAAGTCATAGGGCATGGTGACACAATCATCCAAGTCATAGGGCATGGTGACACAATCATCCAAGTCATAGGGGCATGATGACACAATCATCCAAGTCATAGGGCATGATGACACACAATCATCCAAGTCATAGGGCATGGTGACACACAATCATCCAAGTCATAGGGGCATGATGACACACAATCATCCAAGTCATAGGGGCATGGTGACACACAATCATCCAAGTCATAGGGGCATGATGACACACAATCATCCAAGTCATAGGGCATGGTGACACACAACCATCCAAGTCATAGGGCATGGTGACACACAATCATCCAAGTCATAGGGCATGGTGACACACAACCATCCAAGTCATAGGGCATGGTGACACACAATCATCCAAGTCATAGGGCATGATGACACACAATCATCCAAGTCATAGGGCATGGTGACACACAATCATCCAAGTCATAGGGCATGGTGACACACAATCATCCAAGTCATAGGGGCATGATGACACAATCATCCAAGTCATAGGGGCATGGTGACACACAATCATCCAAGTCATAGGGGCATGGTGACACACAATCATCCAAGTCATAGGGCTATGATGACACACAATCATCCAAGTCATAGGGCATGGTGACACAATCATCCAAGTCATAGGGCATGGTGACACAATCATCCAAGTCATAGGGGCATGATGACACAATCATCCAAGTCATAGGGCATGATGACACACAATCATCCAAGTCATAGGGCATGGTGACACACAATCATCCAAGTCATAGGGGCATGATGACACACAATCATCCAAGTCATAGGGGCATGGTGACACACAATCATCCAAGTCATAGGGGCATGATGACACACAATAATCCAAGTCATAGGGCATGGTGACACACAACCATCCAAGTCATAGGGCATGGTGACACACAATCATCCAAGTCATAGGGCATGGTGACACACAACCATCCAAGTCATAGGGCATGGTGACACACAATCATCCAAGTCATAGGGCATGATGACACACAATCATCCAAGTCATAGGACATGGTGACACACAATCATCCAAGTCATAGGGCATGGTGACACACAATCATCCAAGTCATAGGGGCATGATGACACACAATCATCCAAGTCATAGGGGCATGATGACACACAATCATCCAAGTCATAGGGCATGATGACACACAATCATCCAAGTCATAGGGGCATGATGACACACAATCCTCCAAGTCATAGGGCATGATGACACAGTCATCAAAGTCATAGGGGCATGACGACACACAATCACCCAAGTCATAGGGCATGGTGACACACAATCATCCAAGTCATAGGGCATGATGACACACAATCCTCCAAGTCATAGGGCATGATGACACAGTCATCAAAGTCATAGGGGCATGACGACACACAATCATCCAAGTCATAGGGCATGATGACACACAATCATCCAAGTCATAGGACATGATGACACACAATCATCCAAGTCATAGGGCATGACGACACACAATCATCCAAGTCATAGGGCATGGTGACACACAATCATCCAAGTCATAGGACATGATGACACACAATCATCCAAGTCATAGGGCATGACGACACACAATCATCCAAGTCATAGGGCATGGTGACACACAATCATCCAAGTCATAGGGCATGGTGACACACAATCATCCAAGTCATAGGGGCATGATGACACACAATCATCCAAGTCATAGGGGCATGACGACACACAATCATCCATGTCATAGGGCATGATGACACACAATCATCCAAGTCATAGGGCATGGTGACACACAACCATCCAAGTCATAGGGCATGGTGACACACAATCATCCAAGTCATAGGGCATGGTGACACACAACCATCCAAGTCATAGGGCATGGTGACACACAATCATCCAAGTCATAGGGCATGATGACACACAATCATCCAAGTCATAGGGCATGGTGACACACAATCATCCAAGTCATAGGGCATGGTGACACACAATCATCCAAGTCATAGGGGCATGATGACACACAATCATCCAAGTCATAGGGGCATGATGACACACAATCATCCAAGTCATAGGGCATGATGACACACAATCATCCAAGTCATAGGGGCATGATGACACACAATCCTCCAAGTCATAGGGCATGATGACACAGTCATCAAAGTCATAGGGGCATGACGACACACAATCACCCAAGTCATAGGGCATGGTGACACACAATCATCCAAGTCATAGGGCATGATGACACACAATCCTCCAAGTCATAGGGCATGATGACACAGTCATCAAAGTCATAGGGGCATGACGACACACAATCATCCAAGTCATAGGGCATGATGACACACAATCATCCAAGTCATAGGACATGATGACACACAATCATCCAAGTCATAGGGCATGACGACACACAATCATCCAAGTCATAGGGCATGGTGACACACAATCATCCAAGTCATAGGACATGATGACACACAATCATCCAAGTCATAGGGCATGACGACACACAATCATCCAAGTCATAGGGCATGGTGACACACAATCATCCAAGTCATAGGGCATGGTGACACACAATCATCCAAGTCATAGGGGCATGATGACACACAATCATCCAAGTCATAGGGGCATGACGACACACAATCATCCAAGTCATAGGGCATGATGACACACAATCATCCATTGTCATGTAAACAGACTGCCATATCACTCAGCGTTAACATGACAACAAATGGTTTGTTAATTAATCATACATAATAAACAAGCCTTTCACATACCTCAAAAGGTCTTAATAGTAACTATACCCTGTGAATTATAACATACCCGCTAATGATAACACTGTCATCAAACAGGTACACTTTTAGGTGGGTCAATCCAATGGTTTCGTTAAATCTTTCTGGCACTACTCGTTTCAGCAAGCCCCTCAGATCTGGAGTGTGGTATAACGATACGTCCATACATGAAGGGAAGTCTTTTAGAAGCGACTGTAACATAGTTCTCGAACTGGCAGTCTTCCCCCGGGACCCTCGGGTGTAGTCCAACAGTATGTTCACCTTCATGTCACAATTTCCATCTTTCCTGGCATTTTCACATGCCTCTCTGACACAACCAACCTGGAAACATTGGCAGTCTCTTCTGACATTACTCCCTTTCAATGTAATACATCATGTACATGGCAATATACCACTCAAAGAAAGTTAAAGATGACCCGATTCATTCATATTACTTAAGTTAGTGAGTTTGGTTTAACGCCGCTCTGAACAGTATATCACAGCGTGTCAGAAACATAATTGGTGTGAACCGAGATTCGAACCCATGATCAAATGTTTCTGACTTGCCCAAGGGACGCAACTATGCAGTTGGCACCATAGTTTATCATTCCATATTTAACAAAGAAGGTTGTATTTGTTTGTTTGTTGTTTGACGCCGCACTCAGCAATATTCCAGCTATATGACGGCGGTCTGTAAAATAATCAAGTCTGGACCAGACAATCCAGTGATTGACATCATGAGCATCGATCCACGCAATTCCCGTTAGTCACCTTTTACAACAAGCATAGTCGCCTTTTACGGCAAGCATGGGTTGCTGAAGACCTATTCTACCCCGGGTCTTCACGGGTCAAAGAAGGTTGTAAGACAAATAAACAAAACAAAATGTCCAGTGGTTTTGGAGACGAGGATTTAGGCATGACTCATGTTTATCACAAGAAGAAGACATTCAAGATGTTACATTGTCAAGTTTACGTATGGACAGACTAACATACAACACATGATGACATCAAGGTGAAACTTAAACTTACCAATTTAAAGATGATAGATCAAAGATTGGTAAGCAATTCCCAGATGTTAAGACATGTAAGGTGAATAAACAAATATTCACGAATCTGAATCTAGATGCAAGTTAGCTGACCACATATTAGTACATTTATCCTTAATCATGTTATTTCAAGCTCCTTCTCAGCATGTGACACCTTCGTTACACTCTCAGTAACATTGATGCCACCAGTGTGGGTGCGGCCATTACAAGAATCTTGGAATCTGCCCTCTAACCCAAAACGTAGTCACGATTATACTTTTGTTTATGTCTTTGGGAACTCCATCATAGTGAATTTTGAAAAGGTTTATGACTGACCATATTTCCCAGACGAATTTGTTTGTTTGATCAGATTGGTTCGAGATTGCAGATGATCAGAAAATCAACCAAATTCTCCTTTACATTCTTACTATTCCAATTACATGATAGTTGTAATGAAACAGAAATTCAAATTGACAAACAAAGAAAATACAGAATCTGGGGTAAGAGTATTCGGCGTCACAGCAGTCATTACTTGTTTATAAACAGAATGGTCTGTCAGATGTGAGTGTAACCCCAAGCATGGTTGTGGCCGCCTATCACAGTGGGGAGCTTTAGTGGCAGCGATAGTATAGAGAGATCTGTGAACAGGCTATTGCTGTGAGGAGCTTACTGATATTTGTGTGCTTATTGTACTTTCATGAAAACTACTTACAAGGTCATGTTCTAGCTGACCAGTTCCAAGATAGAGTGATGCTATTGTTATCCTTTTTCTGGCTTTCCTTGCTTTGATCTGGAAAAAACAACATCTAGCATGAACTAAATGGGCAGGCAAGTAGGTACAGGAGTGAATGTTGTTGTATGCCAGATAGCAACATTATGTACAGCCACATCATGGCAGCCAGCAGACAATGTTTCTGGACCAGTCAACCAGTAGTTGATAGGATGGGCAACAGTCCCCAATATTGGGGTACTTTTGGGTTCTTCTGACAAGCATGGGGCACTAAAGACCTCTGCTTGCCTGGAATCCTAGCAGAGAACCCACAAGCCAAATATTCTCCTCATTTGCATTCTCCATTTATCCGTGGATGCAGTTTCAGCAGCATGTGAACAAACTGGACACTGGAACTTCTTCATTAGAGAGGATGGAAAATGTGATTGTCTTTTTTCTTTGATAGGGGAAATAATAAATGTATATATTCATAGCTTTATCCTGAACATTATGATTGTCAAATAGCTCACAAAAACATTTGTCTCCACACAACATTAATTAGAATTAATAAATCTAATATCCATTATGGTTTTGCCATGGACATGAAGTATGCTACACAATTTCTACCTGTTTTGGCTGAACAAATAATGTACTGAGGTGTAATATGTGTATGTCTTGAACAATAATTGGGGAAAAATAATCATGAGACTGTAACTGTGGACAATCCTACGTCAGTGAAACATACTGCCCCATCAACAGTAAATCAGCCATATTGAACGATATCAGCAACTGCCCCAATCACATATCAACGGAAAACATCCAAATCCTCTCCAACAACCTCCATGACTTCATTAAAAGAAACTAACAGAAGCAGACCACATTTGTTGTCACAAGCCATCAATCAACAGAGATCAAGGCTATTTCATCCCATCCGCCTACTATGAACTCATTAAGCAATATTCACCCCACCTATGTACCCTTAATCCTGTTTAATTGTCTGCCTCATTATGTGATCTCTGTCCATCATGTTGTTACAGTATTATCCTTCTCTTGTCATTATTTAACCTACTTATGTTAATCTCTCTCTTGTTGGCAATTGTTGTTACTGTAAATCTTCCACCTACTATATGTATTCTGTACCATGTTCATTTTTCAGCCTTGCTTGATAATGAATTATTTAAGTTGTTTGAGAGGCATTACTTAGACACGACGGATGACAAAGTAGAGATAATTTATGGATAACAACTTCTTTGTGTACTGTAAAGGCGACATTTCGGTAGAGATCCTTATACAGTCAAGTCCCGTTAATCCGACATTGTTGGTTGCATATGATTATGTCTGATTAACGAGTATGTCGGATAAACGAAATTAGGTAGTATCAACATTTGTGATCGAAGATTGGACAACTATATGATACAGAACGATTCAAACATGTTGTAATAAAAATAGGAAATATTTATAATTTTATATTGTTGTGTTTGTTAGTGGAATATGTTTTCTAGTCATGCAACCTGTAAAGTTTAACACAAAATTACTGTTACAGACTGCATGGCTGATTCAAAATACTGATACTGTGTACTCGCGGGCAGATGACCACGGAGTACGCTGATCACTTAGTCACAACAAGACTGATTAATGAGTGATTTCAGCAATTCATTGCAAATTAGGTGTGTTGGAGTCGGAATGGGAGACTGTCGGACTAACGGGTCTAAATAGCACTGATTTGATTGGTTCCCATCATTTGTGTCGGATAAAGCTGACAGTTGGATTAACAAGTTTTGTATTAACGAGACTTGACTGTACAAGGATTGTTTGATAGGCATTAGTTAGAAGTCGACAGATGACTAAGTAGACACAATTTATGGAAAACAACTTCTTCAAGCTTGACAACGGTATAAGGATCTATACCTAAACGTTGCCTTCACAGTATGAAAGAAGTTGTTATCCATAAATTGTGTCTTCTTTGCATGACAATGGAATAAGGATCTATACCGAAATATCGCCTTTACAGTAAATAAAGAAGTTATCATCCATAAATTGTGTCTACTTTGTCATCCGTCAACTTCAAAGTAATGATTATCAAACAATTAATTTAACACAAAATAAACTAACAATGTAACCAGCCTGTTTGCAGTACCTACTCTGCCTCATACAGGAACAGATCAGTGAAGATCTGGGGTAGAATAGGTCTTTAGCAACCCATGCTTGCTGTAAAAGGTGACTAAAGGGTGGTCAGGTTCGTGGACTTGGTTGATGCATGTCATCGTAACACAATTGCATGGATCGATGCTCATGATGTCAATCACTGTATTGTCTGGTCCAGACGCGATTATTTACTGACTGCCGTCATATAGCTGGTATATTCCTGAGTGCAGCATTAAACAACAAACAAACAAAACATACAGAAACACATAGTGTAGCAGTTGGTCATATAGAGTCATGATCATTACATGAATTTGTAATTGCTCTGGCTTTTACATAGTGTCTTTTTGTGGGAATATAATTTCTCATGGAAACTTCAGAAAATATTTCTAAATAACCATCAGAAATATGCAGCGATAATACATTTGCAACATACCCTCCAGAAACACAAATAGTGAAAGATTCACCTTCAGAACTTCATAGAACTGTGTTGGTTCAGTGATGACCAAAACCTGATCGCCTTTCACCCTGTAACAAGGGGTGAACTTGCCCATCCACCCAAAATAGTCAAACACATGTGGTCTTGTAGAACACTGTCTGTGAGTTGCTCGTGCTGTGTGTTGTAAAGGGTCACTGACTCCTGTATGGCTATTGTTGCACTGATATGTTGTTGCAAACCTGAATAAATACATTTGAATACCTTTAAGATATCTAAAAATAGAAAACCAAGCAACATTTTCTAACCAAAACAATTCATAACCCTGCATTTTGTAGATAATATTGGGGCTTTAGAATAAAGAAAATAGCAAAATGACTGTGTTCATATTCAGATAACCACTTCATAAAGCTGTTGCAGTGCAAACTTTGTTTGTTGTTCGTGGTAATTTTGCCTAAATATTTATATTTCATAGGACATAAACAATATTAAACAGTTTCAAAACTTTCTGAATATCTGGTCTCAATTTTGAAATAAAAATTCCTGCTTAAGTGCTTTCAATCAGTAATTTTACTCCAGATAAAACTGGCGTGGCAACATAAGTAGTTTCTATTATTAAATACAATAGCGAAATCCCTATTCCCTATATCCCTATACCTCAGATGTGCACCCCAAGTAAGTTAAATATGAATGAATAGGTCCACGGTTGGAACGATATTGTATTTTGTATTGTTTGTTTGAGACTATTATCATGATTATCAATATATCTGTGTACTGGTGAATCGTGACATCCCTAAAGCAACCATAAAACATAAATCTGGAATAAAGTAGTCTACTATGACCTACAACATTTTTTCACATATTGATAGAGAAATATTTATCTACACACTTCGCATCTAGGTCAAGGTGACAACTTGAACAAAATAGCAGCTGTTAGAATTGTACTTTATGTAAAATGCTTTGACTAATCTCCATCAAAATGTTTCCAGTGTTTGAGACTGCCAGGGAGGACTAGATCATAGACCCATGTTTGATTAACATTTGTACCATTTCCCTATAATATATTGGACAGTTTTCAAGTCTTAGGAAATGTTCGCCCACAAATCAAACGTTAATGCAAGAAATATGAGCGACCTAATAACGGTGGCAAAATTTATTACTTGTTTTTAGAATCAGAATCATCATCGCTTGACTCTACGTTCAACTTTAACATAAAAGCAACCATGAACCTTGAAACTGCGTTATAATGTCTATTTTTCCAAGTCAACAGCAGACGAAAGGCATGCTTTTCCGCCATGTTGATATAGGTTTATGTAAAACATCAATTGGAAACAACAACGGAATATTAACTTGTGTATGTAGTATTTAACGTGTATATATAATGTAATGCACTATGTGACATTTTCCACATTGAATTACTAAGTGTTTTCGGGTTTTTTCCCCCGGTAAACAATCTTTATTAATACTAATAATCCTTTGTATTTTCCGTTTCTTATTTTCTACGAAACCGTGTCTCAGAAACGAGGCAGTAACCAAGGACGTGGCATAGCAACTTGCCATAGCAACTCCGCTTGGCCGCCATTCCTGTCAACAACGTCCTGTCTGGGAACGCTCTGCGATACAAGAGGCGAGGCAAGGAGTTAAAACTGGCATATCGATGGATCCTTGTTAGCTTGAAGTCGCCTCTATATAAATCAGCGAGGCTTTAACCAGACAATTTGCAATCATGGCAAGCGAGCTTGAACTCAACGACACTCGTGTCGAATTCATAGCGGACTATGTTTTGAAAACTATGAAACTGAAGCCTGATAAATGGATGAAAATGTATAACATCGACGAAGTGAAGCAACAGTTTCTAGACTACTTTGAAAAACCAGATCTTGCATCACTTATTATATCTTTGAGCAGCTCTGGGACACTTTCTGTTGGGTTTGAATGGCCATTAAGTCCCAAAGGGAAAGCCTGTTACTTTGTGAAAAAAGCGAGGGAGCCAATCCAAAAGGACACACCACTGAGAACAGCGTTATTATATGGTGATCTTGCACTTTCACCTCTGGATCAGTTGTCAGCATTTGTGGACGAGGTATGTTATTTCGTTTTACCCCATAAATGTAATTCTTTGCTAAAGAAAAATTCTGGCCAATTTTTCTTTCGACTGACACCTTCATTGTCACCAGTAGGGGAAAAGGGCACCTGTCAAGATTAAATTGAAACCAAAATATGAAATATATTGAAAATAAAAGTGCTTTCATAAAGTAGCACTTGTTATAAGATGTGCCGCAGCAGGCTGTATTTCGAACTCTCAACATTGCAGGGCTTATTCAGTGACGTTGCATGTAGAGATGATAGATCACTGAGAGGAGCTTATGCACAGTTGATGACCCCTGCAACTCTGTTGCTAGGCTGATGTCACAGGGCATTGATTCACAAGTGTGTTATGAAACAAAATTTTACAATTTATGTCATAGGGTATTGTCATAGGGTATTGTGTTTATGAACTTTTGTAGTGCTGAATTCTAAAGGTAGGCCACTGTAAGAAAATGTGACAGGAACTGGCATTTAAAACAATCTAATAAAACACGCAATTCAAATCTATATTTCAGGTTCTCGTGCCACTGTTGTCCAATGAACGAAACCACGACCACTGGCCAAAGGTTGTTTCCCATGATGTCACCCGCCATGTACACAGCCTCAAGAGCAATGTGTATGTTGTGTCAGGACAAGCCAAAGGCAAGACATTGCTACCACTGCCGGTTGGAGCTGAGAGAGTGGAAGAGGCAACAGTTGAAGATGAAAAGTGATTATTTTTGTTTTCATATATTAATATGTATATTTTCATAGGACGAGAGCACCAATTAAATGTATATATTTTGATATGAATAATATATCCGAACCTTGTTGACGTTTTTTTTTATTTGCATACAAATGGCCTATTTCAGGGACACTTATGACAGAAACCTAGTCCATGCTATTTTTTTTTTTAATTTAGTGGACACATCCATTTTTGTTTTCATATATTAATATGCATGTTTTCATAGGACGAGAGCATCAATTAAATGTATATATTTTTATATGAATAATATATCCGAACCTTCTTGACGTTTTCTTTATTTGCATACAAATGGCCTATTTCAGGGACACTTATGACAGAAACCTAGTCCATGCTATTGAATCTGTGATAATTGAGTGGACACATCAAATCCGAGATGTTCTCAAGAGGGATTCTGCTCAGCCTCTTTTGGAAGGACTTGACCCAACACCATTTGTGGAACTAGACTTCTGGAAGAACAAGGCCACAAACCTTGAGTGTATCTATGAACAGGTAATTTGTTTATTCATTTGAAATAATTAATGTTGCTGTAACATTAGGCAATAATACATGATCAGACTTTCAACCCCATCTGCCTATCACCTGTATTGTTCCTAAGTACTGGCAGATGAAGAAAATTACTATGTGTTCTAAGTGCTGTTGTACAAAACCTTAGCGCTACGACTGTCGTAAGTCTATGGGAGTTACAATCACCTTAGCGCTAAGATTGCTTTGTCCAAGGGCACCTGTTCTTTACCATGTTTACTTGATGAAATACATCATACCTGTAATCCTATCAATCACAACAGTTGACAGTCAATATTCATTTATAAAATGATAAAAATGTAATAATTCGTTTTTGCAATTTAATGTGTTTAATCCTAAAAAGTTGACACATGACTGTGTTATTTTTGGTGTTATGTTAAAATTAGATTGAAACTCATTTCCTTGTAATGGAATGAAATGGTCAGCGTCTATGAACAAATCTCACTTTAATATATTATGGGCTTTTGAAACATAAAATTAAAATGATTTTGTCATTGTTGCAGCTGAGGGATCCAAAGGTGAGAAAGATGGCTGAATTGCTTGAAAGAACAAACAGCAGTTACTTCCCTTCCTTCAAGAACATTTTCAGGGATGTTGTGGCAGGTATGTATCATTTTCATTCAACAAATTAGTTAAATTATTTATTGATATGTTTCCCACTGAAGTGAAAATAGTAACTATGGTTGTCGTAAGAGGCGACTAATGGGATCGGGTGGTCAGGCTCACTGACTTGGTTGATGCATGTCATTGTATCCCAGTTGGGTGGATCGATGCTCATGATGTCAATCACTGGATTGTCTGGTCCAGACTTGATTATTTACAGACCACCGTCATATAGCTAGAATATTACTGAGTGTGGCGTTAAACAACAAACAGACAAACGAAATGGAATTAGATTAATGTGTTTGATGTTAAGTTTCTTGAAACTAATCGGCATTAATCGTATTCAGCTCTGACTGAGGCACAAGACATCAACCTGTACCTGAAGCCTCTGAGACATTACTTTGAGGACCTGGAGCAGGCTGAGTTTGATGAGAGCATCCCCATGCTGGCCCCTCTCTTCCACACCACATGTCTCGTGTGGGCCAACTCCAAGTACTACAATACTCCAGCCAGGATCATTGTACTCCTGCAGGAGATATGCAACATGGAGATTGATCTGGTAGGTTCATGAGAAATGTTGCTGTGAATATTATCTCATGAAAGAGATAAGCATTTGAGATTCAGTGAAAATAATTGTACACAATAATTTAAAGAGAGTTTTTGTTTTGACCAGCTTTTGGGTGCTTAATATGTAAATAAGGTAATGACAGTGCAGAGCATGGGAAGTTTGCAGCCTGCAGCGTTAGAAATTGGCACTCATCCTGTTGCCCTTGCCAAACTGGTCAATAGTTAAGGTATCATGAGGACTAATAGAAATTTGCCTTTTTTAAGGGTTTTGCTGTATGTTATCATTATAAGGACTAGTAGACTAAAATGTTTGTTTCTACCCCTGAGCCTGTAATCAGTTATGCCACTCAGTCATTGGATTAAATTTCAGTAGAAAGACTGAACAGAAATCTGTCCCCATGATCGCTATAGAAAAAGGTATTTGAAAGACTGGATTGTGCAACGTTTGGCCATATGCCAAGTGGTTTTGTACAAATGTCACTTTACTTGGAACAGTGCCAACAGAATATGCTGGCACCTTTTGAAATTTGAAAAGTTTGAATGATTGCCAGCACAATGACTTGCATTATTGTATACATACTTCCTTATCATTGAATTGACCTTGTGTTTGGTTTCGGCAACAAATTGTTGATAGTGTTGGTGTGTAAAGCCAGTCTTTTTTTTCTTCTATTTCTTTGAGTTTTGGGATGAAACAAGCAAGTTGGTGGGTGAGAAACAAAATAAAGACTGAGGATGGTGCCGTTAATTAAGCTTGTCACATCAATCAGCAGAATCTGTAAACCAACCAAAGTCTTGTCTAATAAGAAGAATGAATTTAGGGACATCTGATTACAATTTACAGGCCCTGCATGCTGGGAGTCAATTTCCAATACTTGGTTACATATATGATGTCAGTTAAGGCATTTTGTTTTATTCTCAAAATTAAAGTTGAAGGACTATTGTTGCAAAAATTCAGACTAATGAAGAAATAGACGACAAGTGGGAATTGTTTATGGTATAATAAAACACTGCAGGTTGAATAAACTATGAGGGGCGCAGCCCTGAGTGGTTTATTCTCCCTGCAGTGTTTTATTGTACTCCCACTCATCGGGTTTAGTTCGTATATGAGATATCAACATTATGTACACTCTCTTTAAGGATGATGATAAAATGTACAAGCTTTAAAAATATTTGCCAGTATTTAAATAATGATGACTCCCTTAATAGAATCTGACCTTGGTAATGTGGGACAAGTCCATTTTATGCACTGGTGGGTATTTCACGCATATTCTCACAATCCTCACATCAATTACCTGTACCTTTTCTCCAAATACCGATTGTCATAATCTCTCCCACTTTTGGATGCGATTTTTCGGCCATTGTGTTTATCTGCGTTGCCCAGCTACATCTATGGTGAACAACTCACTAGAGACTTCCTTCTCCTAAATACTGTGTCCAATATATGTCATCAAGTTGCAAGCGCATGTTCGATTCTCCAGAAATGACGTGGTGATAGAACAATGTGTTATCATGAAATAAACCACACTTTGTTCTTCACTGTTCTTTGCAATTTACAGCATAGCAATCTTAAATTTTCCATGAATTCCATCAGACATACCAGGCTGGACAGTGAGGTGAAATGTCAACACATTGTGTTTCAGGCCAAAAACTTCCTGGAACCTTCTGAGCTGTTCAAGGGGGAGGTTGAGGAGACAGTTGAGAAGGTCTGCAAAGCAAGTAAAGTTCTGCAGAGTTTCCGCAGCACATATGAAGAACACAAGGACAAACTGA